TGTTTAGGCCTACTCAAGTCTCATTTAGATAAGCTAAATAAATGGCCCTTTCAACATATAATCTTGTACATTTTTTACTGAAATGTCTTATTAAAGCTGCCCAGAATTTATATCTTTGTTTACAGAAAGACTATCATGTTTCTGTAAAATGTGTGATGGAGTTAATGAAATGTGTACATTCTTTTAAAATACTGTAACCCAATTTATATTCGCGAATACAAATTTTCGCGTTTTGCCGAGGTCGGACATATTCGCGAATATTAATTTCCGCGTTTTCTTGATTTCCGAAAAAGAAATATTCGCGGATTGGAAATTCAATTTAAGCGTTTCATAAAAAAATACCTTCTCCCATCAGGGATCGAACCCACGCCGAGAAAATTATGTTAAGTGAGTCCGCAGTCTAACCAACTGAGCTATACAGGCTGTTAAGTTTGACGGTAAAATTCGATACTAGTATGAAACCATCTTGTATTTCACTGTTTGTAATTATGTACACCTAATACCCTTTTGTGATGCTCGATAGATTTATACCACCTTTGTCTCAAACAATTATTTTATAGGATCCAAAAAACAATAGCCTTTTGTGATGCTCGATAGTTTTCCCACTTTTGTCAAAAGATTTATTCAAAAAAAATTTTTATAGGGTCCAAATTTAAACAGGTCTAGGTCACTAAACTTGAGGACAAAAGGCAAATTACTGCACTTCTCACCTGTACTAAAAGCGGTATTCTACTGATATTTTGATTGCTATATTGACATAGAGTTTTTTTGATATTTATAAAATAGAAGTAGTTTAGTCAGTTTGTGTTTTTATTGCTTTATGGCAATATTCATAACAATTCATTACTTCCTAACAGGTGTCCGTAAAATTCGAATATATCCGGTCAAGTAGCTTTGCATGAACAACGTCTAAAATAAAAATTTCTCTCCAATTTATTCGCGAAATCGTGCGGACTTATTCGCGCAAACAAATATTCGCGTTCCGTGGCCATCCGCGAATAAAGCGAATATTAATTGGTCGCGAATATTCGTTGGGTTACAGTAAATGGAAAATGTGAGAAAAAATATATTTTGAGCTTATTAATTGATGGAAATTCGTTATTTGATGCAAGTTTTTTACTAGCATTTAAAATCCCTATTGATTTTACCTTTGAAAAACAGATAAATGTTTTGATTATTCTGTGTATCAATTCATTGATTTGTTCCTTTGACCAAGACATTGTAAATATTTACAAAAAATACACAGGTCATGTACACTGAATCAACATTAAAAATCAGAAAAAAATTAAAAACAAGAGCCGGTTTAACAGGGTGATGCTCCCCGAATAGGTTTTGGACACAGGAAGGTATACCTCTTCTAGTGTCACAGTTTTGACACAGACAAAGATCAAAGAGTAAAAACAACAAATGTTGCCCGCGACATGTCGTCTCAATATGGTGATCATTTCTGTGAAATAGTTGTAAAATCTGACTTGAAATAACAAAGTTATTGGTCGGACATGATTTTGCTGCAAGGTCATGCTGTGACCTTGACCTTCAAGGTAGCGACCCTAATGTTGCTCTTAACACATCGTCTTAATATGGTGATCTTTTCTGTGAAATAGTTGTAAAATCTGATTTCAAATAAGTAAGTTATGGGCCGGACGCAATTTTGCTGCAAGGTCATACTGTGACCTTGACCTTCAAGGTATCGACCCAAATGTTGCCCGCAACATGTCGTCTCAATATGGTGATCATTTCTGTGAAATAGTTGTAAAATCCAACTTAGAATAACAAAGTTATGGGCCGGACACGATTTTGCTGCAAGGTCATGCTGTGACCTTGACCTTCAAGGTAGCAACCCTAATGTTGCGCGCCACATGTTGTCTCAATATGGTGATCATTTCTGTGAAATAGTTGTAAACTCAAACTTCAAATAACGAAGTTATGGGCCAGACACTATTTTGCTGCAAGGTCATGTTGTGACTTTGACCTTCAAGGTAGCAACCCAAATGTTGCGAGTAACGCATCGTCTCAATCTGGTGATCATTTCTGTGAAATAGTTGTAAAATCCCACTTCAAATCACGAAATTTTATGGGCTTGACACCATTTTGCTGCAAGGTCATGCTGTGACCTTGACCTTCAAGGTAGCGACCCAAAATGTTGCGCATGACACGTCGTCTCAATATGGTGATCATTTCTGTGAAATAGTTGTAAAGTCCCACTTCAAATAACGAAGTTATGGGATGGACAACCCGACGACTATATGCTCCCCCGAAATTTAACTAATAACTGCACAACACACCTTTAGGGCAGATGTTGTGTCAAACCGTCTTGACAGCTAAAAACTTGTTGAACAAGAACTGTCGGAGGAGAGCGACGCTTGACTATTCGAAAAAGTTGTCACATATGAATACATAGAATTGTCCAAAAAGGTACAAAGGCTTGTTATCGAGTAAATCACTTCTTTATTATTATGATTGCATAAAATTGTCCCAAAAAAAGGCACAAACCCTTCAGTAGTTATGGAGATACAAGCTTACAAGCAAAAACTTTCGAAGTCGAGAGAGGGTGCATAATTATGCAAAAAAAGCAAATCAGAGTTATGGGACTTGTGCCAATCATGTAAGATAATCACAGAGAACAATTGTGTGAATGTTCAATCCAATCCCTTCAGTAGTTATGAAGATACTCGCTTACACACAAAAACTTAGCAAACAATTTCTAAGTAGAAAAAGGGGCATAATTATGCAAAAAAGCAAATCAGAGTTATGGTACTTATGCCAATCATGTTAGATCATCACAGAGAAGTTTCAATCCATTCCTTTCAGTAGTTACTTGCTTACACACAAAAACTTAACCAAGAATACACCACATATTCTATTCTATTATGGAGTTACTGTTGTCCAAGAAAAAATCAGAAAAAAATAGATTTAAAAACAAAATGTCATAGATACATGTATGTAATGTTTAAAATAACCAGTTTTAGGCTAAAAACTGACCAAACCTGTTAAAATGGATAAATGTGACACCCCTACTGACTATGTAGGATTAACAGAGAGATAAAGTCAACACCATGACTATGTAAGATATTTGAGAGGTTAAGACATGATGACTATGTAAGATATTTGAGAGGTGAAGACATGATGACTTTGTTAGATATTTGAGAGGTAAGACACAATGACTATGTAAGATATTTGAGAGGTTAAGACATGATGACTATGTAAGATATATGAGAGGTGAAGACATGGTGACTATGTAAGATATTTGAGAGGTGAAGACATGATGACTATGTAAGATATTTGAGAGGTAAGACATGATGACTATGTAAGATATTTGAGAGGTGAAGACATGATGACTATGTAAGATATTTGAGAGGTAAGACATGATGACTATGTAAGATATTTGAGAGGTGAAGACATGATGACTATGTAAGATATTTGAGAGGTAAGACACAATGACTATGTAAGATATTTGAGAGGTGAAGACATGATGACTATGTAAGATATTTGAGAGGTAAGACATGATGACTATGTAAGATATTTGAGAGGTGAAGACATGATGACTATGTAAGATATTTGAGAGGTAAGACACAATGACTATGTAAGATATTTGAGAGGTTACGAAGACACTATGACTATGTAGGATATTTGAGAGGTAAGACATGATGACTATGAAGGATATTTGAGAGGTAAGATACGATGACTATGTAAGATATTTGAGAGGTAAGACACTTTGACTATGTAAGATATTTGAGAGGTAATACGCAATGATATTTTAGAGGTAAGACAAGATGACTATGTCAATATTTGAGAGATAAGATTTGTTGACTATGTAAGATATTTGAAAAGTATGACATGTTGACTATGTAAGATATTTGAGAAGTACGACATGTTGACTATGTAAGATATTTTAGAGGTAAGACACGATGACTATGTAAGATATTTGAGAGGTAAGACACGATGACTATGTAAGATATTTGAGAGGTAATACATAATGAATATCTAAGATATTTTAGAGGTAAGACAAGATGACATCATGTAAGATATTTGAGAGGTAAGATATGTTGACTATGTAAGATATTTGAGAAGTACGACATGTTGACTATGTAAGATATTTTAGAGGTATTTTAAGATATTTGAATGATAAGACATGATGACTATGAAGGATATAATTGAGAGGTAAATCATGATGACTATGTAAGATATTTGAGAGATAAAACATGTTGACTCAGTTCGATATGTTGACTATGTAAGATATTTGAGAGGTAAGACATGATGACTATGTAAGATATTTGAGAGGTGAGACATGATTACTAAGTAGGATATTTGAGAGGTAAGACATGATGACTATGTAAGATATATTGACTATGTAAGATATTTGAGAGGTAAGACATGATGACTATGTAAGATATTTAAGAGGTAGGACATGATGACTATGTAAGATATGTTGACTATGTAAGATATTTGAGAAGTAAGACATATTTACTATGTGAAAAACAATAGATAGGTTAGACATGTGGATTATGTAGAATTTGTGGAGTGGTAAGATAATTACAGTTCTATACAGAAATATTTACTACATCTACTATTGTTATAAATTTGTGCACTGCATACTTACTAAGTGAATGAGCTTGTTTCTATAACAAATTATAAATGTACAAATTTATTATTACACAATACTTTATGTTCAAGGTATATCTTTTCTTGACAGATGTTATTGTTTTAGAAAAGAAAACAAATTTTAGATAATCATAGTGTACAGTGGGATTTCTGACATTATCAACATGGTAAAAACATACAAACACTGGAAATTATCCTACTATAAACATTCAAACAACAAAGACATTGTCTCTGATAATTTATTGTTTAAAGCATATCAAGTATTAGTGTACATTCATGTGTAACTTCAGCATTGGCAACCTATTACTACATATATATTATATCAGATTTTAGCACAAAAGTTTTTGCATTTTACTATGACGTTTTTAACCATCTGCAAGGTGTTTTATATTTCATGGTATATTATATTTGTCACACATTGTGAATATTTGTTCAAGGTGAAGTACAGATACTTCGTACAGGATCAAACACTCTATCTTTTCCACAAGTACTTGGGTAACCTGATCCTTTGTAGCAAATGAAATAAGCCGACTTGTCCCTGGTATCTGGCAACATAACGTTATTCTTGTCTGGTGCACATGGGTCCGCTGTAACAATAGTTTCTTCTTTTGTTTATTGTTGTTTGGGAATAAAAGATATTGCCAGCTCCCATTGATATGTATATATGATACAAACAACATCACACCTGAGTCAGATTTGACTTCATTTTAACTATTTAACTTAATTCCATGCAAATTTAATACATTCCATGCAAGTATATTTATATAACATGAGCCTTAGTGTTTCTTCAGTTAAAGTCAAGTGAAGTTATTATTGCTGTCTATATTCAGTAAACACTTTGTTGTTTGATCAGCATTTATTATTTTAATCTGTTCAAATTTTTTCAATAAATCATCAAGATGGCATGGCCCTTCTAACATCAATAAACACATTATAACAACAACTGAATGTTTTCTACATTCCCATATTGTTTATTATATACATCTACTTCTGTTCACATCAAATGTCCTATTCCGATCACATTTGAAAATGTAAGCTTTACCCATGGAACATATAATAAATTTAGTAGGATCCCCGGCATACGGGAAGTAAACATTCTTTTTGTCTGGTTTGCATGGATCTGCAATAAATTGAATGACATCATTGCCTTCATTCTAACTTCTACTTTATGTCATCATGGTTAAGTCTATTATTTCTACTAACAAGCAGTCCCATGCTTTTAGAAACTACTGAGTGTAAGCATTTAGATTAACATTTTAGTCTAACACTATCGAAAACATTATATATGTCACATACAGTAACAAATGGATTATTTCAATTAGAACTATTTACTCATGCCAAAAAATTTGTTTATCCTTTTCCAGATTATGATGATAATGATAAAACTGTTATTTTAGTAATAATGATGTTAATTCCTGAACACAGAATCCAAACTAACAACTATTGCTTAAATAAATGAATTGGATATTTTGTAATTAATCAGTTCTTAATAAATGGAATATCAATGGTAAATAGTGGGATACAATGATCCAGCAGATAATACTTCAGTTTATTGGACATAAGACAAAATGATGAATCACTCAAGATCAGTTAGTTATACATAGATTTTTGAGTGGCTGAAATTAGATTGCCAAGCACAGGAGCAATCTCTCTTTATGTTAACAGTGCTAGATATAAGATAATTTTTTAAAACTTTAAATAACATTAACTATGGATATTTGAGTAAAAATTGTAAAAGTACTTGGCCAACTTTGGCAACCCCTTTTAATTAAGAATTCACAAAATAAGCAGTAACATTGAAGGAAAACAAAGTAGTATGTCATACTAACAACATTCTGACAAAATAAATGACAGGGTGTTGTATTCCTTGGTAGACTTTATGTAAATATATCCTGCTATGGGACTATCTTACAATGCCAAACCTAAAGTGAAGTGTGAAAATATTTAGCCTAATTGTTTATTAAATACAATTATTTCCCAAATACTATATTTCATACAATAGACTTGAACAGATATAAATTATTTCATACAAGTGCAATTCATGAGAGTTATAAATAATTAACAAAAGTTCTATATGTCTGGCCACAACATCTTCACTAATTTCTATTCTGTTTCATTTTGAATTGACTTCTTGATGTAAAACATTGTAGTGATGGACAAGCATGAAGGCACAATAGATGGAAGTTTGGTGATGACAGAGTAATGACATGAATGTTTTACAACATGATATTTTAAACAGTTAAACAGTAAAATATTATACAATTATTGACTAGTGTGCCATTGAATATGATGTGATATTCACCGGCAGATGACATATTGACCAAGGCGATAGTCAAGGTCAATATGACTTTCTGCCGGTGAATATCACATATTCAATGGCACAATAGTCAACAAATGTTTTATTATATTAATAGGCTAAGAATTAAAAAAAATCATAAAAATTACAACCTTATAGAACTTTTGCCTGATTCTTTAAGCGCGGCAAAAAAATGCACATGTCAGGCTTGCAATGACTACGCTGCACTAACAAAAGCAATTCAAGTTAATACGCTCATCATTACGGTGAAGCCGTTTAGTAAAATAGTAAAGTAATGATATTTTAATCGAGAAATATGCCATAAAGAACAAAACGCAACAATAATTTTTATAAGCCACATAATTACAGTTGAGTTATGGTCATTGAAATCTATTTAGATGGGAATCATTCAGCCGTGAATATGATACACACAGAATATATTTTATAGAACTTCTGTTGACTACTGTTTGGCAAATGAGATTGCAGCTATATTTAGATCATATAATTAAATTACAATTATTGCACTAGTGAGCCGCAGCTCAAATGACTTCTCAGTAATTCACATCATTCAATGCTCCTTGTCAATATTGTTTTCTTATAGATATTGCTAAGAAATTAATAACAAAAAAACTTATAGACATGTACAATTTTGCCTGTTTGAACAGCCTCGTGAAAAAGATGCACATTTTAGCGTCCTGACTACGCGAATGCTCGTAAAAAATATTCATGTTTATACTCATCTTGGTTAGCTGTATATATATTAAGAATGATATATTTACTAGAAATATCCATAAGAAAAAACAAACAATTATTGTTTATTAACACTGTAACAGTTAGGAATGTTTGTATGATTCTCATATGTTTAGAAAATCCATTCAACCGTTAAATATGATACTACACCATGAATATAGTTTATAAAATTCTGTACACCTGGACAATGAGATTGCGCTATAATTAGATCAATATAATATAAAACAACAAATATAATGCGATACACCATGAAAGTACCTTTCAGTATGCAAATATTGCATTGATCTCTGTATTAGGTATATATTGTTAAGGAATTATGAGCATACAAATAAATATAAAATTAGCATTTTTTTTCACCCTAGCAAGCAAACCCAGTTTTTCCCTCTTTTACATTTAAGGAAAAATTTTTATTTTTTTAAATGAATATTTTCATGAGCAAAATTTTACAAAAAACAAAAACTTTAAAAAAAGTAAAAGAAAGCATTAAGGAAAATGAAATGTTGGTTATTTCTTTATGTTAAAAACATAATGTTAACACATACAGGTATATAATATAGGATAAAAAATCATGTAAACACATACAGGTTTTTAATATAGGATAAAATATAATATAAACACATACAGGAATATGATATAGGATAGAAACACCATGAAAGCACATACAGGTACATAATATATGATAGAAACATCATGTTAACATTCAGGTATATACTATAGGATAGAAACATCATGTAAACACGTACAGGTATATAATACAGGATAATAAACCATGTAAACACAAACAGGTTTATAATATAGGATAAAAATATCATATAAGCACATACAGGAATATGATATAGGATAGAAATATTGTGTAAAACACATACAGGTATATAATATAGGATCAGAAACATTCCGTATCTCATCTATCGTCCAACAACAATACAGGATGTAATTATATAGGATAGAAACACTGTGTTAACACATACAGGTACTATTAATATAGGATAGTAAACACTTGTGTCAACACATGATCCAGGCTATGTAATATAGGACCAGAAACATCGTGTAAACACATACAGGGTATATAATATAGGACAGAAAACACCGGTAACACATACAGGTTTATAATTATAGGACAAAAACACTCATATTAACACATACAGGTATATAATATAGGACAGAAACACTTGTTGTTAACACATACAGGTATATAATATAGGACAGAAACATTGTGTCAACACATACAGGTATATAATATAGGACAGAAACATTGTGTCAACACATACAGGTATGTAATATAGGACAGAAACATCGTGTAAACACATACAGGTATGTAAATAGGACAGAAACACTGTGTTAACACAAACAGGTATATAATATAGGATAGAAACTCCAATCATGTATTATGTATTGAAATTTACCCTTTCACTGCCATATTTTACAAATGTTTTCTTCCAGTACCAAATTTTTTCCAAAAATTCCTGCAAATCTGGTGCCTTCATGAGCTTAGTAAATCTTGTTTTATTTTCTAAATTTTCAGATATAAATAAATGAAGTACTACAAATACAGATGCAGAGTTAAGAGAAATAACTTTTAATAACCAATTTTTATAAATACTCCAAGTTAAAAAGAGACATAACTCCTTAAAAAATCTCTTTCATAATAATTGATGTAATAAGTTAAACTTAAATTTATCACAGTTCATATTCTAGTATACTGGACCAAGATAGTAAGTACTGCGGTCCCCTTTATAACATTATGGCAATGAAAGGGTTAAATGTAAAATATGGCTGATTACTTTATGTTAATTATAGTCACTTTTAAAATAAAGTTAATTTTAGAAAATGAACTGTCTGAATATACCTTACATTTATAGTGGTAGGATTTTATAAATGGATTGTGAAACATGCTATTATATATTCATGCTATCTTAAATAATTATATAAGGTATACACTATTTTATCAATAACTTTAATAAATAATCCAAGTTTTTAACAAGCTATAATTTAAAAGAAAAATAATTGAATGACACATTTTATGAGGGATGGTCCAAAAATACCCTAAATTTGTTTATAAGTCTGATAATTTGCATGTTGTCTGATAGTCTCCAATGAATTTGCACCTATGTAAAGTACACTGTTAAATCTATTTTATCATAAAATATATGCTATGTTATGTTGCCTGGTGCCATTTCTGTCTGCCTTAAATAACCATGGTCACACAACACAAAGTACATGTAAATATTAAAATACATTTTGTTACAAAAATCAGCAGAAAGTGATGTTAAACAACAACATATAAAATTCATGTAATTTGAGCATTGTAATCATGTTTTTGTCAAACATCTGATTTTATCATGTACATTTTTAATCTTTAAAAATGCAATAATAAAACAATAGTTAAAGAGTCAGGTTTGAGTTGCTAGCACACTTAAACTGAGAACAAGATCTGGATTTTTCCAACATAAGAACTTGTCACATTATAAGAACATAATCATAAAATGTGTTCATAGACATCAATAATATACAGTACACTGGCAAGTACTTTGACAAATTTTGAGTGTTGTTTAATTTCATTATATGCTAATGATGTTGTCACATAATGTACAAATTGTATCTTTAACAATGTTTGCTTAGGTATGCATGTGCTGCTCATATTTTATTGTTAAATTACTCAAATTTGTGTTTTCTTGTAAAGAAACATGTATTATGCATCAATAAGTATTTTTATTTGATAGACTGTACTAAATATCATTGAATCTTTTTATTAGGTATTTCTGACCCATCTCTCTATAGTGTGCATACAATATAATATTACTTTAAGACAATTTAAAGGTGATCAATACTTAAATTAATATTAAACAAAATGTTTAATCAACTTCAATTTGATTTACCTGAAGGTGTGGCTAGAGTTGTTCCACCACCAGTGACAACCATAGAGTTAGTGTGATCTTGTTGTAATGAGTCTTCAAATACATTCAACGGACCAACAACAAGAACTATATTTGTATTGATAGTTTCCCTGTGAGCATTTTCAACAATAATGGCTATAAGTAACTTAGGCAGGTTAGCATCTTGGTCTCCACGGAAAGTAAGGTAGAAGTTTACATGATCTGAACCATCAGTGAAGTCAGTGCTATAGTGTAAAGAAATAGAAACAAAGTTTTATTGCTGAAGAGGTAACAAGTCAAAAAGTTATTTTTAACAAAATACTAAATTAATAAAATTAATGGCTCTTCTAAAAGGAGCTCCACTGAGGTCAAAAAGCCTAAAAACATAAACTTTAAATTCTTGCATAGATCAAGTGATTAACTAAAAGTGGATGAAGAAATATACTTAGAGTTAAATTGAAAATTTAATTTTAACCATGATTTTTGCCAAGTTTGAGTGAAAAGCATTGCAATGTTTTTCAATTTTTGGTCATTAAATATTTATCATGGGAAGAAAACTGGGAGAGAGAATAAAATGAAATTTTGGATACAAGTTATCAGTTCAGACCTACAACAAATGGTATAAAAATCTCAAAAAAAAAAAATCAGTCCCTACATGTCAAAAACTCTTAGTGGAGTCCCTTTCAATTACCTACCAAATTATCATTAACACTTAAACATAATTACAATATCAAAATACTTACTAGAATTTTTGTACATCACATGACAGATAGTCTTGGAAACGACTCTTGTAGCTCTTGTCCAACTGGAAATAAACAAAATATCCATTATAACCATTCACATTATGACATAATCTGAATTTTATATACATCATCATACTGTGTTCTAACAGAAAACTGGTGTGTACATCATCACACCATATGAGAACAATCATTAATATGTGTTAGAACAATAAACCAAGAGTCTATGACTGAGATGCTTGTATTATAATTTGCAAGCAGCATTTTACAGATATCATTTTCTACTTAAAATCTACACTCAGCAAAATAAAAAACTTTACATGGACTTAAAATGGGCATATTTCAATTTCTTATTGGTGTATCCAGATAAATCTGATTACATTTTATTCCTCTGAAATTTTGCTTTGAGTTACTCACATTTTTGTAAATCTAACCAAAAGAAACAATTTATACACTAACAAATTCTGACCTAGGGGTCCGAATTAAAAATACAGGGATGAAAGGCGATAGTAAACGAGACTTTTGAGATTCTGAATCTTTGAATTAAAACCAATATTGCTTATCAGAACAACTCGGTAATGTGTGTGGCAATACAAGCTGAAATTCACCTCCTCATTGGGTGAACGCCTGATTAAGGCGTTGGGCAAGGTCCGCTATTCACCCGGCAGTGCCGGTGACAGGTTGTTAACGTTTATTTCCTCACTCTTCGCCCAAGTTCATCCCAGATATGGTCAATGGGATTCATATCCAGGAAGAGAGCGGGCCAGGGCAAGACGTTAGCATGGTTATAAGAGCTAGAAAGTTGGCTTTTAAACAGGCAGTGTGTGGTCTTGCATTGTCTTGCTGGAAAGTTAAGCCAGGACTACGAGTCTACATGAATAATAAAAGAGTGTTTGCCAGAATATGCAAATAACCCTGTGCTGTAAGGTTGCCATGCACAACCACAAGCTCCGCCTTCCGGTCCCCCATAATCCCTCACCATACAATCAAACTTTTCCTCCAAACCTATCCCTTTCCCAAATGCAACATTGTGTTAAACGTTCATTTCTGCAACTATTCGCACCCTTCTGTCAGCATGACTTACTCTTAATCGAGATTGGGCACTGAAAATAACCGGACCCCACTGGTTTCATGTCCAGCGTAAGTGATGCTGTGCCCAGGCCTACCTGGCGACCCTATGGCGGGGTCTCCTGAGTATCTGACCAGTATATGGTCTGTGGCACAAATTGGACAGGGGATTGCATAAGGTGATTCCAGATAGTTTGGGCACTGACACGTAGCTGCAGAACAGTAATTGAAGCAGGCAAAAACTGGTTGCCAAGGTGATTCAGCTTAATGTTCGTCCCTTAGTGACTTCACACAAGGTGCACCAGATCTCAGACAATCATGACCGGATCCAGTATTACCGAGATGTGTACTAAGACTTTGAATTGTTTGCATAAAGCAGCCAAAATGCTGTGTATGTCCATAACCCGAGCACCTGCTTGCAGCATCCCAATAGACTAATTACGTTGATTTTGAGAACTGTGGCATGGCTGCTGAAAGTCTTAAGATTTAACAATAATGTTTTTTCTAAGCTGTGAATAAGAGCAAAAGTTTCTGTGTATGAGATTATTTGAGGTGTGCCCTGTGTTAAAAACCGGAAATCAGCGTCTAAGTTGCCAGTGCACGAGATTATCAAGTTTGTGTAGTGTATCAACAGGTAAATAATATGAGGTAGACTTGCTTATCACAAATGATGTGTATGCACTGAAATTCAGGTTTACAAAATGTAAAGTTTCTTTTTTTGCTGAGTGTATTATAAGTAACAGAATATGTATGCAAACATGGTTTATTTTTAAAATTTACATTTTCCGGAGGTAGAGATTTGAACATTTACACACATTGAATTACATAAATATGTACTTTTATTTCATATGTTATAAAACACAACCAAACTGAACTTTCATTGTTGTGATGTTCCAATAGAAAAATCATTACTGGATCAAATATAGCCTTGTTTTCAAATCAAAGTCCAAAAGTTCAATATCAAATGCATATCGTATCCTAAATAGTTTGGTTTCATTTTCAGAGTCCAAAACATCTTTATCAAATACATAACATACTCCATCTAGTCTCCTTTCATTTTTTGGAAACTTATGAAATTCTCATCAAAGCATGTCTAAAATGGTGGTGTGTAATAAAGCAGTCATTACATTGTTGAGCACAATACTAATTCTATCATATACACAGTTGCAACACCAATATAAGACTTTCCCTGTGCCTTGTTATAGACAACTGTATACTTGTCCAATACAAGTCAGTTTTGTACTTAACAATATATAACCCAATATTATCACACAAAAACAACAGACAAAATATGGTTATTAGATTGATATACAATGTACATCAGTAAACTATTGTACTTACATATTGACAGAATTTTGATGCTATTGCCTGGAATTCTGCACTGTTTTTATTTTGCATGGCTGGTGACATTGAAAAGTTCAATAAGCGGAATGTCATATTGACAATGGTATTCACTGGAATATATCAAATATCAAACATCAAGGTGAAACATTTTAACAACACAAGTGTGTCATGGTAAGGAGACAAACATTATTATTATAATACATGACCAGGTAAGTCTAACATTATAAAAACAGTTTATAAAAAACCTTTTCATTTGTGTTAAAATAAAGTTAAAATATTGTCATATATACAATACTTGTGTATCAAAACAGATTTCAAGCTTTTCCAACTGTAGAACCAGGCTAAAGTAATCAATTCTTGTTTCCTAGAGGAACAAAAGTCTTTACAAACAATTTATTATATTTGAAAGGTAGAAAGTTACCTTCACTTGGAGGAGTAGTTGTTATCAGATTTATGAGATAATCTGATATATTAATTTTAATTTCATCAAATAAGAGCTCATTTGTGAGTAACTGCTCCCCAATGAGCTGCCACTTGTTGCCACCAAAGTCATATACTTCAGTGTTAGCTGCTATCAAGTCATCTATTTCAGATTTAATGAGTGGTTCTGTGCCATTAAATACCATAGAGTATGTGAATGAAACGGGAGCCTCAGGATCTTGGTAATTTTGTCTGAAACAAATATTTTCAATTTCTTTAATAATCAAATTTACTTAAAACAATTTTTAAGCACATGTTAAAATCTATAAAGTTTAACAAGCCTATCAGTATTAATGTGTCAAATTCTGTGCAATACAAAAAATTAATGGCCCAAACAATTTAATAAAATTATTATGGAAATCTAAAATATATATAAACAAAAATGCCTACTTGAAATTGTCAATAAAGCATCTGTAATATCTTTCTTTTAAGGCATTACCAGACACAGGTTGCTTCCGGAACATTTTGTCAATCTGTAAAATACGTATGATTCTACATGTTTATAAAACTACATATATTAAAACTACATGTACTTAATTTAATTAATTAAACATATATGTTAACATAGTAAGACTATTTTATCTCTCACATGTATTAACAACCCTCATATTTATCTTATAAATTACATATTATCTGGTTTACTGTATCTGTTGTCTAGTAGGGAGAACAAGTTTATCATGTATCTACATCTATTTCTATATACTAGTCTTATCATAATGAGGTATTTTATATCAAGCATCACATCTAGATCCTGAATAGTTTAAATAATTTCTTATATAAATATTATATTAAATAATTACTTATATAAATAGTATATTAAATAATTTCTTATATAAATATTATATTAAATAATTTACTATATAAATATTATATTACATAATTTCTTATATAAATATTATATTAAATAATTTCTTATATAAATATTATATTAAATAATTTCTTATATAAACATCATATTAAATAATTTCTTTTATTATATACTTATAAATGAAATATTGAGAAATATTGATGATATAAAATGCGTATTTTTCATTTTCCGTATTTTCACTGTAAAAATTAATTTTCAGTTCAGTGAAGCATATTTTCCGTATATTCACTGGTGTCTTGCCGGACTACTTTCTTTTAAATTCTGCCATTACACAAAATTTAAGGGAAAGTCTTTCAAATTTTATAGCAAAAAAGAGAAAAATATATATAATAAACAGAAAATTCAAGTTTTTTCTATAAATTCATGATTTATTTTCATCTTGTGGCATGAAAATTACCATATTTCATTCGTGGCTACCGCCACTTATGAAATATTTATTTTCATACCACTCGATGAAAATAAATCATGTATTTATAGAAAAAACTTGAATATCCTCTATATATAAATATTATATTAAATAATTTCTTATATAAATATTATATTAAATAATTTCTTATATAAATATTATATTAAATAATTTCTTATATAAATATTATATTAAATAATTTCTTATATAAATATTATATTAAATAATTTCTTATATAAATATTATATTAAATAATTTCTTATATAAATATTATATTAAATAATTTACTATATAAATATTATATTACATAATTTCTTACATAAATATTATATTAAATAATTTCTTATATAAATATTATATTAAATAATTTCTTATATAAATATTATATTAAATAATTTCTTATATAAATATTATATTAAATAATTTCTTGTATAAATATTATATTAAATAATTTCTTATATAAATATTATATTAAATAATTTCTTGTATAAATATTATATTAAATAATTTCTTATATAAATATTATATTAAATAATTTCTTATATAAATATTATATTAAATAATTTCTTGTATAAATATTATATTAAATAATTTATTATATAAATATTATATTAAATATGAGAACATAGAGAGACAATTCCTACCACACCAGAGAACTGGAAACATCAAACCAACATATTGTATTATACTATGATAAAACATACCAGTGGCTGATATAAATTACTTTATACAATAATTTCTTTAACAATCATTCTTACAAGATCATGACATATCATAATAACAAAAAAATATAGCTTCATATTTATGATTTCATCATCAAGGTAATCTGACCCTTGTTGTAATCCAATATAATATTCTTTATAATACAATTTTTATTTTTTATCTCTAAAATAGGGCGGGACAAGTAAATTCAGAAATTTAAGGTAGGAAAATTTCTTCTTCAAACAAAGTTTTTCTCATACCCCTTTAAATTTTTGGGGACTCCTGTTCCAAAGAAATTTCTCATTCTCCATGGTAACCCATAGTTTTTCTAGTAAATTGGTCAGCCAGGCATCTATAGGTAAAATGTTTTATTTATAAGCTAATTCTTCAATATACCAATCTGTAGTTATGATCATACTTTATAACAAGAAAGGGACTAACACATAAAAAAATTAGCTTTTAGTAAAGTGACTAAACAAAATGTTGTTATTTTTAAAAAAAAAAAAAAACATTTGTTATGTCATCGCACAGACTTAAGTGTTGCATTTGTCCTATTACATTGTATTTGTCCATACAAATTCAGTATCTAAATAATGTTTAATGAGCAGGATATGTATATATATCAATCAAAATATCATTTATGTAAATATATTTGTATATCTGTAAACAAATGTTATGTGTCAGTGAAAAAAACAACAACAATATTTGTGTTAAAAAGATGTAGTAAATGTTAACACATTAAAATGTGAGTGAAAATTTCAGTGAGATGTTTAAAATTATATAAATGGACTGTAATCATATGTAAAAATATAAAGTACCAAAGGGTATGTTATCCTGGTATAGTAACAAATCAGCGTAATAAACAAGCAGGTCACCAATCAAATGCCCAACAGCCTCATTGTATCTGTATCTTGGAGTGTCCTCAAATATCACTGTGGCAACCAGCTGCTGCATTTCAGGAACAGAGAGACGTCCAGTAAATTCAAGCATGACCTCAATGGTTACAGGATTATTGCTATCAAAATTAAAAAAAAAACAATCATGAATTTTTTACTACAATAATAAACTTACATATTCAAAATCAAAATATATATTAACCTTTTCCCTCATAAAGACGTGTTTTGACGGCTTTATGCCACCTTCCCCCCCCTTTTTTGAGGCTTCAAACAGTGAAAAAATGCCCTATTTAGGCCCCAAACACTGTTTTTGCTCGAGAAATGTTGTTAGAAAAGTGACCACTTTTTCGGCGCCGCCCCCCATCAAAATGGTACATCAGGGGGTTGCCAGAAGGGGGATTGGCCCCCCTTTTGTTTGGGGGGTTTAAAGGGGGGCGGCAGTCCCCCTCATCGCCAAGAAAATTTTGGACATGTGACAGGCTATAAATGACCCCAGGTCGATCTTAAAAGCCTACTCTTTCTCAATGCATTGAGAAGTTGCAGCACTTTGAAATCAATTTTGATGGAAAAAATCAAAGCAAAATACGAAAATAGTGATTTTTGGCAACATTGAGATGTCCCCTCGTTGCCATGGTAACAGAAAATTTACGATTGAGCATGCTGTTACAGAGGCCATGGTCTAGTCAACATTTGTGCCAAGTTTCATCAGTATTGAAGCATTTTTTCATAGTTTCATAGCAGTTTGTCGTGAACTTGTAACAGGAGGCTTTCAATGAAAACGGCCATTTTTCACAATATGCTCATGGGGTAAAAGGTTAACAAAAAATAAATAATGTTGCATTGTATTTTTTAACAAATCCATCTTTTGAAAAATTCATTTTCCCAAAATTTTACTCATGTGGAGTTCAGATTTAATTATAACATGAGATTATTTTACTGAAGTTGGATTTATTACTTAAAATTGTCTCTAACAGCTCGCTTTCTGTCAAATTTTAAAATTTGTTGATTTGCCTCTGAATCACTTTTCTTTATTTCAACTGGTAATAATACCAATTTTAAATATGGGTATAACCAATATTGAAAAAAAAAACCAAAGTGCTCAGTACAGCTTGAGATGGGTTTTAAAAGAAACCAGTTACCCAAAAAGCAATTGATATATCACATGAAATTGTTTTGGCTAAATATACACAATGAACCAATATATTATATAACAAAAATTTGATAAAAATGCATTGCAAAAAAAGTCTCAAAACTTTTCAGACATCTCTAGAACTTATCATATTAATAACATATACAGTAAAAGCAAATATTACAGATAATGCAGCGATACACTTTGTGAGAAATATATTTTAGGCAAAAATAATATGCCAAATATAATATATAGTTACCCAAATTCCACAACTTTACACTTTTCATATGTAGGGAATAAATCTTTCCTTGCATTCAGCAGCTTGTCAATCTATAAGGAAATGAAAACATTTGAATTTATTTATTTTTGTTTTATATGAACCAGTACCTATGTTATACAAGCTTTTATAATTCCTATTATGTTTTATTGCACTGAACTATTTTATATAAAAACAAGAACGTGTTTGTTAGACACAAATGCCCAGGCTCAGATTCTTGTAAGTAACAATATTTAAAAAAAATATTTACCCATTCAATCAGTTAAGGACGGAAAATAGTAAAAAAAACAATGTAAGCACAGTTATATAACTTGACAGAGCCATGGCGTTTTGTAAATGTGAAAAATATAAGTTGTCAAGTCATTGCTATGACTTGTGATGAAGCCAAACCAAATATGAAAGACATCTGTTCGTAAATACATCTATCAATAAATAAAGGCTGTATGGGAAAAAGTGTAAAAATCTATTTTTAGCACTGGTGACCTTCAGAAGAAAAAAAACCATGATAGTTATCTTCCTATCGAATATGAAAAACATTTGTTAATAAATAAAGGGTGTATGAGCAAAAGTGTAATTTGTTTGTTTGTTTAATTGGGTTTTACGTCAAACCGACACATCATAGGTCATATGGCGACGTTCCAGCTTCACTGGTGGAGAAAGACCTCAGGTGCCCTTTCGTCTTTCGTGCATTATTTCAGGCACGAATGGGAACTCGAGTAGAACCAATGACATTCCCTAAGCTAGCTGAAAGAATCCAAAGTCCCTATCAGGATTCAAACTAACAGCCGTGAGGGGCAAGTGGTTTGAAGTCAATGACCTTAACCACTCGGTCATGGACGCCCCAGCAAAAGTGTAAAAATCTGTTTTTAGCACTGATGACCTTGACCCAACTGACCTTGAACTTCATCCGAAGAAAAAAAAAAAATTTTTATATGCCTACAAAATATAAGAGACATCAGTCTGTCAATAGAAGAAGGTTAATACACCTTCAAGTTTAAAAATATCTTTTTGACATTGGTGACCTTGACCCAAATAACCTAACTAAACCCAAAGGAAGAGGACCTCCCTAAGCAGTTTGTATAAAATATGAATGACATCAACTTAAAAATAAAGGCTGTATGTGCAAAAATGTTTTAATTTGTTTTTACACCAGTGACCTTGACCTTGACCATAGGGGCCCCTTTCTCTGAGGACCATTTAAGGTATTCACCTACCAAATATGAAAGCTATAAATAAAGTAATTAGGAGACATTCAAGATAAATCCAACTTGCTGGAATAGGTTAACCATACAAGGCCCTATTTTTGGAAATAACTGGAAAAAATGGATGGCACAGTTATATAACTTGGCAATATCATGTACTTTGTATTGGTAAGTAAGTGTGGTAATTATGAAGCTATTAGTATAGATAGAACTTAAGATATATCCAACTTGCCATTTTAGGTTAACCAATTATTCATTTTCTAAGTGCTGAAAAGGGCAATAACTTGGTAAAAATGGAAGCCATAGTTATGTTACTTGCCCAGATCATGTACATTGTGTTGATAAATAAGTGGGTAAAGTATGAAGTCATTGGTATAGTTAGTACTTGCTACCAACTTGCTGTTTTAGGTTAGCCTCGTACGAACGGACAGACGGCCGGTCGGTTCAATTACTATATGCCCGGGGGCATAAAAATTCTTTTACTTATAATTATGTAAAACCCTGTATTATGGACATCATTAGAATCAGATAAAATAAATATAATGTATTATACATGTATTTTAAACCAGAAAATGATAAAATGTCAAACTCTAACTGCATAGCCTAAAATAAAGTAGAGGTCACACTGTAACATCAATTCAGCATGTCCAGGCTATACATTGTTGGCTAAAATCAACTTTACAACTTTAATTACTTATAAAATGTTAATGACTGTCCCAAATTTCAAAGACAGGAAAATTTATACATTACATAAATTCATATGACTTAAAAATCAGTAATGTACAGATTGAGTAAACTTCTCCATTCAATTAAAATACATGTCAGAACATACATCATTACAAAAGCGTTCTGCATGTAGCCGATATCGGGGTGAAAACTCGCTGGAAAGGTCTGAGCTCCAGGTCAGATTGAGGACACGAAACTTGAGAGGTACTTCTGTGAACTCTGAAAAGTTCTGATAGTAGATGAGGAGATCACCAAGATTATAGCCAAGCCACCTATCATAGCGTATCTTAGGTAAATCTTTGTACAATATGTTGTTAAAATCTGTCTGTAGCTTGTCAGGATTTAGGTCCCCTTCAAATTTTAAGTCAAAATTAACTCTATCAGGACTTCCACTGAAATTGAGAATAATTTAGTCAAGAAATAAAATTTTCATTATTAAAGGCTTGAGACCAATATAAATAAATAAACAAAATCTCATGCGAACAAAAATAATTGGAAAAAGTCTCTTTCTTTCTCTTGAATTATTGGGTACATATTTATCTATATAACAAATGATAATTATATAAGATAAGAACATATAATAAGATACTGTTAAACATACGGGAAAGAATCCACAGTGCATTCAATGTAACTTGGAAACTTGTCTGGATTTGCCCTCATCAAAGCATCCACCTGAAAAAGCAAATATACTTATTAACTTTTCAGCAAATACTGTAACTCAATTTGTATTCGTGAATATATTTTTTTTGGTGTTTTGTCCTGATTCTACACATTCACATTTGTCAAAGTCCCAGGTGGTGAGTCCCAGGGGTTGTCAAAAAGTAATATAGTTATATTTTATTAGTGAATTGTGAATACAAGTTCTCTTCCGCAATCAGGCATTTCTTGCAGTCTTACCTAACTGAGCTAACAATTCAGTAAATATCAATATTTACCATGTATTAATAATTAGGTTGTAATAACCCGGTTTGTTACATCGACAACAATAATTATTGAAATACTTAACAGTATTTCACAAACAGTTATTGCAAATGCATTAAAACAGTTTAATACAAGATCCATATAGTATACGGACAGCGTGATTGACATATCAGACACTAAACTACAATGGGCACATTTTCATTTAATAATACAATAGGAGATTTATATGTTTGTAAATAAAGTATAAAAAAGTAGTTTATCAGTTAACATGTTTGAGTTGTTTATATTAACATATATTTTGTTACTTTGTTCATTATACAATAACAATTTGACTGTGTTGAATATATAAGGTAACTTACATCAGAACAGAAGAGCTGCTCATTCTGCTTGAATGTAAAACTTTCCGGATTATTAAAGTCAGGTGTTCTTGAGAAATTCAGTAATTCCTTGCTTAGTTTTAAACTTGTTGTTGTGTAATTGTCTAGGAAGAAAAGGATGTCTCCAACCTCAAGACCCAATGCGTCACCGTAAACACGCCTTGGAAATGACTCATATATGAGCCCTTTGGCATTTTCTACAGTTCCTGGAGGTACATTACCCTTAAATTTGATGTCCCACTCCATACGTGTTGGGTTATTTCTAAAATATAAAACAATGTTTAATTACATGTTTGCATGCTTATATGTACTTTTATGGAGATTTGCTAACCAGCTGGTATTAGGGAAAAGTCATATTTTCAAATGAGAATCTGATGATGACATATTATACAAATGCAGACATTTTACCTAGTGAATATTATGTGATATGTATTGAAAAACATGACTGACTGAGGTAATAGCCCAGGTTGTAATTTTTTAATTTCAGTAAATATCGCATCATATTCACCAGCTTAAATTTCCACATGAAATGTATTAAAAGATTTTATATGGCTTATCAAATATAAACAACTTACTTGAAAGCTGTCACCACGCAGTCAGCATAATCTGGGAATCTACTTCTATGAGTTGACATCATCTCATTTATCTATTAATTTGTACAAAAATCAAAAACAACATATTAAAAAGTTTCCTTCAATACTGACACAGACAGGTTAAAATTAACATAATCAACACATCAATATATTCTGTTTTTCAAATGCAGAAAACTGTGCAGAATTAAATCATATCATTGATTATACCATGTTATAGTTTATTATGAAGAATCAAATCATATCATTGATTATACCATGTTATAGTTTATTATGAAGAATCAAATCATATCATTGATTATACCATGTTATAGTCAAATCATATCACTGATTATACCATGTTATAGTCTATTATGAAGAATCAAATCATATCACTGATTATACCATGTTATAGTTTATTATGAAGAATCAAATCATATCATTGATTATACCATGTTATAGTTTATTATGAAGAATCAAATCATATCATTGATTATACCATGTTATAGTCAAATCATATCACTGATTATACCATGTTATAGTCTATTATGAAGAATCAAATCATATCATTGATTATACCATGTTGTAGTCAAATCATATCACTGATTATACCATGTTATAGTTTATTATGAAGAATCAAATCATACCACTGATTATACCATGTTATAGTCTATTATGAAGAATCAAATCATATCACTGATTATACCATGTTATAGTCTATTATGAAGAATCAAATCATATCACTGATTATACCATGTTATAGTCTATTATGAAGAATCAAATCATATCACTGATTATACCATGTTATAGTCTATTATGAAGAATCAAATCATACCACTGATTATACCATGTTATAGTTTAATATGAAGAATCAAATCATATCACTGATTATACCATGTTATAGTCTATTATGAAGAATCAAATCATATCACTGATTATACCATGTTATAGTCTATTATGAAGAATCAAATCATATCACTGATTTTACCATGTTATAGTTAATATGAAGAATCAAATCATATCACTGATTATACCATGTTATAGTCTATTATGAAGAATCAAATCATATCACTGATTATACCATGTTATAGTCTATTATGAAGAATCAAATCATATCACTGATTATACCATGTTATAGTTTAATATGAAGAATCAAATCATATCACTGATTATACCATGTTATAGTCTATTATGAAGAATCAAATCATATCACTGATTATACCATGTTATAGTTTAATATGAAGAATCAAATCATATCACTGATTATACCATGTTATAGTCTATCATGAAGAATCAAATCATATCACTGATTATACCATGTTATAGTCTATTATGAAGAATCAAATCATATCACTGATTATACCATGTTATAGTTTATTATGAAGAATTAAATCATATCATTGATTATACCATGTTATAGTCTATTATGAAGAATCAAATCATATCACTGATAATACCATGTTATAGTTTATTATGAAGAATCAAATCATATCACTGATTATACCATGTTATAGTCTATTATGAAGAATCAAATCATATCACTGATTATACCATGTTATAGTCTATCATGAAGAATCAAATCATATCACTGATTATACCATGTTATAGTCTATTATGAAGAATCAAATCATATCACTGATTATACCATGTTATAGTCTATTATGAAGAATCAAATCATATCACTGATTATACCATGTTATAGTCTATTATGAAGAATTAAATCATATCACTGATTATACCATGTTATAGTTTAATATGAAGAATGAAATCATATCACTGATTATACCATGTTATAGTCTATTATGAAGAATCAAATCATATCACTGATTATACCATGTTATAGTTTAATATGAAGAATGAAATCATATCACTGATTATACCATGTTATAGTCTATTATGAAGAATCAAATCATATCACTGATTATACCATGTTATAGTCTATTATGAAGAATCAAATCATATCACTGATTATACCATGTTATAGTTTAATAATTATGAAGAATCAAATCATATCACTGATTATACCATGTTATAGTCTAATATGAAGAATCAAATCATATCACTGATTATACCATGTTATAGTCTATTATGAAGAATCAAATCATATCACTGATTATACCATGTTATAGTCTATTATGAAGAATCAAATCATATCACTGATTATACCATGTTATAGTTTATTATGAAGAATCAAATCATATCACTGATTATACCATGTTATAGTTTATTATGAAGAATCAAATCATATCACTGATTATACCATGTTATAGTCTATTATGAAGAATCAAATCATATCACTGATTATACCATGTTATAGTCAAATCATATCACTGATTATACCATGTTATAGTCTATTATGAAGAATCAAATCATATCACTGATTATACCATGTTATAGTTTATTATGAAGAATCAAATCATATCACTGATTATACCATGTTATAGTTTATTATGAAGAATCAAATCATATCACTGATTATACCATGTTATAGTTTATTATGAAGAATCAAATCATATCACTGATTATACCATGTTATAGTTTATTTAAATGTACTTACGTCTTTACAAAACAGCATTGCATGCCTTTGGAACTTGGACGATGTGTTGAAAGCAAGGTCTGGAGTATATGTTAGGTTCAGTGTTGGGAATGAAATTTTGAATGCAGTTTGTATTCCTGTAATAAATAAACAGAAATTGTGGGAATACTTTCAAGTATAACTATGTCTATGTTTTCCAATATTTAAAACTAAGTGCATGATTGTCATGTAGAATGTCGTCAGATATGATGTGTTTGATCTATAATTGATTCACAACTACATTTACAATTACTTCATGATAAAATTATAAGAACTTGCAAGTGATTCTTATTGGCTGTTAACTTCTTTCAACATGCAGCTAGTATTATTACACAAACTTTATTACACAAACTGAAAATTCAAGTTCTAAAGTTGTTTATTAAAAAATACTGTCAATTATAATGCAATTATAACATAAACTTTCATCATTTGATAAATTATAAAAAGAGTTGGATGATTAATTATATTACTAACCATTCTCACAATTTGGTCCTGTATAGTCAGGAAGACATATACAGACATAGGATCCAAAATTATTAATACAGCTTCCACCATTCAAACATGGGTTCACAGCACACTCATTGATGTCTAACAAACAGATTTCATATAACATTATTTAGTATATTCTTGTATAGTATTAAACATAATAATGGGCATTAACCCTTTCGCTGCCAGAGGGTTATTGTTTTATTGATAACCTATTTGCCAGAGGATTTTCTAAGAAATTACTATATTATTAATTAATATAATTATTATTATTATTTGTTATTAGTATTATAATAATTATATATGTTTCTAAATATGCTAGTATAATAATAATTATTGTCGATGGTATAATTTTCTTTATATTTATTATTATCTTTATTATTATTATTAATTTATTATTATTATTATGATTATTAAAGAAATGGCAAAAGCCGTCCATATGGCAAATACGCCGAAAATAACAGGGACGGCATAAGCCATCCCTATGGCAGTGAAAGGGTAAGGAAAATTATACATATTTCCTGCACACTATACAGTGATTACGAGCAACTCTTGTGTAATAAATGTGATAACTTCAATACCTATATTATAGTGAATGTCTACACAAAAATCATCATATATTTTATATTAAAATAAGAAATAATGTGACAATATTTAACTACAGCAGTTGAATTTGATATAGAAATGTAAATGTTAAATTGTGACAGTGTTATAAGACAAGTGTTTACCTGCTGTACATAATTGTCCAGTATAACCTGGTGGACATATACATTCATATCCTCCTATTGTGTTGATACAGGTAGCACCATTCTCACATCGAGACAGACCCATAATACATTCATTCACATCTACAATAGTTCATAAAATACAACTACTTTCAAAAACTCCATATAAGAAATCAAATGAGAAATTACATACTCAATATTTTTACAAACTAGAAATATGTCCACAATACAGCTGGACATTGGATAGAACAAGGGCAACCCTCAGAAACCTTAACAAAAAAATAAGCCTCACCATTTTCACAATGTGTACCAGTCCATTGTTGGGGACAGTTACATAGATATGATCCCTGTGTGTTTATACATGTACCTCCATTCTTACATATACCCTGCTCTAAACATTCATCCACATCTGAAATGTTAACATTTATAACATATAGTTGATAATAAGATAACTCATATTACTATAAACTTGTACAGTACAACCTCTTTAAACCAAACAACTTCCTAACAAGTACTTCTGCAATAATAATGCAATATTAAAATTTTGCTTTGTAAAGCAAAACTCAATATTTGAGAATCCTAGTAGTGGTTAATAATTTATTTCATTATAAGACAGATACAGTCAGATCAATAAGCCATTAATGATGTTCACGTGTATTTTTAAATTTTCTGATCACAGATCAGGAAATACAATGCTGACATTCAATCTCTGGCACAGAATTTCACGACAAACCTAACAACAAGTACATGTAGTTCTCAAAACAGCTTAAACCTAGAGATGTAAAAAAAAGAAATATTTTCATTTTGTTACAAGTATCTAACAAATTACAACGCATTCCAAGTTTAAAAGTAGGGTTGACTTATAGAATTGTCAATAAATGCACAATTACAAATTATGCGGATGAATGTCATTTTAATCAATAATAATGCTATTTTTAGCGATGTTGATTACCGATTACTTCAGAGCATTAGTACACAAATAAATATGACTGTCGAGTAGTGGAATATATACATGTCGGACTGTTTTGGCGAGAAGATTTTTGCTAAATTATTTACATCAGTGTTAAACAACAGGTTTATCGTGAACAAAATACCTCGAAATTAATAAGGATTAAAAACCCAAAATGGAAATTCTAAATGTAGAATTGTTTGATTTTATTCAGGCTTTCTTTGTGTAACTTCCCCGTGGTGCAGGGGTAATGTGCTTGTTTAGGGTGTGAGAGGTCTGGGGTTCAAATCCCAGTCAAGGCAACTATTTCTTTTTTTTTAAAGGAAGTAGCCACGATATGCAAGGAAAATGTGTGCTGTCATAAATAAATAAACATAAATGATTTTTTGATGCAACTCTAGTCATTTCTGTATGCATCAAACTCAAACTGTTATAGTAAAAAATCTAAATGCAGTCGCTGCATCTCGGTGCCCTGTTAGACAAATGATAGTATATAAAAATAAACTCATACAGGAAAATACATACAGATATACAGTACGATTTAGATTGCAAAGATCAGAAAATACCACAGAGCTTGCAGCCCTTTGATCATTTATTGTTGTGTTACACTCACCTCGTTCACAGTTTACACCAGTACGACCAGCAATACACTGACACACATAAGATCCAGGTGTATTAAAACACGAGGCACCATAAAGACATGGGTTTGTCAAACATTCATCCACATCTGAAACAATTAAACTTTCTATGTAAATATACAATGTAAACAAGTATAACCACAAATATAGTATGCTTACATGCAAGTTAAAATACAAAATAAAATATATTTATAACAGTTTAGGAAAATAGACATTGTTTTACAATATTTATTTTTTTGTTCTACTTTCAAATATGACAATTTGCTTACAACTGTTTTATTATAAATTTTTGATACTTATAAACTTCAAATAACAATCAGTGGTCAAGATTCATCAAATGTTTAACAAACGATTAATAATTAAAGTAATTTTAGTGATAATTCAGTATTTAGATAAAAACAGTTTCAAGTGTGGAAATCTTTGATATAATATAAGTTTGTGGTTGTTTAAAATAATTTAGAAAGAGGAACATTATTGACCTGTTTCACAGTTTTTCCCTGTATATCCCACAGGACAACGACATGTGTATGAGCCAGCATTGTTAATACATGTAGCACCATTTAAACAAGGATTTGTTAAACATTCATCTATATCTGTAACATTTAAAGTCATAGCTATTAATATGTTTAAATATACAAAAAAATATATATATAATTGTTGACCATCACATGACTTAAACAGACTTCCAGCAAGCTGAATTAATATATTATACATGTATGTACATGTATTTTATGAGGGATGTTTGTGAAGTATTATCAATCTAAAAGATACCAACTATAGCACTACATTAAGGAGATAAGGCATTATCTGTATGTAGTATCTTATCTGTATTATAAGTATGTAGTATTAATTCATCATCAGTTTTTCATATACAAACATATGTTTTAAAGTTATGTAAGATATGTGCCTTACTTTTCATTGATGACCCCAACACAGGGAGCACATGTGAATTCCATCACAGCTGATTATAGTATCCTCTTATGACAATAAACATGTGCACCAAGTTTGAAGTAAATAGCTTTTATAGTTTCTGAGAAAATGATATTTTTATGAACCTTTATAAAAAGGTAAACCAATGCCACAGCTGACACCAACAAGAAGGTCATGACAATAGCTCCACTTTTTTCTCTTGAGTCGAGCAAATAAGACTAACAAAATTGTTCTGTTAATTTTCTATGAACAAAAGAGCATTTGTATTTGCAATGATCTCTTTTTTTACCATAGTCTAACAATGCTTATCACAAAATGATTTAATGTATTACCTATCTCACAATTAGGGCCGGTCCAGCCTGCTGGACAGTAGCATGTATAAGAACCTTCATTATTATAACATGTTCCACCATTGATGCAAGGATTTTGCACACATTCATCATAATCTAGAAAAATAAAATTTTTAAATCATAAAAACAGATAATTTTGACTTATCAAAAGATAATGAAGAAAATGATAAAACATGTATAAGGATATAGTAAGTCACTGACACAAGATCATTAAACTATGTTGTTGGATCATAAAACTATGTTGTTGAGAAAAAATGGGTACATAAAATTAGCAAATTTTACATGCTTTAAGCTTTTTTCAAAAAAAACTTAATGAAAAAGAAAGTAATCCTGACAAAACCTAGTTTGATCAAATACATGTACACTAAAATTCTGATAAAACTTGGCTTTGATGTAAGAGTTAACAACTCTTTGAAACCTCAATATCCATCAAAAGGGAAATCTAAAAATAAATAAATACCTCCATCACAATTTGGTCCTGATCTCCCTGGTAGACAGTTACAAAAATAGGAGCCTACAGTGTTGATACAAGTACCACCAAACTTACAGGGATTGTTAAAACACTCATTTATATCTGTAAAAAGTACATAAAAATGTTCTGATACATGATTTCATGCATTACCTATGTGACATATTTCATCTACCAATAAAACACAAAATTATCTGATTATCTTTAAAGCTTAATAAATTGTGATAATGAAAGGGATAACCTAGTAAGAAAATATAATTATTTTTGTGTTATATATAAGTAGAATCAATTCCAACACCATGTCTGATAAAGTAATATAAACATGTGCTCTTCCATTACATACCTACTGGTACGAGGAACATATTTTAATCAAACACTATCTGAAATACCTACTGATATGAGGAACATATTTAAATCAAACACTATCTGAAATACCTACTGGTACGAGGAACATATTTTAATCAAACACTATCTGAAATACCTACTGGTACGAGGAACATATTTTAATCAAACACTATCTGAAATACCTACTGGTATGAGGAACATATTTTAATCAAACATTATCTGAAATACCTACTGATATGAGGAACATATTTAAATCAAACATTATCTGAAATACCTACTGGTATGAGGATTTAAATCAAACACTATCTGAAATACCTACTGGTATGAGGATTTAAATCAAACACTATCTAAAATACCTACTGGTATGAGGATTTAAATCAAACACTATCTAAAATACCTTCTGGTATGAGGATTTAAATCAAACACTATCTGAAATACCTACTGGTACGAGGAACATATTTAAATCAAACACTATCTGAAATACCTACTGGTACGAGGAACATATTTAAATCAAACACTATCTGAAATACCTACTGGTACGAGGAACATATTTTAATCAAACACTATCTGAAATACCTACTGGTACGAGGAACATATTTTAATCAAACACTATCTGAAATACCTACTGGTACGAGGAACATATTTTAATCAAACACTATCTGAAATACCTACTGGTACGAGGAACATATTTAAATCAAACACTATCTGAAATACCTACTGGTACGAGGAACATATTTAAATCAAACACTGTCTGAAATACCTATTAATATGAGGATTTAAATCAAACACTATCTGAAATACCTACTGGTATGAGGATTTAAATCAAACACTATCTGAAATACCTACTGGTATGAGGATTTAAATCAAACACTATCTGAAATACCTACTGATATGAGGAACATATTTAAATCAAACACTATCTGAAATACCTACTGATATGAGGATTTTAATCAAACACTATCTGAAATACCTACTGGTACGAGGAACATATTTTAATCAAACACTATCTGAAATACCTACTGGTACGAGGAACATATTTTAATCAAACACTATCTGAAATACCTACTGGTACGAGGAACATATTTAAATCAAACACTATCTGAAATACCTACTGGTACGAGGAACATATTTTAATCAAACACTATCTGAAATACCTACTGGTACGAGGAACATATTTTAATCAAACACTATCTGAAATACCTACTGGTACGAGGAACATATTTAAATCAAACACTATCTGAAATACCTACTGGTACGAGGAACATATTTAAATCAAAACACTATCTGAAATACCTACTGGTACGAGGAACATATTTAAATCAAAACACTATCTGAAATACCTACTGGTACGAGGAACATATTTAAATCAAACACTATCTGAAATACCTACTGGTACGAGGAACATATTTTAATCAAACACTATCTGAAATACCTACTGGTACGAGGAACATATTTTAATCAAACACTATCTGAAATACCTACTGGTACGAGGAACATATTTTAATCAAACACTATCTGAAATACCTACTGGTACGAGGAACATATTTAAATCAAACACTATCTGAAATACCTACTGGTACGAGGAACATATTTAAATCAAACACTGTCTGAAATACCTATTAATATGAGGATTTAAATCAAACACTATCTGAAATACCTACTGGTATGAGGATTTAAATCAAACACTATCTGAAATACCTACTGGTATGAGGATTTAAATCAAACACTATCTGAAATACCTACTGATATGAGGAACATATTTAAATCAAACACTATCTGAAATACCTATTAATATGAGGATTTAAATCAAACACTATCTGAAATACCTACTGATACGAGGAACATATTTAAATCAAACACTATCTGAAATACCTACTGATATGAGGAACATATTTAAATCAAACACTATCTGAAATACCTACTGATACGAGGAACATATTTAAATCAAACACTATCTGAAATACCTACTGATATGAGGAACATATTTAAATCAAACACTATCTGAAATACCTACTGATACGAGGAACATATTTAAATCAAACACTATCTGAAATACCTACTGGTACGAGGAACATATTTAAATCAAACAACTGATATGAGGAACATATTTAAATCAAACACTATCTGAAATACCTACTGGTACAAGGAACATATTTAAATCAAACACTATCTGAAATACCTATTGATATGAGGATTTTAATCAAACACTATCTGAAATACCTACTGGTACGAGGAACATATTTTAATCAAACACTATCTGAAATACCTACTGGTACGAGGAACATATTTAAATCAAACACTGTCTGAAATACCTATTAATATGAGGATTTAAATCAAACACTATCTGAAATACCTACTGGTATGAGGATTTAAATCAAACACTATCTGAAATACCTACTGGTATGAGGATTTAAATCAAACACTATCTGAAATACCTACTGGTATGAGGATTTAAATCAAACACTATCTGAAATACCTACTGATATGAGGAACATATTTAAATCAAACACTATCTGAAATACCTACTGATATGAGGATTTTAATCAAACACTATCTAAAATACCTAAGGTCACATGCCAATTCAGAGATTTTCTTTTTCTTACCAGATTCACAATTTATGCCAGTAAATCCTGGTGGACAAACACATTCATATGAGCCTTGCAGGTTTTTACAAATTCCACTATTTAGACATGGATTGTCTGGTATACATTCATTGATATCTGTAAAAACAATATAATTAATGGACAAAATCTATTAATTTATGCTAGCATTCACTGGATTGAAATTACCTTGTAAAATAAAACATTATTGACAATATATAACTTATGTCTAAAACAAACCTACACAGTTTATAATTGCTTGGAAGTACAGATATATTTTTTTTTATTATTATCTTACTGTCTCCATAAAATATCAATATACCATACAGCTATAAAGAACCAACAGAAAATTTACTTTGTGTATATATTTCTACATTAGTTCTAAATAATGACAGGGTTTGGCTTAAATCAAATCTGCAACAATTCATGATTACCTATTAAACAATTTTGCCCTGTCCATCCTGTTGGACATCTACATGTATAACCTCCCTCTGTATTAATACACTGACCACCATTGGCGCATATAGAAAGGTCCTGACATTCATTGTAGTCTACAAAAGAAAATTAAGGTTACCTTCTAAAAGTAATTATTACTATGCATTGTAGTCTACAAAAGAAAAATTTAGGTTACCTTCTAAAAGTAATTATTACTAGTATCTTTTATTTTTCCACTAAAAATTTTTATATGCACATACTTCTTATTTTAGTGCCATTTAGTCAAGTCATAACCCATGTTTCAGAAATAAACAAATTTGACTTTATGTATCATTATAACCCATAGGCAGTTCATCAAAAATATAATACATAGTTTCTTACACTTTCTATAGAGTACCTGAAGGGACATTCTAGTTGCTAATCATAATTATCCAATAGCTAAATGTCAATTGGTTTTTTGTTGTTGTTATTTTTTAATGTTTGCCAATTGCTTATTTTAAATGTCAGATATTCAGTGCAAATTTTTTCTATAAACTTGCATATCCCTTCATCCCTTCATGGATTCATACTTATTTTTTGTGTACACTACATGGATTTCTACATAACTCATTATTATTTATTCACCATCATTCACATACATATTTGTCTGAGCAAAGTGTTGAATTCATTGAGCTCACAGTCAACAACAGTAAGAAGAAAGTATACCTATTTCACAACGTGGACCAATCCATTGGGGTGTACATTGACATGTATATGAACCTAATGTATTGGTACAGGTTCCATCATTTAAACATGGATTCTGAAGACATTCATTTATATCTGTAAATAGATAATACATGTATAACCATAAAATCAGGATGATCTCTTTCTAAATAACCTACCCAAGCTACAGCTACAGTTAATGTTTTTGTTGGAAAATGATATGATATTGGCATGCAGATATGTTATAAGATTTAGACTTTTACATGCCTATAGCAAATCATGATGATTTGTTATAAATCTTGTAAAAATCATTTCCCTCTCTCAGGTATAGTTTTATAAACATACAGTTTAGTGAAAAAATCAACCTGTCATATAATGATTTCTAACAAGTAAATTATACATTGTTAAAAAATTCTACAAACAGAAGCAAAATTTAGATAGTAAATGATGTAAATTTTAAGCTATTTATCTCTGTATTTAAAATGCATTGACATGCAAATATGTTGTATAAGATTTAGACTTTTACATGCCTAAAGCAAATGATGAAGTAATTATGGAAGGAAATTTAACAGCATCATTCAGCAAGCAGATTTCTCTACAACCAGTGACAAATATAAATGTGATATAAACTTTCAGTGTAGTTTTATCTATTATTGTTTTCTATATACATTCAGACTAGTTTTAGGTGGTATTTAGAAATGTTTTAAATACCTTCAGAGAATTTAGGTGACATTTTGTACATTCAGAGTACTTTTAGGTGACATTTACAAATGTTTTTATGTCATCAGGGAATTTTTAGGTGACATTTCTACATGCTATATATATCTCAGTGTATTTATGTGACATTAATACATGTGATATAATCTTCAGTGTAGTTTTAGGTAACATGCATGCAATACAGTCATACCCTAGTTACTCAACAACCATTTATTTATACCTTCAATATATCTTTATGTGACATTTATGCATGTGATATATATACCTTCAGTGCAGTTTTGTCCTGTCCATCCAGTTGCACATTGACAAGTATAGCTTCCAATGGAATTAAAACATTGCCCACCATTCTGACATATACCGAAATATTCCGAACATTCATTAATATCTACAATACACAAACATAATTATGTATAATACTTCAATATCATTATTCTCTAAAATCATTTTTTTCCTTTCTAACTTAACAAAACATAAGTTAATCTATAATCAATTGTGTTTGGATTATTTTTATTATTAATTTACTTTTTCTTATTCAAGATGTTATCATCTTTGTTAGAAATAAAATGATATTAGTTACAGCAGTGATCAAGCACTATTTAATTTACAACACTCATGTCAAAAGCCTTCAACTTAGTTTCTGACGCATAAGAGCTCCAAAGTGGTGTTTAAAAACCAATGTTGATAACCAATATTAATATATCTTACAATTTCAAGAAAATATATATAATGTAATAAAAATTCAATACCTATTCCACAAGTGTCTCCACGGAAACCTGGTGGACACTCACAACGGAATGCGCCTATCTCATTTATACATGTACCTTCATTTAAACATGTGACTGAGAGACACTCATCTATGTCTGGAAATAGAATCTATAATTATTGTCTATCTGACAACATTTGTTCATAAAACAATGGTCACTTCATTTGTCCTACACATTATTAATGGTAAATTCTTATTCTTACATAAAAGTGGAAAAGTTTTATGCTTTCAGATATCTACAAATATAATAAATTTTATTATTGGTGTAGGTGGAAGTATACTTCTGCAGCTGTGTATGAAAGATAATAATATTTATGGTGTTGTTTAAGGGCTATTATTATTTGACAAGTTCACACTAACAAACCTGACTGTACAGTAAAAGAGTGTAAAATAATACATTGATGAATGATCTTCTCATCCTGCTTTTGAATAATATAATGTTTATATTGTTTTATAATAATTATCTCCTTCTTAATGACTAGGTGGATACAACCAAACAATGATGGTCCTAAATATATCACTGTAATAACAAGATCAGTATTACTATATTTATATTGTACCTATTCCACACAGTTCCCCAGTCCAGCCTATATCACAAATACATGTATATGATCCTGGTGTATTAATACAGGTGCCTCCATTGGCACACTGTAAAACATTACATTCATTAACATCCATAGCACAGGTAGAACCAGTCCATCCTGCTGTACAATTACATGTGAACGAACCATCTGTATTAAAGCATGTACCACCATTCTGACATGGCTGTTGAAGACATTCATTTATATCTGAAAACAGTGATAATTATTACAACAATAATAAACATTAAACATTTTTATTACATGCTTTTAGGTGGTTTATAGACATATATCAGTGAAATAAATAACTTATATTTGTCACTGTTTTTAATTTAAGCCTGCTATTACGTTGTTTCAGTAAAATACCAGCGTGCACAGTACTGGAAACCAACTTAATGACATGATGTTGTAAATGATATCACGTTTTATTATTATTTGGTGCAATTTTCATTTAGTTTTAGGTTAAAATGTCTTTTTAAACATTTCTTTGCATATAATAAAAAGAAAATTTGTTTAGTTTAGTGTAAGATCCAAATATATTTCATCTTGTGAACACCAAAACAAATATCCTCTATATAATTTCAACTACTACTTAAAACTTTAACAAAATGTTTCTCAAATGTATTATTAGAAATGTTACACTGTTGTTATATGACAGATGAAAAGTGAGAATGTATTATTAGAAATGTTACACTGTTGTTATATGACAGATGAAAAGTGAGAATGTATTATTAGAAATGTTACACTGTTGTTATATGACAGATGAAAAGTGAGAATGTATTATTTGTTAATTAATGACATAAGGCAATCAACTGTAGTTTTGTTGTAGTAATACATATATTAAGACTACAAATGAAAGGTAGATGTAGTTCTCATTAAACAATGTTAACAGGTGTCAGTATGAAAAGTTTAACTTTTCTACATGTATAGAATAAAACCAATTATTTCTATATAGAAATAACTAAAGTTTATTTTGATGTGAATAATCGGCTTTTTTCTTGGTGCTATTTATAGCACATAATCAGATTTGTTCTGTTATTATTCTGGGGTCGGCTATAGATACCAATCGCAGAATGTACAATTCCTTTCTGTTTTGCTAACTGAAACAAACCAATATGTTTGATTTCTAGTCATAAACTTTGTTTTAGTCATAAACTTGCTTCTAGTCCTTTGTTTCTTAAAATTATTGCTTACATTAAATAAGTGGTGCATGCTATGCTAGAAATGAGTCTGCGAAATAAATTGAAAGTGGTGCAAAGAAATAATTAAATTGATATATAAAGTTATGAATTTGTTTATATTGATTATTCCAATCCATAAATAATCCCCTACTCTCCTAAATATGTATTACTAGTGACTTGCACAGGTTTGAACTTGAAACAGTTCTTTCAATAAGATTTTATTAAAATACTAAAATCATGAAGCAGTATATAAGAGCGTGATCACATTACACTGATTTGTAGGTAAGGACAATATTGGTAGAAGAGGTCCTCTATTATTATATCATGTATATGCAAACACTAAGTAGGTTAAAGTATGATACATTAGTCATGAACTTACCAATTTCACAATTTCTACCAGTCCATCCTGCCTGACATTGACAAGAGTATGTTCCTGCTCCATTATAACATATACCATTGTTTAAACATGGTGCAAATAGTTGACACTCATTGATATCTGTAACATTGTATATGTAATTATATCATTATAACATATACCATTGTTTAAACATGGTGCAAATAGTTGACACTCATTGATATCTGTAACATTGTATATATAATTATATCATTATAACATATACCATTGTTTAAACATGGTGCAAATAGTTGACACTCATTGATATCTGTAACATTGTATATATAATTATATCATTATAACATATACCATTGTTTAAACATGGTGCAAATAGTTGACACTCATTGATATCTGTAACAATGTATATATAATTATATCATTATAACATATACCATTGTTTAAATATGGTGCAAATAGTTGACACTCATTGATTTCTGTAACAATGTATATATAATTATATCATTATAACATATACCATTGTTTAAACATGGTGCAAATAGTTGACACTCATTGATATCTGTAACAATGTATATATAATTATATCATTATAACATATACCATTGTTTAAACATGGTGCAAATAGTTGACACTCATTGATATCTGTAACATTGTATATATAATTATATCATTATAACATATACCATTGTTTAAACATGGTGCAAATAGTTGACACTCATTGATATCTGTAACATTGTATATATAATTATATCATTATAACATATACCATTGTTTAAACATGGTGCAAATAGTTGACACTCATTGATATCTGTAACATTGTATATATAATTATATCATTATAACATATACCATTGTTTAAACATGGTGCAAATAGTTGACTCATTGATACTGTAACATGTATATATAATAATCATTATAATATACCATTGACACTCATTGATATCTGTAACAATGTATATATAATTATATCATTATAACATATACCATTGTTTAAACATGGTGCAAATAGTTGACACTCATTGATTATCTGTAACATTGTATATATAATTATATCATTATAACATATACCATTGTTTAAACATGGTGCAAATAGTTGACACTCATTGATATCTGTAACATTGTATATATATTATATCATAACATATCATTGTTATACCATTGTTAACATGGTGCAAATAGTTACACTCATGATACTGTAACATTGTATATATAATTATATTTAACATATACATTGTTTAAACATGGTGCAAATAGTTGACACTCATTGATATCTGTAACATTGTATATATAATTATATCATTATAACATATACCATTGTTTAAACATGGTGCAAATAGTTGACACTCATTGATATCTGTAACATTGTATATACAATTATATCATTATCAAATATTTCTCTTGTAAGTCTACATATAGCCAAGTTATCTAGCTTACATAACAAAATGTGTGGTTATACCATACTGTGTCCACTTATAGTACCATGTCCCTGCCTTAATAAATGGCAAATTGAACTTAATGTTATTATTGTCAGTACTGGTTTCATAGCAGTTTCTGGACCCTTACTATTTTTAAGCCTTTATCATTTTCATCCAGCACAGACTATTTTTACCAATAAAGGATAATTTATGTCGAATGAGAGACTTTTGTTTTCTAAGCACCATAGCATTAATTATGTACAAAGGTTTATTTATCTTAAACATTTGCATGTTGTTTAAAAGTTACTTTAGAGAACTTACTATATCTAAAAATAAGCAACGCCTTGGCAATTCCAGCCTGAATGCTCATGTGCAATAATTGAGGATCCATTCCAAGTAAATCAGTACATTTGAACAATATACATGCTGATACTACTTAAAAGGTTGGAAAATTCTGTTTCTTTGATAAAATAACCTTAACATTGCTTACTGGTATAAAATTATATTCAAAATGGAAAAGGTCTGAAAAACTGCTCTAAAATTTTGAATACAAACCAGAAAAGGTGTTACATTTCTGGCCTATATTCCAATTAAAAGCTACAGATAAAGAGCAACATTGGAAACATGGTAATGCTGGAAAGGTACCTTACTGTATTCTGTCAAATATTTGTGTTTGTCTGTTGACAGATTCTTATCTTATTTGTAACAAATGTAATTTGGGGCTGGTAACAGCTAGGAAACCATTTAACATTGACTATTCATAGACATGTATACTTTAATGTTAAGATGCAGCACTCCATTCTAGTAAAGTAAGTCAGTGAAAGTCAGTCCTTTCATAATAACATATATTGTATTTACAGATATATAATATACTGCATTACCATAATATTACCTGAGATTGGTTGGGTAGTTCTAACCTAGTATGCTAACTTATACTAAAGATAAGATCAAGTTGTAATAACCTAGCGTAACTAAGTATATCTGAGGTACCATTGCCTGGATTTAACATATTGTGTCGACTTATACCTAACATATAGTCCAGTGGTTATAACCTAGTGTGCAAATAACTCCCAATATATGGTCTGAGGTGAGCTTCTCATCCACACATATGGCCTTTAGAGTTTGTATAACTTAGATTTTGATATAAGATACACTATCTGTCAAATAATGCGTGCATACTTCCATTCTTATCATGTTAACAGTAAATCATTTTGTATGACACCCTATCATTTTTCATTATAACCATAATTTTACTGTACCTATCTGACAGTTATCGCCTTCCCAGCCATCAGCACAAATACACTCGTATGTTCCAGGTAGATTGTTACATGTTGAACCATGCTGGCATGGATACATCAAACACTCATTCTCATCTACAGTATGATAAAATACTTTACTATTACTACTTAGTCATTTAATTTATTACGTTTACTGATCAAGATACATGTATATATTACAGATAAAGGAGCAGATTTATATAATAATGAGGAAGAACAAAATAAAACACTTTTTTCAATAAGAATATTGGTGATGCATTCTGAGTCCACTTTTACACAGCTTAACTTTGCCAAAGTAAGTGGAAACATTTTCTTTCTGTATCATTTTATTAGATGGCAATAGTTATTGAGTAATACATGAAATGGGTATAGGAAATTAGGGGTGGAAAGGAAAACATAACTAAATTTTATGTTGAAAAAAAGAGCATAATTTTGTTAAAATCCATGACAGGGTTATGTCCAATTGCCTGGAAGTGCTTGTTTGGCCCTTTCAATTGATACTAATAAGATCAGATCATTGGAATAAAGGAACCAAAACTGACTGGCAATCCTCACAAGTTTGGTCAAAACCTAAGAGGAAATGTAACTGTTATAATTGTGCTGTCAAAAAATTGTTGACATGCAGAAATGCATGCACACACAGACTGACAACAGGTAGTGAAAACAAATTAGTAATGAAAATTGAGGTAATAATAAAAGTTTTAGGACTAACATGATTGTCTGTAGAACAGTGTGCTTGCCTATTCTCAGTGTCTAATAGTAAAACAAGGGCCTGGACAGTGTAGAATTTTATAAGTCAAAAAGTCATAATTTTGTCAAAATCCATATAAGAGGTATGGATAGTGACCTCCTATTATGCTCTGAAATAAGTGTGCAAAGTTTCAAGTTATTCCCTTCAGTAGTTTTGGAGATACCAACTTAAAAATGTAACCCATTAGTGTAACCGTGATGCCAACACTGATGCAGATGCCAACATTAGTGTAACGGTGATGCCAACACTGATGCAGAAGCCAACATTAGTGTAACGGTGATGCCAACACTGATGCAGACACCAACATTAGTGTAACGGTGATGCCAACACTGATGCAGATGCCAACATTAGTGTAACCGTGATGCCAACACTGATGCAGATGCCAACAGTAGTGTACAATGATGCCAACACTGATGCAGACGCCAACATTAGTGTAACGGTGATGCCAACACTGATGCAGACACCAACATTAGTGTAACCGTGATGCCAACACTGATGTAGATGCCAACACCTAGATGAATACAATAGCTTTTCCTATTCTTAAAATACTCAAGCTAAAAATGAAATTAAGAAAACTCATGAATAAATAATGAACAAAAACTGACCAATATCACATATGTTGCCTCTCCAGCCAGTCATACATTGACATATAAATGAACCTTTTGTATTGATACATTTCCCGTCATGTAGACATGGATTCGTCACATTTAAACACTCATTGATATCTATGATAATAAAAAAAAATGTAATCATTATTTGTATATTTCACTTTACTTTGCTAGTCATAAAGAACTAAAAGTAAAAAAAAATTTATTTTAAACACAGGTTATCTAAATTTATATTTAAAATTTATAGATTATAACATCAAGTCTGTAAAGGATTGTAGTATGTTATCATATGTTAAACCTCTAGAAAACATAGACACTGATTATATATCTACACAACTTTAACAAAATGATCATATACTTGTAGCCTAAGGTAATATCTTGTATGGGGTATAAAATTTTATACTACCTATTTCACAGATCTGTCCAACCCAGCCTGGATTACAATCAACACACTCAAAACCACCGATCAGATTGTTACAAGTTCCACCATTCATACACATCAGTTCCATGCATTCATTTCGGTCTTTAACAAGAAAAAAAAAAACAATAAAAAAACCAATACATTTTGTTAAAAAATAATTTCATTAATATAATATAAAAGTATAATTTTAATTTTATTACAAACATCATGATAACCATGTGTTGTACTTTAAATGTCACAGAACTTTGATGTAAAGGTTATGTTTCTCAAATATTTATGTTAGTCACTTTCTATCCTCCTATGTAACATAATTCTATTTATAAAGACTTATTTTACCTTTCTGGCAGTCTTGGCCTTCCCAAAATTCATTACATTGACACCTGTATGACCCATCTGTGTTAAAACATGTACCATCGTGTAGACAGGGATTTTGTTCACATTCATTTGTATCTGAAAAAGACATATATACTGAAACAACAACAAATGTTGTGCATGATTGTAATAAAACTGTTTCTTTCTTTGTACCAAAACATAAAAAAAAACATTGTTGTAGTTGATTTCAATTATTTATATAAAACTTGAAATTTCATAGATTTGTTATATTACTAAGCTAATGCATCTTATTATCTCATGTTTTGTTAGTGGGGTTTTAATTCACATTCTAGCTGTATTTTAAGTTTCACATACATGTACTTGTTTCTGACCTGTTGCATATATGCATAATTATACACATACCGTTTTTGCAATCAGACAATATGTGTTGCATATATACACATACTGTTTCTGTAATCAGACAGTATGTGTTGCATGTATACACATACTGTTTCTGTAATAAGACAGTATGTGTTGCATATATACACATACTGTTTCTGCAATCAGACAGTATGTGTTGCAATAAACTCATACTGTTTCTGACATGTTGCATATTATTATACATACTGTTTCTGCAATCAGAGAGTATGTGTTGCACATTCTAGCTGTATTTTAAGTTTAATATACATGTAGATCTACTTGTTTCTGACATGTTGCATACACACACATACTGTTTCTACAATCAGACAATACTTGTTGCATTTATACATAAAGTTTCTACAATCAGACAGTACGTGTTGCATATATACATACAGTTTCTACAATCAGACAGAAAGTGTTGCATAATTATATACATACAGTTTCTACAATCAGACAGTACTTGTTACATATATACATACCGTTTCTACAATCAGACAGTATGTGTTACATATATACATACAGTTTCTACAATCAGACAGAAAGTGTTGCATATATACATACAGTTTCTACATCAGACAGTATGTGTTACATATATACATACCGTTTCTACAATCAGACAGTAAGTGTTATATATATACATACCGTTTCTACAATCAGACAGTACATGTTACATATATACATACCGTTTCTACAATCAGACAGTACATGTTACATATATACATACCGTTTCTACAATCAGACAGTACTTGTTGCATATATACATAATGGTTTTACAATCAGACAGTACATGTTGCATATATACATACCGGTTCTACAATCAGACAGTACTTGTTGCATATATACATACAGTTTCTACAATCAGACAGAACTTGTTGCATATATATATACCGGTTCTACAATCAGACAGTACTTGTTGCATATATACATACAGTTTCTACAATCAGACAGTACATGTTGCATATATATATACCGTTTCTATGGTTCTACAATCAGACAGTACTTGTTGCATATATACATACAGTTTCTACAATCAGACAGTACATGTTGCATATATATATACCATTTCTATGTTTCTACAATCAGACAGTATGTGTTACATATATACATACAGTTTCTACAATCAGACAGTAATTGTTGCATATATACATACAGTTTCTACAATCAGACAGTACATGTTGCATATATATATACCATTTCTATGTTTCTACAATCAGACAGTATGTGTTACATATATACATACCGGTTCTACAATCAGACAGTACTTGTTGCATATATACATACAGTTTCTACAATCAGACAGTACATGTTGCATATATATATACCATTTCTATGGTTCTACAATCAGACAGTACATGTTACATATATACATACCGGTTCTACAATCAGACAGTACTTGTTGCATATATACATACCGTTTCTACAATCAGACAGTAAGTGTTGCATAATTATATACATACCGTTTCTACAATCAGACAGTAAGTGTTGCATAATTATATACATACCGTTTTTACAATCAGACAGTATGTGTTACATATATACATACCGTTTCTACAATCAGACAGTATGTGTTCCATATATACATACCGTTTCTACAATCAGACAGTACATGTTGCATATATACATACCGTTTCTACAATCAGACAGAACTTGTTGTATATATACATACCGGTTCTACAATCAGACAGTACTTGTTGCATATATACATACCGTTTCTACAATCAGACAGTACTTGTTGCATATACACATACTGTTTCTACAATCAGACAGTACTTGTTGCATATATACATACCGTTTCTACAATCAGACAGTACTTGTTGCATATATACATACAGTTTCTACAATCAGACAGTACATGTTGCATATATATATACCATTTCTATGGTTCTACAATCAGACAGTACGTGTTACATATATACATACCGTTTCTACAATCAGACAGTACGACTGTTGCATATATACATACCGTTTCTACAATCAGACAGTACGTGTTGTATATATACATACCGTTTCTACAATCTGACAGTATGTGTTACATATATACATACCGTTTCTACAATCAGACAGTATGTGTTACATATATACATACCGTTTCTACAATCAGGCAGTACGTGTTACATAAACACATACCGTTTCTACAATCAGACAGTACGTGTTACATATATACATACAGTTTCTACAATCAGACAGTACGTGTTACATATATACATAAAGTTTCTACAATCAGACAGTACATGTTACATATATACATACCGGTTCTACAATCAGACAGTACTTGTTGCATATATACATACCGTTTCTACAATCAGACAGTACTTGTTGCATATATACATACAGTTTCTACAATCAGACAGTACATGTTGCATATATACATACCGTTTCTACAATCAGACAGTACTTGTTGCATATATACATACCGTTTCTACAATCAGACAGTACTTGTTGCATATATACATACCGTTTCTACAATCAGACAGTACTTGTTGCATATATACATACAGTTTCTACAATCAGACAGTACATGTTACATATATACATAACGGTTCTGCAATCAGACAGTACATGTTACATATATACATACAGTTTCTACAATCAGACAGTACATGTTGCATATATACATACAGTTTCTACAATCAGACAGTACATGTTACATATATACATAACGGTTCTACAATCAGACAGTACATGTTACATATATACATACAGTTTCTACAATCAGACAGTACTTGTTGCATATATACATACCGTTTCTACAATCAGACAGTACTTGCTGCATATATACATACCGTTTCTACAATCAGACAGTACGTGTTGTATATATACATACCGTTTCTACAATCAGTGCCTGATCTTCCTGGTGGACATTCACAGTAAAATGAACCAACTGTGTTGATACAGGTACCACCATACAAACATGGACCAAATTCACATTCATTCATGTCTAAAATCACAAAATTTATACTTTCTATCTAATATATTCATATAAAATAAAATAAAAGTACACAAGAAATAACATAATTAAACATAAAAATATTAACAACATGGAAAATTACTTTTAAACTCATTGTATAAAATATTATTGTTTTTTTTCTTTTAAATACAAAATTAAAGTTCCAGATAAGATAAAATAATAACTAATAAAATGAGCAATGAATGATCGTTTACAACTCTCTTAATACTACTTATGTACATTAAATATGTTTTACATACCATTTTCACAATTTGGTCCACTATAACCCTTTGGACATCTACAGATGTATGATCCCTGTGTATTGTCACATGTGCCACCATTCAGACATGGCGTGTCCAAACATTCATTAACATCTAAAATAAGAGACATCATACATGCAAGGTTGAGTTACTTGAGTTTACATTACTGAATACTTGAGATGTAAACAAACTAAGTGAGAGAACTAGTGTGGTGGGAAGATGATAAGGTTATGATATGGTAGAAGTGAGATCTTATATAAAATTTGCCATTAAAGCCAATTCTATATAACTGTAGACATCAGAGAAGTTAGAAAAACATTACTTTATTTTTAAATTTTTGGATGGAATTCAATGAGGTAAATTTTATCATATTGTACACAAGAGTAAAACTACTAGTCAATCCAGGCTTTCTTAATTATTCTATTGATGACATTTTTTAAAATTAAAACCAGTGTTGTTCAGTTGTTTCTAAAAACATTTTGTGATAAATTAATTTATAGTGATTTACACTAAAATGATTAATTACTTCAGAGATTCAAAAGGATTTTAAACAAGAGGGCCATGATGGCCATGGAATGCTCACCTGAGATACATTGGTAGAAAAGGTCACAATTTTAATTTTACAATGTTAAAGTCAGTAATGATGTCACATTTGGTTTGTCATTTCCTACCCAAGCTGCATAATGTTAGAATTATTTATAGATGTCTGCAACAAAATGCTTAACAAAAAATACCTACACTTTTGGCATTGTAATTTCACAAAAGAAGACTTAAATGTATTTTCCTATAGAAGTCTACATAAACTAAGTGATCCCCAGGGCAGGGTCAATTTTAACCCCAGGGGCATGATTTAATACTTTTTTGTAGAGGACCACAAGGTGAGGCTACATGCCAAATAGCTCTGGGCACTCGAGTTTCTGAGAAGAAGATTTTTAAGTCTATTTTTAGCTGCTGTGACCTACTTATTGATCAGACTGGGACCAATTATAAAACTTTTATAGAGGACTGACTAAAGTTGTTTCCTGTGAAATTTGGTCAAAATACATCACATGGTTTTTGGAAAGATGTCCTTTATAGTAACTGTGGATAATGACTGACAACAAATTGCGGACACACTGCCACAAACACTCATCTCTGAGCAAAAAGTGCTCAGGTGAGCTAAAACACAGTAGACTTGTGTTTATATTTACTTCAATCATTTTTTAGAATAAACTCTATAGAAAATTGGGCATGATATTTACTTAATGTATGTGAAATCTACTGTAAAGTATTCAGGAAAAACCAAGCCTCCTACTAGTCGGGGACCATCACCCGGACACTTTTTGAACATTTTTCCGTACAGATTTCATAATTTTTAACCTAGAGACCTAAAAATTTGACACCGTTCAGCTAGGTTCTTCTCCTAACTAACAAACTAGTTTGTTTATTTCTGATTGCATTGACACTTATATCTGAGGCTCGACAAGGAGGGTATCAAAATTACATAAATTGTATACACTACAGTACCATGTGTCCGGAAAGATATGTACATGACATGATTTAATTCAGATAAAAGCTTGGGTGTTTTGATTTTTAACATGATAAACAATATTTCAGCAACAAATGCTGAAGTTTTGGATATTCTATTGTTTACTCTGCAAATGATTATAGCTGGTATATGAGGTCAGCCATTGCTTTCTTGACCCCCAAATTTGAACATCAACATTTTTGAAATAGACATTAAAATATTACCATTTAAGGAGGTTGAAATAAAAGATTTTACTTAATTTTAGAGGAAACACGCATTTATTGTTTATAAAAAAGTGACTGACAACCACTGAAAAAAGAAAATACTAAATTAAACATTTTAGGGGCTGTCCGGGTTTGGTGGTTGTCCGGTTTTGGTGGTCCCCAACCAGTGGTGTTAAAAAGCATTTCATGGTAAAATGTTTGTTACTTACAAAAGGCCACTAGTAGATTCTATTGAATAAATTCAGGGCCAATTTCACTTTTATTAATTCACATTTGCATTATGTTTTATCCAAAGTATACTCCAAAAGTGACTTCATACAAAAAAAAATCTCCATGAGTACTAAACTTATTCTTCTGTATGCTGTAACATTTGTCAACAATATTAACTTCTCTAATAATCATAAAAAACTAACAGTTTATAAACATGATTAAAGTATGTTATGCACATTTATTGTTAAGTATGTAAGAACTGTAATACATGCTAACTGTGAATGTCAGCCATCTCTGATTTTACTGTATTCAGTGCCTACCCTCTAACATTCATTCAATTAATTACATCAAAGTACATGCATTTTTAAATAAATTTGAATTTTAAAAATTTAACCACAAATTATTTATTAAATCTGACATTATAACTTTTGTTATATGTTACCTATGAGACATGTGGGTCCAGTCCATCCAGCTGCACATCTACAGCTAAACGAACCAACTGTGTTTGTACAAGAACCTCCATTATAACAAGGATTTTGTAGACATTCATCCCTATCTAAATGATAAAAGAAAAAAAATGTTTTTCTTAAATCCTATGGAAAAGTTTTGCTTAAATAGAACATATTATCACAGATTGGGGAAAAATTAATGTATGCAGGCAAAACTAATAAAAGTCTGTTCAATGTTGTAGCTACAGTTTTCATTACATGTAAATCTAGAGCTTTTTAACATGTCAATCTACAGTTTTCATTACATGTCAATCTAGAGCTTTTTAACATGTCAATCTACAGTTTTCATAACACGTCCATCTACAGTTTTATAACACGTCCATCTACAGTTTTATAACACGTCCATCTACAGTTTTATAACACGTCCATCTACAGTTTTATAACACGTCCATCTACAGTTTTATAACACGTCCATCTACAGTTATCTACAGTTTTATAACACGTCCATCTACAGTTTTATAACATGTCCATCTACAGTTTTCCATACATGTCCATCTACAGTTTTCAGTACATGTAAATCTAGAGCTTTCATAACATGTAAATCTAGAGCTTTCATAACATGTAAATCTAGAGCTTTCATAACATGTAAATCTAGAGCTTTCATAACATGTAAATCTAGAGCTTTCATAACATGTAAATCTACAGTTTTTATTTGTTCGGGTCGTCAGACCAAACAAATAATGGTAGCGAAATTTCAGAGCCTAATGCTGTTAATTGCAAATGCCTAAAGTAGTCCACTTTTTTGAAGCGGTTACTTCCCTTTATATGTACACTAACGCCGAAAAATTCAGGGGAGATCAATGTGTAAAGATTGTCAAATGACAGGCGCATTAATTTTCAAGCATAGTAGTTCCCGAATGGTCGAAGAATTCTAATATTGTTTCATTCTTTATAGATATACATGCTTACAGTAAGCTTCATGATTATTTACATCTGTGTTAAACAACAGGTTTAGCGTCAAAATAATAAGAGTTACAAACCCTAATTTAGAATAATATGGTTTTCTTCAAGCTGTTAACATATAACTTCACCGTGGCCGAGGGGTATGCACGCTCGCTTATGAATCGAGAGGTCTGAAGTTCGAATCCCAGTTTAGGCAACTCATTTTTTTTAAGTCAAATAAACATTGAATATCAGTGTTGCAATTAGTCTTATAGCCAATTTACTACAGTTAAACACTGGAAAGCATTGGTGGCACTATACAAAAACAAATTGGTTTATAATCTCACAACATTCACCTTTCTGACATTCTGAGACCCAAACAAATTCAGCACCTTCTGTGCTTTGATTTAACATGTCAATCTACAGTTTTCATAACATGTCAATCTACAGGTTTCATAATATGCCATTCTACAGCTTTAATTACATTTTGATCTACAGGGATAAGTACATTGCAGTAAGGCACTAGTTATAAGTGAATAGCTTACCAAGTTCACATTTATCACCAAACCAACCATCCGGACAGTCACAGCGATACGAACCAACAAAGTTTCTACATGTACCACCATTTAGACATGCATCTGCCATAAGGCATTCATTAACATCTGAAACAACAATTATTATGGTCTTAGTATTTTATTTTTGTAGTAATAAGTTATGATTTTTTTACATACATATACATTATATCAGAAAAATCATTTTATTGACTTAAATAAAGTAGAATAATGAAAACAATTGTATTGATGAACAAAAGGTTAATAAATTTGATAACATAAAATTATTGTATTCTGTGTTCATTTTAAAACTTGTTATATACATGTGTTACATAGACTTTGTGTTTTGGATTAAGTTGGACATAATTTATAATAATATGTTTAAGAACCTTTTTGACATATATCTCCGGTCCATTCTGGTGGACAATCACACTTGTAGGAGCCATTTAAGTTCATACAGAACCCTCCATGTAGACATTCTATTCTAGAACACTCATTAAAATCTAAAACATACAAAAATGTTTTATGTTTTGAGCTCAGTTTTATGCAGAAAACAGAATCATTTTATTATCTATAATACATAAAAGTAAAATTTAAAAAAAAAATTAAGTAAAGAAGTTAGAAGTTTTTGTTAATTTTTCTTTGATTTTACTTAATAATATATTTAACTGCGCACATCTGTTTTTACTATTTTAATAGATATTTTCTAACATTTTCTACATAATTTAATGTTTATTAATTTCTTGGTTCATAAATGTACTCAGAATATTTGTGACTATTTAGTAAGATATCACTATTATTTCATTAGTGGATATTAACTTACCAGCTGTACAATCTTTTCCTGTCCAAGCTGGTGGACATATACATCTATATGATCCATATGTATTCTGACATGTACCACCATTTTTACAAACAGGGAGTGGATAGAGACATTCATTGATATCTGACAACAGAATATTATATATACTAATATAACTATGATTTTACACTGTTCACTGATCAACTGCCAACATTTTAGTTTGATATCACTCAAATTGAAGTTGGAAAAGTGACTATTCAGAACATTAAGCCTTTAAAGGGTCAAATATTATAAAAGGGAAGGCTATACAATATAAATTTCTTGTGCTGTTCTAAACTTACTCAGTACTTTCTATTGTACTGAAAATATCTTAAGATAAGGACGATATAGAGGAACTTTGTTTAGTTCAGTGTAAGATCGAAATATAATTCTCCGAGTGAGCACCAAAATATATATTTCACGAGTGGCGCAGCCTTGAGTGAAATATGAACTTTTGGTGTTCAGAAGGTGAAATATATTTCTATCTTACACTAAACTAAACAAATTTTCTTTTTATTATATGCAAAGAAACATTTAAAAACATTTTAACGTAATACTAAATGAAAAGCGCGCCAAATTATAATACAATGTGACGTCATTTACGATGTTTTGAGTTGGTTTCCAGTACTGTGCAAGCAGTCATTTCCATGAAACACCATTCAGTTTTATATATCACTGATATATTTCTATAAACCACTGAAAAGCATGTAATAATTATATATATCTAACTGCAATGCTAACAAATGTTTCAGTAATCATTTTTAGTAAAGACAAAGCTAAATGTTACCTTCATCACATAGTACACCCATCCATCCCTCAGCACAAATGCACTGGAATGATCCAAGAGTGTTCTCACATCTAGCACCATTTAAACAAGGGCCACGACTGCATTCATTGTCATCAATTTTACAGGTGGGACCAGTCCATCCTTCTGTACAGTCACATATAAATCCACCTGGAATATTTCTGCATGTGGCACCATGGCTACAAGGGTTACTAAAGCATTCATCTGTATCTGTAAATGAAAATAAAATCAATAAATAAGCAATGACTTTTTCATACCAGATTATTGACAATCAAGTTTTCAAACTTTTTCATAATGACTGACTTTTTGTTAGTTTGCTAAAAATATATCATAACAACATTACAAAGTGTAAGTTCATGTGATGTCAAGACTGTTTAAAACTTATGATTTTTAAATGAATAACCACATAAAAAGTACTGAGAAAGGATGAACTTTAATACTGGAAAGTTGAGATAAACTAAACACTGATCTATTAAAAAAAACTGTACCATTGTCACAGTTTGGTCCTGACCATTGATCTGGGCATAAACATTCATAGGAACCAATCAGGTCAATGCAAGTTCCACCATTCTTACATGGGTTTCTCAAGCATTCATTCACATCTAGAAAAATAAAAGCAAATTATAATGATGATAATGAAAGTTAACTTAAAACTCTTTTAAATTATTTAGTATGCTTATGAAGAAAAGCAATGTCAAATATCTTATAACAAGATGGTCATTTTTAGAGAACACAGGGCCAGGTTTAAACAAGATGGTCTTTTTTTAGTGAATACAGGGCCAGGTTTAAACAAGATGGTATTTTTTAGTGAACACAGGGCCAGGTTTAAACAAGATGGTCTTCAAAGATTTGTCAAGTATATATATCTACAGAAAAGACTCCTTAGCAACCATATTTGTTCACAAATCAAATTGCTGTAACAATTAAGTTATAGGGCTTTCTTATGATCATTTCTGCAAAATATTATCAAAATCAGGTAATTTCCTTTTCACAACAGGCTGTTAAAGATTTCCTGTTTTGTTACCACCAAAGACACCCAAAGCTATGCATGGAAAACAGTTCTATGAACAATTTTAAAACAAAATGACAGAATGAAGCTTCAAGAAAAGCTGTAAAAAGATAGGTGTAAAAAGACCAGGGACATTGAGTGATAAAAGAAACAAGAATAACTGCTGACTATAATTTATCAAAACAGTCATTAATGTACTGCTTTGATTTTACATAACATGGACTGAAAATAAAATATTACTTCAGTAAGTATAACATTAAAGTATTTCTATATAGGTAATCAAAATAAAATATTACTTCAGTAAGTATAACATTAAAGTATTTCTATATAGGTAATCAAAATAAAATATTACTTCAGTAAGTATAACATTAAAGTATTTCTATATAGGTAATCAAAATAAAATATTACTTCAGTAAGTATAACATTAAAGTATTTCTATATAGGTAATCAAAATAAAATATTACTTCAGTAAGTATAACATTAAAGTATTTCTATATAGGTAATCAAAATAAAATATTACTTCAGTAAGTATAACATTAAAGTATTTCTATATAGGTAATCAAAATAAAATATTACTTCAGTAAAATATAACATTAAAGTATTTCTATATAGGTAATCAAAATAAAAAGTTAAAATGCTTACTTCTTTGACAAAATTCGCCTTCAAATCCAGAAGGACACAAACAAGTAAATGATCCTTTAGTATTCACACATGTACCATTGTTAAAGCAAGGCAATTTCAAACATTCATCAACATCTGAGAAAAAAAAATGTAGTTAGTACATACAAGTATTGTTTTATATAGTTAGTACATAATCTTATATAGTTAGTACATCACCTTTTATTGTATTCCAAGTCAATTGTCAAATATCTGTTGACAACCGATTTCCAGTATAAAGCCCCTTTATAATTGCAAAAGATCTGTCTTTGTTAAATATATGTTTACAACTATCTTCCTATAGACTAACAGACAATATGATTTTACGCCACAGATATCTGATGGTTCCTATTATAAAGCCCCCAATGTTTACAGAGAAGAAAACACTCACTTGAAAGATTAAAAAAAGATAGTCAATGCCAGGCTCTGATACTTTTGATACCAAGATAACAAGTAAATCTTTGAATTGATATCCCCCTCAAAATGATACAAATCCACTGAAGGAACCTTCATAGCATTATGTACCTCAAAATATTATTATCAATTTCAAGTTGATTTCTCAAGTACTTTTTGATTTACACCCTGGACTAAAACAATCTGATTTAAGTTCAAATCTACTTATTTCTTACATGTAGCTTTTTAAGAGCTGCTTTTAATTAGAATGGGACTAAAATTATGCATGATATAACATAACAAATAGCGTGTTTAACTCCAAAATTTTGCAAAAGTTAAAGACACTGTATCTTGCCTATATGTGATCTAACACTGCACCTTGTCTATATGTGATCTAACACTGCATCTTGCCTATATGTGATCTAACACTGCATCTCGCCTATATGTGATCTAACACTGCATCTTGCCTATATGTGATCTAACACTGCATCTCGCCTATATGTGATCTAACACTGCATCTTGCCTATATGTGATCTAACACTGCATCTTGCCTATATGTGATCTAACACTGCACCTTGCCTATATGTGATCTAACACTGCATCTTGCCTATATGTGATCTAACACTGCATCTTGCCTATATGTGATCTAAGCACTGCCACCTTGCCTATAAGTGATCTATCACTGCACATCTTGCCTATATGTGATCTAACACTGCACCTTGCCTATATGTGATCTAACACTGCATCTTGCCTATATGTGATCTAACACTGCATCTTGCCTATATGTGATCTAACACTGCACCTTGCCTATATGTGATCTAACACTGCATCTTGTCTATATGTGATCTAACACTACATCTTGCCTATATGCGATTCTAACACTACATCTTGCCTATATGTGATCTAACACTGCATCTTGCCTATATGTGATCTAACACTGCACCTTGCCTATAAGTGATCTAACACTGCATCTTGCCTATATGTGATCTAACACTGCATCTTGCCTATATGTGATCTAACACTGCACCTTGCCTATATGTGATCTAACACTGCATCTTGCCTATATGTGATCTAACACTGCACCTTGCCTATATGTGATCTAACACTGCACCTTGCCTATAAGTGATCTATCACTGCATCTTGTCTATATGTGATCTAACACTGCACCTTGCCTATATGTGATCTAACACTGCATCTTGCCTATATGTGATCTAACACTGCATCTTGCCTATATGTGATCTAACACTGCATCTTGCCTATATGTGATCTAACACTGCATCTTGCCTATATGTGATCTAACACTGCATCTTGCCTATATGTGATCTAACACTGCACCTTGCCTATATGTGATCTAACACTGTACCTAGCCTATATGTGATCTAACACTGGACCTTGCCTTTATGTGATCTAACAATCAAGAAAGTTTCAAGTAAATACCTGCTACACGTTTTTTGAGTTCTGTCAAATACAAATATTAAGTATATAAAATTAAAAAGGGCAATAACTAATTGATACAATATCTATCTCTTTATACACTTACCTTCACCACAAAATTCTCCTGTATATCCTGGCATACATTCACACAGGTAGGTACCTGCCCTGTTCACACATGTAGCATTATTCAAACACTCTATCTTAAGGCATTCATTGACATCTAGAAGATAAGATATTCTCTTATATTTTATTATATTAAACAATCATGTATTCTTGTTAGAAACTTAACAGATAATTAATTAAACTAATGAGGTTATCATGCATTAACTTTTAAATAAAAATTTACATAAGTGTACATGATATCCAACAAACAATTGTAACTATGCCCTATCCTCATCCATGGTGAATAAAGTTGCATTTTGTATTTTCAAACCCAGAATACATTTATGTTCATTAACTTAAAAACAGAATTTTAAAAGTAACATATTTTATGGAAATAATTTTGTCATAGAAATTACCATTCTCGCAATATTTCCCTGTCCAAGCTGATGTACATTCACAAAAGAAATCACCAGGTATGTTCTTACAAGTTCCTCCATGTAGACATGTGACTTGCAAACATTCATCCTTATCTAAATAAATCAAAGACCAATTATAAACAACACACAGTCTGAGTGAAGAGATTGTTTCCCATGAAAGTATCTTTTTTCCTTTAAACTCAATCTCTCTTTTATTACAAGTGTTTGATGACAATATTGAAGAACTATTCTTTATACATCTCATGATGTCAAAAGGTGTAAATATTTAATGTTGGGACAAAGTGGCACAAGATGTTGTTATTAACATTTGTCTCTTACCAAGCTGAATCAATCATGCATTAGGCTGGGAATAATCTAGGAATAGTTTGAGGGATTTCAGTATTGGAATAATTAAAAGATGTGTCAGATAATCCACACTATAAACTTATATCACAATCAGTAGTCAATGTGTTTCAACATGGATATATGAAATTTCACAGACAGTACTAGGGAGGAATCCACTATACACTTAACAAATCTTATAACTGTGCACGTATAAAAATCAAATTTTCTCAAATACTAATAAACATAGGTCTCTGAAATTTTAACAAAGTACAGTACAGATATGTGCAATGATGGGTATCGATTTTTATGTCAGGGCAATTCGTATTTACTGAGAAATAGCGATGTGTGCAAGATTGCGCGAAAACCTAATTTCAAATTTCTGTAAAATGCGTATTTATAATGGTGTGCAAAAAGGTCTAAATCTCTTGATTTTACTAAAATACAAACATAAAACATTAGGATCACCGATAGGGTATAATACTACAATGAATTCCAGGGCATTATGTCACTGTGATTTTAATATTTGCTTTATGAATTTCAGTAAAGACTGGTTTTATGTCGATCTCCGTAACGCTTTGTATCCAGTTACTAAAAGCAATGCAAAACACAATATTTTCATTAATATGAAAGTACCAAGAAAGTTTGTTTTAGTTTTTAAAGTAAAATCTTAGTCAATATGTTTATTTGAGAGAAAATATTATGCAAATTTATTTTTCAAAATGGGCGCCCGAAATGCAAATTCCCTAGCGTAAAACTTCTAGACGGCCATTTTTCTTTCAATTGCAAAAATTCTGCAATAAATTTATGTTTATTGGGATGTCTTTATTTTAATAGAATCCTTGATAGTCAATAATAACTTCATTTAGCTCCACCTGTCATCCTCACGTGCACTTTGTTGTTTATGTCATGTCACGGATGAACGCACACAGCAAAAATAACCGTTATTTCTGAATATAGCATTGTAAAAATAAACCATTCAAACGATGAATTCCAAAATTTGGGTAAAAAATGTCAAGTAATAAAAAAGTTATTCACATTTAAAAACTGCACAGTTATAAGTTTTGTTAAGTGTATATGATATATGAAATTTCACAGACAATACTAGGGAGGAATCCACTATAGATGATATATGAAATTTCACAGACAATACTAGGGAGGTAGCAACTATAGCTGATATATGAAATTTCACAGACAATACTAGGGAGGTACCCACTATAGCTGATATATGAAATTTCACAGACAATACTAGGGAGGAATCAACATATTAGCTGATATATTGAAATTTCACAGACAATACTAGGGAGGAATCCACTATAGATGATATATGAAATTTCACAGACAATACTAGGAGGAATCCACTATATATGATATTATGAAAATTTCACAGACAATACTAGGGAGGAATCCACTATAGATGATATATGAAATTTCACAGACAATACTAGGGAGGAATCCACTATAGCTGATATATGAAATTTCACAGACAATACTAGGGAGGTACCCACTATAGCTGATATATGAAATTTCACAGACAATACTAGGGAGGAATCCAGTATAGCTGACATATGAAATTTCACAGACAATACTAGGGAGGAATCCACTATAGCTGACATATGAAATTTCACAGACAATATTAGGGAGGAATCCACTATAGCTGATATATGAAATTTCACAGACAATACTAGGGAGGAATCCAGTATAGCTGATATATGAAATTTCACAGACAATACTAGGGAGGAATCCACTATAGATGATATATGAAATTTCACAGACAATACTAGGGAGGAATCCACTATAGCTGATATATGAAATTTCACAGACAATACTAGGGAGGAATCCACTATAGATGATATATGAAATTTCACAGACAATACTAGGGAGGTACCCACTATAGCTGATATACAAAATTTCACAGACAATACTAGGGAGGAATCCACTATAGCTGATATATGAAATTTCACAGACAATACTAGGGAGGTACCCACTATAGCTGATATATGAAATTTCACAGACAATACTAGCGGAGGAATCCAGTATAGCTGACATATGAAATTTCACAGACAATACTAGGAGGAATCCACTATATAGATGATATATGAAAATTTCACAGACAATACTAGGAGGAATCCACTATAGCTGATATTTGAAATTTCACAAGACAATACTAGGGAGGAATCCACTATAGTTGATATATGAAATTTCACAGACAATTCTAGGGAGGTACCCACTTTAGCTGATATACAAAATTTCACAGACAATACTAGGGAGGAATCCACTATAGCTTGATATATGAAATTTCACAGACAATACTAGGGAGGAATCAACTATAGCTGATATATGAAATTTCACAGACAATACTAGGGAGGAATCCACTATAGATGATATATGAAATTTCACAGACAATACTAGGGAGGAATCCACTATAGATGATATATGAATTTCACAGACAATACTAGGGAGGAATCCACTATAGCTGATATATGAAATTTCACAGACAATACTAGGGAGGAATCCACTATAGCTGATATACAAAATTTCACAGACAATACTAGGGAGGAATCCACTATAGCTGATATACAAAATTTCACAGACAATACTAGGGAGGAATCCACTATAGATGATATATGAAATTTCACAGACAATACTAGGGAGGAATCCACTATAGCTGATATATGAAATTTCACAGACAATACTAGGGAGGAATCCACTATAGATGATATATGAAATTTCACAGACAATACTAGGGAGGAACCCACTATAGCTGATATACAAAATTTCACAGACAATACTAGGGAGGAATCCACTATAGATGATATATGAAATTTTCACAGAAAATACTAGGGAGGAATCCACTATAGCTGATATATGAAATTTCACAGACAATACTAGGGAGGAATCCACTATAGCTGATATACAAAATTTCACAGACAATACTAGGGAGGAACCCACTTTAGCTGATATACAAAATTTCACAGACAATACTAGGGAGGAACCCACTATAGCTGATATACAAAATTTCACAGACAATACTAGGGAGGAATCAGTATAGCTGATATACAAAATTTCACAGACAATACTAGGGAGGAACCCACTATAGCTAATATATGAAATTTCAACAGACAGTACTAGGGAGGAATCCACTATAGCTGATATATGAAATTTCACAGACAATACTAGGGAGGAATCCACTATAGCTGATATATGAAATTTCACAGACAATACTAGGGAGGAATCAACTATAGCTGATATATGAAATTTCACAGACAATACTAGGGAGGAATCCACTATAGCTGATATATGAAATTTCACAGACAATACTAGGGAGGAATCCACTATAGCTGATATATGAAATTTTACAGACAATACTAGGGAGGAACCCACTATAGCTGATATATGAAATTTCACAGACAGTACTAGGGAGGAATCCACTATAGCTGATATACGATTCACAGACAATACTAGGGAGGTACCCACTATAGCTGATATATGAAATTTCACAGACAATACTAGGGAGGAATCCACTATAGCTGATATATGAAATTTCACAGACAATACTAGGGAGGAATCCACTATAGCTGATATATGAAATTTCACAGACAATACTAGGGAGGTACCCACTATAGCTGATATATGAAATTTCACAGACAATACTAGGGAGGAATCCACTATAGCTGATATACGATTCACAGACAATACTAGGGAGGAATCCACTATAGCTGATATCAAACACTAAGACTCCTCGGTTCTCATTAATACTATTAACTCACCTTCTTTACAATGAGGTCCAGTCCATCCTTTATCACATTCACACCTAAAGGAACCTGCTAACTCAATACACATGCCATGACCATTACATGGGTTAGTCATCATTGTACACTCTTTACGATCTGCAACAATATAGTTATCATTTTCAGCTTAGGTAAACTTTTATCTTCATAAATTTGTATAATAGAGCTGCCATCCTTGATTTTTAAACACTGTGTAAATACTGGTAGTTTAAACAATGTGTAAATACCGATATGTAACACTGTAAATACCGATATGTTAAACACTGTAAATACAGATATGTTAAACACTGTAAATACAGATATGTTAAACACTGTAAATACCGATATGTTAAACACTGTAAATACTGATATGTTAAACACTGTAAATACAGATATGTTAAACACTGTAAATACAGATATGTTAAACACTGTAAATACAGATATGTTAAACACTATTAATACAGATATGTTAAACACTGTAAATACAGATATGTTAAACACTGTAAATACCGATATGTTAAACACTGTGTAAATACAGATATGTTAAACACTGTAAATACTGATATGTTAAACACTGTAAATACAGATATGTTAAACACTGTAAATACCGATATGTTAAACACTGTAAATACTGATATGTTAAACACTGTAAATACAGATATGTTAAACACTGTAAATACAGATATGTTAAACACTGTGTAAATACAGATATGTTAAACACTGTAAATACTGATATGTTAAACACTGTAAATACCGATATGTTAAACACTGTAAATACAGATATGTTAAACACTGTAAATACAGATATGTTAAACACTGTAAATACAGATATGTTAAACATTGTAAATACCGATATGTTAAACACTGTAAATACCGATATGTTAAACACACTGTGTAAATACAGATATGTTAAACACTGTAAATACAGATATGTTAAACACTGTGTAAATACAGATATGTTAAACACTGTAAATACAGATATGTTAAACACTGTAAATACAGATATGTTAAACACTGTGTAAATACAGATATGTTAAACACTGTGTAAATACAGATATGTTAAACACTGTAAATACAGATATGTTAAACACTGTGTAAATACAGATATGTTAAACACTGTGTAAATACAGATATGTTAAACACTGTAAATACAGATATGTTAAACACTGTAAATACAGATATGTTAAACACTGTAAATACCGATATGTTAAACACTGTGTAAATACAGATATGTTAAACACTGTAAATACCGATATGTTAAACACTGTAAATACAGATATGTTAAACGCTGTAAATACAGATATGTTAAACACTGTGTAAATACTGATATGTTAAACACTGTAAATACTGATATGTTAAACACTGTAAATACTGATATGTTAAACACTGTGTAAATACAGATATGTTAAACACTGTAAATACCGATATGTTAAACACTGTAAATACAGATATGTTAAACACTGTGTAAATACTGATATGTTAAACACTGTGTAAATACAGATATGTTAAACACTGTAAATACCGATATGTTAAACACTGTAAATACCGATATGTTAAACACTGTAAATACCGATATGTTAAACACTGTAAATACTGATATGTTAAACACTGTGTAAATACAGATATGTTAAACACTGTAAATACTGATATGTTAAACACTGTAAATACAGATATGTTAAACACTGTAAATACAGATATGTTAAACACTGTAAATACTGATATGTTAAACACTGTGTAAATACAGATATGTTAAACACTGTAAATACCGATATGTTAAACACTGTGTAAATACAGATATGTTAAACACTGTAAATACCGATATGTTAAACACTGTGTAAATACAGATATGTTAAACACTGTAAATACAGATATGTTAAACACTGTAAATACAGATATGTTAAACACTGTAAATACAGATATGTTAAACACTGTGTAAATACCAGTAGTCTAAGGTGACAGCGTAGTCAATGATCACTCAAAATACCTAAAATAATATTTTTGGCAACCTTTCCTGAACACATTCGCAATTTGATTTTGGAAGCAGTTAATCCTGAAACTATGCTTTTAAATGTTTTAAAATGGTACCTTTACCATTTTTATCAATTAACCCAAATTTTTACTAAAAAAAAGTTGGTTTTTAAATTTCATTTTATGGGCAGTACCACGGGAAAAAGCGTTTTCACCTTTAAAAAATGTGTAAAACCCGGTAGTTTAAACCCAAATAAATACTGGTAGTTTTTAAAACCCAAAAAAAATATGGTAGTTTAACAATAAGTAAATTTCTGAAAAATTTTTTCTGGGTTTTCCCAGCAGTTTTCCCTCCCCCAGGGAGTTTTTTCCCCCGGGTGTTTTTATTTTGTCCATACAGTTAATTTTTACCGTAAGCATCCCTTATTACCCTTTATCAATCAGAGAAAACTTTTTTTTTCCTTTGTAAACAGGGAAAATTTAAAAAAAATACAACGACTTTAAAATGTTTTGAAGTATTTCCCGGGGGATTTTATGTTTCATAAAAGAACTTGCAACTTTCAAAAATAAGCAACACCTGGGGAATTCTAGTTTGAATATCCATGGGCAATAACTAAGACCCCATTTTAGGTAAATCAATAATTCGGAAAATATTTTTTGCAGACGACACGGAAAAGGTTGGGAAGTTCTGTTTGTCTTGTAAATCTTAACATAGCTTTATGGTACTGAATTATATTCAAAATAAAAAGGTCCGGAAAACTGCTATGAATTTTTGAATAAAGGTGAAAAAAGGTGTTTCGTTTCAGGCCTATATTCAAATTAAAAATTAAAATGAAAGTGCAACATTAAACAGATGGCAATGTTGGACAGGTACCTAACTTTGTCCTGTCAAAGTTTTGTACCCCTCTGTAGACTGATTTTTTTTTTATTTGTTAAAAAGTGCGATTTGTGGCCGGAAACTGCTAGGAAACCAGTAAACATTGTGTAAATACCAATAAGTTGAAAAATGTGTAAATACTGGTAGTTTAGAGGATACAGCATAAAAATTCTCAAAATTAAGCAGCTGTTATACAATTTGTCAGATTGCATTGCAGTACAGGCTGGCATGGCTGTATACTGGAAAGTCATCATTTATCATGAAAACAAAACTTTGTTCTATTGTCAGAAATCATTCCAATTATTTGTACAGAACCATTTTCTAAAAGATACTATTTAGATTTTTTTTATATAGAAACCATTTTGATTATTTTTTACACAAGAATCATTTCAGATTTTCATATTAAACACTCCTGTAGATATCCAAGATAAGCTACCTTTTACTGTGATCAAGGTAGGTGTGCACACAAATGTAACTTTTAAATAAAAACACCTTACCTAAAGCACAATGTGTACCTTCCCAACCATCAATGCACTCACAATAGTATGAACCTATTGTGTTAACACATGTAGCTCCATTCTGACATGGGTTCTTCAGGCATTCATTTCGATCTAATAAATGAATAATGACCACCATAATCATAAAACAGCATATACAGTATTTTGTAGTACAAATTGTACACTTGTTACAAGCTACAGTTAGGTGAACAAAAGTAAGTTGATTCCTTTAAAACACTTAACGATATACTATGCTCAAGTTTGACATTAGAAAATATTGATAATTGCTACACAGTCTCTTGTAAATATAAAAGAAACATGTTTAAACTTCACACAAAGTAGATATGTCATGTTTAATATTCTACCCACTATAGGTGGTCACAATATGAATATATAATGTCATTTTAAAAAATGGCAGTTTTTTAAGAAAAGACCAACTTCACTTGACCTGTAATACGGAACGCAGCTTCCCATACATAGTTTTTTTATTCTGTTATTCAAATTAGACATATTCAATAAGAATTTCATAGATTTCAATAAATTTCTGTGAAAAAAAAAATTTATTCAAGGATGAGCACAGTATATCTTTAATAATTTTTCCAATTGTTAGCATAATTTTGCAAAGTTAAGAAAAAATGAATATCCTATTCTGAAAATATCTAAACATTACAAGAAATTATTTTGAATGAGTGAAATAACTGAAATCCTAAACACAATTACATACATGAGATATGCAGCTTATATACAGATGAGATATGTGGCTTATATACAGATGAGATATGAGGTTTACATATAGATATGAGGCTTACATACCGTTACTGATGATATATGTGGCTAACATACAGATGGGATATACGGCTTACATACAGATGAGATATGTGACTTACATACATATGAGATTTGTGGCTTACATACAGATGAAATATGTGACTTACATACAGATGAGATATCATGCTTACATACAGATGAGATATGTGACTTACATACAGATGAGATATGTGGCTTACATACAGATGAGATATGTGGCTTAAATACAGATGAGTTATACAGCTTATAATTATGCAGATGAGATATGAGGCTTACATTTAGATATGAGGCTTACATACATATGGGATATGTTACTTGCATACAGATGGGATATGTGGCTTACATCTAGATATGAGACTTTATATGCAGATGGGATATGTGGCTTACATACAGATGAGATATGTGGCTTAAATACAGATGAGGTATACAGCTAACATACAGATGAGATATCATGCTTACATTTAGATATGAGGCTTACATACAGATGGGATATGTGGCTTACATACAGATGAGATATGTAACTTACATACAGATGAGGTATACAGCTTACATACAGATGGGATATGTGGCTTACATCAGATAAGATATCTGGCTTACATACAGATGAGATATGAGGCTTACATACAGATGAGATTTCTGGCTTACATATAGATGAATAGATAAAATATGTGACCTTCATATAGATATCTGGCTTACATACAGATGAGATATCAGGCTTACATACAGATGAATAGATGAAATATGAGACCTTCATATAGATATCTGGCTTACATACAGATGAAATATTTGGCTTACATACAGATGAAATATCAGGCTTACATACAGATGAGATATCAGGCTTACATACAGATGAGATATCAGGCTTACATACAGATGAGATATCAGGCTTACATACAGATGAGATATCAGGCTTACACATAGATATGTGGCTTACATACAGATAAGATTTCTGGCTTACATACAGATGAGATATGAGGCTTACATACAGATGAGATTTCTGGCTTACATATAGATGAATAGATGAAATATGAGACCTTCATATAGATATATGGCTTACATACAGATGAAATATCAGGCTTACATACAGATGAGATATCAGGCTTACATACAGATGAGATATCTGGCTTACATACAGATGAGATATCAGGCTTACATACAGATGAGATATGATGCTTACATATAGATATGTGGCTTACATACAAATGAAATATGTGACATACCTATTTCACATGTTTCTCCTTCAAAACCATCTGGACATCGACAATAAAAGGAACCAATCAAATTTGTGCATGTTCCACCATTCTTACATGGGTTTGACTCCAAACATTCATTCACATCTGGAATTGAATGAAAAATAAAGTAAATTGATAAGTATTGATTGTGTAAATTGTTGACCTTTGTCTTAAATTATTTTGATAAACTAAACGTATAAATATATGACATATTTTTATTGAAACTTGTGTTGTTTTACATTTGAGAGACTTGTTAATCTTACCATATTGACATTTGTCTCCGGACCAACCATGTGGACATATACAGTTGAAGAGCCCAGTCTGTGTAAGAGATTCTGCACAGGTACCACCATTTACACACTGTATTCTTAAACATGGATTCTTGTCTGCAGTGATAAATATACATATTTCTTTACAATATACACTGGAGGCCCTTTAAAATGCTCATGTTGGGGTCCATGATCTCAAGACCATGTTGTAATGGGTAACCGTTTATATGCTCAACGTGTAATTACATTACCCCATCCACCACCAAAACTTTTAACACTTATTAGCGGTAACAATTGTTCACTTACCAATCAGTGGATATTAGTATATTTTCTAAAATGATTTGTAATGCAATTTAATATTATTTTGTAAAGTATTACTGAGTACCATACATATAAGCAGCCTTAAGTTGACAAAAAAGGGTTGCAAAAATTGTCCATAAAAATCAACTCGATTTCTTGTTGGCCTTTTTTGAGAGTTTTATTTACAGTGATGCGGGTTCATTTTTAGAACTGATTTGAAAAGAAACAAAGACATAATGTTTGAAGAAAAAACTATCAAAATGAATCCAATTTAAATGATGCAATGGATGTTTGATAAAAATGTTCAGTTATTTAATCAGCCGAATAAAGAAACTCACATTCAGCAATTCAAACATTTCCTTTTGTTGGTGAAGAATATAAACTAAAAAGATTTACCATTCTCAAAAAACAAAGTGTCAACAGGTGCTAAGACAATGTACATTGACGGTACCTTTGATAGTTTGTCAAGGCAGCAGTTCTTACCGACTTACGTCATGCTCAAGATGTTTGTATTGATTAATTATATGCACAATGTTTTAGCGCTGACCAAACAAAGACCAATCAAAATTAATTTACTCATTTGTCAGACTACTCAATTGTCAGACACTCCCTAGCCAATCATGTTTGATAAGCTTCATCTCATAGACTTTTTTAATGAGCGTTATATCGGAGAGCACTTTATCAAGGCTCCAGTGTACTTATTCATGCAATAAATGGAGATTTAAAAAAATCAGGTATAAATTATGGATTATCATTCACATTAAGAATTTGCTCTGAATGAAATTTGCTCTACAAATGTTGTAAAGTATTTAAGTTATTCATTATAGAACACCCACTGAAGTTTGCAGTTATAACTAAATATTTCTTTTATGTAAAAAGCATTTTACAGACATAAAAGTTATGTTAAAACAGTTTGTTGAGTTGACAGGCTACCATTTATAAACAGTTATCTTCTGTTGAATGACAGCTATCTACTGATGAACAAGGGGTACAATTATCACTTTATTACTGGCCCTTTAATACCTTCTTCACAATGTTTGCCTCCCCAGCCCTGAGCACAATCACATCTGTATCCACCTTCAGTATTTATACATACACCATCATGAAGACATATAAATGGATTCAACTGACATTCATTTGTATCTTGAAGAGAAAAAAGGGAAACAAGATGTTAAAATAGATGTCTTTTATTATAATTACATATATGTCATTCTTTAATGTTAAAAATGTGATTAAAATTACATGAACAAGTTCTTTTTGTTAAATTATTAAATGTATAAAGATGTATAAAGATGGATCCACATAGACAATACTTCCTATAATTCTCACAGCTTGGATTATTAACAAAGAAAAAAATAGCTTAGAGTATACTTATATACATAAACCAATAGTTAGTAGAGTACCATTTTTGCAGAGTGGACCTCTCCATTGAGAAGGACAGTCACACGTAAATGACCCAAAACTGTTCAAACATATTCCACCATTAGCACATGGAGATTGTAAACACTCATTGACATCTACAATATTAACATAAACATCTTAAAACTTTTTAAAATCATAGTTTTTGTGTGAAGAATTAAAATAAACCATCCTGGGTTAATACATAAAAAAATAATTCAAAAAATGTTGTTGTTGTTGTTTTATCTTATTGTAATCAAAGTTAAATTTTATCATAATAACTTCTAACAGTTTCCTGGACTTGGGAAAAATAAAACAGACAACATTACAAACAAAACTTACTACAGGATTAACAGACACTGGTAAAATATATCTATGACTTACAAGGCATATTAAAGGAAGTGAAATTATCAATTTGTAGTATTGATGTGATTTGACACATAAAACCAGTTGTATATTATCAGTTGTCTATGCCAGTAACATATAGCCAGATCACTTCATTACAGGAAAGTTTAAACTGATATAACAATTGACAGTTACATATTCAAAGCAGGAATAGCTGTTTATAAAACATTGACAGTGAAATATAGTGCTTCAATTATCTTACCTATATTACAGTCTTTGCCTGTCCAGCCAGGAGGACATTGACACACATATCCACCAGCTTGGTTTATACATGTAGCACCATTGTGACATGGTTTTATATCTACACATTCATCTGGATCTGTAAAACATTATAATAACATTCATGTTTAAATTATTATAAAATTGTAGAGAAAGAAACCCCATTTGATATTTAAACTTTAAAGTTTAACAAACAACTCAGTGTATCAGGATATGTGATGTCAATTATTTAATGATTTATACATACCTTCTTGACAAGTAGGTCCAGTCCATTCAGGCGGACAGCGACATATAAAACCACCATAAGAATTAAAGCAGGTTCCACCATTGTGACATATAGATGGTGTTTGTTCACACTCATTTACATCTTGAAATATAATATAAAAAATACTAATACAACATGATTGTACACTATTATAAAGTTTTAGTGATTTTATTGTTTTTAATATCTAAGTAAATATATATAAAAAGTCACCACAACTAGGACAGTTACAAGACTTATCAAACATCAACTTGAAATAGAAGAAAATCAAACAACACAGTCATTAGTGACATTTCTGTCACAACTATTCATAAGCACATTTACTATCTTAATAAACATGCCATAAACAACATAAACCATCAAAATAATGCTACTTAATAGCTGTTTTATCTGTGCAAGTAAAATCAAAATATGAAAATAAATTACTTAGTCAATATAGAAAGCTGACATGTTTACATAAGAAAGATGTAGTATACATGATATATTATAATTTACTAACCTAATTCACATATATCTCCAGTCCATACAGGCAGACAGAAACATCTGTATCCACCAACAGTATTAGTACATGTACCACCATGTAGACATGGATTTGTCATTTCACATTCATTAAAATCTGAAATAACAATTTACTATGTTGAGACAACACTACAAAAATCTAGAACTGCTACAGACTGGTAAGGATACCCCTGCATGCCACTTTGTAAATAGGTTATTTATTTTGAATAATTTCATATATATGATATATTTATATTCTTTGTTTTCTTTTATACATAATTATCTTGGATAGTTTATATAATGTTTCAAGATGCAACCTTTTTTTCTCAAAATGATGTGCAATATCTCCATATTACCATTTATCTATGTTTCATGAAAATTTTGTAAGTACATAGTTAAATTTGAATAAGCACACCACAGATCAAGTGCATTACAGGTCTGCTTATTTCAAGTATATCTTTAGTTGTTACTGTTTTTTCAATGTGTTTGCAGGAATCAAGTCACTTTGCACAATAAATCAGTGGATGATATGATTAGGAATTATAATTTGCTTCTCTGGATGCCTAGCTACATGCTAGCACAAACAGCTTAATTAGTTTCTGTCTTTTACTGTTAGAAGAGTAGCATTTACAAGATAATATAAGTGTGGACAGATGATGACAATTTGATTCCAGTATACCCACTTTAAACTTTGTTTGTGTGGATATAATAAAAGTAAACCCATTTTTATGACAACAAATAAACATTTCTTCTTATCTAAGACAGTCATAATACAACTAGAATAAAGCCATTACATACAATAATTCAATTCTATAATTACCAATTGTGCATTTTTCCCCAGTCCACTGTGGTGGACATAAACATTGGAAGTCTCCCCTGATGTTGATACATGTACCTCCATTACTACATGGGTTAATGTTGAGACATTCATCCACATCTAAAATCACAACATCTATGTTTATATAATTACAGCAACATATTTTATATATAACCAAATACTCACAGCAACACATTTTATATACTCACAAGTTTATGTTTATATAATCACATATTATGTTTATATAATAACAATATGATGTTTACACTGTATAATCACAACATCAAAGTTTATATATAAACATTTATTAGATAAGTTTACATATAAATAATAAACTTAAGTAATCATTGAGTATCTAATTAACCAGCGGAGCTTTTGAGACAATAATGTAAATCACATGCTACTATTATATTAAGGCCAGTAGTTAGACAGTTTAACACATTTGCTCAATTTAAGTTACTTATTAAAACTAAAGCAACATGTTATAAAAGCTCAGCAATGTAAAAATTATAAACAACTAAAGCTGTTGATTTAATAATCCACTGGATTTTTCTCAGTGGTTGATAGTAAAACAAGAGTCTGGATAATACAGAAATTTCTAAGTTCAATAAGGGCCATAATTCTGACAAAATCCTGTTAGAATTATGGGTCTTATACAGTGACCTCCAATTATGCTCTCAAATAATTGATTTGAGTTTCAACCAAGCTCCTACTATTGTTTTGAGAAACCAATTTGCATGCAGAAACCAAAGTGTGACATGGACTCTTAGATGAGTACAATCTTTGAATAGTTGAGCTAAAAATAATGCAGCGTTTTGGTAGACTGCCCATATCATTTAGAAAGTGGATAACTGTGAACTATGTTTAATAAAGATAACTGATATAATATGTTACTAGTTCAGTAAAATTACTTATATCCTAATTGTATATCAAATGTATAAATATATATTACTTACCAAACTGGCAGTCATCTCCTTGCCATTGTTCGGGACAACGACAGATATAACCACCAGCAATATTTGTACATGTACCACCATTAAGACAAGGTGAATATAGTGTACATTCATCAACATCTAAAATATCAATAAATGTTATCCATAAACATCTATATTTAAATATAACTCATATAATCATTTACTGCAGTTGTACATACAATTTTACTAACTTTACAATCATATTGATTTTGTAACAATGTCATTTAGGCAGAAAAGATATTATAAAATAACACAATACAATATTTTCCAACAATTATTTCAAGTGTACACAATTTCTTTTATGGAAATTTAAATATAAGGGAAGTGCTTTTATTTTGAATTTAATGATTTCATTTTATCATATACATTCCTGCTTAAACGTTCATAACAATCCAACTAATAAATATGGCTAGAAAAAAGATAATTCTCCTATAAAATGCCATCTTAGAAACAAAGAACCATAATTCAAAAACAGTTGAGTGGATTTTTATGACATATGGTGTCATTTCACTATATGTATAAACATTCCTGCAACATTTCAGGACAATTAGGACAACCAATTCCAGATAGACAATATCATCTCAAAAAGCCTTTTTGAATTTTATCAGGGAAGAATTGTTTAAACTATATACCAAAGCAATTAGACAGAAAAAAGGGTATATAATAAAATTGCATACCAGTCAAACAATCTTTACCAGTCCATTCAGGTGGACACTGGCACTGGTATGAACCATCCAAGTTCACACAATTACCACCATTTCTACATGGATTACGATTACATTCATTCTCATCTGAAAGAAGAGTTAACTTGACTATAAACCAAAGTATGAACACTTATATAAACTATAATGTCATGATGAATATGTACCTATGTTATATCAATTATTTTGTAAAAGGCTTGTCCTTCTGCTGTGAATAAATGCTTTATTGTGATCATTTTGATTGTACCAATTATCTGTTATAAGATATCTAATTGTCAAGGAAAGAAGAAGTTATAACAGATTTCTTCTTTCTTACTTTACACACATCAGAGTAACATTGATATTAACCAATCGTGCTTAAAATAATTACTGATTACATGTAACTATTAGACTATCATATCATTATACTATCTAAAAATATAGGGTAATGTAAACTTTGGTTAATCATATTTCATAATCAGAATGTTACATTTCTATTATAAAAATTCAATATTCACTTTGAAGAGAACTTTAAATGATTTTTCAGATGGTTTTATTTGAGATGAAAATCAATTAACTAAAAACAATGATTTGCATTTTCCTTTAAATAATATATATAAAATATCTTACCAACTTCACAGTTCTGACCAGTCCAACCTGGCTTACATGTACATCTATAAGATCCTAAAGTATTTGTACATGTACCGCCATTAAAACATGGTACTCCAGGCTCAAGTGCTATTGAACACTCATCTACATCTAAACAAATTTAAATCAATCATATATATGATAATGAAAGTCATGAGCGGGAAATTATACGCAGTATCACACGAAAAATCGGCATGCTGCATCAGAGACTCGAACCAAGGGTTTTAGATTTCCGGTCCAGGATGTTTACAACTACATCACAGCAGCCGTTGCATTTTCTTCTTGATATAAATAACAATGTTTCCATTTTTCTACAAGACTCACATTATGGAAACTTGCTACTCTATCAGGGTATTGATATTTAACAGTTTTTACTTCTCTGTTGCTTAATTCTTCACATTGAACAAAAGAACATTTCTGTTGTAATAAGATTAAGGGAAAGGATTATTGAGACATTTTTGATTGCTCACTGAATTAAATAAAACATAATTAATATATAATTTTGACATCTGTTAAAATTATCTTGTTAAATATACTGCATAAAATTATTTTTATATAATTTGTTTAGCCTATAAATCAGTGAAAACATACCTTTATCACAGTTTTTGCCAGTCCATCCAAGTTTACATTCACAGATGTAAGTACCATACATATCTATACATCTTTCAGCATGTAAACATGGACTGTATAACATACATTCATCTATATCTACAATAACAAATATAATACATCTAGTCATGTTAACCATCTCAGCAGCTTCTAGAACAATAACTATGCACAGTTTCAGGGATAATGCGGGAAGAAGTGAGTTACCTCAAAATAGATAACTTCACTAAAACTTATAAATATGTATTGAATTATGATGAATCAACAAATTGTTAAAACAAACATACAAAGCTAAGAATTTGTGTTTTAACTTAAGATATCACCATAAAATTTTGATAATAAGAATAAGAATAAAGAAAAATGCAATGATGTGTTAGCTGTTTGTTATATTATAATGATTGTGTGCTTAGCTGTATGTTATATTGTAATGATTGTGTGTGTTAGCTGTTTGTTATATTGTAATGATTGTGTGTGTTAGCTGTATGTTATATTGTAATGATTGTGTGTGTTAGCTGTATGTTATATTGTAATGATTGTGTGTGTTACCTGTTTGTTATATTGTAATGATTGTGTGTGTCAACTGTATATTATATTGTAATGATTGTGTGTTATTGTAATGATTGTGTGCGTCAGCTGTATGTTATATTACAATGATTGTGTGCGTTAGCTGTATGTTATATTGTAATGATTGTGTGTGTTAGCTGTATGTTATATTGTAATGATTGTGTGTGTCAGCTGTATGTTATATTGTAATGATTGTGTGCGTTAGCTGTTTGTTATATTGTAATGATTGTGTGCTTAGCTGTATGTTATATTGTAATGATTGTGTGTGTTAGCTGTTTGTTATATTGTAATGATTGTGTGTGTTAGCTGTATGTTATATTGTAATGATTGTGTGTGTTAGCTGTTTGTTATATTGTAATGATTGTGTGTGTTAGCTGTTTGTTATATTGTAATGATTGTGTGTGTCAGCTGTATGTTATATTGTAATGATTGTGTGTGTTAGCTGTTTGTCATATTGTAATGATTGTGTGTGTCAGCTGTATGTTATATTGTAATGATTGTGTGTGTTAGCTGTATGTTATATTGTAATGATTGTGTGTGTTAGCTGTTTGTTATATTGTAATGATTGTGTGTGTTAGCTGTTTGTTATATTGTAATGATTGTGTGTGTTAGCTGTTTGTCATATTGTAATGATTGTGTGTGTCAGCTGTATGTTATATTGTAATGATTGTGTGTGTTAGCTGTTTGTTATATTGTAATGATTGTGTGTGTTAGCAGTTTGTTATATTGTAATGATTGTGTGTGTTAGCTGTATGTTATATTGTAATGATTGTGTGTGTTAGCTGTTTGTTATATTGTAATGACTGTGTGTGTCAGCTGTATGTTATTTTGTAATGATTGTGTGTGTTAGCAGTTTGTTATATTGTAATGATTGTGTGTGTTAGCAGTTTGTTATATTGTAATGATTGTGTGTGTTAGCTGTTTGTTATATTATAATGATTGTGTGTGTCAGCTGTTTGTAATATTGTAATGATTGTGTGTGTCAGCTGTATGTTATATTATAATGATTGTGTGTGTTAGCTGTTTGTTATATTGTAATAATTGTGTGTGTTAGCTGTATGTTATATTGTAATGATTGTGTGTGTTAGCTGTTTGTCATATTGTAATGATTGTGTGTGTGTGTGTGTTAGCTGTTTGTTATATTGTAATGATTGTGTGCGTCAGCTGTATGTTATATTGTAATGATTGTGTGTGTTAGCTGTTTGTTATATAGTAATGATTGTGTGTGTTAGCTGTTTGTTATATTGTAATGATTGTGTGTTAGCTGTTTGTTATATTGTAATGATTGTGTGTGTCAGCTGTATGTTATATTGTAATGATTGTGTGAGTTAGCTGTTTGTTATATTGTAATGATTGTGTGTTAGCTGTTTGTTATATTGTAATGATTGTGTGTGTCAGCTGTATGTTATTTTGTAATGATTGTGTGAGTTTGCTGTTTGTTATATTGTAATGATTGTGTGTTAGCTGTTTGTTATATTGTAATGATTGTGTGTGTTAGCTGTTTGTTATATTGTAATGATTGTGTGTGTTAGCTGTTTGTCATATTGTAATGATTGTGTGTGTTAGCTGTATGTTATTTTGTAATGATTGTGTGTGTTAGCTGTTTGTTATATTGTAATGATTGTGTGTTAGCTGTTTGTTATATTGTAATGATTGTGTGTGTCAGCTGTATGTTATTTTGTAATGATTGTGTGTGTTAGCTGTTTGTTATATTGTAATGATTGTGTGTGTTAGCTGTTTGTCATATTGTAATGATTGTGTGTGTCAGCTGTATGTTATATTATAATGATTGTGTGCGTTAGCTGTTCGTTATATTGTAATGATTGTGTGTGTGTTAGCTGTATGTTATATTGTAATGATTGTGTGTGTTAGCTGTATGTTATTTTGTAATGATTGTGTGTGTTAGCTGTTTGTTATATTGTAATGATTGTGTGTGTTAGCTGTTTGTCATATTGTAATGATTGTGTGTGTCAGCTGTATGTTATATTATAATGATTGTGTCATTAGCTGTTCGTTATATTGTAATGATTGTGTGCGTTAGCTGTTTGTTACATTGTAATGATTTTGTGCATTAACTGTTTGTTATATTATAATGATTGTGTGTGTCAGCTGTATGTTATATTTTAATGATTGTGTGCATTAGCTGTATGTTATATTGTAATGATTGTGTGTGTCAGCTGTATGTTATATTGTAATGATTGTGTGTGTTAGCTGTATGTTATATTGTAATGATTGTGTGTGTTAGATGTTTGTTATATTGTAATGATTGTGTGTGTGTTAGCTGTTTGTTATATTGTAATGATTGTGTGTGTTAGCTGTTTGTTATATTGTAATGATTGTGTGTGTTAGCTGTATGTTATATTGTAATGATTGTGTGTGTTAGCTGTTTGTTATATTGTAATGATTGTGTGTGTTAGCTGTTTGTTATATTGTAATGATTGTGTGTGTTAGCTGTTTGTCATATTGTAATGATTGTGTGTGTTAGCTGTTTGTCATATTGTAATGATTGTGTGTGTTAGCTGTTTGCTATATTGTAATGATTGTGTGTGTTAGCTGTTTGTCATATTGTAATGATTGTGTGTGTTAGCTGTATGTTATATTGTAATGATTGTGTGTGTTAGCTGTTTTTCATATTGTAATTATTGTGTGTGTTAACTGTTTGTTATATTGTAATGATTGTGTGTGTTAGCTGTTTGTTATATTGTAATGATTGTGTGCGTCAGCTGTATGTTATATTATAATGATTGTGTGTGTTAGCTGTTTGTTATATATTGTAATGATTGTGTGTGTTAGCTGTATGTTATATTGTAATGATTGTGTGTGTTAGCAGTTTGTTATATTGTAATGATTGTGTGTGTTAGCTGTATGTTATATTGTAATGATTGTGTGTGTTAGCTGTTTGTCATATTGTAATGATTGTGTGTGTTAGCTGTTTGTTATATTGTAATGATTGTGTGTGTTAGCTGTTTGTTATATTGTTATGATTGTGAATGTTAGCGGTTTGTTATATTGTAATGATTGTGTGTGTTAGCTGTTTGTCATATTGTAATGATTGTGTGTGTTAGCTGTTTGTTATATTGTAATGATTTGTGTGTGTTAGCTGTTTGTCATATTGTAATGATTGTGTGTGTTAGCTGTTTGTTATATTGTAATGATTGTGTGTGTTAGCTGTTTGTTATATTGTTATGATTGTGAATGTTAGCGGTTTGTTATATTGTAATGATTGTGTGTGTTAGCTGTTTGTCATATTGTAATGATTGTGTGTGTTAGCTGTTTGTTATATTGTAATGATTGTGTGTGTTAGCTGTTTGTCATATTGTAATGATTGTGTGTGTTAGCTGTTTGTTATATTGTAATGATTGTGTGTGTTAGCTGTTTGTTATATTGTAATGATTGTGTGTGTTAGCTGTTTGTTATATTGTAATGATTGTGTGTGTTAGCTGTTTGTTATATTGTAATGATTGTGTGTGTTAGCTGTTTGTTATATTGTAATGATTGTGTGCGTTAGCTGTATGTTATATTGTAATGATTGTGTGTGTTAGCTGTATGTTATATTGTAATGATTGTGTGCGTTAGCTGTATGTTATATTGTAATGATTGTGTGCGTTAGCTGTATGTTATATTGTAATGATTGTGTGCGTTAGCTGTTTGTTATATTGTAATGATTGTGTGCGTTAGCTGTTTGTTATATTGTAATGATTGTGTGCGTTAGCTGTATGTTATATTGTAATGATTGTGTCTGTAGCTGTTTGATATATTGCAATGATTGTGTGTGTTAACATTTTGTTATATTGTAATGTTCGCTATATACTGGTTGTTTATAACATACTCATTTGTTATACTGGTGACTTCACTAGAACTTAGATCCACAGTATGTATTTTTCCTGTAATAAACTTACTTTTTTCACAATACTGTCCCTCAAAGCCTTGCAGACATTCACATATAAAAGATCCGGCTGTATTTTCACATGTGGCATTATGCATACAACGGTTAAAATCACACTCATTCACATCTGTTATGTAGAAAGACATAAAAAAATTATATACACAGAAATATCATTGCATTTATTTGTTTTACTAAATCATTAATGTCAATTTCCTGCATCCACCAACAGATGATTTATAATTAGATAATTTGTGATTGCTATTTCTTGCCTTGTTATTTGTTGTAAAGAACAATTTGATCATATTTGAAAGTTACTTACCAGTTTCACAATTTTTGCCTGTTCTTCCAGGTGGACACTGACACCTATAGGAGCCAGGTAGATTGATACAGGTACCTCCAAATTTACACATTGTTGGGTTCATACACTCATCAACATCTGGAAAATAGACATGATTATTGTCATCAATATGTATAGCATATATACTTAACAGGAGAGATGTTTAATGTGATTGTAGACAAAAATGACAAAAACAACATACTGAAATATTCACAAAGAAATTCATGAAAAATATCACATTTTTATCATAATCTTGACATAATAATAGTATTTAATATTGTACTGAAAGTATATATTCACATATTCATCATTATATTATTATAATTATTGTTATCAATGTTACCTAGCAACAATTTGTGAGAAGAATAAGTGTACCTTTTCCACAATAAGAACCAGTCCATCCATTTGGACAAATACAGCTGTATGAACCATTCTTGTTCTCACATGTTCCTCCATTTAGACAAGGGTCAACAATATCAATACATTCATTATAATCTGAAATAATTCAACATTTTAACATGATAACTATAATACTATCTTGACTATACTGCCATAATAAAGTCAGGCCAGTTGACACATACATGAGTAGTCTGAACAAACTCTCTACTTATTTCTAATATTTCTTGCTGATATTTATTGATGGTTTGCTAGTTCCTTGAACAAAGCATTATAAATTAATATACAAAATAGATACAAATTATGTATATTAATTAGTTTTATTAGAGATGAGTATTTTGTTATCAAGTTAGTAACACAATCCAGCTTACTTTACATGTTTTATAAATTTACAATGAGTTATGTATCTTGATCTGTTGAAACAACTGTTCTCTATTTCCACAATTAAGTTATAAACTTTTTCAAATTTAATTGGCCAAAAAAAAAACCCACATATTAAGAATATTTGGTACCTACCAATAGTGCAATTAGCGCCAGTCCATCCTGCAGGACACCTACAAGTATAGGAGCCAGGACTATCTATACAAGTACCACCATGTCTACACGGCATGTAAATATTACACTCATTCACATCTAAAAATTGATACAGAAATATATATATATATATATATATATACAATTCATCATACAATTACAGACCTCGCTTTATAGTAAAAGTCAAATATAACAAATTAAATTTGCAACCATGCACAAATTTTATAAAAATTATTTTAAAGCAACTCCACTGAGGTCAAAAGCAACTTTATATGTTTTTTATAACTATAAGCTATAGTACAGTAAATATATATTCTGTAACTTTATTTTAATTTATTTACCAATATATTATCAAATGAAAAATATGATTAAAATATTTACTTCTGCGACAGTTAGGTCCAGTCCAGTTAGGTGTACAATAACATTTATAAGAACCATACAAGTTCTCACATCGTCCTCCATTGGTACATATATCTAACAAACACTCGTCTACATCTGAAATACATACACACGTCTTATATAAATGATCCTTACTATGCTTATACATCTGTCACACTATACCTTGTTCTCAATGCTTTGACATTGCATGGTCAAATATTTTACATGAAAATCACACAAAAAAGCATATTAATTTTATTGTGAAGATAAGTATTCACAACAGCCTACAGTGACTATGTTATTAGAGAGTTCCCAATGTGTTCTATCATATTTCTATAGTGTTTTGTTCACAAATGTCTGCGCACACATGACACTGTGCTAGAACTGCAGTGACAAAGTCTTGATGCTTTCATTTTCACTTTCTTTAAGTGTGATAGACATGAGTAACATCTCAGAAAACACCAATACAATCTCCTACACAGTTACTATGGCATTGTGGGAGATCTTACTGTACTCTTAATAATTTGTATTTTCTTTGACACTGTTCGAATTTTATATTGTATGTATACCCTTAAATTAAAAAATTGTTTAAAAAAAAAATTGGAAAAACATTCATGTAGCATTCAAAAAATCAAACATACCCTCAGTACAATTTTGTCCTGTCCACCCATCTGCACAAAAACACTGATATGAACCATCAGTATTTACACATGTGGCACCATTTCCACATGGCCGATATAACACACATTCATCTTCATCTTTAAAAAGATAATCAACAAGTTCAATGAGCTTATTTTCAGTACATTTCAATTTTGTGCCAACCCAAGGCTAAAATTACAAGAACAGTTAATCTATCCATTTATAGGAATGGTACAAATATATACCTAATTGCTGGAGCAGTATATCAAATTGCAAAAGAAATACATCTAAATGCAGGTGCTGTAATGTTACCTAACTACAAGTGATGTAAACCTAAATGAAATTGTACACTTACCATCTGAACATGTAGGGCCAGTTCTTCCTCGTGGACATATACACTCAAATCCTCCTATTCGGTTTACACATGTCCCTCCATATTCACATGCCTCCACAAAATCTGTGCACTCATTTTTATCTGGAAATGTTTCAATGTATACATATATATTTGAACTATAAATTTTGCTGTCACTTACGGTATGTAATAATGTATTCTTTTAATCAATTTCAATATTTGAATGTGACAATTTAAAGAAAAAAACATACACACAAATCAACTGTAGATATTATATTACCTTCAGTACATGCTGGTCCGGTCCAGCCTGGAGCACATTTACAGATGTATTTACCATCACTACCATCAATACATGTAGCACCATTCTTACATGGCTGTGTTAGACAATCCTGACTCACTGAAATAAAACCAGCATAAAACTAACAATAACCACAATTGTTTATAATAATAAATGTAAAATCATGATTCATTATCATACTTCTTCTTATATATCACATTGTTTGTTTTAAGTTTTAAATATCATAAGATCAGTTCCTTAGATAATGTATGTAGAACAATTTAAACTAAAATAAGGTCTTTGTATGTCAGCAAAATTTCAAATAAGTACTAACTATGTACAAAAGTATTGTTGAGTGAACATGATAAAAACCCAATATTGTAGTTGATGGTTTAAAACAATAGTTCTTGTTGACTACTCTGTTTTTGTAATGTTACACTTAATTTCCTTAAATTACTAATGAACTGTTGAAAATTAAGCAGGTTAATGATGATTTAAGCTTACATGTATCACAATTTGGTCCTTTCCATCCTGGTTTACACAAACATTCATATCCTCCAGCTATATTGATACATGAACCTCCATTCTTACATGGTGCATTTACCAGACATTCATTTATATCTACAAATCACAGGAAAACATATGATAAAAGTCTGACATGAACCATCTTTCACACTTGCCTGGCCAGCTTAATGCAATTTATTTAAGTCAAGTAATTAAAGCAGATTTAACAGTGATTTACAAAATGTAGGCACAGTTTGGTTAAAAATATGTGACCATATTGGTCACTTTATAAGTTTATATATATTGTAAGTGTTTGTAACAAAAACAAACTAACCAATTCTACAATATGTTCCTGACCATCCTCTAGTACATTCACACAACTGGTTAGGTAAACCTAAACATGTTCCTCCATTATCACATGAAATAGTCTTACATATATCAACAACTGAAATACATCAAAATAGAAAATATCATCTTATATTCAACATATAGATACATAAACAGTAACATAAGTAATATATCATCAAAAACATGTATTGTAATACTGCATGCTTGTACATGTAACATAGCTTTTCATTGGATATACTCAAGATGTTTATATAATTTATAAACATGGCTCCACTAAATTTATTAATTAATTTTTCATTTTACCCTAAGATAGGTAAGGAATTTTGCTGTAATTCATTTTAAAAAATATGACATGTTACCTGGAAGTGTTTAATGGTTGTAATGATATAATACCCAAGCCAATGGCCGCAGTTATATAGCAAACAACCATTTATACACAGTCATATTGTCTGTCAAACATCTTTATAACAGATTTTATTAACTTGTAAACATGTCAAAATAACATAAAGAAGAAAATAGAAAGGTTGCATTAGAATAAAAAACGTACATGTCCCGCAGTTATCACCAGACCATCCATCTTGGCATCGACAATAATACAGTCCCACTGTGTTCACACATGTTCCATTATTAAGACAGGGATTTACACTTTGACACTCATTTATGTCTGCAATTGTTAAAATTTGTAATACCATAAAGTTTGTATGATAAAATGTTTTATTATATAAATGTACATACCTTGTTATATTTAATACATTTATCACAACTACAGAAAGAAACTTTGTATGACATACAATGTATGAGTGTGATCCAGATTGATATTGCGGAGGTAAAATATATCATGATTGAATCAAATGATTAAATTTCAGGAGTATAGTATCATGTATAGTAATAAATGGGTCATCATCAACTTATTTGATCTAATATTTGTATTTGGCTCTCATATTTTCTCACCCTGTGACATTTGATACCCAACGAGGGACTGTTTCTGAATATAGCTCAAAATTAAGTAGCCTATTGCTCTGTAACCCTGAGAAAATCATGGAAAAATTTCAATATAGCAGGACAGTATGTAATCACTATATTAAGGAGGCCAGATAGCTCAGTCAGTAGCGTTGAAATGGTATTCCAAGTGTTCCAAGTTTGTGTCCCGGTCAGGCTGCACATTTTTCTCACCCAAACAAGAAAAAGGTTGTGTATAGGTATAAATTATTAGGGCTAACATTTTACCTGAATTGTAGATTTCTCTATTTTGTAAGCAAATGGTGATATTACATTAGAGGAAAATAACTTTGTATTTATAAGCACATTTGAATATGTTATATCTATCAAGGCGACAGTATCATATGGCTTTTATAAGCCATAATAATATTTATGCTTACAGTACATATAACTATTTTTTTTGTAGAATATTTTATCCATACACAATGTGCCTGTTATATCATAGGTGTTTTTAAGGTCCAAGGTGTATGATCGAGGTAAGAAAGTATGGGTAAAGCGAGATTCTGACTCAGAGATTCTGACCCAGAACCGTGAAAAAAACACAGTCTATAAACACTTTACCAAATGTTCAAACATAAGAGTTTGTCTGATGGAATATGCACGTAACTATAATAACCGTATGCCAGTTATACCTGTTCCGTCTTGTATACATTTATTAAATTAACCATATTTTTGTCTTACGATGCCAAAACTATAAAAGTTTTATTAGCTCATTTAGAGCTTATAAAGTATAAAAAAAATATACCAAAAGGTTAGACATAAAAAACACATACATGTACCAACTTTTCAAATCGATCAAATGGCATTAAAGAGAATAAAGATATATTACTTGGAAGCCCCTGTCAAATAAATGTTAAAGATTACCTGTTCCACAGTCTTTGCCAGTGAAACCAACAGGACAGTTACAATAGTAAGAGCCTGGAGTGTTTACACATGTTCCTCCATTTCCACATGGCTGGAAGGAGCACTCATTGAAATCTGCAGTTAATACATAAATGTATAAATGAAAGCATAGCAAACTTGTAATTTACTGATAAAACATCGCTTGCATGTATCTAAAGTATACTGACAGTTTAAAAGGTAGCATGTAAATCAAAGATGATGGATTATTGTCTATATTGTGAAGGCCTAATATTTGGTGCATGAGGTACCGGAAAACAAGTTGTTAAAATGTAACATACCAACAGTGCAGTTAACTCCGGTCCAACCGTCTCTACACACACAATAATAAGAGCCGTAAGAGTTCATACATGTGCCATTATTCTGACATGGTGTGCTGAAACCTGTATTACCACATTCGTCCAGATCTGAATAGTAAAATGTATACATTCTGTATTATTATATTATCCTAGTTTGATACTCACTATATGCACAACCATTTAAAAGAAAACACTGACATTAATTCAACATGGAAATATTATATTTAGTCATTCAAAGCTCTGTAATTAGAATTATAATTCTTTGAATTTCAGCAGAGATAATTGACGATTCCCTCAAGATAACAGTTCCAATTTCAAACAGGAGAAGCACATAATACACAAGTGAATGAAGGAAGATTTTTCATATAAATTATGTTGGTGTAATGAAACGCATCATGAACTTATGTAAAAGTATCCAGTCTTTTACTGTATAATCAAACAAAATGTATTGTTCTTTAAATTGTAGTAATTGATGTTATCGTTATGAAGATCCAATTTTTTTAAACGAATCTGCCATTTACATTATAAATATTTCATTACTTATAAATATTTAAATTAAAAGAAAATATACACCTTGTCTACAGTCAGGACCTGTAAAACCAAGTGGACAAACACAATAGAAACTTCCAACAGTATTAATACACCGTGCACCATTGCCACATGGAAACCGTTCACATTCGTTCACATCTGAAAATAGACTTCGTTCTACATTAAACAGAAATATGATGCATTGACAATGATTTCATGCTGTCAAGTTGCACACATTTGAAATGTGTCTGATTATATTATCTTATCACGTCTTACAATGTATGAAGTAATTCAAATAATAATAATGCAATATTCTCCCAAAATCAACTGTAAATTGTGTTTATTTTACATTTGTAGTTCATATATGAGGTGTATATACCCAGATAGCAGACAGTAGTTGGCCCAACGTTGGGCCAATTACATTTGCTCTGTTGGCCCAACACATAATGCCAACGTTGGCCCAATGTCAATTTGCTAATTGGGGCAACGTTGGGCCAACGGTTGGTATATGGTTGGCCCAACGACTGCTTTCCTACTCTTATCGTTGGCCCTCCATTGGCCCAATGACTGGTTTTCCTTCCTATCGTTGGCCCTCTGTTGGCCCAACAACTGGTTTCCCTTCTTCTTGTTGGCCCCCCGTTGGCCCACTGACAGGTTTCCTACAATAAACATTGGCCCTTTGTTGGCCCAATGCCTTGTTTTCATAAAAGAACAAAATATATACTAATTACTACAATTTATTACTAAATGATGTTCACATATCATTTTCATTTTCTTCTCTTTGTTGTTGCAACTTTTTAGTCAATCTCTTCCTCCGCCCGCCTTCCCTATCCTTGGCATATCTTAGGCACTCCTTCATTGTCTTCTCGATTTCATTATTAGTAGACCCCTGTCTTCTTCCTCTTACAGCATCTGAAATTTATACAGTTTACTGATTTTATTTAAATATACACTACTAAAATTATAATTTACTAGTAAAAAAGCACATAAATCTGTCAAAATGCAAATAGAGCTAAGGGGATAAGACTTTGATAGTAAAGAAATATTTTAAATTACAAGTCAATAGATTTAATAGTAACAGAGATATTTGACATAATTAAAAATTTTAACCTAAAATTTTTAAGTTAAAAAGGAGCACAATTCTGTCAAAATACAAATAGAGTTATGATGATCATTTACAACACAAGAGTCACATCTTACACCCACGGTGTAAAATAATTTTCTAGCACCGGTGAATTCACCTTTGAAAAAGTAAAAATACAAACCTAATATGACTTTTTTAAGTCTAAGTTTTTCGAATGGTTTTTTCGAGCCTTTTCCAACCCAGTTGTATTCTAGGGCAACTTCCTGAGACAAAGTGTGAGACATAACATGGCGAACAATGCTCTCCCAATTAGACATAAATTTGCTGTCTGAAATGAAATAAAAACAATTTTTGCAGTCGGGTAAAGTAATTTGTGTTTAATGCGAAGTTACACTTCAAATTAAATTTACACAAAGTTTCGTATACACTCTTCTGCAATGAGTGGTGTAACTGTTAAAAAGTCTAGTAACAAAGCAGAATTTTGCAAATAACTCATAATCAATCATAATTACCCATTTATACTCAGAACAGATTGTATGAGCTTATCACTGCAGTGCTAATTGTAGCTTGTCAGTTTTTACTAACTTGCAATTTTTTTGCAGTTATCACAATAAATTCAGATGTAAAACTATAAACATATCATATTTTAAGTTGATAAACACTGATAGAATTAAATGGTTTTAATTTCATTACAAAAATCAAATTCATTCTGGCTTGTGTACCTGAAAACATCAAAGTATTTTCCTCTACCAATCCGCCATTTTGTATTAATCACATGACCTGGTCACGTGGATAGTATAACAGGTTTTAAAACACTAATTCCGTAAATACATTACTATATTAGAAGGGTTTATTTAAAAGATTAAAGTAAAAAAACTCTAGATCTACTTACATTTTTCAGTGTTGAGAAATTGCAGTCTAATACAAATTTATTTAGATCTATCTGTAAACACGTCCACGCAGCTTCGAAATCAAGCGAGGGAAAGGATGGGTAGTGCCAAAATGATCCTATTTTCATTCATTGATAACATAACCAGAGGTTAATTAGAGTTCAGAGTGGAAGATTCTGGAGGTTTATTATGGTTATTCTAGCACATGTATAATTGCTTTAGATTATACATCAGATCTTCAAGATTTCTATAGATCTATTGATACATATTCCCTACTACTGCATAGCCTGGGCTTTGGGCATTTCTAGACTCAAAAAGTAATTATTTCTTACATTTCTCATTTAATTTATATGAGTATTTCTTGAATGTGACAATATTGAACATGGCTTCAAAAAACATTATAAACTTTAGTCTTTACTCATTGTAGTGTACTGTTTATATACAGTAAAATATCTACATGCATATCTGTCTTTAAAAAAATAAATTTTGGGTCAGGTGCAGTAATTATATCATTAATATATTTGACGAAAATGTATCGTTGGTCAAACGTTGGCCCAACATCTGTTTTAAAGTACATATTTATCGTTATTGGGCCAATGCAGAAATGTCGCTGGCGTTAACTTATGGTTGGTTCGACGTTGGGCCAACAACTGCATTTATAGTACATGTTAATTAGAGTTGGGCCAACCATGGCCCAACAGCGATTTTCCTATGACGATTTTTCGTGGTTGGCCCAACCACTGCATGTTTACAGGGATAAAGGTGTTAATTTAGTTACCTGTTTCACATGTTGGTCCAGTAAAGCCTGGAGGACAAGAGCATTTGTAGGATCCTTGTAATTCCTCACATGTACCGCCATTCAGGCATGGGCTTATAGAGCATTCTTCAATGTCTGAAATATTTATAATAAATGTACATCTACTTAATTAACAGGGGGTATTCCCTCGTTGTGGTAACACTACATGTATTTCTTTTATTTCAAAAACAGAAAGACACCACTATTATAGTATGTTCTTTTATAGCAATTAAAAGGTGAAGTTAACTCGATCAGTTAATAAATGACGTGCTTTAAATTTAACAAATAAAGTGAGTTTGGAAATGCACCTAAACTAAAATATAAAGCAAGACACATACAGTAAGCAGTAAGCTTCAGTCACCATGTATATACACTAAATATAGAAATTACAGATTTATTACCCATGGTACAGTTTTCTCCTGTCCAACCAGGCGGACATATACAACGATAGGTTCCTATTTCATTGATACAGGTCGCTCCATTTTTACATGGACTGTATACAAAACATTCATCAACATCTAAAATATCAACAAAACACACATATCAAATCTCGAATATTGTTAAGATAATGCCATATAAAGCAAATTAATTGTAACAAATAATAATCAAACATGTAAACAGCCAAAAAGCCACATTCGTACAAACAAACAAGATTTTATGGTCATAGATCCATCTCTAGAATACATGTATACTGGGGGACCTTTCCTGTCTTTTACACTTGTAATCATTATTGTGAAATATTTTTTTTTAAAAATACCACTTTTAAACAAGGATATTAATAAAGTTTATAAGAAACCCCATCTCCATAGCTATGAGCTGTTTTCTGCACTTTGGTAGTTGTTTCATTGTTTCCGAGGTCTTCATTCATTTTTAGATAAAACAGTAAAAAATACTGTCGATGAGTAAAAAGGATACATGCAGTTTCTGTTACAAATTTATTAATATTTTCGAAGAACAATATGTCTAAAATAAATAACTTAAACAAGGGGAGGAATCACGCCGTTCGTTACCCAAACAAACAAGATGGCGGATGCAGCCAAAAAGTAGGTTTTTCCCTTTTTTCTCTGAAATTCGTGATGTTCTTGTGTAAAGGTACATATAACAACCTTCTCCACAATTTTCCTGGCACACAGAAATTTATTTCATGAAGTTTCGTCCCGTACTTCTTCTGAAATGCGCGTCACCAGATTCGAAGCGAGAGAATTTTCCACTGGTTTGATCGTGGTAACGTACGGCTTCTTCTCTAAAATTCACTGTTTTGTTTACATATATGTATATTAACTGAAATCACTGACATTAAAAAGTTGTAATATGTCGGCATCTAAGCATTCGTGCCCATTCTGGCTCGAATAACCGCTGAAAATATTAAAATCGGGGCATTTTCCGGAAATGATAACGTATGGCGCACAAAATATCAATGATAACGCACGGCGCATTTTTGTCTGCTTAATTGATTTTCTATATAAGAGAAAAGTTATGTTACCAGTTACCAGACATAAGAGGATGTGTAGAGCCAAATAAAGAAACTGAATATTATTTAGTGTTTGCATAATATCTGTCATGTGTTTTTGTATCGGATAGAAATATCCGATCCATTTCAGGGCTCTTTCGCATTGGGCTGTAACGAGTCTTGCTAACTTAAGCCCTTGTGCAGGTGCCAGTGGGATGGATATTAAAATCCGATAGGTAATCACGAGTGATATGTTTTCTTGCATATCATACTCGAATATAGAGCAACTTTTCCACCTTTGGTGATCTTAAAGTTTCGTCAAAAGTGAAACTTGATCCCAAATGTCAAATATCTATGTATATGTTAGTGCTCATCCGTACTGTTCTATAGAAATTATAGATTTTGACGGGAGCGATAGCGACAGAATGATGTTTTAATTTCTGTAGAACAGCTACGGATGAATACAAAAATGTACTAACATACTAAGCGTCAAGCTTTTTTGGCACTTTATTACGTCACTATGCTGTTCTATGAATTTTATTATGAAAATGAGAAATCGACTATGAACGGTATTCGATAAAGTATCGTCTTTTATTCTTCAATGAAAATTAGCGCACAGATTTTCTTTTAGAAAAACAGCGCTTTCATTGGGTGAGAAATAAATTTGGACACTACATAAACTTCTATTTTTCAAAGTGCTTCATAGAAATGTGTTCGTAAAATAGACAAGTATAGTGACGAAAGAAAGTAAATATTAATGAAGCCAAATAAAGCTTGACACTAAATATGTTAGTATTCATCCATGCTGTTCTACGGAAATAAGAAACATTCTCCGGCCGCTATCGCTCCTGTCAAAGTTTCTAAATTCTGTAGAACAACACAGATGAACACTAACTGATTACTACGCTACTATGATATTATTGTTTACGAAGTATATGTTACTAACATATACTTCGTAAACACTATTATCATAGTAGCGTAGTAATTGTACAGCTGTTCTTTCGTAAAGATAATGACGTCATCTGAGCGCATTCATGAGCGGTCTAGCTTTAATGATTTCAGACGGGTTCTCGGTAATGGACAAAACATCGAAATCCAAATCCGATTTGAAACTTTATCATGGTCGGTAAAATGTTTACCGCAAATTTCAATGACACTCTTTTATTGCTGATACCTGCAATACTATTTTGTAAGAGATTGATTGTTTTTGTTGGGGCGTTTGCGAGAAATAAAGCCAAAATATGATAGGCAAATTTATGAATTGGATGTAATTGTTTTGATCAAATCATTTATAATAAAAAACTGTACGGATATGTCGTGCAAATATATCTGACGTCATAGTGGCACAACGTCACGCTAAATAGAAAACGTTTCGTCAAATAAACTGGAAATTTCTTATTTAAAAATATATTGAATTTATTCGCAAAACATTATTTTCTAACTAATTCAATAAATTCAATATAGAACCTATACTGATTCATTATTCTCTTTTATGAATTTCTTTTAATGAGCGACCAGATTGTATAAACACAGGCTCATCTCCTCTGAGTGTAAGATAGTCGCAATCACTTTTCGTTTTGTTTATGTTTGACGTGAAATATTAAGATTTTCTTATCAGTAATTTGTTAAAGTAATTTTGGAAAAGAAAATATATCAAGTCTTCCGTACCATTTTAACATTTTTGCTCTGGTGAATGCATTTCTTCTTTCTGATAAGGGGATAAGACCATAATTATCGCACAACACTGGCGAAATTTAATGTGAAGACAACAATACACAAATGTTTCCTAAAAGTGGAGGCTTTTCTTTCCCTTCTGCATTTTATACAAAAATATTCTCAAACTATAAACCTGTGTTTTACTTGGTATATTTACAACGAATATCTATTATGCCACCAGCTAGAAAGATATTGATACCCGATGGTGCAGCATTGTTCAATAATTTATTTCTGAAATGACAAACTTTTTGTTTCAAATATCTATCATTTCCTACATACAAATTATTTATCATCAGCTGACTGGACAAATAGAAATCCACCAAGTAGAAAAATGCGCCGTACGTTATCATTGATATTTTATACGCCATACGTTATCATTTCCGGAAAATGCCCCGATATTAATATTTACACCAGTAAATCTAGCCAAAATGGGCATGAATGATTACTTAACAACATATTACAAATTTTTAAAGTCAGTGGTTTCAGTTAATATACATATATGTAAAGAAACAGCGAATTTGAGTGAAGAAGCCGTACGTTACCACGATCAAACCGGTGGAAAATTCTCTCGCTTCGAATCTGGTGACGCGCATTTCAGAAGAAGTACGGGACGAAACACCATGAAATAAATTTCTGTGTGCCAGGAAAATTGTGTAGAAGGTTGTTATATGTACCTTTACACAAGAACATCACGAATTTCAGAGAAAAAAGGGAAAAACCTACTTTTTGGCTGCGTCCGCCATCTTGTTTGTTTGGGTAACGAACGGCGTGATTCCTCCCCTTGTTAAATAAGTAATAAAAGTTATGTTTTCAAACCTTTTCCACAATTTGACCCGCTATATCCTGGCTCACAGATACATTCATATGATCCTGCCTTTTCAATACACCTTGCATTGTTTTGACAGGGGTTTGTGTCACATTCACGAATGTCTGAAAATAAATGTAGGTTTTTTAAATAGTTTTCAATTAACAAAAGGGAAAATCAACAATCATTAACAGTTATTATAGAAGAAAATTGAACTTGTATACGAAATAGAAACATAATTAATTAGGCCTACCTGTTTCACAATTACGACCTGTCCATCCCGACAGACACCTACACATGTAATCACCCACTAAATTAAAACAACTTGCTCCATTCTTGCATATGTCTGGCTTCTCAAGACATTCATGTATATCTGAAATATAAAAGAAAAAATCTATTGTTAGACACTACGAGCTGTATTTCAGTAAATATTGTTATTAAATAATGCGTATATATTTTTACTGTCTTATATCATTTATACGTAAATGTACATTTTTATGTGAATGTATAGAAAAAACATAATTGTGAAGAGCAAAATTAAACCAATGATATATAAGAGAAATCCGACTTTAGTATTTCTTTACTAGTAAAGCAAATTCATTTGATAAGGACGCCTGTTCTTTTTTAATATTAATGTTAATACTAATGTTACCTCTCTCACAGTAAGGACCTCTCCATTGAGGTGTACATTGACATGTGAATGATCCTAAATTGTCCAGGCATGTGGCTCCATTCTGACATGGTCTATCCAGACACTCATTGATATCTGAAATTAATCATGTTTAATTGTAAAATTATTGTAAAACACAAATTATTTTTGTATCTAATACTTGTCAATACTGACAGGAATTCCATAATTTCTGTATTTATATAATTTGATATAATATAAGTTAATATACCGAATATTTTGTTACTAAATGCAGTATGTTTAGTAACAAAAGAATAGAATATTAGAAGTTCGGTAACGTTAGAGGGCCTCCGTTTATAGTACGATCTTGATGTCGACTGATTTTAATTGGATTTGATGAACTGTATTTAAAAACACAAATTAATTTGTCTATCCGGTTATTTTGTCAAATCTTATCTCAATATGCTTGTAGTTTTTGTCCCGGCGAGAAGAATCTTTTCGTCTTTTGAAAAAAATATTTGTTGTTGTTGTTGTTGTTTTTTTGTTTCTATTATTATTATTAAATTTTTTTATTTTTTTTGACAATATTCTAGTCTGTGAATAAAATAAATTGATTTGTGTTAAAACGTGTCATCAATTCGAATAAAAATGAGTCGGCTTACACGTGATGATGATCAATTTGTTGATAAGCAGAAAAGGTAAAGTTTATCTAACTTTCACAAGATGCAGGTTAACAATGAATAAATGACATACTTGTTTCACAATGGTCACCGGTCCATCCGTTTTGGCAGAGGCAATAGTAAGATCCTGCTGTATCAACACACGTTCCATTATTTAGACAAATACCTTTCTCTTGACATTCATACACGTCTGTAATCAATTTTAATATTCGCTCAATATAAATTTATACAACAGTAAACTCGTCCAACAGAATTCAGTATTGTACTCAACAATGGATACTTACCTCATAATATCATATTACTGTTTTCTAACTTAAACTCAATGTAAATATATGGCAGTGTTTGTAAACATTCTTACAATATCAATATTTGATTTCATTAAATGTTATTTCTATTCTAAACAAACAAACAAACAAACAAACAAACAAATGCTGGTATATTCCCAGACTTATAGACTTATTTTCACTAAGAGACAAAATATTGAACATACTTTCTTCACAGAGCTGACCAGTACGACCTTGTGGACATTGACAGAAGAAACCACCCAATGTGTTCTGACAGCTACCACCATAAAGACACGGATTACCTCCAGCACATTCATTGATATCTGATATAGATAAAAGTATCTTATTATTCCTGTGTCCTATAAATTTAAGTTAATATTCACACGTAATTAAAATTACCTAATTGAATTTAGTTATTTTAGTATAAAACAAGAGAAATGTTGTTTAAATGTTGTTAAATGAAGAGTCACTTAATGTTATTTACTCCTTCAAATATTTAATGACAATATATAACGATTAAAGAAAACTTGATAAACAAAGAATTCAATTCATTACCCTTTCATAGAAAATAGAGAAAGTTTTTAGATAATTCAATTTAAATGTACCAAATTCACAGTGTTGTCCTGTCCAGCCATCGGGACATCTGCAAACGAATGATCCAGGAGTGTTCTCGCATTTACCTCCATTTTTACACCGATTAACGCTACACTCATTTATATCTATATGTGACATAAACAATAATTATTATATTATGATATTACCTTTAATAGCAACTATCAATCATACAAACTAGATTCTCTTTTAAATGATTTTCCGAGACAACACTACTTTCATAGTACCAGTATAAAAACCCTTATAAAAATGGCTAATCAATGTAAAACAACATGTCAATGTTTAATTTCACAATTTATTTTACATTATTTAACTACCCGAATATTCATTGATCACACGATTTTAAACTTACCGTAGCTACAATCATGTCCAGTCCAGCCATCTGGACACTGGCAGTGAAATCCGTTGATAGATTCAACACAAGTTGCACCATTACGACAGGGATTGCCCAAGCAGAACTTAAAAACTGAATATGAAATCAAAAGTGTTAGTTTTTTTAATTCTACTTCTTCAAATCCCTCCCGAGGTGTATATGTCGATAAGAGGGCAGGTCAAGTCATCCGATGTGCTAGCGATGATTGGTTGACCTGTCGTGACAAACTCGGGAGGATTGTGGTCAAGCAAGGGTCGTTTTGAAAGAAAGATGCATGGATGCTATTGTCGTTCCCACTGGATACCACCATGTACGAAGACATCCCCGATGTGGCAGCTAATGCGGACCGGCATGAACGCTGACATATGGTTCATTCTGGCGCCGAGCATAAATAAAACTAAAAACAACAACTTTGACTACACTGACCACACACGTACACCAAGCATTTATTCATTATGTATGGATTAACTAAGAAACAATGTGCAATTCTATGATTTACAACTCAACAAATAATTTTATTGCACAGGAGAAATAACAGTAAATAAGAAACTCTTACTTAAAGAAGGTGATACTCCAGCGGTTTGAGTAGGTTTGATTGAAGGTATAATTGACGGATCAGTGTGTGTGTAATTGACCGGGTGTAAGGACACGTTACAACTCTTAGCTATTAACATCAGATCTCCAACTTCAAACATTTCTTTCCTGTCAATTACATGACGCGGTGCATGTCTTTCTAGTTCATCAATAATTGCAGCTTTTAAAGTATCTGTCAAAAGCTCTCCGAATATAAGATGGAAGTTTACAGAAGACGGAGATCGCCTGAAAAAAGAAAAGCAAAGCAAAACTTGATTAAACATCATCCATTAATTCTCATACAGCAGTCGGAGACCGCATAAAAAAGAGGAGTGCAATGCAAAACTTTATTTAACATATTTCATTCTTTCTTGTTCGTGAAGAACGTTGAGTTTATAAGAAAGCCTGTGGAGACTAGAACAAACCAGTACTAGTGTCATAAGAGGAGACAGGGTCGTGGCTCAAGTACGGCTCGAACTCTCGGTTATCTTACATAATGCAAAATGCCTGCTGCCATGCCGAAGTAAGGCATCTATCTATTTATAATGATGTAATGCACCTACATGTATCTATCAATGATGTGCTACAGATGAAAAGTCTACCAATAAAAATATAACTTTTGACGTAATTAAGAAATACACACTAATGTTACATTTCCTAAATTAAACAATTCAAACATATATGTCATAAACCGAACAATTGAAAAAAAAACTGAACTGAACAAAATATGTATATGAGATCACATCTATGAAAATATTTCCTGAACCGAATAATATTCTTTTGTAACAATTTAATATGGTCGAAAAAAATTCGAATAGTTTCCTGAGGCAAGCGCGTTTTGTAAAATAATTTACAAATGAAAAATATAAATACTTCCTTGAATGAAAACACACACCGTACATGATGATAAATAAATAAATGATCAAGATGCAAACTTCATAGCAAGATAAGGAGTTCATATGTATGTAGAAATAATTACCTGAATCTAACAATGTAGCAATTCTTGTAAGATGCCGCTAGTTTGCCATGTCCATAGTAGGTGGCAACCTTTTAAATATACAATATTTGTGTTTATCATTTAAACATGTGCAGGATAAATAGTTTGTATATTTTGAATTTTAGCATAGAAAACTAAAGTTAAATGGGTTAAATAGTGTTGCTTTTATCAAGTTTGTACCTCACAGTAATTGATGGATTTCTGTTATAGACCGGGCAGGTACCACAGCCTTTGGGAATTAATGATTATACATGTACACAAGCATTTCAAGTGAGGATTAATTATTTTCCGTCTGTCGAAAAATACTTGAAAACGTTGAACTATATATAAACTTACATCTTCACAGAATTGTTCCTGCTGTTTGACAAACCCGAACGATGTTCTGTCATCATGATAAAATGGCAGAGATCTGTTGTATAGTAGACATGTGATGTCCGCTAGTGTTGCAGCTTAAATAAACAGAGAAAGATAATATAATGTGCAAATCATATCAATTACAAAGTGAAAGGTATAAAATCTAAAACTGATGAATAAATTAATATGAATGTTGTATGGTAACAAAAGTTTGATTATTGAGAAACTTACAATATATAGTAACGCCTGTGTCTGTAGGTAGGACATCAATTGTTCTAGATGGTCGAATCATCTCAGTAGCTCCACCAGTAAAGTTAGTCACAGACACTTTAACGTCACGTTCATTCCAAATTATCCTGAAACAAAATCAGACAATAAATATGACAACAAAAATACTATTTTATCAAATTTCACTGCTTAATCACTGTATGATCTTAAAAGCTCACTATTATAAATGTTAAATGTTTTTCCAGATCAGTTTTCATATCACTCATTTGTTAAGTTCAACTGTTTGAAAGCTATAAGCTTAATGAAACACTCAAACCATGCCCATATAAGCAACGTATTGGCCCTGATGGCCACTAGTCCGGCGCGTTAACACTCAGCTATGCCGCCACTATGTTTATCAATGTTAACTGCTTTATTATTGCTCACTATCTATTATAACATCTTGATCTATTCTACCAATGCTCACTGTTTATTATTTATATTACATCTTGATCTATTATACCAATGCTCACTGTTTATTATTACATCTTGATCTATTATATCAATGTTCACTGTTTATTATTACATCTTGATATATTCTACCAATGCTCACTGTTTATTATTACATCTTGATATATTCTACCAATGCTCACTGTTTATTATTACATCTTGATATATTCTACCAATGCTCACTGTTTATTATTACATCTTGATCTATTATACCAATGCTCACTGTTTATTATTACATCTTGATCTATTATACCAATGCTCATTGTTTATTATTACATCTTGATCTATTATACCAATGCTCACTGTTTATTATTTATATTACATCTTGATCTATTCTACCAATGCTCACTGTTTATTATTTATATTACATCTTGATTTATTATACCAATGTTCATTGTTTATTATTACATCTTGATCTATTCTACCAATGCTCACTGTTTATAATTACATCTTGATCTATTATACCAATGCTCACTGTTTATTATTACATCTTGATCTATTATACCAATGCTCACTATTTATTATTACAGCTTGATCTATTATACCAATGTTCACTGTTTATTAATACATCTTGATCTATTATACCAATGCTCATTGTTTATTATTTATATTACATCTTGATCTATTCTACCAATGCTCACTGTTTATTATTTATATTACATCTTGAGCTATTATACCAATGTTCACTGTTTATTATTACATCTTGAGCTATTATACCAATGTTCACTGTTTATTATTACATCTTGATCTATTATATCAATGTTCACTGTTTATTATTGCATCTTGATCTATGCTACCAATGCTCACTGTTTATTATTTATATTACATCTTGATCTATTATACCAATGCTCACTGTTTATTATTTATATTACATCTTGATCTATTATACCAATGCTCACTGTTTATTATTACATCTTGATCTATTATACCAATGTTCACTGTTTATTATTACATCTTGATCTATTATATCAATGTTCACTGTTTATTATTGCATCTTGATATATTCTACCAATGCTCACTGTTTATTATTACATCTTGATATATTCTACCAATGCTCACTGTTTATTATTACATCTTGATATATTCTACCAATGCTCACTGTTTATTATTACATCTTGATATATTCTACCAATGCTCACTGTTTATTATTACATCTTGATATATTCTACCAATGCTCACTATCTATTATTACATCTTGATATATTCTACCAATGTTCATTGTTTATTATTACATCTTGATCTATTCTACCAATGTTCACTGTTTATTATTACATCTTAATCTATTAATTCTACCAATGTTCACTGTTTATTATTTCATCTTGATCTATTATACCAATGTTCACTGTTTATTATTACATCCAATGTTCATTACTCTTTTAATGCTCTCTCCTACACAGATTGAAGGCACAAGAATAGTTGATCATAAGAAAAAGCAGTATCTCATTATTGCATCTTAGATTATAGAATCATTTCCTTTTTATTCATCATATACATATTCATGCAAAGTTTTATTACAATTTAACAAATGGATCCTGAAAACATATTCAATATCTATTTCTTGCTTTTACGGCGGACAATAGCATTTTTGTGACTATTAAAATTTATGTTCAGTTTCAAATAAGCTCACCTTAGGTCACCAATATCAAGGAGCTCGTAGTTTCCAAGTAATTCATGTGGAGCTTGATTTGCTATAATTGATGTAATATTTTTGCGTAGATAATCCCCGAGTGGTGCCGCAAATGTCAATTTGAATACAAGCCCATGAGGAGAAGGCCTTTAATAAAAGAGAAACAGCTTTAAAAAGTGTAACAAAATATACAATATTATTCTACATAAATTCAGTAAGAGTCGTAAATCATGCACTTATAAAATAATCTGCATATATAAATATCATAAAGTCATCGTTTCCGTGTTTATCAAGTCACCACACTTCCGTGAGTTTGAGAATTGTATGGAAAATCTTAATGGAATATTTAGTCATACAAGACATATTTATGAGAACTAATTTTCATCATGAATTCTAAGATTATTGTAAAAGTGTATGAAAATTTACTTGAAGTTCTCTATCCTGCAATCTTGGTAGATTTCTCTCATGTTGCTGTTTTTGAAATATCTTTCAATCTGTAAATTAATCAACATAATTATATTTTTGGAAATAACCCCGGCTAAAATCGTATGATTTACCACACAACTATTTTATTATCCTCTTGAGAACTTTATATTATATATACATGGAAAATGGTGTTATATCGGTCAAATCAAAATTCATATCTATTTTTAGGGACTAGTTTCGATGGTGTTTTCTCTGACAATCAGTATAAGCCTCAGTCATAATACTCATTTCGTAATCACAAATGAAAATTTATGTTTTCTCAACACATTTGAACCGCGTTACTCATATAATCAATATTTTATTGCGCGCTGTACAAATTAATTGTGAACCAAGAAATAGTTTATTGTTATCAATTTTGTTATTTTTTCATTTTTCGTGAAATATTTAATTCATTTTTACTCAAACAAATAATATCCTCATTATAATTATAACATGTGTGTCAAGTATTATAATTCCAGGAATAGAATATATTCATACATCAGTACAAAATCGTGACTGTAGACGCAGGAACACAGGTGACGTTTTATCATCCAAGTCGGTTGTATATCCAAACCCATACAATAGAGCGTCCACAAAGGCGTTTGTTGAATCTTATATGTAAAAAACAGAAGTATAAGTTACATACAGGTCTGAGATCATTCATTCATTTATAATCGTTTATATAAACATACTAGCGAACTCAATATCAATTACAAGAAATTTGTTTTTATCAACTTGTGTATATGTTATAATAGTGTAGCGTAGAAAAATGAAATCCAATATCAAAACCCTGTATAAAGACATGAATAAAAGTTTGGTCATTAAAGATGAAACAAGTTATGAAGAATTAAAATCATTACATCGAGTCAAGTTAAATAGAAACATAAAATTTACTGTAAACTATCACAGTAAGGGAACTGGACACTGGCCAAACCATCCCGGGTGTAGATTTTGGAGGAATAAAACTGTATGATGTAAAAGCTGTTGCAAACGTCATTGGCGCTGTGAAAGTGTCTGTGGATGGATATAAAGATGTGGCCGTCTGATACGGCGTGTAGCGCATTACAAAACTACCATCCGCCAGAATAACGAGTAGATCTCCAACTAAATATGTCTTCAATGGTCCATCTGGATCGTCCATGAATTCATATAGTGGTGCATATGTCATTATTATATTTTTCAGCGAGTCTGGGTTGTAGATAAATGGATCTGCTACTTTGAGTAAAGCACGAAGAGATGAGAATCGTTTTCCTTGACCTGGTGGACTAAAGCATTAAACAATCGTGTGTTAAAATCTTGTAGATATAATCAAGCGAGCTAATACAATAATGTGTAATCATCAAAACACCAAATAAACTAAAATAGTTAAAATTTAAAAGCACATACCAGAAGTGTATTCGATTTAAAATTAAAACAACTTCTTTATTTGTAAAATGCACAAAGAAATATAGAACTTACTAAAATCCAATTATATCACAAGAGTAAAAATAATCCTTCCAGGAACTTCTTCTAATGTGTCGTTCCAACTAAAATCAGGATAAATGAACAAATTACAATAACAACTCTATTATATCAGAGTCAGAAAAATAGAAAATCCTATAACATTGTGTCAGCATTTATTCTCAATACATTTATAAGATATGAACATACGATTATTAACAATTCAAGAGCCTGTTATGTTGACATTTTGAAAGAATAACTACAAATACAAATCAAAGCACGCCGAGCCATAGATATCGTAGCATAATGTATATATAGAAGAAATTGAGCATTGAGAGATGAAAATGTTTATTGAATAGTGTGATATAGATGAGGGATTAAAGTTTATTACAACTTTCTAGATTTAGCAAATCCTGATGTTATTGTACTATTTTGTTTGGATTCGTAAAACAGATTATTTACAATGAATTTATAAGGAGATTTAGATCATTTTATTGTATTTGAGACTCGTCAAAACTTCTATCCTTACATCTTTACAGAATCGCTGTGAGTAGTCCTTGAACAGCACGGAATTTCTATCACTGAGAGCTGGTTGGTACGTCAAATTATATATATACAGGTACATATCAATGTACGGATTTCCATCTGTAAAATATATAATCACTTAAAGAAAAGGCACCATCAAATTATTTGTTTATCTTCTATAACATATGCATGTTATTTCCCAGAAAAAAGACTTTAATTAAGTGTTCTTAAACTATATAATGTGTTTAAATTTTGTTATTAAGAAATAATAATAATAATAATAATAATAATCTTTATTTAGTACGATAAGTTCTTGAGTACAAGAGTTTTAGAACTTAACTTTTTATATAAAGATACACAGAAAAACTGGTATTGCGAGTGATATTTATCTATCAAATAGGTTTACTGATAAAAACCCGATGTTTGTATTGTTCTTGAAAATATGGATCGTTGGTCCATATGAACTTCTGTGTCGGTGTGACTTAAACCCCCCAACAGAACAAACATCTTAAATAAAAATATTCAACGAAGAAATCATATACTTAAATACACAAGAAGATGTTATCTATATATACCTGGACTAATGGTGGCTGTGGGTGTGGGTTTGATGGTAACCCCGGGATTTACCGGGATAGGTACGACAACAATGTTACCATCTCCCTCTGGTGGAGTAATCAATAGCGTCCCTAACATTTTACGTCTCTTCCCATCAACTAGAACAGTTCTAGCTCCCTCCATGATTGTCTTTGCTATAAGTCGTTGTAATGCCGCTGTATCATCACCGGTAAAACTCACGTGCGCTATCGCCACGTCCGGATTTGTACTTCAAGAAATTAAAATAGGACATTTCAAAGCATATGTGCATGACGCATCTTATGATTAACTATCAAATATACAAATGTACAGTTAACTGTCTTACAAATGAAAACATGTCACTTCTATATAATTAGTTGTCTACAGAAATCATTTTATTCTTTCTTTCCTATAAAAAAACTTTGTATAACAAAAGAGGCATACCCGAATGCAAATACTTCACAGCTGTGGTAGCGGTTACTGAGGATGCTATTCTGCATTATAGACCCGATCTGAAATAAACATAGTTTAACAGTTAGTCTAACCACATGTCTAAAAATCTCTTTTCATATTAGCTGTATATCATAAATCGTCATACAGTATAATCCATCATTCGTGCTTTCCACATAAATGTATGTAGATTTAAGAATAGGTGATAACTTCTGGAAATGAGGATTTTGTAAGTTGCATTAGCCTTTAAATAATAAATAAGCAACATTCTTTTGAAACAGGTAACTATTAACAAAAATATGAATATTTACAAATAATTTTTCCTAAAACCAGTGCGTTATGTTTATAGATTTCTATATGTAAATACGATATATTGTCATATAAAACTTCTTATAAAATACAGTTACCCGTAATTTACCCACGATATATCTGTTTGAAACTATCATGATCAGCATATTTTTTGCAATATTGTATTGTTATGATTTATTAGAAATTACATCATACATAAATCTACTTACATCATCACAGAATGGATTTGCCAGATGGAGGAATTGTGAAGACTTTTTGTCTCGTAGTATACTCGAGTAAGATAAATTGTAAACCCAGATTGTCAAATTGGCCAAAACACCAACTGAAATACATATTAATGATAGCGTAATTCCTTTTATCAACACATAGTTAATTGTTAAAATACCTTGCATTTAATAAAATTTAATCGTAATATGTTAATGTTAACTCTTTTAGTCAATAATGTGGCAGCTGCAGCGCGATTTTAAACTTATACACAAAGATTATTATAATAAATCATCAAGTGTGGTATCATGTATATCTAGAACTTCAACACTTTCAAGTTATATAAAACTATAGTTAGAAGTTGTTTTACTATAAACGATGTATATATATGAGCTGACCTTCTGGATTGATAGGTCTACTAGTTGATGGTTTAATTCCTGTTTTACTTCTTACATCCACCAAGAAATCTTTGAGGAACAACGCTAAGTAATCTATTCCCTCCTTTTTGTTTGTTTTAGAGTCTATAATGCTGGGAATATCAAGCTTTAGTCCATCAAGGTCACCTCGAAACGTCAAATTGAAACGAACTTTAACCGCTCCTTCTCTAAAATATCGAAAATATATATACAATGTAAAAACTGCTGAGATAAAAGTTACTTTTGTAAAGGAAAATGAAGAAAAAACTCTTTGTTGCACTTGGAAACAATAATTTACGAGAAAAAAAATGTTGCACTAAGAATGAAATGCATTTGATATCTCATTAAAGACTGCAAATTAAACGAAAGAATGATCTATAAAGTTATACTTACTCTATGTACTCGGCGAGGCTGGATTTGTTCCAAATACCAGCACATTCACAAATAATAGGTTCCATTGTTGGTCTGTAATATAGATAAAAATATTGTCAATTTATTACTTTGTTAGCAAACTTTAGACTATCTAGAACGAAATCACACATTTACACGAACAGAAAATGTACAACATAATCAATTAACAAAATATCCAGGGAAATAGATTTTTTTGCATAAACAAAAAAGCGAAAAAAGTCTAAATAGATATATCGTTAAAACTACAGCATGCGTTATTTTATTTAAGTGCATTACTGTCTTCAATTAAAAAAAATGAAATTTGTGTTCTTGATCCATTGAATCACGGGCTTTGAGTTTCGTTGTTTTACGCATGTCATGGATAAAAATGCCACTAACTACTGTGAACCTATAAATCTAATTTGAAGATATTATATTTTATTTCAAATTATATTTTTTCGCAAGAATATGAAATGCAAGAATATGAAATACGAAGCATTGTTTTGTTAAACGATAATAACTATTTTAGAAAATTATATCTTGTCTTTTTTCTTAATATGCACAACACACAACGTTTGTGTTCCTTAGTTAAATCATTGTGTTTTATTAACATTCACTGCAATATAACATTTGATAGATTTTTCTTGACAATGGTATATTGAGGTTTTAAAAAACATATGCTGAATATCTTACTTTAGTTCCCTAACTTTACAACCAACATAGACGTCTTTATAACTACTGTCCTTGAAATACTTGTCTATCTGTAAGGAAACAAATGGACAACATTTTATAAACAAACTATTATTCATATTTATAAACACAATTGGTAAAGGAACGTTAATTCAATTTTAAAAACGTAATTAATGTATAAAAATGTTTCTTATTATTATTGACTTTAATTTTATCATATATCTTTATATAGCCACTTAATTAATACTGATGAATTACCTATCCTGACGTTAAAATAAACAGCCTGGTTTAGACTGCACGTATGGCGTGTTATAGGTGTGTTATTTATGGTGCAAGGATCGACTTACTTCAGCACAGAAAGGGGTAGCAACATTAGCAAATGCTGCTGATGATGTATTCGCCATTGAAGGATGATATGGTACATTCTGTAATCTCATCTCGTTGTCTGTAGTTGTACTTCCTATATATATATATATACATAATTATAAAGTAGTGTTATACGTTTATTCGTTATTTAATGCTGCAATGTTTGTCGAATATATCAATGTCAGTGTCAGGTATATTTGAAAAATGAACATACTCAATTTTACGTAAATGTTTTATAAAGATCAAACCCTGCTGGGAACATGAAAGTAACATACAAAAGCATAGTGCTAGATTACGCTTATTTTAGTAAAGTTAGAGTTACCTCCGTTAAAACATGATTTACTTACGATATTTGGCAAAGCCAGGGGCTGAAAATGAAAATGAAATATGCATGAAATATATATAAAAGAAAACAAACATTAAGCGTATACGAATGTATGTATATATCTTTTACTGAGTATCAAATGTGTATTTTGTCATAATGTGTTAAATTGCGTTGTTTTCATATACATGTATATATCTATTTCTTCAATACATTCTTTTTTTGTAAATTCTTGCACAAGATATATGCATATTTCATTTTAACGAGATTTTACTCTGTGTGGCGGCGATAGAATGCTTTAATCGTCAAATTAGTAGTGGCGGGGATTGTAGACTACCTGGGTTCAAATCCCGTTAGGGTTTTCGTGAGCAGAAACATGTATCATCACTGTACTGTCTCGGTGAGATTTTTTTACTGGACTTTTAATTATATTTTCACAGTGCACACTTTAAATATGCTCTCAATATCATATGTTTTAAAGACAAACACCTGTTTTTAGATTAGTAATTCTTCTCACAAAGTTCTCTGTAGGAAAGCATTCATTATTTTAATATTTCTGTTCGTACCATATTAACTGGTTAAAAAATGACAGTTATAAAATGAAAGTAAAACTTATACGATAACAAAGATCTGCCAGTATATGTATACTTACACCCCAATAATAGATAATAAACAAGTAATCCAATGCCGAGAGCCAGCAAAAATGCACCAATTATCAGTAAGACAATGAGACAACAATTTCGTGCCGTCACTGCACGTGCGGATTTGGTCGACTTGATGGAATCACTAGGACTATTTCCTAATGTCCCGGAGGAGCCTCCATAGTCATAGTTTCTATGACTCCAGCCCTGATGATAACCACCGCCAGAGTCTCCACCATGGAAACGACGCGGCATCTGATATACAAAAAATAACAAGTCAGTCAAACATTACAACTTTAACTTAATGAAGGTATTATCTATGGACGCTTTTACGCTACTTTGAAGTTTTGCAGAGAACAATTACTGCAGATTAATTATAGAAAAATGGTCATAAGCTCCTTCATTTGCAAAAGAAATCCCAAAAGTACTATTATTTTAAAACTCTAAGATATGTAAATAGTAAGCGCAATGATGCATTTTTCCGGTATATTGAGTTATGTGTTTCAACTAAATAAGTCTTTACTAGCCACTTAACGTTTAGCAACATATTCATATACCCGGCGATCGTCGTATGTTTTAATCAAAGACTTAATTAAATGAGCTTATGCATTTGTGAGGCCGTCGAATGGTGATGGTGTTAACTTTGTGAAAAACTTGTGAAATGATCAGTGGAAACGCCATCAGATTACACCTATTTTAACGTCCATTCATTAAGTTGCCATTCATGAAGTTGAAAAGCCATTTTGCAGATGTGTTGATCTAGAACACATGTTTCTTTTATTTGTTCGGACAGAGCCAGTAAGATATCACGTCTACTTGCTAAACTTAAAATTAAAAATATCAAAATCAGTAAAATATATTTTCTGAAAGTCTATGGCAGCAGGTAAAAACTTTTATAGTTCCCATTTAAATAAAGGATACATCATTTTTTTTAACAGAACTACTACTTATTAACTTTTGTTACATAGCTATACATATGACGAAAAACTGGCTCAGAATCTAAGAATCTAAGGCTATATTCTGCTATGTTATTTGAAGTGAAAGGTATAGAAAGTTATCAGTATTTTAAAATGCAGCAATAGATAAAAGTTTCCACTTTTTCATAGGCATGTGTGATATATTTTAATGGAGTATATAGGAGTTGCTTATCTCTGTTATTTACATCATCCCTGGTTTGGATTATGGTTGAAAATAAACCTAATACAATAAAAACATATACTGTATATATAATTTAATAACGTTCAACAATGAAAGTTATAACGTCTGACTCAGGTATATAGCAAGTAACTGAAGGCTAGTTTATCAACAATTTATATCATGTATGTCAGAGATGGGTGGACTAACCAAATCTCTAATGACCGCAATATATCACAGCACTCTTGTCCTGTGGTGACTCACATGTCATCAAAAACTTTATGTTTTAAAACAAACAGCAAAACAATATTTATATTTAATGTACATTTCTTATAGACCCGCTGCAAGCGCACGTAGATTACTTCCATGTTTATTATCAATTATCTCTATAAGAAAAATGCCTGTATACTTTGAAACTGCAGATGTGCAGTTAAACAATGTGGTCCTCTCTAAACATGAATAAAAGTCAATTATTTTGATATAGTAACTCATACAATCCAGCTTTCCCTTAGTGTTAAATGATATACAAATGACAGGAAATTGTCATGCAACAAAACCAGGTTTTATCAATTATGCTTGGACAAAAACAAATAATGAAGACTGTGGTTATGTGATAGAATAAGAGACGTGGTAGCATTCGTTGGTAAATGTAGCAGTTATTATCAGAAGAGACAACTTGTCTATATATATGTATTATACATGTCAAATAAAAATAATAATGTTTAGACGGCATCGTTTGTCTATGTATAACACTCTAGAGTCACCCTCGCAGTTTGGAGACAGGATTAATCCATGTTCAGTATAATAACAGACAACGAACATTTGGCAGATACTCGAAAAAAAAAAACGTTATATTTTATATAAATGAATAACAAAAAAGGAGTAAGCCTATCAATGACTGGGGCTTATCAATAACAGAATGTTTGTTTCTTAATTTATATCAAAAGTATCCAATGTTTTGATGTTTACTTAGAAAACACACAAATCTTTCAAATATTGTTAGTATCGTTTATAAATCTGTTTGAAGTCATTTTGTAGGCTTGAAACATTGTGTAGGCTTGAAGTCATTTTGTAGGCTTGAAACAGACATAACGTGGGCTATCGTGTTAAGTGACAAATTGTTTTTAATTTATCACGTGGTACTATCAAGTTCAAAGATGGTCATCATCAGGCTAGTGGCTACATACAATATATCTCCGGTCTCATGTCTAACAGCCTTAGGTCAAACGATACATTCCTTCACATGCCATTTGTTGTTGACTTGTTTTGTTTATACTTCATAATATCAAATCTTGTACGCGGTAAATGGCCAAAGAAGACACCTTTATCGTTAAAAAGAGATACAGAAAATCTGAACTTTATAAATTTATTGATGATTTGAAAGCGTTTCTTGCTGTTTTGATTACTAAGTTCAGCTAGCAGGCAATGTGTGATTATAAATCGAGTACAAAATGAGCACTGATTATCTAAGAGCGCATTTCATTGGGTCCGTTGTCTTTATTAATTTATTTATTTTGTATTTAACCATTTCACTTCAACGTATTTCATAAGCAGTTTTTCCAAACATTTCATCAATATAATATCGTCTGTTGGGAATCTGATAATGATCTTGTTGATCCTGTATTATGTTAACAGATAACATTTCATATGTTTTCTTATCAGATAACTCTATTCTTTTGATCTAGCACGACGTGTTGACAGCAATATACTTGTATGATATAAAACTGGCCGATACCCTCCCCGGGTCTTCTTTATCATCTGATCATTGTTTCAATAAATTGTCCACATGATCAAGTTTTATTTTGACCCTACCTGCAAAATTACAGTCCAAAATTAATGTTTATATAAGTAACAACGTGTATCATTTGTTCATCGTTTGTTAAAGCCGTCTTTATAACATTTAATAAATTATGCATTATTCCAACATATCTATCACTATGATTACAATGGTGTTAATTATTTTAAAGCTCAGAAAACTATGCCGAGACCTTTCAATACATACATGTACATTGTAATGTATGTTATAACTGTCCAGAAAATCCTTAAATATTTTGGGAAAAAGGAACTGTCATTTTGGAAATAAGATCAAAATGATAATAATACCTTAGTTTTCAAAATAAAATTACAAATGTTTAACTTATGAATACTAATTTTCTTTAGAACTAATACAAGCCAATTATTTTGAGATTTTAAAGTTGAATTTATTGAGACTTAAACGTTTATGTTCCCGCTATTTTCTTATGTTGCATAAGAAAATAGCGTGAACATAAACGTTTAAGTCTAATTCACGCAAGAATCAAATTTGTTTAAATACATAAGCAAAATAGTTGTTTTTCAAAATAGCGTATATAATGCAACGTGTTATTCTGCTATCAATTAAAACGTATTTTTTAAGTTTCCGCAGAGTTTGGTTTTCAATCAATATATGAACGCCCAATTAATTCAATCATATACATTTGGTGGTGGTGTTGGTAGTTTTCACTCCGGATCATGGCAGTAATTAAGCCACATTGAATTCACCAGAGCACAGTTCAGCCACCGCATCGTTCCTGGGCAGGCTGTCAAGCAGTTTACCAGTACTATAGTTGCCTTCACTTTCGCCAGGAATAGAAACTTCTGTGCGAATGACCGTAGAAAAGAATTCATGATGAATCGTAACGAAAGTGACCTGCTGACTCTAGCTCACGGAACATGTGACTTGGTCACGACTCTAGCTCATGAAACTAGTGACTTGGTCACGACTCTAGCTCACGGAACATGTTACTCGGTCACATATCTACCTCATGGAACATTTTACTCTGTTTCGACTCTAGCTCGCGGAACATGCTCCACGGCCATAACTCCCACTCATAGATATCATGTCGAACTCACCAATCTTTATTAAGTATGTACACATGACACTAATCATAGTTAAGCAGCTGGGTGGACTTTGTGTCATTGAAAATAAAAGCAAAAACAAAAGAAACAACAACAAAAAATAAAACAACGAAATATTCAATACATGGTTATAACAACTACATGTATGATAATTGTTATTCTATAACTTAATCATTTAGTGACAATGAATTTCATTCCAGGCTAACTACAGTGTGTATCCCGTTAAAGGAATGTGAAAATAATGCAGGAATTCAGCACGAGTAACGCCGAATCGCCTGATAGTAAATGGACCAAACTATTTTATAGTGGATTCTAAATACATGTATAAATCATACGGCACCCAGGACATTATATTTTAATCTGCTTTACAAATATTTCCAGCAAAGTGTTTACATTTGAAACATTTTCCAATTTACTAGAGTCAAATAATACTGAAAAGAGCAGATAAAAAGTAATTCAAACTTTTTTGGTGCATCAAATTTGTTGAAAAACTAAACCGAGCCGACGACAACAGATGATTTAATGTACATATTTCCGTTTTGACATAACAAACAGACAGTACATGTTTATATAAGAATTACTTCATTGAAATAATGACAAGAGGTTATATTACAACATGGACCTTGTAATGTTAATTCGACATCTAGGTTGTACAATGTTTAAACATGTTCATGCCCGTTCAACATCATTTTTGTGTACTTAAATTGTATGAAAGATATCTGTCCTGTTTATATTTATAAGATGATTTCTTGTCATATATATTATAAATATCACAGGTATGATAGAGTTGTAAACAATATGATAATATATTCAACACCATATGTACAACTAAAATATTTTAGATATTTATTACTGTTATTTATTATTTGATATAAAATAATTTTTATATAATCATAAATTGATAATTTTATATATCTTACCTGATACTTTAAATTTTATAATACACCGTTTGATACACAGAACATGATATATAATTTGATGTATTTAATTTAAAATATATGCAACATAATTACACGGAATATAAACGAACATATTCAATAATTTAGATATTTAGTTGTCTAGTTATTATTTCAAAGTAGTCCGTAACTATTTACAATATATTTTACAAGACTACCATAGAAGTCTTTCAAATACAGTGCATTTTGGCCTCCATCAATAAGCGCAATTCACTATTATATTAATTAACACGAGCAATATTCAACCATCCTTATATATAAAAAAATTACTTGCTTCATATCAAATAATTACTTGCTTCATTAATACAGAATCATATATATTTTCAGCATTAATGTCAAACTAATATCTTTATATATTTTCTTTTTGTACAGTGAGCCTACAGAAAAAAATGTACATACAGAATTAGTCGTTCTCCAGAAATCATCGTCAGTCTTTGTGGACATTCTCGGCATTGTATCGCCTTTCATATGTTCTACCCATTCCGGTGTTTCTCGTGTCATCTTGTTTAGGAATCCAAACACGGAATAATTCACAAAATCACAATGTTATAAATCCATTTCAAAATCAGCAATATTAAAGAAATACTGAGTACAAAATAACTTATTATTCGCAATCAAATATAAACGCTATTAAAAGTATCCGAAATGTAAGAACGAAATTTATCAAAAGAGGACGTAGCAAGGTTTGCTGTCACCAACTACCTTTATGTAAATAAGTTAGGTAAGTCAGCTGTCCGCTTATAATGTGTTCAGCTTGTCACTCTGCAGAATCAATTACATGTGACAATTTGAAGGTGTCCAAATTTGTGCACTCCCTTCTTACGTAAAAGCCGCAGACGAGTCCCGGATAAAACATTAAACATTTGTTGAATGAATTGGTTCTGTCAAGACAATATTTTGCCAAAATAAATAATTCTGAAAGAAAAATTTCTTAAAACAAACGTGATAAGACAAACAATTTATCACAAAAATGTTGCACTTCTTATAGTTAACAATTTATCGTGTTTCATACGGCATACGTTTTGTAACGAAAAAAAAATGACCACCAGTGGCAAAATTAATTTAAATCTTAAAATTCTCTCTAAAAGAGTATTTATGCAGCATTAGTTCGTGTACCAATGTAACTATGATACAAGTGTTAAATTGCGTTGGTAAACAATTGATGAATGATGTCGTGAAAGGTAAAGGTCCCGCAGGGCTGGGCAGTAAAACGATATCTTCATCTTTGTCAGGAAATGTCCACAAGCAAAATTAAGATATCATGCGCTACACTAGTCAGTCTGCTCGGGCGAGATACATTTGACGGACTGTGTCTTCGTACATGTTAAAATATCTTATTTTATAGATTGTTCCAGTGTAAACGTCGTTTAATAAACAAGACCTATAAACAAAAAAAATGCGGAGAAAGATTATTTAAAATTTTGTTAGTAATTTTTCTTTCTTCTAATGAAGTGTTTATTTGATATTTTAAAAAATAGTGTGTGTGCGAATGTGTGTGTGTGTGTGCGTGCGTGTGTTTTTATTATTTTTATTCTGATGTTACAATAAGTTAATTAGAAGATGTTGATATATTCTTAATGAGAATTGGAACATGGTATTATTTAGAACAATGCTTGATTTAGTATATATCTTATTACGAACCTACGACAAAACATGTGATGAATTGAGGCACTTACATAAATATACTTACTTTTTTGTGAATTATTATAGCCGGGGAGCGCCTCCAGGAAAAAGGCGAAAAACTCGCACACAGCCATAACAATCGTTAATCTTACCTGAATGTCGAAATTTAATAGAGAAAATAAGAAATCTTTTAGATATCTCGGTAGTTATTCAAGAGCTATCAAATAAATGATTTTTATAGAAATGCAATTTCAGTGAGTACCTGTGATTCGGTATGCACTTCATCTTGATGTTATATCTGTGAACAATATTCTATAAATGTATACTTATATACGCATTTTATGCTATAGTAATTTCTGTCTCTGCTTACAGCATGCAAATGGAAATAGAGTGTCAATTATCCTGTAAATTCGATTTCATAAGTATGTCCATCTTGAAAGGATGTATGTGTGTACATTGAAAAGCGTCAGGAAAACAAAGAGTGACAAGAATTATGTGATAGTTATTGTAACTATATATGTAATTATCATGAGACTTGATATTATATATGACGGGAAATAAACGTAACTTATATTGTACAAGTGAAAAAACTTATTAAGTGAACGAATTATCAAAGAAATGTGATAAGAACTTATCCGGACCATAAATGTGCAGGTTATGAGTATCTATAAGACGTGTGGTATATGGAATGTGATCTAGTATATTTATAACTGAGAAGAAATCACAGTATAGTCTTATAACGGTAAAAGCTGGTGTAATTTATGACTAACTAAAAGAAAGATGTTACAAACTGACTGGAACAGAGTAAAATATTTCCCGGGGCTACATCAAACAGTGTTTATTGACAGGTTAACTACCTATAATGTATTGAATCTTGTAATTTATCACATGTCTCTGAATCTGGTTACCAATTATTAATAGTACGGGAAACTTGTTGTTTTATTGTTCTTCTGTTTTAAATTGATAAAAGTTAATTTGTAACCCAGTTCTCACTTACAAGCGCATGCGGAGAGCAGGTATACAAGTTGTAGACTCAGATTCATTGAGTGTGAGCGCAACACCTCTCACGCCCCATGCATATAGCACCGGCTTTAACTTGTAGTACGGTATCTTTTATCATGAATTTTACCAATAATTGTCCCCGTTGGACCGTAATTTACCAAAGGGGCACACCGGTTCAGTCATTTTTCGATGTTACTTGTGTGTGGCCCGCGGTTGAAAATGACTGGCACCAGGGAGTAATAGAGGCGGTTGTAAACACTTCAATACATACTAAATTATTCTCCTTTGTTAATGAATAAGGTATGTGTGTAATGCCGATTCTTTCACTTGTGCTTTAATGTTTATTTAAAGTCGCCTATAGAAGAGTGTTCAACATCTCATCTACGATAATTAATTGAAAGTCTGGGTATATCAGACTCGATACTTGTAGTCCACTGAATCCGGCACAATCACTAACACTTGTGTATCTATAGATGGGAGTTTTTAATTTAAATAATTAAGGGGCAGTACCTGGTGACTTAGAAGTGACAGAACTACTTTCATAATAGTATATTTTAATAGATTCACCGTGTTTTACACAAGAACTTTTAAAGAAATTATCTATGTCCATTATTTGAATAATTTGATGTTTGGCATAATTGTCAAGGGTTATCTGCAGTGTGATATACATCCCTACTATACGGTGGCTCTTTCACATTTTGGGATCTGAAAGCCCTCGACCAAAAACAAAGCTTTAAAAGGTTAACACATTTTAAAAAATACCCGTTTTAAAGGATATGCAAGTCTTTCAAAAATAAGGATAAGCAAGTCTTTCAAAAATTGAAGAATGCTTTTCCAGGTAGAACATTTTTCTCATTACTTTGGAGGCAATGTCGAGAAGAGAGTGGGACAATGTATCATTCATCAAATAGGCCAAAGTTTACTTGAAGATGAAGAAATAACTCAAGATATGTCTCCTGGTAAAAGAGTATGCGCAAGTTGATATTTAGTAAAGTTCTAGCGACGTCATTTGTGGAAACTTCATATCGAAATGGCATCCAGAAGAACATATAACCTAATGGGAAAGGTCTTTATTTAACTTACTCTTTAGGCAAACTCAAGTAAACGATTATAATACAAAAACATATTATTTTTGGATTTATCTAAGCAGCAAATTATTAATTCCAATATAAAGCAGATATAAACAAAAGCAGATATAAAATCTAAATCTTAAACTGATATCACAAAGTTCATATATGTATCTGAAATAGTGCATGTGTTAAAGCATTACTGGTTGCTATTGCTAAGGGAAAACAACAGTTCCAAAACATGTGTTTTGAAAAAGAGAATCAATGACCCCACAGGGCAGGGCCAATTAAGACCCTAGGGATTTTATTTAAACAAGCACTCCCAAGAAGATGTTTTATGCTAAAAATCTAAGATCTTGCTATTTGAGTTTTTAAAAAGATTTTTTATAATTTTTACAATATACATGTAAGGAAAATCAATAACCCCCTTGCATGGGGCCAATTTTGACACTATTAGAAGATTTTCCATGCTTAATATATTTTCTTTGTTTTTACCATAGACATATAAGGAAAATCAATAACCCCCAGGGCGGGCCAATTTTGACCCCAGGGAATTTATTACCTACTAGAAGATGTTTCATGCTTGATATCTTAGCTCTAGCTCCTTGGACTTTTTTAAAGAAGATTTTTGATTGAATACATATAAGGAAAATCAATAATCTCCCTGGGGCGGGGCCAATTTTGACGCTTGGGCTTTTATTTGAACAAACTTAGTAGACACTCACTAGAAGATGTTTCATGCTTAATATCTAAGCTCTAGCTATTTGGGTTTTTAAAAGTTTTCCTATATACATATAAGGAAAATCAATGACCCCCTGGGGCGGGGCTTATTTTGACCCCAGAGCTTTTATTTGAACAAACTTGGTAGACACTCACTAGAAGATGTTTCATGCTAAATATTTAAGCTCTAGCTCTTTGGGGTTTTTTTTAAAGAATTTTTTTTTTTCAATTTTTTTCATTTGGTTGACATGACAACCAGAGTTTTGAACCAGAGTTTTGCATGGAATTAAATTCTTTGAACAATTTTTAAAGGTGACCACCAAAGGAACATTCCTGTGAAGTTTGGATAAAAATTGCCTTAGCCGTTTATGAGGAAAAGTCTTTTAAAGTAAAAGTTAACAGACAGACAGACGATGGACGGACCAGTGATGGACAGACGGACGCCGAAAGAATTGTGTTCACAAAAGCTCACCTTGTCACTTTGTGACAGGTGAGCTAAAAAGAGGTAAAATAATAAACAAGAGGGCCATGATGGCCCTTATATCGCTCACCTGATTTTGAAGGCTCAATCTCAATTTATTTGGGCTGTGTGACCTAGCTTTTGATCACAGATGACCCATATTCGAATCTCACATAGAAATCACCAAAACAACCAATCTGACCAATTTTCAGCATATTTAAATCACAACAGTATCCTCTAGTGTGTAAACAAGGTTTTTCCATATTTGGGCTATGTGACCTAGTTTTTGATCCCAGTTGACCCATATTTGAGATTGATCTAGAAATCATCAAAATAATCTGTGTGACCAATTTCCAGGATATTTGGATCAAAACAGTAGCCTCTAGTGTGTAAACAAGGTTATTCCATAGCACTGTGTATTCAAACAACCTTTTTAACCAAAATTTCCAGGATATTTGGACTGGAACAGTACACCCTAGTGTTAACAAGGTTTTTCCATATAAGGGCTGTGTGACATAGTTTTTGCACAAGTGGCCAATATTCACGAATGGACGACTGACTTTAAACGATCCTAAAAGCTCACACTGAGCTAGCTCAGGTGAGTGAAAAATAGTCCTTACTGGTTAGTAATGCAGTAAAAATATGGTGATAAATACTGCAAAATCAGTCCTTATTCACACATAACATGTAAATCATTTCTTGAATATTGAATAATTTTATTTTTCTTAAAATCTTAGTACATTTTTCCCAATTTTTTTAATTTTCTTGAATATAATCTAAACATATTGCTCTAGATAAACTAGAACTCCGCGAGTCGGATGTGTCGCCTTGTGAACAATATAGTTTAGGAGCAATGGCCAGGACAAAAATGAAATATAAAATTTAACAAAGGGCAATAACTCAAAAAATAAGAAATGCAGAGCAGCAGTTTCTGTGCACTGCACTTGTTATCAATAAGATCTATCATTCTCTGAAGTTTCAAGTCCATATCTTTTATAATTTATGAGAAATGGCCTGGACAAAAATATGACAATTAATAAAGGGTAATAACTCAAAAATAAGAAATGCAGAGTACCGGTTCTTGTACACTGCACTTTTTCTTAATGTGATCTATCATCCTATGAAGTTTCATGTCCTTAGCTTTCATACTTGAGGAGAAATGACCTGGACAAAAATAAAGTATGAAAATTAACAAAGGGCAATAACTCAAAAAATAAGAAATGCAGAGTACTGGTTCTTTTGCACTGCACTTCTTCTTAATGAGATCTATCATCCTATGAAGTTTCATGTCCTTAGCTTACATACTTGAGGAGAAATGACCTGGACAAAAATAAAGTATGAAAATTAACAAAGGGCAATAACTCAAAAAATAAGAAATGCAGAGTACTGGTTCTTTTGCACTGCACTTCTTCTTAATGAGATCTATCATCCTATGAAGTTTCAAGTCCATAGCTTTTATAGTTGAAGAGAAATGGCCCGGACAAAATTAAAGTATGAAAATTTACAAAGGGCAATTACTCAAAAGTTAAGAAGTGCAGAGCAGGGGTCCTTGTGCACTGCACTTCGGGTTATTAAAAGAAGCATGCATACTAAGTTTGAAGTCAATCCGACTTATAGTGACTAAGTTATGCTCCGGACAAGCGACGCCGTCACCGCAGACACTGCAGATGCCGACACCGCCGACAAAAGTAACCCCTATATGTCGGCTTTTCAAGGGGACACAAAAACTACAAACTCTTCATTTATTTGAGTGACAAATAATACACGACTGCCTTATTTGCGAACTTACTAATTTTTCATCACTATTACTGCAGGAATTACTGGGAGTGGGGAGACTAAGCCAACTATCCTCCATATTACACCAATAACACTATTTGTGTTATTTCATTTCCCCCTTATCACACAAAATTAAACATCAGATGCCTATGCAAACAGCTTACAAGTTAGATGACTTAGTAGGTAATCAATTGACATAAATCATGCTACCAAACTTCATATAATTTCAATAATGAATATGACAAAATTATTCCAAATCTCCATGCACGACATCTTTTGCATTCAGTTTACATTAAGCATTTGATTTTGATGGCCTTACTAGGTAAATTAGGGAAAAGGTAACATAAATAATTTGGTAGAGTTTAATCATTTATAGAATATGTTGTAACAATGTAATTTTCATTTAAACTAAATATAACACATTCAGATCTTTATGATTAGTTAAACAAAACTCCAAACTTCAGATATATTACAATTTTACCTTGTAAAATATTTAAAAGGTTATTAATGTCAGTATTTAAAGGTTGCACTATGTGTCAAGTAATACACTTGACATCAACTGGAATGGCAGCATCTCAGTAAAATGACATTCCCATGTTAAGCCAAGTTCTTATTTATTTGTGACGTCCTTCAGTATTGTTTTTCTTTTACCATGATAAAACAATGAACAAAGCATGTTTTTAAATTTAATAATAGCACTTCTGATGATTTTGTCCAACAGGAAAACATTTCTATCACTGACACACAGAGTACATTCCTGTCAACAAAATGCATGTAAACTCAAAAGTAATTATGACAGTACAAGTGTTATAATTCCAAGTAAAAGTATCTCTGTAGTGTAGTTTTCCTTTATGTGAATGTCAAAACAACAGGAATAGTTAGCTGTAAAGTTACGTCTGCTCCCGAACTTAAAAAAACAGTCCTCTCATTCTTCTGCCCATGCTATGACGGTCATGTATCACATTAAACTTATTCACAAACTGAAATGTTGACAAAAATAAATCAATACAAGTTACAGTATAATTATATAGTGAAGTATCTGATGGGGGTTTGTGTGTGCAAATACATGACAGTTTCTCTAGTAATTTTGGATTTTTTTTTATCTAAACACATGAAAAAAAATAATTAAATTGCAATGTGTATGGATAATTATCTATGTTTAAGGACACACATACACCACATTCCACTATTTTTTCTAACTAATTAAACAAATTTTAAATGAAGCAAATTTTAGATATAATACAACTGACTATCATAAAAGCTGTCTCCGAATGTCTTCATGTCAGTATGATCTAAAATCGAGATAATTCCCAACAAGTAATCTAAAATTGAGGTATTTCCCAATAAATGATTAAAATTGAGGTAATTCCCAATAAGTGATCTAAAATTGAGGTAATTCCCAATAAAAGATCTAAAATTGAGGTACTTCCCGACAAGTCATCTAAAATTGATAGATTCCCAACAAGTGATCTAAAATTTGACGTCATTCAGACATGAAATCGCTAAATCATCAAGTTTTGAACAGCAGTGGTCATACCGTTAAATGTGGATATTTGACTTTCGTTAAAATACTGAAAATGCATACGATTGTTAATCTTTTCCAACAAATTGGCGATACTCCTTCAGATACATACAAAAACATAAAATTAACACAGTACAATTAATCAGCTATCAGGATACTCATTTTCAGCTTGCTCAAGCAATTCAAAAACGGCACATACAAGATCACAAACAGGATGAGGATGATAGTTAAGTGGGAAATTGACGGGTTATTAGTGACTTCAAATGAAAAAAGCTCTAAAAAGGGTCGACTGTAAACTGTCCAGGAACTGTCTGGCATGTTTGATGTCTGCATCAGGTCTACTGATTCAGTTCTGACCAATTGATTTAATATGAGACATTTGTTTCAAACAATATTCTATTGCAATTAACTATATATACGTGTTATCAATAAATTAATATAATAATGATTATTAATATTTACCCCCGATTTTCTTTTAAAAATGGTAGTAGGAAAATATACTTTTCAATTGATAAATATTGTTACTTTACTTACATAAAGAACATACAATGATATGCGTAAATTAATACTATAAATCGCCTTTTCATTAATATAAGTTCATGCCTTTTTAATCTATATTGATAACTATAAGAATACGAGAGATAAAGCGGAGAGTGGCCGCATTCTTTTTTTTTTGAGAGTGGAACGAGAATGTGATAATTTTCTTTCTTGCTTCATCTGCACATATGAGGTCTGGTCACAGACAAGAACACTAGGGAGAATTCATTCAGAAGGAATGATGTTTGTAACATTTTTTTTTATTTTACAACGTCATAAACATCATTTATTGTACTGTTAGCGTGCGCCAGGGCGGGTACCCTGGTTGGCATTTTAAATTTTAACACACTCGTTACTTTTAAACATATTTTATTGATTCTTTCACTGTATATAGAGGATATGTTCCTATATTATTTTCTTGTAAAAATATGCAGGTAAATTAAAAAATGTAAACAGTAGAACTGCAGTCCTATTACTTTTTGAACAACCCTTGTATTCTAGTATATCATCATATAAAATGAATTTGGCAATTCTGTGAACATGTTTGTATGTGCAGTCCTATCAACTTATTAAAGACACATATTATACTTTTCAAAATTGTCAGCTAGACTCTAAATAATATAATTTTCAGAATGACGCAAAAAAACAAACAAAAAACTCATAAAAATATACCTGATTCACTGTGTTGCATCCCTTTGTAATAGTTCCCAGGTATGCCATTAAACAAACATCATTACATTGCTGAAAATAAACCATATGACAGTACTAAACATTTTTTTCTATAAAATAAAGGACAATTTAGACTGACAATATCTTAGGCTTACTGCCATTTCTCCTCCCACCACAGTACACTGGCAATATCTTAGATTTACTCCCACCACAGTACACTGGCAACATCACAGATTGACTGCAAACACCCTTCTCACTAAAAACTAACAATATCCCAGACAAATTGCATCTGTTCAGTTCTCTCACCACAGAAAACTAACAATATGACAACTATAACAAAACTACCTATCACATGTACATGTACCTATATATTTTCTGTTTTGTAATCACATAATTAAGCACATACAGTATGCTTAATTAACTGTAATTAGAACAGTTTTTTTAACATGTCACATAATTGCATAAAAAATAAAATCTTATTTTGGTACGGTATTTATCTAATAACAGAATATTTGAGTATATCCACACATGTTACATTTGGGTACAGGATAATAATTTAACAAACACATTTCATAATGATTGCGGTAAAATTTCAAATGCCATATTTCTAAGATAAGGATTTTCAAGTACCGGTAGGTTTTGGCAAAATTTCACTCTCTTTAGTCAACTTTTTATTTCATTGACAGCTCTAGTTAAACATGTCTTGACACAGGAATATGTAACTGGGAACCCATAGATGTCTTTCCGTGGTATTGATATTTTGGAAATTAAAGCTATTTTTTATGTTAAGTGAATTTATATTAACACTTCCTTGTGCATTTTTAGCAGTATGCAATAGGTCACATCTATGCCTTTTACTGTAACAAACTATAAAAACATAATAAACCAATTAGGCAAATCAATAAGTTGCAATGTTTATCTTTTTTCCCCCATTTTCGTTCAGTATGTGTATTAGTCAGAAAAACAAGAATTTGTAACAGAGTTATACACATCTGTGCTGTCTGGTACTGTCAGAAAAACAAGAATTTGTAACAGAGTTACCAACATCCCCCGCCTCAGGGAAGTTTTATATGAAGCATAAAATTGTGCTATTTCAAAAGATTGAGGTATGGATCTCAGGATTTTCAGTCCAAAATTATGATCAATGCTAGATCTGCAAATGCAACAATAAATTCATTAAAGAAATAAAATGAAGCACAGAATTTAAAAATCTTTTATGTTAAGCTTTGACCTCTAAGTGTGACCTTGACCTTGGAGGTAGGGGTGCAGGTGTTGTGCATGACATATTGTCTTATTTTTGTAACTATTTGTGCCAAGTATTTACAAAATCCCTTGAACTATGAAGAAGTTATAGATCAGACACAAAATATACCCTATAACAGACTATGTCAATCTTTGATCTTTAAGTGTGACCTTGGAGGTAGGGACCCATGTTTTGCACCTGACATATCTTATTATTTTGATTATTTGTGCAAAGTATTTTTAAAATCCCTTGATCTATGAAAAAGTTATGGACTGTACACAAAATATACCCTTTAACAGACTATGTAAATCTTTGACCTCTAAATGTTACCTTGACCTTAGAGGTCAGGACACAGGTGTTAGGCATGACACATCATCTTATCATTGTGACTATTTGTGCCAAGTATTTTCATAATCCTTTGATCTATGAAGAAGATATAGACAGGCCACAAAATATACCATATAACAGACTCTGTTAACCTTTGATCTCTAAATGTGACCTTGACCTTGGAGATAGGGGTGCAGGTGTTGTACTTGACAAATCGTCTTTTTATTGTGGCTATTTGTGCCAAGTTTTTTCAAAATTCCTTGAACTATGAAGAAGTTATGGACTGGACACCAAATATACCCTATAACAGACTATGTTAATATTTGACCTCCAAATTTGACCTTGGAGGTAGGTGATCTGTTGTTGCGCATGACACACTGTCTGATTATTGTAAATAATTGCGGCGAATATTTACAAAATCCCTTCAAAGATAAGAAAGTTATGGACCGGACAAGACATATACCCTCAAATAGACAATGTTTACCTTGAGTGAGCAAGTGCGACCTTGACCCTGGAGGTAGGGGTCTGGTTGTTGTGCATGACACATCGTCTTATTATAACAAACATTTGTGCCAAGTTATTTCAAATTGCTTTGATAAATGACAAAGTTATGGACAGGACACGAAAGTGTGACAGACGGACAGGGCCTATTTCTATATCCCCAAAGGCAGGGGACAATTAATATACATGTATTAATAACAAGGGCAACATTGTCGCAAAATATGCCCGTCACAAAAGCTTTTGACAGATATGTGGGCATTATAGATATGCATATAGGACATATGCTCTTGGCAATATCCGGAAAATATCTAGATATTTTATCATCTCTAGTGACATTGACCTTGCAAATATTAACCTAAATCATATGTGTCACACTTGTAGATAAATGATAGTTATCATTTGTGTTATAATCCATCAATAAATGACGATTAAATGGTCCACATACACAAACTTTGACCTCTCTATGTGACCTTGACTTTGGTAGCAGGGACCTGGATTATGTGCGCAATAAGCCTCACAATGGTGAACATTTGTGCCAAGTTACATTAAAATCCCCTGATGAATGTAGAAGTTTTGCTCCGAACAAGCATTTTTCAATGACCTCTAAGTGTGACCTTAACCTTTAACCTAGAGACCTGGTTCATGCACGTGACACTGCTTCTCATAGTGGTGAACATTTCTATGAAGTTTCATTAGAATCCCACCATGCGTGGAGGAGATATGCTCTGGACAAAATTTCTATATTTTATCATCTTTAGTGACCTTGACCTTGCATATATTTACCTAAATTACATGTTTCACACCAGTAGTTATGATAATGACCATTTGTGTTTTCAATCCCTCAATAAATGAATACTAAATTGGTTTCATTACATTTTCATATATTTATCTGCACTTTGACCCCTATGTGTGACCTTGCCTGCATGAACCTTAATTTCGCATTTGACACTCCGATTCTCAATGGTGAACATTTGTCCCAAGTTATATTGAAATCCTTCTATGAATGTAGAAGTTTTGCTCAGGACAAGGACTTTTCAATGACCTCTAAGTGTGACATTCACCATTGACCAATGGAATTAGTTCATAAGCCTGACACTGCTTCTTGTGGTGGTGAACATTTCTTTGAAGCTTCATTAAAATTCCTCAATATGTGTAGGAGATATGCTCCAGACAAAATATTGGACGTTGCCTGCCCGCCCGCCTGCCATGGGGGGTAAACTATGACCTGTTATACGAACGGGCGTATAAAAAGCTTAAAGGTACATTTTGCTTCAGAAATAAAGATTTTTTTCTGTCTGTAGAAAGGGCAAATTGTGTTTAGTAATGCAATGATAAAGGATTAGAACATGTGATGCTTATCATCAAAAGAACGGTGTGTGGAATGTGAAATTATTATTCATTAGAGTAGTAAAATGTAAACAAAGTGGTATTTTGTTTTCCATGCAAAGTACTAATTCACTATAAATGTAATAATTGCCAAAATGCAATAGATGTGAAGGATGGCTCAGTTATACGGCTAATGAGTAACTTTTTGGAAACTTTAATAGGGCACCAAACATAAAAATACACAGCGTACTTCGAGATTTCAGAATTTCTCAATGTTTGGTTTTATAGGTTTATAAACTTTCACTATATATTGGGTAAAATTTGTAAAAAAAAACAAAAAAAAACCCAACTGTAATCATTTTAATGCTTATTTTTATTAATGAAAATATAAGTAAATCATTTAATAACTTACATTAAAGAAATCCTCCTTGAATTTGTCTGTATTTAACACAGGAAGTCTGTAACATAAACTGTATGCTTCTCTTAGTATGTCCAAATTTTTCGGAATTTCACCTAAATTAGACCAAAGATTTTAATGGTGAAACATATATTTCTTAAATATTAACATTTAAAACTATTTTTACATTATAAACCTTTTATTTCTTACTGATAAATATATATTCAATAAAACACAACAATGATCAATACAAATATTTGAATGATAAAAAAAAAAAAAAACTAATACAGTCAAACACTTTTCAAATGTTGAAAATCCTACTAAGAGTTTATTCAACAATGTCAATTTTTTTAAAATTTTCAAGTGAAAAAGGTCTGCTATGTGTTTTTTCACAGGATAAGTTTTATTATGTGTATGAAGTTAAATATTGTACACTATTGACATACCAGCCTCAACAGCTCTGATGTATTCTAATATTAGTTTCACCCTACTGTGTAACATCTTTATAGCACTGTGTTGGGCAATCAACTGCTCAGCAACTGTTAAATGTTGAATATACATATTATACATTTATATTTACTGGACATAAACCACCGAAGAAACATTAAGTAGTATTTCTTTATTTAACATCTAATTTCATGAAGACTTCTAGAAAACAGCAAATACATATTAGTATGCAATCTGTTATAATTAAAGCCAAGCAGTTGCATCAAACTGTATCCCTGTTTCTCGTATTCTCGGGGTTTCTCGTATTCTCGTGGAATAATTAAAACGGATGGAAGCGACGCTCGCGACTTCCGTCGATATCCGAAAACATGTCTATTTAGCAGAGCATTTTCATCTCCATTAAAAAAATAAAAGAAATGCGACAAAAACAGATAAACAAGAGCGATCAGTAATCACATGTGTCGCCTCATGATGGCCAATTTCATGTTGGGACAAATTTTGTGACAGACGGACAGACAGACGGACAGTGCACAACTAGACTAACCACTTTGTACTGATCATTCCTGTAAAATTTGGATAAAATTGCACCAGTAGTTTATGAGGAGTAGTCCGGACAAGCTTTTGCGTATCTGGCAACACACAGAAAAAAAACACCTTTTTATCAAAGGGCCATAACTCGGCCAAAAATCATTCAACCGGAAAACCCGTGCAATATGCGCAAGGACTTGAGCTACAGATCAATCCTGTAAAGTTTCATTGAAATTGCATAAGTGGTATAAGAGAAGTAGTCTGGACAAACTTTAAAAATAAAAATTTTTAAAGGGCCATAATTCAAACAAAAATCATTGAACCGGACAATGCTGACAATATGCACAACTAGACTTGGTACTGATCATTCCTGTAAAGTTTGGATGAAATTGCACCAGTAGTTTATGAGGAGTAGTCCGGACAAGCTTTTGTGTATCTGGCAACACACAGAAAAAGAAACCTTTTTATCAAAGGGCCATAACTCGGCCAAAAATCATTCAACCGGAAAACCCTTGCAATATGCGCAAGGACTTGAGCTACACATCAATCCTGTAAAGTTACATTGAAATTGCATTAGTGGTATAAGAGTAGTAGTCCGGACAAACTTTAAAAATAAAAATTATCAAAGGGCCATAACTCTGACAAAAATCATTGAACCGGAAAATGCTGACAATATGCACAACTAGACTCGGTACTGATCATTTCTGTAAAGTTTGGATGAAATTGCACCAGTAGTTTATGAGGAGTAGTCCGGACAAGTTTTGTGACGGACGGACGGACAGACGGACGGACGGACAGACAGACAGACGGACAGACGGACAGACAGACGACGGAGAAGTGATCCCTATATGTCGCCACTACTCCGTAGAGGCGACACAAAAACCAAAATAACTGTGGAAATAATCGTAAAATCCAGAGAATAAACATTAAATTTATCAATTTCCCCCCAAAAATCATCAATTTTCTAGTTTTTTCCGTGTTGCAGAAACCTGTAGCGGGTCTCTGACGCAAGACGCTTCAAATGACGGTCTCACACTACTATTTATACAATACAGCTCAAAATATTTGTTCCACGAATAGATAGTATAAAAAGGATATGAACTCCAATTAAAAACCAATAATGAAACATTGTTTGTCCTAAACACATTTCATTTTTGACAACTGCAATGGAAAACAGTAGTATTCATTGTTTAATGCTCATATAACTAATAGGTCACTAATAAATAAACGTAAACTTAATATATATTAGAGAGATTATGTAAATAACAACACTAAATGGAGTTCAAACCATTTTTGGAACAATCAAAATCATTTGGTACCAAAGAGGCGTCAATATGATCCTAAAAGTTTGATATTGCCTGCCAAGCTGTTATTAAAACACAATAAAATTACAGATTTAGGCCATTTAACACTTAATTAGGTGTGGCACTAATGATTTGAACTGGTATGTAGAATAAAATCATCACATAGCGACCAGCCTTAACAACCAATCAAAATCCACGAGAATATGAGAAAGCACCTGCTTCACATAGAGGGTGAAGGTCAGTATATACAAGCAGAAATATCTTTAGTTTTGCTTACAGTTACGATCTTTCTTTCTTTATATTTTGTTAATAAGGTATTTCTCTGTGTATCAGGCTAAAAATATTGTAACAAAATGTTTTTTAAATATTATTCAACCAAGTTTAGTGCTTAACCCCCCGAGAATACGAGAAAACAGGATAATCATCTATAAAGTTTAGTAGTTTAATAATTTATCTGGCTATTTTCTGAAATTGTTCAATTCATCTTCTTCTTAACAAATGATCATTAAACCCTAAAATATGTCTCACTAAAAGTATGATGCTTTACAATATAATCTGTGTTTAAAGTTTGACAGCCAGTAATTTCAAAGTCCATCAAGGAATGTAAAAGCTGTGGACTGGATAAAAAATACTTCTTTCAGCTTCTTCTGTAATAGTAACAACATACAGATCCTCACACAATGTATCTTGAGATGTGAAAAGGAATGTCATAGTTATGAATCAAACACAAAAATGGATTCAATTTTCAACCTTCTGAGGTGATATGCAATATTCTATTATCTGGACATGGTTTAAGCATAAGCCTGTTGTATTGACATTCAGGAGCTGATGATATATAAATATGATTTACTATCCCTCAATGCTATATGTTTTTTCTCAAATTACATGACCAGGCTTAACAATTGATGTATTTCCAGAATTACTTTCACTAGTTGCAAGACCTTACTGTTTGATGTCTCTCCAAAATAAAATGTTTATATTGAAGACATGCCTTTTTGTGGTAGATCTTCATTGTAAAATGTTAATATTTTAGACCTTAATTAATTCTTGATGCCTCTCATGAATAAATTATAAATATTTTTAGAGTTTTTTTCTTGATGTTTTTCATGTGCAAAGTGTGAACATTTAGACGTTACCACTTGATGCCTCTCCAGTGTCAGCTGTAGACATTCTAGCAACATGGTCAACACCGATTCTTTCAGCTTCTTCTGTAGCCAGTGTATAGTGTAATTCCACAAATAACATTGTTGCCTAGCATTACCAAATGTATAATAATTTAAAATATCCAACAACAATTCATATCTATCAAGTATTTATTATGATTCTTAAACATCTTCAAAATAGTTTCATAATTCTACTTATTGCATTATTATAGCATTAATAATATAGTAAATAAGGATAAAACATTTTGTGAAACACCCCAGGGGTTTATAAAATACTACAATATAGGTCTGATATATAGTTGTAACTGTACACAGACACCAGTAGTAAATGCCTTCTACTGCTATGCCCCATTAGCAACAGTCAAAGTACAACATTTAAAATGGTGTATAAATATATAATTGTTTAAGTATCAAGAAAGCTTCATTATGGTCAGACTGAAGTTTACTTTCTCACACAAAACAATCTGAAACTTATTCAATCAAACAGAAAGCTAAGGCTGTAACCATGACTTCAAGTTTTTGATATAGCTATTGTCTTGCTTTTTATCAAAATAAAACATTATTGTTTTTTATCATAATCTGTATAATTGTTAATTGATAACTTATAAAACCTTATTATCTTATAACATAACATCATACCTCTCCATTCACTAGATCTATCACTGATTCATATATTGCAACAGGTAACTGAAATAAATAATAATAAACACAAATACACACATTCTTCTATTTAACAACAGTGCAATGATTCTCCTTAAATTGCCTTAAATAAGTTACTTTTTTTATATCATGCTCAGTCAGGCGTTGGCATTATAAAGACCCCATGACCATGATTTTGACACCAGAGAAATCTACCCCCTCTCAAATATCTGGTACATGTATGAAGTTGCAAGCAAGAAACCTACATACCAAATATCTGAAATTTTGGCCATTAATAAAAACTTTGAGAGGAAATGTAGAAAAACCTATTTTCAGCATTTGCAACACAGACCCATGTCCACTGAACAAGATTGTGCACAATAAAAAAAAATTTCCAAATTATATGACCAATCTATGTGCCATGATTTGAAGAAAAAACTTGGTAGAGATCCATTTCGCAATCTGGCAAATATATTAACTAAACACCATTTAGTTTCTGACAAGAATTTTGTTAAAGTACCAAATGACCTCTGGTATGCAAAATATGACCACAGTGCCATGACTTGAACACAATTCTTAGGTTACTAAGGCAATAATATCTAATCTAAAACCAAGTTCTGAAGAGAAAAAAAACAAGTTCTGAAGAAAACAAAAAAACAATAAAAAAAAACACACACACCAAATTAAACTGAAATATTTTATCCATATGGTCCATATATACATTTCATCCATATATGATACATTGCTGAATATTGCCTACAGTAGTAACTAGAACTATTCATACCCCCACCAATGTCCTTGACAGAAGACGACTTGGAAAGGTGGTTAAGGGAATAACTTTAGTGGCATAAATACATATACATAAAAAGAAATAATCTCTGTTGAAAAAAAGACAAATTGTACAGGTAATAGTATAAATATATATTGTCAAATCATGTTTGAAACAGTTACAAAATAACCTTTCATTTTCCCAATGTACTAAAACAAACAAAAGCAGCAAAGTTATCAAAATAGCATAATTATGTCAAAATGTAATTAAGAGCAGAAAAACTTTGCAACTGAGCTTACTTGTGATCCTTTATATATAATATAGTTTCAAGTGAATATCTGTTCAAGTTTCAGAAACATTTAAGTATTAATGGTTATATCAGAACATTTTCTAAGCCTAAAAGGGGCATAACTTGTGTCATAATTCAATGGAATTGTAGAATTTTCATCATCTGAGCTTGCTTGTAACCATTCATATAAATTTTAAGTTTCAAGTTAATATCTGTTCTGGTTTAAGAAATAATATAGTACACATGTAAATAAATTTAAAGACATAACAAAAACTGTCGGAGGACAGTAACGCTCGACTATTCGAAAAGTTGTCACAAGGGTGTTTCATTGAGTATAATAATGCTTACCTATATGAATACATAAAATTGTCTAAAAAGGTACAAACCCTTCAGTAGTTATGGAGATACCAGCTTACAAGCAAAAATTTACCTAGAATTTCTAAGTCGAAAAAGGGGCATAATTATGCAAAAAAGTAAATCAGAGTTATGGAACTTTTGCCAATCATCTTAGATCATCACAGAAAACAAGAGTGTGAAGTTTCAATCCATTCCCTTCAGTAGTTATGGAGATACCAGCTTACACGCAAAAACTTAACCAAGAATTTCTAAGTCAAAAAAGGGGCATAATTATGCAAAAAAGCAAATCAGAGTTATGGGACTTTTGCCAATCATCTTAGATAATCACAGACAACAAGAGTGTGAAGTTTCAATCCATTCCCTTCAGTAGTTATGGAGATACCAGCTTACACGCAAAAACTTAACCAAGAATTTCTAAGTTGAAAAAGGGGCATAATTATGTAAAAAAGCAAATCAGAGTTATGGGACTTGTGCCAATCATCTAAGATAATCACAGAGAACAAGTGTGTGAAGTTTCAATCCATTCCCTTCAGTAGTTATGGAGATACCAGCTTACACACAAAAACTTAACCACAGGGACGCCGACACTGACAAATGGCTGACTGCATTAGCTCGATTATTCTGCGAATAGTCGAGCTAAAAATGGACTTAACTTTGTCAAAATACAATACAAGTTATCCCCCCCACTTTTTTTAGTTATGAAACTTGACCTGCATATCTTAATTGCGACACTTTGTATATATTTGAAGTTTCAAATGATTATCTGTTCTAGTTTTAGAAATATTCAAGTACATGTTAAAATTTCAAACATTTTCTAAGTCAATTTTTGACCTTCAAGTGTGGCCTTACCTTAAGCTGGCACAAGGGTAAGATTGTTTCTGCACGTTGCCCAGTTGGGGTGAACATTTGAGTCAAGTTTGAAGAAAATCCTTCCATTAGTATAGGATTTATAGAGCGGACACGACATATTGTCTAATATGTGATTGTATGTAAATTTGAAGACTTAAAAAGGGGCATAACTTTGTTAAAAAAAAAAATGCAATATAGAGTTATGAAACTTGACCTGCATATATCTAAATTGTGACATTTCATATATATTTTAAGTTTCAAGCAAATACCTTTTCTAGTTTCAGAAATATTCAAATACATGTTAAAATTTCAGAATATTTTCCAAGTCAATTTTTGATCTTCAAGTGTGACCTTGACCTTAAGCCGGCAAAAGGGTGACATGGATTCTGCACAATACCTTGTTGAGGTGAAAATTTGAGCCAAGATTGAAGAAAATCTTTCAATTAGTGTAGGACTTGCAGAGCGACACAACATACTGTCTAATATATGATTTTTAATATTTGACCTTCAATTGTGACCTTGACCTTGAGCTGACACATGGGTAACATGGGTTCTGCACATCCCCATGTTGAGGTGAACATTTGAGCCAAGTTTGAAGAAAATCCTTCAATTGGCATAGGATTTATAGAGCGGACTTGAAAATGGAAACGGAAGCACACTGCACTGATATTGCCTGTCATGTAAATATTAACATCTTACATCTTGGTTCCTGCCCATTGGATTCATTTTCAACAAAACAGGACTTTCATTTATACTGCAGATCTGAAAAGTAAATGTGTCCCAATCAGTTTGCAATTTATAAGAATCTGAAGAATTGAAAGGTACAATTTTTTTTTAATTTACATACATTACAAGAAACCTTAAGTAGACAATGCAAGAAAAAACAGCTAGTGCATTTTGTGTATTCAGAAACATGACCCATTTTACACTAAACAATTTTTGTTTCATTCTTTTATTAGAGCTGACTTTAAAATCATTTTCAGTTTGATAATGGAGAAATAAATTGGTTAAGATAAAATGGTAACTGTGCAAGTAACCAGCAGTAGAAATATAAAGTATGACTATAAATACCTGTCTATGTACATGTATATCAGAATGTGAAGGACTGTCTCCTGTTGTATACCAGCCAAGAAAGTCCATCTCACTGAATACCTGTTTGACTGAAACAAAGAAATCAACCTTTGAAAAAACAGGCTCTTTCAATTTGACAAAATATTTCAATACACTACCAATTGTAATAAAATACAAGTTTTCACAACAAAATTAAATGTAAAATGCAATATATTTTGCAGAAAGAAATCTTTCATTACCAGTTAATCAACTATTGACTGCTTATACAACTGAAACATAGAATTTTGACATTGGTGGCTGATTTCAGCAAACCCCTTTCAATACCAGAGAACATTTTAAAATGAGACAATTTCCCACTACCCTATTAACCATTCTTATCAGGTGTATGAATATTGAAATAATGAATATTTAAAATTAAGCTAAAGACGCCTAACAGGGCATACTAATGAATGTTTTAATTACTAAGTAAACAAGCGCTATATAAAAAGTCTTAAGATATTTTGGACCAAATTTGTGATTATACATACATCGGCAGCCATTTGGTAAGTAATTGACCGGAAACCCTCACGTTTGATGCCTGCCCATTTTACCTCAATCTAATTTTCAAAATTGAAAACCTGGTTAATAAAAGCAGTTGAAAAATGCCCTGCCTGTACAACTATATAAGGATCTTACACCGGCTGCCTGTTCAAACCGGAATATCTTTCTCGAGGGTAACTGTTTTCTCTGTGATCACTTTTTAGATGTCAGAAACATTAATTTTGTTTGTACGTAGTTTGTACATTTACAAGGTTGCAGCTCTTGAAATAGTTAAAATGCATGATTGTTCATTTTGAACAACTATCTAATGAAACTTGAAAGTTTGGGAATTCCATACCATACCAGCCAATGCTGCATCATCCATACATAGGTAAAACAGTAAATTGTTGCATTCCTGGATGACACTAAATCTATCCGTAGAAAAGAGGGCAATGATGGCCCTAAAATTGCTAACCTGAATACCTTAACACTCCATGACAAGGAACAAGTACTATTGTAAACTACAATGTATGAAAACATAAGCAAATATAAAATCTAACTCTTAAACTGATATCACAAAGTTCATTTTTTATCTGAACTAGTGCATCTGTAAAACATTACTGGTTGCTATTGCTATGGGAAAACAACAGTTCCAAAAGATGTGTACATATTAGGAAAATCAATGACCCACTGGGGCTGGGCCAATTTTGACCCCAGGGCTTTCATTAGTACAAAATTGGTAAACACTCACTAGAAGATGTTTCATGCCAAATATCTAAGCTCTAGCTCTTTGGGTTTTTTGAAAAGAAGATTTTTTCTATTTTTTTCTTTCAATTGCCATGGCAACAAAAGTTCTGCATGGAATTAAATTCTTTGAACAGTTTTTAAAGTTGACCACCAAAGGAACATTCCTATGAAGTTTGGATGAAATTGGCTTAGCAGTTTATGAGAAGCTGTTGTTTAAAGTAAAAGTTTACAGACGGACATACGTCGGACGAATGATCACAAATGCTCACCTTGTCACTTTGTGACAGGTGAGCTACCCGGTAATAAAAAGTATAAAATTATACAATCTTACACTGTTCTTCTTTTGTATTATAGTAATCCATGTCTATAACAATTTGCCCATCAACAATATCAAAAAGCAACTCAAAGGAATTCATCACTTCTATGTTTCTTCCAGTCTGTTTGCCAATCAAAGCTCCAATCACTACAAAATATCAAACAACAATGACTTATTTCATAAATGAATAACTTTTTCAAAGATGAGATATTCATTCTTATGAAACTATTCTTAAAGGCACATTATGCCCAAGAAATGTTTTTATTTCTGAACACCTTTTATTTTTGGTCTGTTTTACCAGTTTGACCTACATATTGTAAGCCACATTTTTTGCAGGTTATTAAATATATAACGCTTATTGTTCTGCAGTTATGGTGTCCATAAATCTTACAGGTTTGTTTTGTAGTTGTACTTGTTATGTAATAGAAAGAGCACCGAAACACGAGGCTATCTGATTTGTACGAGGGGGCGTAGCCCCCGAGTATTAAACAGATTGCCGAGTGTTTTGGTGTTCTTTCTCTTTGTATCATAGTCAAATATAAAAGCACGTTCCCTGTTGTCACAATATGAAACCCCGGCAAAAATGAACCAATGAACGAACATCTGAATATGACATTTCTGTCGCTTTCCTTTTCTCTGCCGGCACAATATGTAAACCCCAGCAAAAATGAGCCAATCAATGGGCATGCTCTGGAGTGCGGGGTAACTAATACCCGCACTCCAGTTAACGCACTGTGCATGTATATGTATACGATTTAACCCTGACACATTTTCAACAGAAAGGCCTCCAAACTATGATACAAATGAGTTTTATCTTAGACGTGTCTACAAGTTATACAGATCTGTTTGCATGTATAACTTCCATTTACTTCATGTTGTGGATTTAAGTCTGTTTTAACAAGATTGTTCCTAATATTTCTTGTTCTATGGTGTACAGCAATAATGTTGGAATTATTTATAAAATGGGTAGATGTGTTATTTGTTAATATTCTTAAAAAGTTGTTAAGAATATTTCGTATATCTGGAACATAGGGATTATATGTTGTTAAATACAGGATAACATTTTTTGATTCCTTGTTGTTTTGTTGTTGAGAGAGAAGTTCAAGTCTGTTGAGTTTTTTGCCTCAAACAGTCATAGAATGATCCAAGATTAGGGTTTCTGTATGTGCTTTTATTTAGTGCTTCTTTTCCAGTACTGTGTATGCTGGTATATCATTGAAACAACGTAACAGGCTTTAATTCAAAACAGTGAAAATATCAAAACAGTGAAATATCAGTTTTATATTTCACTGATATATTTCTATAAACCAACAAAAAGCATGTAATAAAATGTTATTTTTGATTATTGATTGATGGAAATATCAGCCTGATTTGATTTCAGTTGTTAAAGAATGCAAGTAAAAAATTTTTAAGCGAAAAATATGGGTACTTCTTTTGTACAGGAACTACTCGTGTACATTAAAATAATAATAAAAAAAAAATATCATGTAATATCGCTGTGTATTTTGGTGTATATAGATAGGCCTAACAAAAAAATGTTTGTTTCCAGTGACATGGTTTTAAAAAATAGGGTAGGTAGGCAGGCATTTTTTTTTGTATATATTTTTTTATATCAAGTGTATGCGACAGAAATATAAATATGCGACGCAAAGTTTATTATGCAGCGTCAAACAAAAAATGTGGCCTGTTTTCCCTCAAAAAGTTTAGGGTCGGCGGCCATAAAATAGGGTAGATAGGGACACAGGAAACAAACAATTTTTCTTTTAGGCTTTACGACGCACCTAATAAACAATTGCTGTCCATCGATAATTTGTAAGGTGTTAAATCCCCAGAGCTAAATACGTAACTTAAGAAACAACAAATAGTGATTTTATCAAGCGATAAAGTGACCGATTTGGATATATTATTCCGATTCTAACACAACATCATCAATTAAATACTGCCCTACCTGATATTAAGCAAAATGGCGCCTGATTTGTTTCCGTACTTGTTTTTAGCGCGTCACATTTTTATTGGTTACTGGTTTCCTAGCAGTTTCCGGCCACAAATCACATTTTTTAACAAATAAAATAAAAATCAGTCTACGGAGGCGAACAAAACTTTGACAGGACAAAGGTAGGTACCTGTCCAACATTGCCATCTGTTTAATGTTGCACTTTCATTTTACTTTTTAATTTGAATATAGGCCTGAAATGTAACACCTTTTTCACCTTATTCAAAAATTCATAGCAGTTTTCCGGACCTGTTTTATTTTGAATATATTTCAGTACCAAGAAGCAATGTTAAAATGGTTTTATCAGACAAACAGAAACTTCCCAACCTTTTCCGTGTCGTCTGCAAAAATATTTTCCAAAGTATTGATTTACCTAAAATGGGGTCTTAGTTATTGTGCATGGATATTCAGGGATACGAACAAAAGCCCCCCCCCCCATCTAAAAATGACAAGGTGGACAAAAGCCCCCCCATGATATTTACACATAGGACAAAAGCCCCCCCCCCCCCCCATAAACTAGACCTATCACTGAAGGTGATTAATACCCCCACCAGCAACTTTGACTTTTTGAAAAAAAGTAGTCAGACTAAGTCTGAAGAAAAATTTGAACACAAACTATCAACTGTGTACAAAGAAATATTTCAATTAATTGTAATCACAACTGGGGTCTCGAAATAAGCTTGCTATACACCAAGTTGGATTACAATATCTCATTCCTAACTCTAGTTATTGTCCGGAAACAATTTTTCTATTTTTAGTAACACTTTAACGGTGACCTTGACCCTAGGGGGTCCAAATGCAATACCAACCCAGGTCTTCATATAAGCTTCCTTTACACCAAATTAGATTACAATATCTCATTCCTAACTCTAGTCATAGTCAGAAAACCATTTTTCTATTTTTCCTTACGGTGACCTTGACCTTGACCCCAGGGGGCCCAAATGCAATACCAAGGGCCCAAATGCAATACCAACCCAGGTCTTCATAAAAGCTTGCTATACGCCAAGTTTGATAACAATATCTCATTCCTAAGTCAAATTATTGTCCGGAAACCATTTTTCTATTTTTAGCAACGGTGACCTTGAACTTGACCCCAGGGGGCCCAAAATCAATACCAACCCAGGTCTTCATATAAGCTTGCTATACACCAAGTTTGATAACAGTATCTCATTCCTAAGTCAAGTTATTGTCCGGAAACCATTTTTCTATTTTTAGTAACGGTGACCTTGACCTTGACCCCAGGTGGCCCAAATGCAATACCAACCCAGGTCTTTATATAAGCTTGCTATAGGCCAAGTTTGATAACAATATCTCATTCCTAACTCTAGTTATTGTCCGGAAACCATTTTTCTATTTTTAGTAACGGTGACCTTGACCTTGACCCCAGGGGGTCCAAATGCAATACCAACCGGAGTTTCCACATAAGGTTGCTATATACCAAGTTTGATTACAATACCTCATTCCAAACTGTAGTTATCGTCCGGAAACCATGATGTGGACCGACCGACGGACGGACCGACCGACCAACCGACCGACCGACAAGCTGACTCCTATATACCCCCCCTAAACTTCGTTTGTGGGGGTATAAAAATACAAGTAGGACAAAAGCCCCCCCTCCCGGTTCATCAAATTTACATATAGAAAACATATTATGCATTATATGTTATATATATATATATATATGCCTTTTTTTCAATTAATTTGGATATTTTGTTTATTTATTATGTTATTTTTTAACTTAAATTGTTCAAAAAGAAATCCTCATTCACAACTTTTACATAAAGGTCTTTTGAAAGAATACATGTAACTGATTTGATTAATAGATGATAGATATTTTTATTTCCAGGGTTGCTTTTCTTTTGATGAATCCTAGTGTACCTGGGCGTATGAAAAAAGATTGTAATCTGGTATTTAAACCTTAGGGGGTTTTTTGTTTGAGGACTGGTTGGGGGGGGGGGGCTTTTATCCGACCTGTATTTTTGATGGTGGGGGGGGGGGGGCTTTGTCCTATGTGTAAATTTCATGCGGGGTCTTCTTTTGTCCACCTTGTCATTTTTAGATGGGGGGGGGGGGGGGGGTGTCTTGGGGGGGCCTTTGTCCTACTTTGGATATTCAAACTAAAATTCCCCAGGCGTTGCTTATTTTTGAAACTTGCAAGTTCTCTTATGTAACTTTTAATAACAGGCAAAACTTCAAAGCATATAAACTGTTGTACGTTTTCAAATGCTGTTTAGAATAGAAAACAAATGTCTCTCTGATTGATGAAGTAATGTGGATGCCTTATCCTGTTTTCTCGTATTATCGTGGGGCTAAGGACTAAATTTGGTTGGATAATTTTTATAAAACATTTTGGTACAGTATTTTTTAGCTTGATACCCAGAAAAATACCTTTTTAAGACAATATAAAGGAAGAAAGATCGTAACCGAAAGCAAAACAAAAGATATTTCCGCTTGTATATACTGACCTTCACCCTCTATGTGAAGCAGGTGCTTTCTCATATTATCGTGGAATTTGATTGGTTGTTAAGGCTGGTCGCTATGTGATGATTTTATTCTACACACCAGTTCAAATCATTAGTGCAACTCCTAATTAAGTGTTAAATGGCTTTGCTCTGTAATTTTTTGTGTTTTTATAAAATAACAGCTTGGGAGGCCATAATCAAACTTTAAGGATCATATTGACACCTCTTTGGTACCAAATGATTTGGTTTGTTCTAAAAATAGTTTGAACTCAATTATGTGTTGTTGCTTACATAATCCCTCTAAAATATATTTATATAATGTCCATGTTTACTTATTAGTTATATGAGCATTTAGCAATGAATACTACAGTTTGCCATTGCAGGTACACATGTTTTTGTTGTTTTGTTGTCAAAAATAAAAAGTGATAAGGATAAACAATGTTTCATTATTGGTTTTTAATTGGAGTTCATGTGATTCGTATATTATCGTGAAACAAATATTTTGAGCTGTTTTGTACATGTAGTAGTGTGAGACAGTCGATAATACGAGAAACAGGGATAGGCCTACTGGTAAAAATATATGTAGACTGTCCTGGACAAAAATGATAAACGGCCGGAAAACTGCTAGGGGACAGAAACTGCTAGAAAACCAGTACGTCACCAGTATAATGATAATAAGTCACATATCTTAATATAGAACATCAAACTGTGATTTTATTGCATAAAAACACACACTTTTGGTTCTTCTTATGATCTTCAATAGGGAAGAATGCGTGTCGTGTTAGTATTACTGGTAAACAGTATTTAGCTAGGTTTCTCGAAAAGGTTATTGCTAGCATTAAAATTCACCTTGCTGAGGTTTTCCTTCTTGAGCCCGTACTCTTGTCCAATGTTCAGAAATGTTCATAATAACCAAAGGATGAAGTGAAATAGATACGCTTCCTGAAGTGCCTGTTGAAGCCATTACATTCGGCTTTGTACCATCAACTTCCATGTTTGTTGCCATGTTTTTTCTGTCTGTAAAGGCAATGCAATACTTAACAAGACCAAATGGTTGTAGAACGATTAAGAAAATAGCATTTATAAGTCAACTTTCAATCATTTAAAGATCATGTAGACGCTTGAGCATATTTACATAGTTCTGCGAAAGGAACGGAATGAACTTCATTTAGCGAACACGAAGTGAACATATTAAGTTAACATGATTTTCAAAGAAAATGCGTTATATAAAATTATGAGTTATATATTTTCTGGACTTCACTCTAAAATATATTAAATGAAGAGTGTTTGGACTACAGTTGGTAGATCAAAAGTTTTCAGGAAACCTGTGACAAGTCGCGAGACTTTGAACATCGCACAAGTTTTTAAATACTAAAGACAGCTAGTTCACATATTAAAATCAGCAAGACACTACATCCCTTATTTTTTCCTTTTCTTTAATTTTATTTTTTTGTATTAATTGATACAATATAAAATAATTAAAGCCGTGACTGCAGGCAGAGACGTAGATAACATATCTATATGTCTCTGCTGCAGATAACTGTGTTATATTAAAACATTAGTTAAAACACACCATGAATTAAAGACCATGTTTTTTAAGAAGTAATATTTCCAAAAATATACTTTCACTTTCTGTCTACCGAAAAAAAAGTGAATAGACACACGTGACTTTCCTCTTAGTTACAAATTAATTAAGACCTTTTTCTACATTCGTAATAAAAAATATGAATTGACTTTTTGTATTAGTTTTTACTTTAAAGGGGTTTACACTGAGGTTTTTGTGACATGACGGGACTGGAAATATTTTTTTGAGATTATTACTCTATTTGATGTAGATTTATACTAATAACTTATGTGCAAAATTTAAGATCATTAGCTCGTTCCGTTTTTCCAAAATAATAATCATAATAGTGAAAAATGACTCAAAATTGAAAAGCGTTAAACTTAACGCTTTTCACTCGAATCGGACAGAGAATAGCACAAAAATACGATTTTCAATGTGTTTCCTGTATGTTTCTTAGTTATATTTTATTTACATTTCTGTTTTAATATCTCGTGTTGATCTATGTGAAAAATTAAATTTTTATGTTTTTAGGCTTATTAACCTCAGTGGAGTTCCTTTAACACATGAGTTAGCATACAAAATGAAACTTTTAAAATATTTTACCACATTCAAACCACATACTTCATAATTGTCAAATAAAGTCCGTGTTTGACATCGTAATGAAAGACAATTTAAATATAACATACAAAATATAAAACTAACTAATTTATTATGTTTCTTTGAAATTGCTGACAAGTGAATACGCGTACATATTTGATTTAGATCTACAACCTAAACTATCAATGCACTGTTAGTTAAAGATCAAAGGATCGAAGTGTTAAAGATAAAGGTTTCAAAGGATTGATATAAAATAAATTACTTTAATCTACCAAACTTTCATTGCATTTTTTATTTTAAATATGTTAACAGGGTCTACCTACATTGTATTTGAAAGAACCTGATGTGAATCAAATTAGACTTCTCATTTGTGAAACGTTAGATGATATTTGAACATCAAATTCACCCCCCTCCCTCCCCGCATTAAAAATCATACATATTTTATATAGGAAACATTTGCTTATTATTCGTTTATAATGAACGGATTGTTCATGTACTTCAGGATATTATAATATAAAGGATCATTGATTCTAGCTCTTTATGTATTGAAAATTGTGTACCGCTTGAGCCGGTGCTAGGGGGCGTGACAGATTTGCCCTTATCCCTCATGTACAGACTCAACCAAACCAAGTCTACAATTTTCATGTAATTTTTTCGTGCTCTGAGGGAAGATTGTTTTATTATGTTATGATTATGCCCTAGATTAAAATCAAGGTAACTGAAAAAAATCTTCTTTGATTATTTCATTTTTAAATTTTTAACTGTTATTCAACGTGCATTTGTTATTTTTCAATCATAATTGAATGTAGTAAAGATAAATAAGTTTCAGATTGAATGGCACATTCGATGAAAAAGAAGAAAATTTAATGATGATTTTACCTTGTTTTGTTTAGTTTAATAATATTTTATTGCTCTTTGAATACAATTTATAACATTATTTCCACAAAACATCATTTTTTAACAAAGGGCAAAAGGGTTGAACAACAAGTTCTAGCAACATTAGTAACTGTCCTTCCCTTAAGCATTATAAGATATAGAAACGAAAACATGTTTAAACACTATACACATGAGCAATTACAAATATTAAGGCGGAAACAAAAACGAAGTAGCGAATAGAATTCGACATCAAATTTAAGAGAAAAAAAAAAACAAAAAAAAAAAAACCCATTTGCTTATCAATTTTTTAAATAAAAAATAAATAATAGTAATTTTCACGCACTTGCAGTATGTGATGGTTTGTATGGCTGTCAAAATATGTCATTTATAAGGGGAATTAGAAGAATTAATATTTTGAGCAAACAATATTCTGTTTTCGTCTCGTTTACAGGCTTGCTGTCCATTTTGTATGACAGAAAAACGGTGTCTGGGACAGAAGTAAGATATTTTGACGTTGCGCTAAACGCCCTATCACCATGATGTTGAATGTTCATTTTGCCGTGCTGGTCAATACGCGCGGGAAAATTATACTTAACGTTCGCGCATGCGTCGTTTGTTTACATAAATTCAGGCAATAAGGGTCTTTCAATGAAAAATATTTTACGTTGTATGAAAAGGATTTGAGAGAAAGTAATACATCGGTTTTTAACCAAATTCTTCCAAATTTCCGCGATGTATCCTCCCCCAAATCACTTCGTCTTTCAAGAGTATGATAGATCTATAAAGATATCAAATAGATAGTGACATTATATAAATTCTTTATATTAAGAAATCTACTTAATAGAATTTCCACTTAGAAATATAACTTTTTTACTCACTATTAAGATAATTGAGACGCCATGTACACAAGGCACAAACTTAATTACTTAACAATGCACAAGATAAGATTTTATTTCATTCCGTTCATTTACTTTTTCACTCATTTTTGTAGTGTATTTTATGTGTTTTTAATTACAATAACTTTTAAAATTATGTAGATCTATTTATGTTTTTAGGCTTTTTCTTCGTAGACATACAGTATAGATCTACTGCAGTAGATACTGTTTATCTAAAAAAAATTGACGAACCTACTGCACGGCGGGAGTTAACGACAATCCTGAATTACACCAATCTAATTAAAATATACATGGAAGAAATAAGTAGATCTAAACTTTAGTCAGATTGGAATTTCACAATCGTCCAGGAAAAAATGTCAGCTGGTTTCGTTATTGTAGAAAAGTTATGTCCCTTAGTTGACAATGATCCATTTGTAACGTTAATTTGGCAACGTCGATCGGAACTTTGTAAAGAATACTGTAGCGTTATCAATGGCACATCTGGGTAATAAAAATAAGCAGACTTATTTTAAGATTGATTTAGACACGGATTTATATTACTATTTCCAAACTGGATTTATACTACAGTAAACAGAATGATTTCGGAATATGAATAAATAATGTGTTTACCAAAAAGACTTTTCCTGTCAAAAATTTCTGAGAAAATGTAAATCTACATGTACTAAAAATGTAAATATGCATCAGAAGCGGATTTTAAATGGTTTAGTAACTGTATAATGGTTTTCTAGTTAACGAGCAGATTGTGTTAACCAGCTAAAAGTTATTGTGACCTTGATTTTGGGCATCCATGCTGAAATAATAGGGCTCTCCTAAGCTTAGATTCTACTAAGTAAATGTGATCAGCCTTAAGTGCTTAACTGGTATAGTTAATTAAAAATGAATTTTTATTTCACTCTCTTACCAAAAAATGAATGTTAAACATCAATATAAAAAAAACAAACATGCATGATCAAGTAAGAATACAATTTCGACATTTTTCAATGTTTTCTGGCTCCGTAATTCACTTGTCCACTGACAACTGCTTGTCTACCAGCAAAAAATCCAGAGTCTTGCACAGCACCTGTCTTTTAGGTCACTCACTGACTGTGACCTTGACCTTTGAGTGTCCAAGTCCAAATAATAAAAGGGGTCACCTATGTAATAAGGTTGATCAACATACATAATCCTTGTAGTGGTTGTAAGAAACATTGGATTAAATAAACAACATTTCATTGATCAATCAAGGTACCAATACAGTAAGTTAGTCCTGGCTTCCATAACTTTATATGTCGCTTTTATTTTGACGTTGCGACAGTAAAGGTCTAGCAATACTATAAAACCTGTTCGCTGAAGTATCTTTAGCTACCAATAAGTTTGCTTTACTTTAGTTTACTTTATTGACATGTCTAAAATCATACAAAAATGTTATAAACAATAATTCAAGTTTTTTTCTTTCACATGAAACAAAAATTATTGCAGTCAAATTACAAGGCTGACAAGTGTCACTTATAGAAACTTATAGAAACTGTATAATAGAACTGATCAGCTTTTAGTGGCAATGGATAGGTGTTAGTTATTTTTAATTAAATAACAGTAAGAAAATAGCTAATTTTATATGAATATAAAGAGGTTCTGCCTATTTAAGTTTAGAGCCAAGTCTGAAGTAAGCATGACATACATGTGCTTTACTTAAAATTTGCAGAACCACCTCTGAATAATGCTTTGAAGGATGTCTCCTGGTTGTTGGGCAAATGGAGATCAGAGAATGGCCAGGGAATATACCCAACAATTAAACATTTCAAATATGGTGAGGAAATAGAGTTTACACATGTAGGCCAACCAAATTTGCAATTTAGGTAAGTTGTGATGGCTTGGTTTTATAACAAACCAGTTTTGCTTGTTGTTTTACAATTGCACATAAGTGTATCTGTCTTTCATCTTTTCTCCAGTTCTTTTATTATACCTCAGTGTATGGTGTCTACTGTCTGTGACCATGAATGATAATGGGAATGACCTTGGATCAATTATTGCATCAAAAAATTTTATGATTTTTTCAATCAGCACTGCAGTCCTCACCTGTTAGAATATCTAGGGCCATCATGGCTCTCCTGCTTTTCTTTGGGTCAAAATTGGCCTTGTCCTTTAATGGTTAATTTGAACAAGTGATGTACAATGTCTTGATTTCTGTAAAAAGAGCCAAGACATTATGTTTGTAGCATTGTAATGTAAATGTTATATAAATCTTGCTGACATTTACGAATGCCCACACACTCTAGGGTCACTTTATTACCTTTTTCTGAGCAGAGAAATGCATTTGCTTAAGCGTGATGTTTGTCCTCATTATGCTGATTTCAAGTATACTGAAGCAGGTTTAAATTTGAAATCTTTTAAAGTCAGTGTTTCTTTCCTTCTTATCACTGGCGCAATAAATTAATTTCCTGTAACTAATATATCTATTTTCACAGTACTAATGTCAAAATTTACCCAATGACACTAAGAAATCCAAAATATCAAATTGTTGTATTTTGTCAATTTGAAGGACTCGGAAAAGATCAGAAAAACATGCAAGTTCAGAGCTTACATATACATGAAGTTGAAAATGAAGCATCAAATAGAGGTCCAGTCTAAGGCCAATATTTTAATGAAATGTGAGATTCATAAACTTCCCTTTTAAGTTACATACATGTACCTATATGTCAGTTGGACACTATTTATGGATTTATAATAGAAATAGAATTTCTCCTCTGAAAATTTGGTATCTAACATTATCATTCAAGTTATACAAATTTTGGACAAGGAATTTGCATACACAAGGTCTTCAGTTTATATTAGGGATAAATTTGTTTCGGAAAAAGTTACATAAATCATGGCTGAGGGGTAAAAAAGGACTACCTAAAGATTATTTTATTAGATTGACTTTTTATGATGTATTAAAGTAAGTGAAATCTTAACATAGAATAGCTCTACTCAAGTTAAAAAATGTATATGAATCATGGTGCTTATATATTTGCCTATTTCAATAGTATGTAACTTTTCTTTGTAGCTCTTTTACTTTTCCGACTATGCTTTATGTAAACATATGTAATGTGATCACCAACCTCGCTAGGGACCTTTTTCCATGTACTCATATATGTTATTAAAGTTCTTTTTCTCTTAAACTGAACCCTAAGTGCATTAGATATAATGATATGGATCTTGTAATATAGCTGGAAAGTTGCCATATGACCTTTACTGTGTTGGTGTGGTGCTACATGTATGTAAAACCCAAGCTGAATCAACATATGTGCTAAAAAGGGAAATAACTGAAAATCAAGCAATAAAAATAAATCAAATTTTTTCAGTATGTGACAGTGTCTATTCTAGGATTTGAAAAAAAAGGTGGGATTTTTTATCTAAAAGTGAGAATTTATTACATTTGTTAATTTTTTCCCCTTCTTTCTGTATGTAAAATTTCCCCCTGCCTCTGAAAAAATAGTGGGTAATTCTCAAAAATATGGGTGAATCCCCCCATCCCCCCTCCTAGAATAGACACTGTACAGTGACTGCCCTGGACAAGTGACACTTAAGTTAATTCTTGCATTTTGTCCATTTCTGTCTAGTTATTTGTTTGGGTCGTCAGACCAAACAAATAATGGTAGCTAAATTTCAGACTTTAATGCTGTTAATTGCAAATGCCGAAAGTAGTCCGCTTTTTTGAAGCGGTAACTTCCCTTTATATGTACACTAACGCCAAAAAATTCAGGGGAGATCACTGCGTAAAGATGGTCAAGTGACAGGCGCATTAATTTTCAAGCAAAATAATTCCGGAATGGTCGAAGATTTCTAATATTGTTTTATTCTTTATATATACATGCTTATAGTAAGCTCCATGATTATTTATATCTGTGTTAAACAACAGTTAGGGTCGTTACAAACCCTAATTTAGAATAATATGGTTTTCTTCAGGACGTTAACAGATTAATTCACCGTGGCCGAGGGGTTTGCGCGCTCGCTTAGGAAGCGAGTGGTCTGGAGGTCAAATCCCAGTTAATGCAACTCTTTTTTTTTCAAATTGTTTAAGTCAAATAAACATTGGATTGAATATCAGTGTTGCAATTAGTCTTATAGCCAATTTACTACAATTAAAACGCTGGAAAGCATTGGTGGCACTCTACAAAAACAAATTGGTTTATAATCTCACAACCTGAACCTTTCTTACATTCTGAGACCCAAACAAATTCAGCGCCTTCTGTGCTTTGATTTTGTATATAAGCAGGCTTTCTGTTGGTTTGTTTTCTTAGATAAATGACAAATTCATTTCCATGTACATGAGATAGTACTTATGATTTGCTTAAGGCAGCACCCCCCAGGAATTTTATTTCCCAATTTCTGAAAAATTAAAAGTTCAGAATTATTTTACAAATAGACCCTAAAATAAAGAATCCCTAAAAAATTGGGTTTTTAAAGCACCAAGCACAATTACGGCAAAAAGGGGGGTTTTGGGGGGCAAAATTTTTGTTGGGCCAGCTAAGGGGGTTTGGGGATTAGAGCCTGTTCCCAATGGAATTTTTTAATTTAAAAGAAAGTAGGCATAATTATCGAAAAAAACAAGCTTTTATTTTTTTTTTACTTTTCTTAAAATTTTTAAGGGTTCCCTCAAAATAGATAAAAAAAACAGAATCCCTAAAGAAAGGGGCCCCAAAACATTTGGGAGGCCGGACTTTAAGGGGTGTTTTTGCAGCGGTAAAATGGAAAAGTGGGGAAATTATTTGTCCAAATTTAAACGAATTCAACCCTTTAAACCCTGAAAATTTTATTTTTTGAATAAGTTGGGTAATCTGCAAAGGGATTTTAAGATTTAATTATCTTAACACATTTATTTTTGGCCCCTGTTTTTTTAATAGGGTTTGTTTTAAAATTTTTTTCAGGGTGTTTTTGGGGAAACTTTGGAGCAAAGAAACCACTAAAAAAGGAAAATTGGCTTTGGTTTTGAAATTCAGCCTGCACAAACAATGTTCTCTGAAAATTGCTCAAAAATTAGGTGAGTTTTACCCTAGAAAAGTAAAAGTAAAAAACAAAGTTAAAATTTCAAGTAATTTTTCCATCTCATCTTTTGAAGTAAAAATTTTGGTAAGAACACTGATTATATGAAATTTTTAGGGTCACCTGTTCCCCCAAAGTGACAAGGGGGAGGGGTTTTTTTGAATTTTTTTCCGGTCCGGGCGTCCCTTCCCCCGTCGTCCGCCCCCCGTAAATTTTATTTTAAAAGACATCTCCTCATAAACCACTAAGCCAATTTCATCCAAACTTCACAGGAATGTTCCTTTGGTGGTCACCTTTAAAAATTGTTCAAAGAATTTAATTCCATGCGGAACTCTGGTTGCCATGGCAACCGAAAGAAAAAACTTTAAATATCTTCTTTTAAAAAAAACCATAAGAGCTAGAGCTTAGATATTTGGCATGAAACATCTTCTAGTGAGTGTCTACCAAGTTTCTTCAAATAAAAGCCCTGGGGTCAAAATTGGCCCCGCCCCGGGGGGTCATTGATTTTCCCTATATGCATATAGTAAAAACTTAAAAAATCTTCTTTTAAAGAACCCAAAAAGCTAGAGCTAAGATATTTAGCATGAAATATGTTCTAATGGGTGTCTACCAAGTTTGTTCAAATAAAAGCCCTGGGGTCAAAATTGGCCCCGCCTTGGGGGGTCATTGATTTTCCCTATATGCATATAGTAAAAACTTAAAAAATCTTCTTTTAAAGAACTCAAAGAGCTATGGCTAAGATATTGAGCATCAAACGTGTTCTAAAAGGTGTCTACCAAGTTTGTTCAAATAAAAGCCCTGGGGTCAAAATTGGCCCCGGCCCAGGGGGTCATTGATTTTCCCTATATGCATATAGTAAAAAACTTAAAAAATCTTCTTTTAAAAACTTAAAAAATCTTCTTTTAAAGAACCAAAAGAGTTAGAACTAAGATATTTAGCATGAAACATGTTCTAATAAGTGTCTACCAAGTTTGTTCAAATAAAAGCCCTGGGGTCAAAATTGGCACCGCCCCGGGGGTCATTGATTTTCCTTATATGTGTATACATAGCAAAAACTTAAAAAATCTTCTTTAAAAAAAACCTAAATAGCTAGAGTTAAGATATTAAGCATGAAACATCTTTTAGTGAGTGTCTACAAAGTTTGTTCAAATAAAAGCCCTGGGGTCAAAATTGGCCCCGCCCCGGGGGTCATTGATTTTCTTTATATGTGTATAGCAAAAACTTAAAATCTCCTTTGAAAAAACCCAAATAGCTAGAGTTTAGATATTAAGCATGAAACATCTTCTAGTAAGTGTCTACAAAGTTTGTTCAAATAAAAGCCCTGGCCCCGGCCCCAGGGGTGTCATTGTTTTAACTATATGTGTATAGTAAAAACTTTTAAAAAAAAATCTTCTTTTAAAAAGCCCAATGAGCTAGAGCTTAGATGTTTAGCATTAAACATCTTCTTATGGGTGTCTACCAAGTTTGTGCAAATAAAAGCCCTTGGGTTAAATTGGCCCAGCAACGTTGGGGGGTGGGGGTGGGGGTTGGGGGCCTATATACAGGTGAGCGACCTCAGGGCCATCATGGCCCTCTTGTTATGTTTAACAAGCAGTAGATTGTTTTCATTTTTCACTTCTTAGATAGTAAGATGGAAAATATATGATTTATCAATACTATTAACCCTGTCATGCATTATTATGTCTCCCCCACCTCGGGGGGAGACATATTGTTTTTGCCCTGTCCGTCCGTCCGTCGGTTCCGTCTGTCCATTCTTTCGTTTCCGGACGATAACTAGAGTTCCTTTTGACCTACAGCTCTCAAACTTCATAGGATGAATGGTCTTATTGAGCAGATGATCCCTATTGTTTTTTGGGGTCAGTAGTTCAAAGGTCAAGGTCACAGTGACCGTTGGTCAATTTCTCGTTTCCGGATGATAACTAGAGTTCCTTTTGACCTACAGCCCTCAAACTTCATAGGATGATTGTCTTATAGAGCTGATGATCCCTATTGTTTTTGGGGTCAGTAGGTCAAAGGTCAAGGTCACACTGACCGTTGGTCAATTTCTCGTTTCCGGATGATAACTAGAGTTCCTTTAGACCTACAGACCTCAAACTTCATAGGATGATTGGTCTTATTGAGCAGATGATCCCTATTGTTTTTGGGGTCAGTAGTTCAAAGGTCAAGGTCACAGTGACCGTTGGTCAATTTTTCTCGGTTTCCGGATGATAACTAGAGTTCCTTTTGACCTACAGCCCTCAAACTTCATAGGATGATTGGTCTTATAGAGCAGATGATCCCTATTGTTTTTGGGGTCAGTAGGTCAAAGGTCAAGGTCACAGTGACCGTTTGTCAATTTCTCCATTTCCATTCCTGTTTCCATTCACAGTTATTCTCAGCAGTGGGGGAGACATGCGCTTTTTTACAAAAGCATCCTCTAGTTTGTGCTTGTTACATGTATTTTACAGGTGTTTGTGAGTTAGAAGAGGGTGAAGTTAATGGACAAGAGCTTATAACAACATCACATACTGTTGGCAGATTATCATTTGGAAAGGACCCAGTCACTAAAAGGTGAGTTTTTAGGGGATTAATTCCTTTGGGTTTAAACATTTATTCTAAGGAAGCCCGGGCAATGGGAAATCAACAAATTGTCCTTTGGAAAAATTTTATTAAATTTTTTTTGAGATTTTTAAACAATGGTTTTAACCCGTTTTTTTTTGTCAATTAAATTGGGGATGTGTCATTACATGTATAAAGTAAAGGTACAAAAATCAGGGTTTTTTTTTCCATATTACTTTTTTAAGCTTGAATTTAAATGTTTTAGTTGTTCAAAAAAGTCACAAAAATTTTTGTAATTTAAATTAAAATTTGGGTTTAAATTTATTTTCCCCTGGGAACAGTTTGGGGCTTATTTGATTTTTAAACAGAAACCCTATTTACTTTCGGAATTTTCACAATTTTCATAAAAAAAATTCACATAATTTAGCTTTAAATCCATACCCAAAGTTTAAATTTCTTTGGGGTTTTTTGCAAAAAAATTTTTTTTTTACATTTTTTTTCAAATGGAAAGTAAAAGTTTTTTACTCCTATAAATTTAAAGGGACTGGTCAACTGGGTTTTTGTAGTTTACCCCAGAATTTTTAAAACATGAAACCAAGGTTAAAAATTTTAAACGTGCATAAATACATTGTCTTCACCTAAATGGGAACTGTTTCCTATTTGGACAAAACGCATCGGTGTAAGAGCTGTTGCATTGCACTGTCATAAAACATCTGAACTATCTATTTGTTAAACTTTTAGAAACTAAAGTTTTGTATTTTTCTTTTGAGATGATTTAGATAGTGCTGTGACGACAAAGTTCTGTAATAGCTGACTTTAAGATAGTAAAGCGAGGTCACATGTGTGCCGTTTTATTTTGGTTTGATTTGTAAACTGATTTGATGCCTTTAATGTCTCATCTACTATGTTTATGTGCAAATCTGATGTTTTATTGTTGGGCATTTGCTTATTAAAAGTTAATATATCTCTTAATCGGGATATAATTAATTAATGTTCAAGGCATTATGATAAACCGTTACGAGAAACACTGTCTATTTTTTAAAAGGGACACATGGTTTCAGATTCCTGGCACAATATGACATTGACTAAAGGGTACCTGTCATGTCTCAGTATAAAACAAGTACTAGTACAGACGTAATGGAATTTTTGTTTAATACCGCTTCCCCTTTCATTTGTTATTATTTTGAAGGATTTCTATAACAAAACAATAAACTTGATGCCAGCATATAGCCTGGTCAGATGGACATTCAGGCTGGTCTGTTGCTACACTGGTCTGGTGGCATATGTAAGATATTGCTGCTACTAGTAGTGTTCATCTGTGCCATTTATACTTTAGCTAGCAATTATATACCTGTTTATTACCCGTATACCTTAACAAAGTTTATTCCTTTATCAAAGTACTTAGAATATATTTAGGCTTTTCTTTGGGCTTTGACTCTGGTGTTATCTGTAGATTATCATGTAAACTTCTGTTGGCTTTACCATGTGTTAAATATAACATGTTAAGTTGTTTACATAAGGATCTAAGATTTATATGTAAGCATATGTGTACCAATATTTCATTTCTCTTTCAGATAAAACGAACATTCCGTAGGGAAGGTGATTCACTACAGCAAATAGTTGAGATGGAAACGGACCAAACTGCAATGACAGAACACTTGAGAATAACATATAAGAAAGTGGATTCTTAAATGATTTTGCCTTTATTGCTTTACGTTTTGATTGATTGTGTAAAAGTCATTAAGAACAACAATATATGTATATATATATATATATATATATATAGAGAGAGAGAGAGAGAGAGATTTTACTATTCATGTCAGCATCAAACTGTGATAAAAAATATTTGTACTACCCCACTTTTTGAGAGAATCCATATAGACGCTGCTTTAATATTTGTTAATGACCACCATCTTCATTTGTAGGCAGAGAAAACAACTCTGTTATATCTTTTGACAAAAATTGTGTGATGTTTTTATTTTCACATCTATCTACTGCTTTGTCCGTGTACTCCAAAATTTGGTTTGGATTCATTTTTAGCAATCATTAAATGGACTTCTGGAAGCTTAACTATCGAGAGCAGGTGGTGCATATCAGCAGGATCAGCTGGCTGCGTGAAAAAAACTTTGAGAAATATAATTATTAATAGTATATGGCATTTCCTGTCTGTCTGTCCTTTTGCACTGCACCATAAAAAAATGGCTTATGCCATTTTTATTAAACACAAAAGGAAATAGCCCTTTGTTCCAAAACAGTTTCATGTCTGTTTGTCGGTAGACAATGCAGGATAACTTTCTAAGGTTGTGTTTATATTTTGCATATAAGGTTTATATCTCAAAAGAAAACAAGATTTATATTTTAGCTCAATGAAGACCTACTCACCCCAGCATCTGAGTCAAGATTTTAGCAGTAAAATGATTTTTACTACATGTATAACTTCTTTATTTTTAAGTATCAACTTCAAATATATGTTCCTTATCTTCAACCTCATCATATGTGACAAGGTTCATAACTCTTCAAGTTTCTTGAAGCAATATTTTTTAGAATTATCTCGCCTTAAACTTAGAATTTTTCTTTAAAATGTTATTTTTACTCTAACGTCATTCTTTCATAAGGGATATACTTCCGATTTCAAATATTAACCACATCATATGTGACAATGTGCTTAACCCTAGCACCAATATTTTCACAACTATAACCCCATGAATTTAGATTTTTCTTAAAATGTTATCTCTTACATTGTACTTTTTCTAACTTCTTCAAATTTCAAGTTTGATTGTATAGTATTGTAAATGTGTGTTTTTTGAGCTCTGAGAAAAATGCAAAAATATGAATTATTTAAATATTAAAGAAGTGTAATTTTTATATGAGAAAACATGGATTTTGATGGTTGTTCCTTCAGAAGTAAAAAACATAGTATAAGAATGTAGAATTTGAATAATTAGTTTTTACGGTAGAACAATATACATGTAGTTGGACATCGGAATGAATTTCGTTTACGGACATGAAGAGAGCCAAATACGGCCAGAGGCGAAAAGTAAGGTAACTGTTTATTATGCAAGTGATCTTTTATACCTTAACTTTATTAAGGCAAATGGCCATATGATCCATGCTTTTAAATGGATACAATGGACGACCTAGTATTTGAACCGTTGGCGCATAGCGAAAATACAGAGGTTAAGGCACCTGTAATAGCTAAGAGTATGACAGCAAGCGTGAATCCTTACTCGGAACTAGATTTGACCACGCTATCCGCGGTTCCACTGTATATTAACTACGATAGGCAAGTTCACGCATATGGAGAATATATCATTTCTTCAACATAGTTATATTGATAGCAGTACATTAAATCAGTTGATGGATCTGTCATATGTCAGGCTGATAAAAGTTTCATTATTGAAAATAGCCAGCCCATATCAAATCAACACTTCTTCACCCAGTTAAACAGTTCGCTTCCAAAAGACTTAATATATAGACAAGTTATTGAAAATGACCTTCGGTGATGAAGGGAATATCTCAAAGTAACGCAATATATATCGAGGGAATATCTCAAGTATCGCAAAGGGCGAAGAAATCGCATACAACTAAGCTTGAAAACTGCCCTAAGAGAGATACTGTCATGCATTGCATGAATTCATTAATAGTAATGATCCAAAAGTCATAATTGCCATAAGAAAATGAGAAATATTAAATCTGAACTTGTTGAGGATGTCCCAACAGAATGCCTTCCAAAAACGTTGCTCATTGACATTGCTCAAATGAAATCGCAAATTGGAATGGGAAAACTTGTTGCTGATGTGCGTGAGTTAGAAATACGAAGAACTCAAGATAGAGAAGAAATTTTTTTCTTTTGAAAGTTTGAACGCCACCTATCGACTGAAAATCAATGCTCATGTGCAAGAAGTACTGAATCTGTGGCCGACAAATCTTAGGAACATAAGACAAATTGTGTAAACGACCAAACCTCGAACAAAGTTGATGAACAAAACCGCATTGAAACAATAATATATAGGAAAGACGTCCCTTAATCAATAAATGAGAACACACAAATCAATGACCATATACCTAAAAATGCATGGAATGTTTCCCCTAAGGACTTGTGGCTCTAAGTACCAAAACATCTCTAATTATCAAAACGCGTACAAAACTGACCAAGAGCCCAAGCCTGTATTTAGAAAGTGTCAGTAATAGGCAACCGTCCTTCAGTCATGAAATTAAACAGCATAATCAAAACAATACGGAAAACCAATCTTTCTTTGAAAGTGTAAAATCTCGCCGTACTCGGCGTTATTACATTGGCGGCATTGACAGGCGTTCCAATAACGCAGGATTGACATATTTCTATGATATGATACAAGTAGAGGTTTTGATGATAAAGCATAAAGTCGCAAGATAGATACATTGTATCATAAATATTAGAAACAATCAGTTTTAATTATTCGCTATCAATAAAAATATACATGAAGGACATGCAGTATGGTAAGGAACTCCACAAGCCTAAAAAAATAAAAATTATAACAAAAAGGTGAGCAGAAATGGCTCTCTTAATTCATAGTTGCTCAGTACAGTCTTGTGTGCTATGGCCTGGGACATCACTGAAGTGTTAAGAACTGTAGACTAAAACCATCTGTCTGATTAAATAGATAGTGATAAAACTTGACAATAATATTAACTACTCTTCTCGCAGTGCTGCCTAGTTATAGTAACTAACATGTCCCATGCCATGAAGGAAAGTAGATGGGGAGAAATGAAGCTCATTGTTCCAACAACTTAAATGATTCACTCTGATAGAATATCCGGCAGATTTTCTCTATTAATTTTGTACATGTTTTATTAGAAAGTTATTTATAATAGTTATAATAGATATTACTGGAAGTACTGTCAGTTATTATAAGGATATTGAAGGATTACTAAGATTTAATATTAAAATATTGAATGAGGTAAAGGAAATCATTCTAAGCAAGTTTCTGGCAAGCATACAATTGTTTTATTTAACCAGTTTATTGAATCTTCATGAATATCATATTCTATCTATCATTAATGATCAACATTATTTTTTGTCCAATCACATTGTAGTATTTTTCAAATTTCTGCTAAGTCTAACTTTGGTTAATGTGTACTAACTAAATAAAATTTACTTAATCTGTCCTCTAACCAGTCTAACAAATTTCAGTAATGCATTATATTAGGGAGGAGTTAGAGGTGTGGTTTGCACTCTGAATTGGAAAATATAAAGGTTAGCAAAACAATGCCAACGTAAAAATAATTAGGCTTTCTAAATGTGAGGATACATAATACATAATAGATAATACATGTGGGGCACGCAGAGACAAATGAATACGGTACATAGTAACTTATTTATATCCTTTTAACTCTAAGAAAAATGTCTGTTATAAATTGCTGACTGTTTTAACTTTATATTTTCTAGAAAAAGTAACCAAAAAATTATTTTCTTTCACTTGATAGGAATGAACTGCATAAACAATACAATGATATTAAGAATACAATGATTACATTTTTGGCTGGAAAACTCATTGTAAACTGACCCCCTCCACCTGTAAACTGTTTTACAAATAATTAATAATCTCTTATGTATTTTTCTCACATTTTCCATTTATTTTAAAAGGATGTACACATTTCATTAACTCCATTGTTTTTACCTACATGTAATTACTGTAGATAAAGGTATAAATTCTGTGACATTTCAGTAAAAATATGCCTAATTATATGTTAAAGGGCCATTTATTTAGCTATCCTAAATGTGAAATGTTAGAAACTTGACAAGGTGTAGACATCTTGTAGAGCGAAAGGGCGGAGCTATCAGTGATTTAGAGAAATGCCTTGTTTTTGTGAAAAAAATAATGTTGATCATTAAATAGGTTAATGTTTAATAATATGCATTAACAAAAATAATTGGTTGTCTGCCTGCGGCAGGCTTGACCAATTATTTTTGTTAATGCATATTATTAAACACTAACCTATACATGATTTACAGTTAAAATGAGTCCTTTTTGATGTGTCCATAGTGTTATGCAAACATTTATGAGTGTTTTGATAGTGTTATGCAAATGACATCATGTCAAAGTGTTATAACACTAGGAAGTGTGTGTAAAATCTTATTAAATGGCTTTATTGCACTTGTGGACTTTGGTTATGCAATTTTGAAATGGAACCAAACCAAAATACATGTATACAAATTTGTTTATTTACTTTTATTTTAAAAATATGTATTGATTGATTTTATTAATCAGTGTCAATTGCATACTGATTACCATATACCGTCAATGCACACACAATATTTATCAGTATTAAAGGCCCCTGCTATTTACACTATAATAATAAATTCATTATTTAGAGAAGATAACATACAAAGTTTACACAGTAAGAGAATATTGTATACTTATTATCAGTATGGCCTTCTAACAATAGCAAAAAAAAAAAAATACTTATAAATCTATTCAAAATTTAAAATCTTTTTGTACAAGAAAAAAAAAAGTCTTGAAATGTGAAGGTAATATATTTTCATTCATTCATCTGACTCAGACACTCATATTAATCATGGTAATTAAAGAAAAACTTGTAGTAGTTAAAAAAAGAATAAGATAGGATTTAGTTTAATTTGTGTCCTTGAAAAAATGATACCATGTGTTATCATAAGCGCAATGGGGTAAACTGCTGAATGTCCTTTGTGTTATTGTAAACCGGTGTAAGATTGAGACAGTGTAGGTCCATGTTTTTTCTTATTCATATTTTCAACATTATTGAAGCTATGACTGGTTTGTATGTTGTTCATTTTAATCTAATATGTTTTGCACTTATTTTGGAAAAGTCTGTACTCTTTTTAGCTCGACCATTCGAAGAATATGAGAGCCCTGGCAGAATTAAGCCATTGTGTACTACTTACTGTGAAAATCTTATAATACAAGACTTTAACACATTACGAATATTTTGCTGACATCGCAAACGATCGACTGTGTCTAGCTTCCTGTCTTCTGTTGCCTACGGCACATTGCTTACTCCTAACAGCTTAATTTACTGTCCACTGTCGTTTGCTTAAAGCGACTCCACTGAGGTTTAAACGCCAAAGAACATAACATTTGAATTTTCGTACAAAAATGAGCTGGGGCACTTTAAACTGAAATATATGCCAAGATAGTCAAGAAATATACTTAATGAAATTGAAAATCGTATTTTGTGCTTTTCTTGGCTCGATTTGTGTGAAAAGCGTTAATATTTGGTCATATTTTTACAATTTGAATAATTATTCTGAAAAAACAAAGTGCGCGAATGATCTGAAATTTTGCACAAAGATTAGTGGTATAAACCTACATCAAGTGGTACATTTATCTGGAAAAATATTTTCAGTTCCATCATTTCAAAAAACCTCAGATTACTATTTCAAAGTATACAACCTATAAAGAACTTTATAGTCGCTGAAATAGTTGCAGTATCTGTGCTTTTACATATAGATGTCCAAGAAGCCATATCCTCGTTCTTTTTTACTGATTCTATACAGTTAAGTTATGCTAACTTGCTTCTAAGAATTATGCAATTATAACAGAATTCAATAGCAGAATAGCAAAATATGTAATTAAAATATCTTTTTAAAACATAAATGAGATTATCATAACAAGAACCCATATTTGAAGCATTATTTTGCCTTTTTATGAATAATTAAGCAAATATCAAGGTTTTCCTCTCCAATAAAGGAAAGATTTTACGCAAAATCAATATTCATAATTTTCAATGGGTTTACTGAGCCAATGAATATCCATTCCGGAAGCTAGAGATCTAGTATATGAAACTTGCTTTTGGATGACATAAACCACTTTGCTGTCATTAATTATACCCTATTTTCAGCACTAATAAGTGTGTATGTGTAAAGGTCTCATATTTGCGTCTACTTTGATACGATCATGCTGAAAATTTCAGTAAATTCCGCAAACACATCTGCGTTTTTCTAGCTTCACGACCCTAGCCTACAGTGTTTGTAATACGGCTATATCGTTTTATTACCACCTTAACATTTTAAATATATATATAAATGAGGCAACATTGTTAAAATATGGCGAATGAAATTCAAAATAAAATTATAATGCTATTTTTTTTTTAATGACTGTTAAAGCAGCACGTACGCCTCTAAATTCATGTTAATTTCCATAAAAACTTAATGTATTAAAAAGTAAATATTCTAGAGTGAACAAAGAAAATAATTTTCAAATTAGCACTTACAACCCATGTATATTTTACATATGCAACAATAGCCCTTATTGCGTATAAACGCGGAAAATATGACGAAAAATACTGCAAAATCGGTCATAAATCGCAGATAACATGGACATTATTACTTCTATCTTGATCTTTTTTATTTTTCTTAAAATCATAACATTTTTTTCTTAAGTTTGATTTTCTTGAAATTATTTGGCTCATCTGAAGACATGTAGCTTTATAAAACGTCAAATACATTTAATAAATAAATGTTTAAATTTAACTATCAATTGTGCAAATCATTAAATTTATACATGTTTAAATAAGAGAAATTGTGACTAACTAAAGTGGGTGGAGTCGATATTCATAATTACTTTTGGGACTACTTTTAGATGAATAATCAAAATATTACTGCGCGTTGTACTATTAGAGAGGATTTTCATGAACAACTTTTATAAAAATAAAAACAACATATTTTAGGCCATATTTTCACATATTTTTTTATTGATATTTATATACAAAAAAAAGTTTATTATTTGTTTTGTTTGACCTAACGATTTTAAATGCATCCCCAAAAAGTCCCCTTTTGCATAAATTTATTGAAATGAGAGCACATACTTTGTTTGGGAAACTGCATTCCCTATAATTGGTCAAGTTATTTTGGTCCCTTTTAAAATTACATTATTTATGACAGCTAGTGCATTCGTACGGTCGTACTGTGTTTGCTGATATCGTGTGTAAAGATAGTATATGTTACATGTGTGTACTAAAATATGTTAATTTTACATTTAAAAAGGGAAATTATTAGTATTTTCAAGTATAAATTTTTAGCGTAATAAATCTTTAATGCAATATATATCGAATAAAGGTGTTGCATTTTTTTATTGCAGCATCATAATTTTATTTCCCATTTACCATATGATTAAATTATCTTGCAGATCTAAATGTTCATCAAGTTATGTAACTTGAATTACTATTTTCAATGTTCTACGAAAAGATTATAAAAATCGCAGCCAGAAAAGCGGAGATCGAATTAATTAAAACATATAGGTAGATAGATTCTTTTATTTCCTCCAATTATGAAGAGCAGAACATACAATACATACAATATATACAAAATTACATCATGTACAATAATTTCTTAACACTAATAAATTAGGTTAACAACAAGAGATATTATACAAAATAATACAGTGACTATAACAATATTACAAGCATATGTATATTGTTATTTAAAGTTTTCAAGTTTATCCATAAAGAAAACCAGTCTTGTCCGAAAACGAAAAAGACAAGAAATGGTTGATGGATATTACCAACGGCACAAAATTACAGTTGTTATAAGTCATTGCCACTCATATTTTTTAAGAAACCAAAACAGTCATGTCGAAATAAAAATAATACGTTAATGACCAATGCCTTAGGATGCATTTGATGTGATGATTAGATAGTAGCAGATTTCTTTTACGTGCATGAGACAGAAAATTTTGTTATAAGTATGACCAAGAGTATAATAAAACAAAATTGGATTATTTAAGGTTTTTTTTAAAAACAATGTATCATATTATAAATGTATTTTATGTATTATAAGAGCAATTTAAGAGTATATATTTACATAATCACTTATAATTTCATTATTATAAGCAGGTCTGTCATAAAGCCGGGGTCGTATTAAAACATATAAGAATCCCGGGAATTGACCAGTTCAAAAATATGGTTTTCAGAAAAGCCGGGATCGTAAGATCACGGGAATTGACCAGTTCAAGAATATAGTTTTTCAGAAAAGCCGGGATCGTATTAAAACATATAGGGATCCCGGGAATTGACCAGTTCAAAAATATGGTTTTCAGAAAAGCCGGGATCGTAAGATCACGGGAATTGACCAGTTCAAGAATATAGTTTTTCAGAAAAGCCGGGTCGTATTAAAACATATAGGGATCGCGGGAATTGACCAGTTCAAGTATATAGTTTTCAGAAAATCTGGGATCGTATTAGACGTACAGATAAAGAGTAAATTATCATTCGGTCTATTGGTCATAGTCGGAAGTGCCAATAGACACCTTCAATACATCACCATGGGACGATATGTTGGGCAAATTTATAAGGAAAATGAGGTCCACTGCCGTTCTTTTTCATTTCATAATTTCATTGACAAGTAATTTGTTCATACTTAAAAAGTATATTCATCTAAGACATTCAAGAAAGCATTAAGAAAGCCGGGATCGAGTAAGATATATATATCCCGGGAAAATGACCATTACCATCTTTCTTTCAGAAAAGCCGGGATCTATTAAACAGTACAGAGGTCCCGGGAATTTTCCACCTGTCATACATGTCAAGAGGTTTTTTTGGTTATCAATTATGTCACGGATTTGAAATATAAATCCGTGATTATGTTAAGTATATTTTATGATATTTTCAAAAAATAATATTTAAATACATGAACACAAAATTAAGCCAAAAATTAAATTAACAAAAACTTTTACTCTCCAATTAGGCAAATATAAGTATTGTGATTTCCGCATTTAAGTATATTAAATATGTTGTAAGATACAGCATCGACTGCTGCTACCATCTCCTTCCTCAGGTGGGTGTCATATTCATTGGGCGTTTCGGCGCTTCCCACTACGCCCTCCTATGGTGCGCCGACTAGAGTGATATCAAGCTCTAGCCAGGAGATGGTAGGCTTCAGCTATCCCTGCTTCATCTGCCTTAAAGCGGGTACTGCCTAACTATTGGTCTTTCGACCCTCCATCCATTTCTCTTCTTTCTTGCGCCAGATCCACAATGAGGTTGACTCTGCTTCATGTGCTATGTTCGATATGGCTTTGCTGCGCGCTTGTCCTGTCACACCAAGGAAACCAAATGCTCGTCATAGTGATCGCGCTGGGAAGCCCCTACATCCAACTTCCACTGGAAAACACCAAGACCTCCAACCTCTTTCCTTACAGGTATTCACAAGAGGCTGGTATTTTTCCAGTTTCCTCTGATAACTCTCTTCGATTCTTTCTTCCCATGGCACTGTGAGTTCAAGTAGACCAACTTGTTTGCTGGCTGAAGACCGTAAAACAATATCTGGTCTTAGTTTGGTCACAGTTATCTCTTCCGGGAATTTCAGTTTCTTTTTCAGGTCAACCTCCATCTGCCAGTCCTTAGCTGTACTAAGAATCCCCTTTCTAGGATTTCCTGCTCGTCCAGTTTATATAGAGAATAATAGGTTGGTGCCGTGGATTGAGAAAGTTTATCTGGCGAGGCGGAGGAATTTATTGGGTGAGCCGAAGGCGAACCCAATAAATTCCGGAGCAAAGCCAGATAAACTTTCTCCATCCACGGCACCAATCTATTATTCTATTTATCCTGTCACCGTTTTTTTTTAAAGAATTTTATTAGGCAAACAACCTTTAATCACACTATCGGAAATGTTTCTATGTAAACAAAGAAGGCCCTATTTTTTCTACACTAATGCATTCGCCGTTCTTATTATCTCCCCGTGTATTTTCTCATTGAGGGCGCCATTTTGTTTGAAAAATGTGATAAATAAAAATAATTTTTTGTCGAATTTTGTTGTGAAAACTATCTAGAATGAAAGAAAATGGTCTAACTAAGAAAATGAATTCGAACACCAATATATTTTATTCAGTCGTTAACGCTGTACAGACGTTTAAAGTATTGTTTACGTGACGTCACAATGTAGCGCCAAACAGCACGTGCGAAACAATCAAATCAAGTACGCTATTCTAAAATGTCGCAAACAGTTAAGTTTTACATTTATTTCACTTTAAATAATTTTTATTTCGCTTGAAAAAATTATAGAGTAAAATAAAATAAACAAACAAAGTTTTATCAACGTTTCAAAATTCGTTATTCTACACACAGACGTTTTAACGACAGTTTTTATATTTTTTCTTGAAAAGTAGTCTGCAAACATGCATACCACGTGATCAAGTGCAGTAGATCAGTAAAAATATACGGCACCTTGTTATCGGACCGAAATTGAGACAAGTGACAGGATAAATATTTATATCTTAAGTAAAATTAATTTACCGGTCATTAAATACAATAATAATAAAAAGTTAACGTTTAATCGCCTTTCATACGACAATAACCAACAAAAATATAGTTTATTAGTTTTCCCTATATATCTAATACGATCCCGGATCCCGGGCGTCCCGGATCCCGGGATTCCCCCCCCCCACCGTATTAGGTCCTCGTAAAAGTTTTACTTCATGATGATTACAATCCAGTTGACAGATATTTTCATTTGAGAAAAATATTTTAAAAAGGTAGGCCTAAACATCTTAATGATTCTTGTCATGTATGTGATTCAAAGTCCTAAACTGTAAAATGATAATTTGTAATAGTTGTTTTTAAACCTGGGTCATAGCAAATTTATCTGTTGGGAACCAATTATAAAAATATATGTACAGTACTGTAGCTGTAAGGCAAATTATTTCCAGACAAAACATTGTATTGCCGTTGATTGTATTGCCTCAACATCACTAATTTCCCGTCCTCACTCATTTCACGATAATGACATATTTCCATGTGACTAGGGTTAAAATTGGTCAAAATTGACATATTTTAACATTTGACATATTAAACAAGAAAGTTTTTGTGTATCTGTGTATCTTTAAATATAAATCAGAACAACAGGGCTACTGTAAATAGATTACAAATGGGTGATAATGGCTTTTCATATCTTATTAATATCTATCAAATATAACTAGGGTGCATCGGTAGTAAGTCTTTGACAATATGAGACTATTACAGGTCGTTGGACAGGGCAGACCATACCAGGGCAGACCTTCTTTTGGGACAGGGCAGACCTAGTAAAACTAATTGTACTGCGCGACGAGATATTGTGCTATTTTCGTGTCTTGGCAATATCTCGCCTCTACATAGTAAAGCGAGAATCTGCCCCAGAACGAAAATATGTCCGAATCAAGTTTTGGTATGTCAATATATTTTGACTAAGGGCGGACCATGACTCGAGACAAAGCCGACTGTTTTTAATTTCAAATTTCTATTTCATTTTTTATATTTGTTATCAATGTTATCCTAAACATGTCATATATTTAAGCATTTTCATATTGAACAGATTATTATTAACATTTACAGTCATCGAATTTAGCACTGGCCCTGTGGCCCATGGCCAGTGAAAATTAGTTTGAGCCAGTGAAAATTTTAAGAAAATTAAGTTAAATATTATACTATATTTATATATAGTAGAATAAATTCAAAACTGGAATTCAGGCTAGTAAATTTAAAATCTTAAATTCATTGACTGCATTTAGGCATGCAATTATAAGATAGGTAGCGTAAACTAGTGGGGATGGATTGAAAAAATCTCATATGTAAACATATTTTCCTTTTTGGCTGATGTTAATAAACTTGACAGAATTACCTTAACTGTACTAATATTTTTATATATACCATTCATAACATTTAAGCTGTATAGAGGAATAATGATTATTTATAGTAGTTAATTTGTTACAAATTTGTATCAAATACTACTAAAATTTCACTTAATTGTGATCACTGATTTGATTAATCCCTGAATGATGAATCACTTTTGGTAACTGATGCTTTTTAACAGTTACACACACAAACTACAACAAAAATAAATACATAATTCATATATGCATTATAATTTTTCTAAGCTAGATTTTTATGTAATGCAATTTCTTAAGTGTTTCTTATAACTTAGTTTTTAGCTCGCCTGACCACGAAGTAGTCAAGGTGAGGTATAGTGATGGGGCTATGTCCAGCGTCCGTCGTCATGCGTCGTCAACAATTGGGTTGTTAACAGTCTAGCAGTCACAGTTTTTATTTGGATCATTGTCAAACTTTGTCAGAATGTTTGTCTCAATGAAATACAGATCGAGTTTGAAGATGGGTTATCTCGAGTCAAAAACTAGGTCACAGGAGCTAAAAATAGAAAAAGCTTGTTAACACTCTAGTGGCTGCAGTTTTGATCCAAATATTCTGGAAATTTGTCAGGAAGGTTAATTTAATGATTTCTAGGTCAAGATTGAAGATGGGTCATCTCGGGTCAAAAACTAGGTCACAGGAGCTAAAAATAGAAATTTTTTTATAACACTGTAGTGGCTGCAGTTTTGATCCAAATATTCTAAAAATTTGTCAGGAAGGTTGTTTTGATGATTTCAAGGTCAAGTTTGAAGATGGGTCATCTCCGGTCAAAAACTAGGTCACAGGAGCTAAAAATAGAAAAAGTTTGTTAACACTCTAGTAGCTGCAGTTTTGATCCAAATATTCTGGAAATTTGTCAGGAAAGTTGTTTTGATAATTTCTAGATCAAGTTCGAATAAGGGTTATTTCCGGTCAAAAACTAGGTCACACAAGCTAAAAATAGAAAAAAGCTTGTTAACACTACTGGCTGCAGTTTTGATCCAAATATTCTGGAAATTTGTCAGGAAGGTTGTTTTGATAATTTCTAGGTCGAGTTCCAAGATCGGTTATCTCCGGTCAAAAACTAGGTCACAGGAGCTAAAAATAGAAAAATCTTTATAACTCTGTAGTGGCTACAGTTTTGATTCAAATATTCTGGAAATTTGTCAGGAAGGTTGTTTTGATGATTTCTAGATCAATTTCGAAGATGGGTCATATCTGGTCTAAAACTAGGTCACAGGAGCTAAAAAAAGAAAAAGCTTGTTAGCACTCTAGTGGCTGCAGTTTTGATCCAAATATTCTAGAAATTTGTCAGGAAAGTTTTTTGATGATTTCTAGGTCAATTTCGAAGATTGGTCTTCTCCAGTCAAAAACTAGGTTACAGGAGCTAAAAATAGAAAAATCTTTATAACACTCTAGTGGCTGCAGTTTTGATCCAAATATCCTGGATATTTGTCAGAAAGGTTGTTTTGATGATTTCTAGGTCAAGTTTGAATATGAGTCGTCTCCAGTCAAAAATTAGGTCACATTGCCCAAATATGGAAAACCTTTTTAACACACTAGAGGTCACAATTTTGACTCAGTTGTCATCAAACTTGGCCAGGATCCTTGTCTAAGACATTGTTTGGATGCGGTTGATGGGTCAGGGGAGCGATCCAGGGCCATCATGGCCCTCTTGTTTATAGTTATGAGTAAGATTTGAAAACTTACTTTTTCACAAAAATAAAATAAAACATGGGACTTACAGCTTCACTTTTTGAGAAAAACTGATGACATTTTTATCATAACTAAAGTATTGCCTGGTAATGCAGTAGCAGTACCAGTAGTAGCAACATGTTGTAAGTGATTCAGTATCAGTACCAGTACTTGTAAAATCACTGCAGTACCAGTAATGCAGCTGTTGTTGTGAACTATTTAGTGATGACTTTTTTTTTAATTTAACATACACATTTTCTAGATATTGAGCTGAGTTGTTAGTATTTAATCAAAGTTGCCATGAATGTAAACTGATGAGGGCATTGTACAATCATTATAGTGAATCTTTAATTATATAATAATCTACAGGTGTATTGTTTAACTATTGCCTTTTTTTCTATTTGAAGAATTATAAAACTAAACAGTTTTTAAGCTGGGGCTAAGAAATGTATTACTCTCCCTATAACATTGTGTGTACTGTATACCAAGTTATCCAGCATGTTCACGATGCTGGAACTAATAAGCTCAATACTATTTTATGACTCTGTTGCTTTGGAATACAACAGCAATTTCCAAAGACTTACTTATTTTGAAAAATGTATTTCACTCATTGTGTCTCATCCAAACTTTCCTTCAATCATTAACCTAACCCTTGTTGCTACTTTTTCCTGTTTTATCTACAAATGTTCTAGTCCAGTAGGATTGTTATTATTTATGTTTCAGACAAGAAAATGACAGTACCTCTAGACAGAATTCCTGATTCTTTGGGGTATTTAGTGCTAACAGAAGATGGGGCAGTAGCTAATGTATGTCTCTTTCGTTAATCTTTTTTCCCTTTTTTATTAGCTCACCTGCCACAAAGTGACATGGTGAGCATTTGTGATCACTATTCGTCTGTCGTCCTTCCATAAACTTTTACTTTTAACGACATCTCCTCATAAACTGCTAAGCCAATTTCATTCAAACTTCACAGGAATGTTCCTTTGGTCAATATTGGTGGTCACCTTTAAAAGTTGTTCAAAGAATTTAATTGCATGCAAAACTCTGGTTTCCATGGCAACCGAAAGAAAAAAACTTAAAATATCTGCAAAGAACTAGAGCTTAGATATTTGGTATAAAACATCTTCTAGTGAGTGTCTACCAAGTTTGTTCAAATAATAGCTCTGGGGTCAAAATTGGCACCGGTCATTGATTTTCTTTTAATGTATATAGAAAAAAGTTAAAAAAATTTCTTTAAAAAACCCCAAATAGCTAGAGCTTAGATATTAAGCATGAAATATCTTCCATGTTTGTTCAAATAAAAGCCCTGGGGTCAAAATTGGCCAGGCCCTGGGGTCATTGATTTTCCTTATATGTTTACAACAAAAACTAAAAAAAAGGCTTCTTTTAAAAAGCCCAAAGAGCTGGATCTTAGATATTAAGCATGAAACACCTTCTAGGGAGTGTCTACCAAGTTTGTTCAAATAAAAGCCCTGGGGTCAAAATTGGCCCCGCCCGGGGTCATTGATTTTCTTATTTGTATATAGTAAAAACTAAAAAATCTTCTTTTAAAAAAACCCAACTAGCCAGAGCTTAGATATTAAGCATGAAACATCTTCAAGTGAGTGTCTACCAAGTTTTTTCAAATAAAAGACATGGGTTCAAAATTGGCCCCGCCCAGGGGGCATTGAGTTTCTTTATATGCATATTGTAAAAACCAAAAAATATCTTCTCTTAAAAAACCCAAATTAACAAGTAATCTGACTCAGGTGAGTGATTTAGGGTCATCATGGCCCTCTTGCTTTGTAAGTTATGACTACTTTAGGTGAAAACATATGACTTTGTTAAAGTTAGTGTTACTTTAAAGCTATTAAAAATCTCCATAACAATATGGATCTCCATAACAATATGGTGTGTAGGTATTATTTTCTAAATGAACCTCGTCTTGTACACAAGTTCATTATTTCATCTTTCAAACATTACTTACAGTCTGGTGGTGATTTAGAAAACAATGAAGATCTGGCTAATAAATTCCTGAATATAGTTCATAATGCATCAAGAATTCCACTTTCCACAAGTAACAAAGACAAATTCAGAAAAATAACAGGTAACTGTATAATTAACTGTTAAGTTTTATTTTTATCTTCTGTTCAATAGTATTTGTGATAGTGAAAAAGTCCAGATTTGCAACTGAATAATGTACACTTCTTAATGTGAGTAATTTTTTACCTTAATTATTGTATCCAACACTGAACCAACCTGTTATTTGCTTAACTTTTTCTAAGGAAAAATTTGAGCTATTGTTGCAGTCATTGCCATCTGAAATTTTAACATTGGCCATTATTATTTTTTTATTTCATAAAAAATTGTCTTCATACTTGTAGACCTCAAGTTTACCAGACTGAACTTTACCTTGGCTCATAAATGGCCTTGACCTGTAAGGTCACATGTTTGAATTTTGCTTGAATTTGATATCATATTTTTTTAAGCTTTAACTTTGAATTTTTTTAATGGACTGCCTTACTTGGACAAAAACAATCCTTGGTCAACCCTTCAGGTAGACTGAATTGATTGTGACCTTGACTTAACATTGAGCTTGACTTTGAAGGTCAAATTGTTGATTTTTGCCTGATTTTTGCTATAATTGGCTTTAATTTTGTTATTTATGAACGAATATTCATAATTGTCTTCAAGAATATAAAATTCAATTTTATCTTGACTTGTAAATGATTTTGAAGTTCAATCTATGGTCTTTTTACTGTTTTTTTTTCGTTCACCTGACCAGGCTCAGAGTGAGCTTTTAGTTGACTTTACATGTATGTCATCTGCCTATGTTTAGTTTGTTTTCCAAGTGTAATCTTTACTACATGTACATGTTTAATTTCATGAAGGTTAGGGCATGTATCAATTTTTCAAAATAATCCTTCAATGAAGTGAGAAGACAAAATATGCTGTTGTTGCTTTACTGAAAAATATACTCTGGTTTTGAAGGAAGAACAAAAGCTTAATGTTTCAGTTTATTGTCATCCTGGAAATGAGTGTTTTGATTTTAGATGTTGAAAAGTGATTCCATCAAAATTTTTGTAAAAAAAAATTTCAATGTATTTTCAAGAAAATTTTACAGTAGTAATATGATGTATTGTTTTTTGTCATTGCAGTTGTTTTGGACAGTTTCATGTATGTAATTACAGTGTCAGGACATAAGATTTATGTTTGTAAAAGGAAATATGTGCCAGCAGATCCAGTGTCAGCATAGTGATATACATGGATGTCAAAGAAACAGTTTTATATTGAACATATAGCAGACAATATATTTCAGTGAGCAGAAATGTTTATAGTTTCAGTACCAATGTTCATGTATGTTTAACATTATATGCTTAATCTGTTTTTCTCTTTTTACAATATTGATAAATAAATATATACACTATCTCATCATTGTAATGATTGGTGCATCATATTACACAATTTGTCATATTTTGTCATGTTTGAAAATAATGGACAGGAAGGACATTGGATATTGTTAAACCTAGTTGCTGGTTAAGAACAGTGACACATTAGTAAATGAAAATGTGAGAATCAATGAAGATTGAAATTTCAATGACATTTGTAGAAAACTCCAAAAATGGAAACTTGACAATGAAATTTAGGAAAACTCAACTAGATAAAGGTCACAATCTTTTTGCAGCTACATGTATTTTGAGTTTTAAACAAGTTTAATATCAAGATATATATCGTCTAGCTTTGGTTCAGTTTGTTTTAGTTCAACACAGAACGTTTTTGTGAGGTGGAAAAATTAAGCAGGTTCAACACAGTTTTAAAAGCATACAGTACATCTCACAGATACAAGTGAAACTGGAGGCATGTTGACATGACTATCCCACACTGATTGTGTTTGCTTGTTGGAAAAAAGTATTCGTTGGAGAGCAGTCAGTAATTCATTTCTAAATAAGTATTTTTGGTAATAAACACCGATTGTTGAAGTGAGTATAGATGTGCTTTAGATAAAAATTACAATTCATGGTCATTGCACTTCTACAAGATGTCATCTATTAATATGTAATTTTTCAAGACCATCTCTTAGTTTTGGAGTTGTGCTTTTGATTTATTTCGAAATTAAATAAAGGATGATAATGCACTAACAGGATATTTATATTTGTCTGCCATTTCTCCTTGTTCTTGTTTATTGATTTGAAGTCCATGCCTTATACATATATCATCCTAGAATTATGCTGCTAAAAACTAATTTAACATTAAACATGTGGAGACGTCAGAGTTTCATGTTTCATAGAACCACATAAACGCCTAAAGTATGTGCTGTCAAAAGATATACATTGTTATAATAAGAGCACCGCCATCAGTTCTTTTAAACATTATTTATGTATCTTTGTGATCCCTTATAGAAGAAAAAAAGATTGATTTCAATTATATAGTTATTTTAGGTATTTTTTTTTGCTAAATAATGCCAAAATTTATAGCAAATATGATACCAGATATTTTCAAAGTTCGATTAAATAAAAACTACACGGTAAAAGTATTTTATATTTCGCATGATCAACTAATATACCTTTGAGAAAATTTAGGCAAACTTTGAAAACAGACCCTCATTTCGATAAATTTTAGGGATATTTTGAATAAGGCATAGAGATAGGGAAATGGTAAAATTAGTGTTAAAAGTGGATGGGGTAGGGTAACATTTTTATACATATTAAGAACATTTTGTTTAGAACTAACATTTTGCTTGTGTAATGTGTTACCTGAATGTTATTATTTGTTTCTTAACAATGACCAATAGAAAAACATTTTTTATAATGATGATATTACAGATTATTTACAGTTTCCTCACTTCTGAAAAAAGCCCTTCTAATGGCAAAGTCTTAGTTCAGAAATATATCCATAACTCATAAACCACACGGTAAATTTTATTTAAATTTTGCATACAGGTGGCCTTGAAGACATATAACTGTCCTGTGTTGTCAATTTTACAGTTCCTTATGGTGCCCATTACCCATGGTCTACCTTAAGTACAAACATTTTGAAGAAAAAAAAGTTAAAAAGGGGAATATCTAAAAAAAAGCTTTCAGAATTGTGCCCCATGTCTAACAACTTCAACTTTTCATGAGGAAGAATTCCAAGTTTCATGTTGATTAATTTTAAATTGTTATATCAAGGCAGGAAAATGATGACACGGCGGTCATAATACCTGAACTTTTTCTTCGTAACATAGGAGATAAATGGGGCATCAAAGGAAAAATGAAGAACAGTTTGAACAAGTTATTGGTCAGACAAGTTTTTATGTTGCCTCCTAAAATGTAGTAGCAAGATATTGGGATCACTTCTCTGTCATCTGTCCATCACAAAAGTCTAGTTGTGCATATCGTCAGCATTTTCCAGTCCAATGATTTTTGTCAGAGTTTTGTCTAGACTTCTTCACTTATACAACAATGCAATTGGAGTGAAACTTTACAGGATTGATCGATACCTCAAGTACTTGTACATACATGTAGTTGTCGGGTGTTCCAGTTGAATTGATTTTTATGCCCCCACAAAGTGGGGAGCATATAGCGTTGCACTTGTCTGTCTGTATGTCCCGAAATTTTGTGAACGCAACTCCTCTTAAACCGGATGGCAGATTTTGCTTAAACTTCCAGGGATGAACAACCTTAATGTGTAGATGGTAGTGTATAAGTACTTATTTCTGCGGGCTTAATATTCTGCGATTTTTGTTAAAATAAGGGGTTTTAAATTTCTGCGTATTTTATTTCTGCGGTGTCATCATTTTCGCATTGATGAGTTTTATTTCTGCGTTTTAACTAAGATATTTGTACAAAATTAACCAATAAAAAAAGGCAACATTTCAAGATATGATGATGTTACATTACTTCCACGACTGATAATGTGTTTCGTCGTAATCAATATGTATCGGTATATGCACATTAAAAACAAACAAGCAAATAACATGCAATGGCAAATTTTAATACTGTAATTGTATAAATATGAAGTGTGAAAATAAACAATGGCAAAATCGCACGTCTACTTAATATATTGTACAGATACATAAAAGGTGTGTTTATAGCAGGTTTTAATGAAAATAACAAACAAGGGTTATTTTTGCATCACCTGTCAAACTATAATTATAGTTGTCTTTTATAAAAAAAAAAAAACTATTCACAAAAAGACCCATCAAGTTTGAAAGTGAGTGAAAATCATACAAACATGATAATTATTTATTTCAACAAAAAGAACAAGCAAATAAGTTTTTATGCCCCCACAGAGCATATAGCGTTGCACTTGTCCGTCCGAGTGTCCGTACGTCTGTCCGTCCGTCTGTCTGTACGTCCCGAAATCTTGTGAACGCAACTCCTCTTAAACCGGATGGCAGATTTTGCTTAAACTTCCAGGGATGAACAACCTTAATGTGTAGATGGTAGTAAAGGAAGGAATTTTTGCTGCGACTAAATTTAACAGAATTATGGCCCTTTGTTGATTTTTTCACTATATACTATGTTGAAATTTTGTGAACGCAACTCCTCTTAAACCGGATGGCAGATTTTGCTTAAACTTCCAGGGATGAACAACCTTAATGTGTAGATGGTAGTGAAGGAAGGAATTTTTGCTGGGACCAAATTTAACAGAATTATGGCCCTTTGTTGATTTTTTCACTATATACTATGTAGAAATTTTGTGAACGCAACTCCTCTTAAACGGGATGGCAGATTTTGCTTAAACTTCCAGGGATGAACAACCTTAATGTGTAGATGGTAGTAAAGGAAGGAATTTTTGCTGGGACCAAATTTAACAGAATTATGGCCCTTTGTTGATTTTTAGTTTTTAACTTGTGGCACATGTAGTCCAAAAAATATTTGACCTAAAGTCATAAGATTGACAGAACAGTGGTGTGTGGGGGCATCCGTGTCCTATGGACACATTTCTAGTTTTTAAATATTTTGTTCATGACGGATACATAAAGAATAAATCCCATCTACAAAAGCAGATCACTACACATGGTATTGTATTTATACTATCCCGGTAGTTGAAATATTTCGATATATACAAAAGGAAAGGCTTAATTTTCTGCAGTTTTTAAATCTGCGTGTTGTTATGAACCACAGAAATAGCAGAAATAAGGTTCCCGCAGAAAAAAGTACTTATACGGTACCATATATATGTTGTCAGTGGGGGCATCCTTGTCCTTTGGACACAGTTCTAGTTGACTGAGTTATGGCACTTGAATAAAAAAGTGTTTTGGTCTGTTAATGATTTTTCTGTCTCCTGTTACACAGTGCTACAACAAAGCTAACACAAAATTGGGAACATAATTGTAAAAGGGAACAATTTGAAACAATCACTCGTTTAAAACAACTGCTTTTTCCCCTTTTTTTTTTAAAAAAAAAAGGGCCCAAAACCTAAAACATTTTTTGGTACCCAAGTAACACCTTGACCCTTCACCTGATCATCTACTAGCCATAAGCAATGTCCCTAACAAGTTTCACAAGTCTACGTCCATTTCTTCTTAAGTTATTGTTCAGAAAAGGATTTTCCGTTCAACAAGAGTTTAGAAAGTACTTGATATTAGAATTTATTCTAGTAATTTGACCTTCCTGATGGAAAACAACAAATGTTTAATAGCAAAATGTTTGAAACATTTTAATGCATTCATCTTTGAAGAAATTTTCATTTAATACCAACAATAATAGTTCAGTCTGGGTCTTTAAAGTTGAAAGACAGATTCTGCAAAAGTTGTCATTCTGAACATTTATTTAGTTTAGACCAATCAATGAACCGATTTATGATGTAAAACAAACACTTGCATATTCACTCTTGAAATATTTCCCACTAAATTTCATACATTTGTTAATTTGAAAAGATTCAGAGAAGGAACTAACATTCACAACAAATACATTTATTCCACATTAGTACATAAAAGCCATTTCAGTTCTGGCTTTCTATATTGTTTGACATTGATTATAATAACTTCTGCATAAAGGGGACTAACTAAAACTTGTTTCATGCCAACAGAAGTTTCTTAAATGAAATTCATCCTTTATTGTAGGAAGGGAAACATTAACAAATCTGTATGAAAATTGTTTTATACCATCTGATTGTGCAACTAGAAATGTCCTATGGACACGGGTGCCCCCACATTCCACTGTCAATCTTATGACTCTAAGTCAAATATTTTTGTGGCTACACAAGTGACACAAGTTGAAAACTAAAAATCTTTCACTAACTAAAGGGCAAAACTTTACAAATACTGAATAAATCTACAAGCAAACCCTAAGGCGCTTAACATTCTTGTAAACTTTCAGGCCTACAGGTCAAATACTTCTTGAGCTATGCATGAACAAGTTGAAAATTGCAAATTTGTACCAATTTAAAACAAAACTGAAGAAAAACAACACATGCTTGTTTGTTTGTTTCATTTTACGCCTTTTTCCAACAGAATTTCAGTCATATAGGTGGGTAGTTTCCTAACCATCATTCCTGGAGAGTTACACCAGTACTAGACTGCCTTCCTCCGCGCTAAACTACCAAAGCATAACCTCAGGTGCACAGCTTGACAGTGATGTTGATCATTATTCCTGTTCAGTTGGTTGATTCTAACTGAAGCACTCGAGGAACAAGTAACACAACATAATGGAACAGCTTTTACTAAATTGAGGGCAATTACTCTTCAAATACTGAATAAATCCACAATCAACCCCCAGGTGCACAACTATACATGCAAACCAACATTTCTGTTAAGTTTCATGACTTTAGGTCTTATACTTTTTGAGCTTCGACCCAAGTTGAAAATTGCAAATTTTAACTAATTCAAAGGCAATAACTCTAGAAATAATGGCTAAATCCACAAGCAAAACCCAAGGTGCGCTACTAAACATGCTGACCAACATTCCTGTTCAGTTTCTTGACTCTTAAGTGAGCTACACACAACACAAATTGAAAATTTTTATGCTCCCCGAAAAATTACGGGGGAGCATATAGTCACCAGGTTGTCCGTCAATCCCAAATTCGTGTCCGGCCCATTACTTTGTTATTTGAAGTCGGATTTTACAACTATGTCATAGGAATGATAACCATATATTTGAAGTCGGATTTTACAACTATTTCACAGAATTGATATGACGAGTCACGCGCAACATTTGGGTCGCTACCTCGAAGGTCAAGGTCACAGCATGACCTTGAAGCAAAATCATGTTTGGCCCATTACTTTGTTATTTGAAGTCCGATTTTACAACAATTTCAAAGAAATGATTACCATATTGAGACAAAAGTCACGCGCAACATTTGGGTCGCTACCTTGAAGGTCAAGGTCACAGCATGGCCTTGCAGCAAAATCATGTCCAGTCCATAACTTAGTTATTTGAAGTCAGATTTTACAACTATTTCACAGAAATGATCAACATATTGAAACGACTGTCGCGCGCAAGCCGGTAGATAGATCTCATTGAGTAGAAGTGCAGTGCAAAGAACAGTAACTCTGTCTTGCCTAAGTTTGGAATTATCACACTTTGAACTTTGTTTGGGACATAACTCTGAAACTACAGAAGATATACTTTTCTGTGTCCAAAACCTAGTCGGGTAGCATCACCCAGTTCAAGCGGCTCTTGTTTACCGAGTCAAGGGCAATAACTCAGACAAAACAGAATAAATTCACAAGTGAAACCCCAGGTGCACAACTACACAGTCATGCTGACTAACATTCATGTAAAGTTTCATGACTCTAGGTGAATTAATTTTTGAGCTACATGCAACACAACACGAGTATGGAAGGACAGACAAGGGTAAATCTAAAAATCTAAATGCCCATCCCCTATAGTGGGGGCACAAATAACTTTCAAAAGACTGTAATTTCTGTATAAAGGGGAGAAATGATTTGTTTTCATAGGATACATAGCTACAGTTACCAAGTTTTTTTATGCCCCTGAAGGGCAGCATATAGTAATCATACTGTCCGCGCTTCATCTCCAAAGTTGCTAGGAAAAATTCAGTGAAACTTCACAGGAGTGATCAATATCATCCCTAGTTGTGCATATTGCCCACACTGCTTAGCTGCACAAAATGGGGACCAGAGCTTTAAATAGAAAAATCTTGTCCGGCTTTGACAGGTCAAACTGCAGGTCGGCTTCAAATGAAACTTCCCTTGCTGTGCATAGAAGTCCAGTACCATCCCTAGTTGTGCAAATCGCCGGCATGTTCAGACCCGCTGCACAAAATGGCGGCCCCAGCTATAAAGGTAACATCTTGTTTTAGTAAATTTGTTTGGACTATTTCTCCTACACATCTAATGGGATAAATGAAATTTTAGGAATGATATTATCAAAGGCGGTCACGTGTTTATTATCTCTATTTTGGCATAATTTTAGCAGATTTTCATAAGTCACTTTCAGTGACAGCTCTTGGTTTTTAATAAAATCTGTGAGTAGCGTGTGGACTGAATGGCATGTGGACTCCAGTATATGCCCTTCAAACTTTGTTTGTGGGGGTATAATAAAGAAAATTATAAACGTCCAGGTTCTATTTACTATTATCAGACAAGTTTCTTGAAGAATTGTCTTTCTTGATTGAATTTTTTTTTTTATTACTTGAACTGATTTGCATACTGCCATATATCACACCACCATTTGACGTTTTTGGCCAGACAAAATACCCTGTCCAAAATCAATTGTCATAGAGAAATTTTATTTTGCAAGAGAAAAATGGGTACAAGTTCAACATATCAAAAACCCTGAATTTTGTACTATATAGAAAGAGCTTTCAAGAGAATTGAAGCAAATACCTGAAAGCTTGTACCCATGAAAGTATACAAGGCTGTATATGCCAAAACACCGGGCATAAACTTTACACTCAAGTAAGGCCCCCACGATTACACGTTTAAACGGATTCGTTTCGATTTTCATTCATAAACGTTTACGATATTGTTTACCGTTTAATCGAAATGACCATATTGTCTTACAAAATTTCTTAATCATTGCCTGTAATCATGGATTTTATCAATTCTAGTGCTTTATTCCAAAGTAAACAAACGGAAAATGGGTGTTTACAACCCTCCACACAGCATTACCGTGCAAAATTGCTCGTGACATAATACATTTTTGGTAAAAAATGGGGTTACAATGCAAAAAATGTGTGCTGTCTCAATCGTGATGAGCCTTGCACATTCTTTATTTGTACATGTATTAAAAATAGAAAGAAAGACATCATTTGGCGACTCAAATACATGGTGTGTATAGTACATAGAGGTACCACCGTTTCGGTTCTTAGCAGTCGTGTAAACGTTTACAAAAAATTGTAAACGTGGGAGCCTTACTAAAGTACTGGTTAGGTCCAGGAACTGATTAGTGTTTTAACAAGCTTGTAGCTACCAACACAAACTCAAATTTTGTATAAACTAAACTGAGCATAAATATATATTTTTAAAGATTTAATACTAGTAGTATGTTTTATGCTGGTGACCTATAATATATCTTTTGTAGAGGGTCATCTAAGGATCACTCCTGTGAAGTTTTTTCATCAAATTCCAGGGGTATATGTCATCACAAATGCTCACCCCTTACAAATTGTGCTATGTTTTTTTTAAATTACAAAAGGTCCAAAATTTACTGTTCAATTCTTTTTTAATGGAGTGTTGAAAATTGAAGGATTTTGTATCAAAACCACTTTTTTCCATTTTTATTGTGGTAGCATTATATCAAGTAATATGTTTATTATATTTAAACAATAGGAAAGCCATAGAGATATAAAATCTTATAGCTGAATACAGTTGTGTTCACCAAATGTTGGCCTTCTGTAACAAAATGAACACTATGACTTTAATTGAGCAAATCCAAAGTATTATATTTCTTTAACAACCCATAATAGATCTGACATCAAGGTTTTGTTTGATTGGGTTTTACGTCGCACTGACACAGTTTATAGGTCATATGGCAAACATTCCAGCTTTACTGGGGATTTAAAGGGGCCCTTTTTTGCATTTTTTTCAGGTACGAACAGGGCACCTTTTAGTTTTAAAAACCCCCAAAAATTTCCCCACATTGGGAAAAAATCCAAAGTTCCTTTTCGAGATTTGGGAAACCACAGCGGTTTAGGGGCAATTTTTGGGTTTTAAAATCAAAAAACCGTAACCACTCGGTCCTTCTGTTCTCATAGAACACCAACATTCACCCCAAGTTGGTTGTAAAATATTCTGATGAAAGAAAGAATAAAAACAAACACTTTGTTTTCTGGATTTAATTTGCATACAACCACAACAATACTTCACAAAGTCTTTGACTCGCCGCACCCTTTGCTAAATACAAAGTTAATGTTTAAAGTTTACATATTATTCTTAGTTTCTGTGATTTTGCACTCGTAATACGAGCACACAAGTTTTAACAAGACTTCTATGACTCTTACCTTTACAATTGACCTCATTATGTAACTAGATATCTAAAGCATGGTTTCTCCAACACACACTATATATATATTAAACATATTAAGTGTTTATTATTTATTGAATCAATGTAGCTGTAAAAATTGCCACTAATATGGCATGTAATAAAATAAACTTATCTGACTTATATGATTAATACAGACAAAATCATTAAATAAAACTGCCGCCATTAACATTTAATGTGCTTAAATTGCTTGTTGGTAATTGATACAATATTGTTTACAGGAAATAATTTTAACTTAACTAGCACATTTCCGTAAGTTATTTTTCATGATCAATGAAATCTGATTTCTTTTTAAATAAAAACAATTGTCATTTAACCAAAATCAAACAGTACCATGTGTGAAACTAAAAGGTGTGCTCTGGTAAACTTTAAATCACTCCTATGAAAATTGACAATATCGATAAATATGCTCATTTACAATCACACTGTTACTTTTTATCTTAATACATTGAAATTGTTTGCTATAAAAATCAATACATGTTTACTGAGAAATGAACTTACATATAGACAGTAAGTCAACTTTATACTTCATCTAGTACATAGAAAGAAGTAAACATTTTCATTAATACTGCCAAAGCAAACATAGATGGGTTAACAATCCTTATGACAATTTGTCAATGAATGTTAACCTCCAAATAAAGACTTTAGTTCAGATAAAATATAAATAAGCCCTATATAAAAGTCTGTTAATAGGAATTACATGAATTTGTGATTGCCTACCAAAGCACATTTACTTGAAATACATCAACAAGTCTGAAATTTACACTTGCTCTTCAAACGTCATTTTTTATTCCTCAACTGTTTATACATAAAGGTTTGCAGGATTACTGTTTGGATCTGAATAAACAAAGTAAGTTATAATTAATGCCATTGATTTGGTATATATGTCCATATATACATTCTATAATTATGAACATCATGTGTCTTTTTTGCAGAGGTTTCATTTCTCGGCATGTCTCAATGTAGAGACATTTGATCCGGGATCAGTTATTATACACATGTATGGTTGTTTATATCATATGTATGAGGCATGGGTAATGCAACAACAATGCATTCTCCAGTACCTTACTACTGGGCAAACACAAATTCAAGATTATTATAACATATTTTTCATCTGTGTGTAAAGCTCTTGTAAGCTTTGTTACTTTCATATTTAAGGACTATTTATCATTACTTATAGAAAATATATACTGATAATACATGGCAAATAATTATGTTGTCAAAAGATTTGCATTATTCAGTTTTTCAAGACAGAACTTTTCATACCATGTACTGAAATTAATCAAAGTACTCAATATAAAACAATCCATATACTATACTTTCACATACAGGTGTGCCCATTTCATAATCTTGTGTCCTTTGCAGATACCATAGAAAATCCAGAAAACAAAAATGTTCCACTTTTGTAAAAAAAAAAATCATATCAAAATATACTTGGATCAAACAATATATAATCATATTGTGATCAATCCAGGTTTTGCAACATCTGTAAAATAAGTTCAGGTATCACAAGTGCAATCTTTAAGCACTAATAATTGTTAAGAGAAACATCAGCAACATTTTCATTGTAAAAATTAAGATGCCAATATAAAGCATTTTATTGTCACATTCACATTATAACTTCACATTTATATAAAAACAATAAAACAATAAAATCTCCAACAAATGCTAACTTCACATATAAAATCGCATTAAGTTTATCTCGTTAAAAAAATGTAATCAGAGAATATTTCTTCTCCCCTAGCAAAACTGATGTACTACTAACGTTTTACTGTTTTTTGGTACACTTTTCCCAAACATACTGTAAATATATATGATTTATATCTCACAGTCTTATAACAACCCAGTTAATTTTAACCATTTACCTACATCTACATACATCATTGTAAATATCCATCCTCAAAATGTGTTATTATATATAGTGTGAATGTAACAAAGTATGAATGGCACCTGGATTTAATACTGTATAATATAAAATCAATATATAATTATATTATATATAATAATGTTGCAAAAAAAATAATAAAAATGTTTGAACACAGTTGGTTTCTGCTAAAAGGACTAGGTAGAACAACAACATGAGCACTTTATAAAGGCACACCTATATATATGTATAAATAAATATATATTTTATGAGATCATTTTATCACTTGTTTCCATTAGGAAATTTACAGAAATAAATGACAGTGTAATGCTTGCAGTATGCACATCTCTTCATTTATACCTTCAATGTTATCATTGACAACATACACTACAACCTCTTCGTTAACACACTCAACTCTATTATATGCTGGAACACCTAGACTAGTGTATAACTTGCATACATGAATACTTTTAATATACATTACACCTGATCATTTTAATTTGCATGTTTTTTCTTAATTTTGTTTATAATTTAACTACCTGTACTAATCACATGAAAGATTTTATAAGGTACAGGGTTTTACTCCAAATATTTAGTATATATTTCACCAGGAGGGGAAGTTATAAAATTTGACATACACTTGTTAAATGAGTATGCTAGTCATTATGTTAGTGAATTTATTGACCAATTTGAGTATTATTGTAAAAATTCACCATTTCTTAAAGAAATTTTTTATAGATAAATAGAGATGTTCTGTTTACTAAAATTATATAACTTTCAGAAATGATTACAATGGGAGACAAATATTACTTTGCAATGACCATTTAGTGAAAATATACCTATTTCATTTTACAGATCCAAACATTCACTGCAAAACTTAAAAAAATCATCTTAAGCTTACCATATTTATATTTCAAGTTATACAAAGGACGGCAATTTCATTTTTAAAACAAATTGTCTGTAAGTGTATCATATATAATGACTAGTGAGAGTTCAGTATCATCATTAAATATTCTATAAACAATAAAACATGATGACCTACATTAAATGTAAATAGGGCAGCAACAAGTCATATATCTCATTTATGTTTCACAGTTCTAATTATTGCAGCTATCTAACTGAATTCTAGAATCAGAACAAAGAAAAAACATTGGAAACTAACTTAAGCTTATTGTTGCTACCCTATATACAACATATACACTTTGAAATTGCAGAGAAATCATTAATAGAGAATAGTTGGTTCAGTATGTTGAATCAATCTTTCTATACTTTTACTAAAAACAGTAAATTAAATTTTACTACTATAATGGACACTACATTTGTGTCATGTCAGTTGCAAAATGTAAATAACAATTACTTGTACAGCAAGACAACAACAATTGTTGTTTTTGTTTCAAGCCACATTTTTATAATAAGATAAGGAGCTCAGGTAACACAATGTACATAAATGCAGATAAATTATAAAAATCTTTATAATGATCCATTGGAAGAATTGCCAGCTATTTTTGGATTTTCATCACTCATACATTTCCTAAATTTCTAAACTCACAGTACATGCAACAATGTTCCCAAATTCAAAATCTTACAAATGAAAAACATTGGTTATACTATTTTCCAACAAGAATAAATGAAAACCTTCCTGTCCAGTAATTTGTGATTATTAAAATGTCTATAAAAGACACAGCTCAAACAGAAAATAACTTCTTTAAGCTTCCATTACTTGTATTTTAATTTTTAATATTGTACTTGTATTAGGAAACATCACAAGAGATTGTTTCCTTTATGATAAATGAAATAAAAACAGGAATAAAATATTTATCAAACACCTCAGACCAATAAATCATACACAAGTTGCTACTTTGTGCTACTATATCATGTCTGTTAGTTGTTTTTAGAAAGATATGACACTGTAATCATGTATACTTAATTACTAGCACAACAAAACGTGAAATTATCAAAATTCTCTGAGGGAAAAAAACCCAAAGATATAAAATATTGAGAACAAGGTATTGTTTCTCTGAAATCTTACTTTAAGGATACAAAAGCTGCATTTTCTTATCACTGTATTTCTTATATTGTAAGGCTTAAAATGTTTCATAACTAAAAAAAATATAAACAAGAAATAGTGAACAACACTAATAATATATAAAGTATCTCTTATAAAACAATTTTGCTAATAAAATGTCTTAAGTTTTTTAATTTTGCATTTTATTACAAATAAATTCTTTTATCTTTCTACAGAAAATATGTATCATAAATTGTAGAAGCAAAACTTGCACAAATACACATCTAGCAAAATAACTATCACTGAAATTTGACAAACTTTTCTCTCTCTCCCTCTCTAGTCATAAAAGACATTATAAAGTTTGAAACAATAATTATTATTATTTCTGTAGCCATACATTATTTTTGTCTTGAAAAAAAATTTAAGCTTTTTTCTATTAAAAAATAGGACACTATAAGCCACTCTAATTTAAAAACGACTTGTAGCAAAGGAAAATAAAATTAGTTCTGAGGCATATCTTTGACAAAGAAATGGACACATTATTAAATTAAATCACAGATAAAACACCTTAACTTTCTCAAATAGGCATTTTTGGTAATTTTATGATTTAAGAATAAGACCATGTTATACTAGAAAATCAAAAGTGGCATAAAATAACAAAACATTCTAGAAAGTACACAATGTTGCTGGTGATTGCACTTCTCACATAATGTATTCAAACACGTATCATTCCTGTTTGCCTACAATTAATGAAGAAACACCTAAAATTTTCAAAACTTACACAAAACATTGATTAGAATGGTCTGCAGAATTTAAACTTTATTTTTTGTTTATTATACATGTAAATGTTCAAAGGGAAGAATAAAGAATACATATTGACATTAGACTAGACAATATGAAGTGATATCTTTGACCCAAAATAATGCATTATATGAAGACGTATAAGACATATAAAACATCTATATAATATAAACTAGCTGAAAACAAACGTCTATGAATGAGACACTAAGATGTCACAACTAGGATTTATCCTCTTCATACACAACTACAAATTGATGAGTTAGTAAAGAGATAAGCTTAAAGCTTACACCACATACATGTGTTTATTTAAATGGTCTACCATTATCATTTTTTAACAGTACTACCTGAACATACTAATTTGGAAATTGCAAACTTTAAAAAGAAGTTTCCAAATAAATGTGTCATATATTGAATGAAACATGAACTATGATAATTTTCAGTACTGGTTTCACACATTTTATACTTCAGTTTTAAAAGGCATGGGGTTACAATAGTTCATTACTGCTCACACATGTATCTTCTCAATCTGTCAAATAATATTATTATTATTTTGTATAAAAAGTTTTGAGCTGTCTAATGTATTCTTACAAAAGATAATTATCTCACCTTCAGTTTTTATCAATCTAAATGGAATCTTTCACATAAATGTAGGCATAAAATAATGTACAAATTCACAATTTTAATCTTTCATCCTATAAAATACATTATGTTCTTTCACATGACAGACTCTCCACATCATTATCATATCACTATTAGCAGAACGTGATGTTAATCTTTGTGATAACTTATCAATCAAGCAGTTTGAAAAAACAATATCGCATTCATATATCTACTTGAAATACTCCTGTCTGCAGCAAGATGACAGTCTTACATTAAACAGTTTAATAATTGCTTCATGATTACCACATTAATAATGAGTGCTTCTTATCACAATACCAAGCTTAATAAAACAATTAATACAATTATCTATTACTGAACTTAGGAATGAATAGTGACATAGACTTAGTAGCTGTTGAACAAATCTAAATCTAAGGTCATTAAGTATAGTATCTTGTTGTAAACTATTTTGGTCCTGTTCAATTATTGAACAATATTAAAATGTTAAATGGTGTGGCTGTATGCTGGGAGTAAGAAATTAGTTGCCCCACCAATCTGGAGCATTAGATCCTCCACCACCATATGATCCACCGTAACTGCCACCATAGTTACTGAAACCTTGACCCATTGGATTAAACTGCTGGTTTCCATAGTTCTTGAAACCTTGTTGTGGATTAGACTTGTTCTGTTGACGATAGTCACGGCTACCAAATGTTGTGGTGAATCTGAAACAGTATGACATGATTGTTACCAAATTACTTAAGTTCTTTTGTTTTAATTTCCCTGACTGATTCAAAATAAGCTAGGAAATTGCTTGCTCCATGTTACCAGAACTTGCTCCATTTTACCAGAACTTGCTCCATTTTACCAGAACTTGCTCCATTTTAACACAACTTGCTCCATTTTCATGACAATTTTTAACACAACTTGCTCCATTTTCATGACAATTTGTTCTATGTTACATCAACTTGCTCCTTGTTACAACAATGCTCTATGTTACCACTTTGTTTCCTGATAAACTGCCCTTCTCTAAATAACCTAAATGTGGTACATTTTTACAAAAAGACTTAATTCCTTTTATATAAACTTGTTCCTTGTTACAGAATCTCACTCTATTTTACAACTTTCTTCAATGTAAATTACTTACTCTGTGTAAAAAGCATATTTACTGTATGTTGAAACAATCCTTCTGTGAATCCGATTAAATTTCATTATAGAGACGGACTTATTTATATACAATGAACACCTACTAGAGACCGAGTTATTTATATACAATGAACACCTACCTTCTTCCTCTACCTCTTGTAGCACCTGTTGGACGCGAGTCATAGGCAGTGGACTCCAGCCATGATGGTACCTCCTGATGAGCCTCTACCAGTAGATCCATCAAATCTCGAGTTATATTCTTATTTTTCTCATTGAAAAATGATGTTGCCAAACCTATAAATAAATGAAATATTTATGTAAAATGATAATTACTGAAACCTATAAAGATACAGAATACATTGTACAATAGAACTTCAGTCAAAGTTGATAGGGCTTACGTAAAAACTTCAACACATTAGGACACCAACTTGTGAATGGGTCTCAATTTAAAGACAAATTTTTGAGCCGTAGACATTTACAAGCAAGTAGCAAAAAGCGTAACAAAAGGAAAGGGCGATAACTAAACCAGCTTACAGTAAATATATCCTGTGTGGTTATCACGCGACAATGGGTCATGAAAGTTCTCTAATGAAACTAATTTGTCCTGTTTATTTTCAAATACAACTAGAGCAATCTGAACATTAACAGTTATAGCATTTCATCTTTCACACATTTGAACTCATACAAAGGCTGTTAGAACACCCTGCTGTATAACACCTGTCACACAAGTTGATGCGAAATCATCTTTGCGACTAGAAAAGGTGTGAAAAGTAATTGAAGGACTTCGACTTATTTATAATAATTTGTACTGTTTCTATGGACCACGAAAAAATTTGACACATCAAAAAATTTGACACAAAAGGTTTGACTCATATATAGGTTTTTATAAACAATATTTAGGGCGAAAATCGGGACTCATTTTACTAGATACATCAAGAAAATCGACAAATTAAAGTCTGACTGATCAAAGTTCTACTGTATCTGTGTAAAATGAATTTGACTTTAAGTACTAACTAGTCATTATACAACAAAGATAATACAGCAGGCAAACTTTATAAAAAAAAGTTAGAACATTTTTTTGTGCTTCAACAATATAGTAAGCCAACATGTAAATAATCAAATTCATTGACTTAACACCTGCCATACAATACAAATCATTTGATTAAAGCTTTAAAGTACCTCAGAATATGAAAGAAAATACATTTTATGTTTCTACTATAAAGATAAAAAGCCTATAAAACTAAGCAGTATCAAGCAAAATAGCTGTTATAGTAAGGACATCCTTATGAGATGTAATGACATTAAAGTATTAGTATGACATTAAGTAATGTTATTTTGTCATTCACTAACAGTAGGTTATATCAGGATTCAAATGTAGTAAAGCATCCAAATTTATGCTCAAGCTATCTAATTAATTGATAATCCAATTAGACAAAGAATGAATCTACATTAAATATTAACTATGATTTACTATGGTATTATAATATCTTGATGTCATTTTATCTCAAAAGAATGTTCTTTCTATAAGAATTTTAGTCAAAGATTTCAATGTGAGAATAAGTAAATACTTACATTACATACTCAGTTAAGGAGCTCATATAAAAACTTACCAAGATTTCCTACACGACCAGTTCTTCCAATTCTGTGCACATATTCCTCAATGTCACTAGGAAGGTCAAAGTTCACCACATGTCGAACATGAGGTATATCCAGACCTCTAGCAGCAACCTGAGTTGAACAATAAACCAGTCTATGAATGATATACAAATTATGTTAGACTACATTTACTATTCTAATTGACCATTAAGTAAACTAAAACTCCATGAGTCAAATGTGTCGCTTTGTGAACAGTATAGCTGTTATGCTCTGGACAAGCCTATTAAGTAAGAAAATTAACAAAGGGCAATAACTCAAAAATCATGGAAGTGCAGAGTACAAGTTCTTGTGCATTGCACTTCTTCTCAATGAGATCTATCATCCTATGAAGTTTCAAGTTTAATAGCTTTTAAAGTGTAGGAGAAATGGCCCGGACAAAAGTCAAGTATGAAAATAAACAAAGGGCAATAACTCAAAAATTAAGAAGTGCTTGTGCACTGCACTTCAGGTCATTGGAAAAAGCATGCATACCAAGTTGGAGTCAATCCAACTTATATAACAAAGTTATGCTCCGGACAAGCCCAAGGGGATGCCGCCAAAAAGTAACCCCTATATGTTTTCCCAAAAAGAAAACCATGGCTACAAGGATATGTAATACTACGTCTGTACAGGTAAACTGAGTGTAAAGGAATCAACAGTTTCCTTACAGCAAATCTAAAACATAAAATAAATGACATACAGCTGTGGCAACAAGAATTGGTCTCTCTCCATTTCTGAACACTTTTAGAGCCTCTTCTCTTTCTCTCTGACTTCTATCACCATGGATACTGGTTGCTGGGTAACCTTCAGAGATTAGGTAATCTTCAAGAGCATCTGCCCCTTTCTTTGTTTCAACAAATACCAGGGTAAGAGAGTCTGGACCTATAACATTACATAAACTTTGTTTCATATAACATCACATGTAAAATAACCTTACAATGCTCTTTCTAAAATTTCTATATTATAATAATGCTATTAAAAATTCTAAAACAAGTATTAAACACTTAATCTGCTAAATATCTTAAATGGACTATCCCATCATTCAATTTGGACAAAACCATTCATCAGTTTTAGGTAAAATTTCAAAATGAGTAATGATTGAAAAGCGACCTGTGCAAACCATGATCAGATAACACATATCGGCTGATCTTGGTCTGCCACAGTCACTAGGATAAATTCAGTTATTGCAAGTAGTTTAAGGGTTCAGGAACATTGTTACAGTGATAAAAATATTCAAGAAAATAAATGACACAAAATCAGGCTTCTGCCTATAATAATTGAATAACAGATTGTTTATATTCAATGAAGACGAACAAATTTTTCACACGCATATATATATATATATGATAATATATATATATATCAGAAATCTGAAAGTTTTCATCAAAATATCAAATCACCAATATATATATATATGGTTGCTGGGTAATCTTCAGAGATTAACTAATCTCTGAAGGTGACCAAATCTGTCCCTGAGGGTTAAGAAACTACTAAACAGAATTTTCAGACAATTGATCATGGAACTGAATAAAAATCTAGCATCTAGATTAGGAAAATGCTGATTAATTAAGTACAGGTATCTAAATCAATCTAGAACACCTTATTCAAATACATTACAACAGTATAAATACCAGCAGCTGTAAGAAGATCCAGCAAGAAAGATCTTTTCTCAATTTCCTCTACCCACACTACTTTCTGTGTGATATTCTCACTTGTACTACCAACACGACCAACTGCCAAGAAAATATAGTTCTCCAGAAAATCTCTTGCTAAAATCTGAAAGACAGAAAAGTAATTTAAAGTTTGTTTCTCATTAAATGATCAGAGGTACAACAGTACTAACAAGAGCTTTTAAATGAAATATCATGCTGACTATGTTAATACAGAATAGTAAATAAAGATATAACAAAGAAACACAAGAGACAAGAAATTTAACAAAACTAAGTCTTTCACCAATACAAAACTGACAATTACTATCTGAGCCCCTAAACGGAGTCATAACTGTTGCACATTGAAGAGCATCCTTGAATATGAAGGAATAACAAAATCCTTCTTGTATGACAGATGATAACAATAATTCTAAAAAATCAAACAGTCGAGCCTACTTAAATCTCAGTGATCCTTTTTTCATGGACTTGTTTGAGTAAATAACATTAAAATATTCTTCTCAAACACTACCATTTTTCAGCATACATACCTGAATTTCTTTAGGAAATGTTGCGCTAAACATCATGGTGTGTCTCTTTCCTGTAGGTGGCATTGTGTCCTTTTCAACAATACGTCTTATCTGTGGCTCAAATCCCATATCTAACATACGATCAGCTTCATCCAGTATCAGAAATCTGAAAATTTTCATCAAAATGTCAAATCACCAAAATTGCTTTCCATGCCAGACTTTGGGGTTATGGTCAGTGACCTACAGCAATTGAATTATAATCTTCATGTCTTGTATAAAGTTTTTAATGGTAAAAAATAAGGACAGCAAACAGAAAGCAACAATGACCAATATATCACTAAACTGAATGAAGATTGGCAACCGTCATCCTGTGCTTTGTCAAGTGACAACATAAAGTATAAAAAAAACTATTCACAGCACTCAAATCTTCAACCTACAGAAAGGTAGAGATTCATGCAATCTGCATATAAACCACAAATCTTAGATAGTGATCACTTCATTAAAGAAAACAAACCATCATTTTGCAAATAAAAATTCCCCAAGGCTGTGGAAATAATGCAGCAAAGTGAATAATGTTGCTTCATTTTAGTGATAAATCTTAAAATTATTAAATAACATCATTTTAATTGTGTTTAATTAATATATGACCTCACCAAGAATTAAACTAGCAACTTCTTCAATATGATACAGGCCACTGGCCTTTCACTGTTAAAGTTAAGAGAAAAAGTGATGCTAAACATCTGTTGTGTTTTTTTTTAATCACTGTATACGAGTTGATTTTAATTCAAATTTAAACACTTTATTTTGAACATTATGATGGGGGGGGGGGGGAGGGGGGAGGATGAACAAAGGACAATCTGTCATACTACAATATCTCATTTTCTAATTTTAAGTCTATTTGTTTCTTTGTTGGTATGATTAAAGTCACACTGACACTGTCAAATGGCAACTTTCCTGCTTTTACTGGTGGAGCAAGAAGTAAAGTTGTGTCTTATTTTAGCCAGAAGCGAGAATAGAACCAAAAACCTTCTCTTACCTAGCTGGAAAACTTCCTCACATGAAAGTATCTTTAGTTACTAGCAGGATTCTAACCCATATTAGAGATGCGCAAATTGTTCAAAGTAAAAAACCATAATTACTTTAATAGCCATGCTGGCCATGTAGACAACATTGGAGTGAACAAATGAAGTAACAAGTAGAGAAGGAATATCGCCTTGTAATGTATAAATACTGTATGACACAAAAACATTAAAAAAAACTTACCTGCAGTGATCAAGTCCAATCTTTCCCCTCTCCATCATATCAACAAGACGTCCAGGAGTTGCTACCAGCATTTGGCAACCTCTATCTAAATCCCGCATCTGAGAACCAATATCTGCTCCACCATAAACAACACATGGCCGAACTCTAGACCTACAATAGATTTTGAGTCACTTAGTTTTCACTTCAACTTCTATACCTAATTTGTTTCTTTTGAAAATGCAAACAGTTTTCATGGACATAATTTTCTGTTCAATTAGTTTAACCACATTTTTCCAATAGAATTTTTTATTATATAGTTTTATCCTATGAATGATACTAAATGAAGATAACTGGCTTTTCTTATTTCTTTTTTTGAAATTATGAAATTGTTTTTTAAAGTTTAAATCATTTTTATTGCAGAATTTCAGATTATTCATATGGCATATCTTTGTTATTGCTGAATTTTAACAAAGCAAAAACAATGTGATCGCAATTCTATTTCATATTTTGAATTTGTTTTAGTCAGATGAAATTTAAATTTGATTTCGAAAAATCAATATCTAAAAGTGATAAAATGACACACATCTAGAGCACTGCCTAAATACAAAATGAGACTTTGTGAATTACTTCTTGAAAAAAGTCAGCAATGTTTAGTATACTCCTGTAAAATCATAAGAAACAAAGCTGCAATACTGTCTAGACACTTTCAAATATGTTATAAATTCAAAAACTGCACATTTAAATACAGTAAACAGAACATTAGAATACTGATTGAAGTGTTTCTCTCTATGTTTATTTTAATTATGTCAAACTGTAGATTGATGGACTAACCTGTAAGCAAATTTTCTAGCTTCATCATAAATCTGAGATGCCAATTCACGTGTGGGTGCTAAAACGAGTGCAAGAGGAAACTGTTTCCTGCGACCAACCTTTCCTCCTTGAGGAACACCATTTACAGGTGCATCACCAGGCCCACATTCATACAGCTTGTTCAATGTTGGCACAAGGAAAGCTGCTGTCTTTCCAGATCCTGTGTTTTGTAAAACCAATCAACACATAAATTCAGGCTATCTTAGATATCATTCATTAAACATTTCAAGGCAGAATTTCTTATCAAACTACAAAAACATGGCTCATTATAGCAGGCTGTATATTGTAGATAATAACATTAGCATTAGTAATATTCTACAATAGTAATAATGTGTAATTATAAATAGTTGTATTTGATTACTTATATGCATGTATTTCAGACAGTCGGCAAAAAGTCAGTTTTATCTATCATTAATGGGAAATTAGATGTATAATGTCTGCTTTTTAAGTTTACCTGTCTGGGCACAAGCCATTAGATCTCGTTCTCCCATAATAATTGGTATTGAGTACTTCTGTACTGGAGTTGGCTTTTGATATCTTGTGAGTTTAATATTGTTTCGAATAATCTCTCCAAAACCAATATCATCAAACTAAAAATATACAACCATTTATCATATCAATTTCTTTTTTTAAGGTAAATCAGAAAATTTTTACTGCATAAATATCATAAAAAAAAATCATCTTTTTTTCATGAAACAAATTTTACATCGTATAAAGCAAACATTATATTTATCAACTCTTCAACATGTTTGTGCCACAAGTGTTTATCCTTCACATCATCTCATAGTTAACTTCTTAACAATTTTTGAGTGAGGATTAATGTAATTCTATATAATATCATGATTCAAATTGTTAGGAAAAGCTTGATGTACTTAACAAATGTTGAAACATTTAGTTTTCTCTTGAGCTATTAAATAACCAAGCAGGTATTAAATGTATAATGGAAAATTTGTAAGTGTATTATGTCAGCATTAACTTACTTCATCAATATGTTGGGGACAGTCTTCCCCAGTAGCATCTACAGGTATATCATTGTACTTGTCAAAGTTGATCCCAGTGTTACTGTTTCCAAACAACTCACTGAAAATATCATAGCAAGTCAACTAAACAAGTTCTGAAGACAACGAGCATCTAATACACAATCTTCCCATCTATCATTCAAGCTTAACATTAATCATGTTAATATATTTGCTTAACATGTAAAAAAAAACTTTCAAACATATACATGTTCACAACATTCTTCTACAAGATACCACTAACACAGAAATAATGCTGATAGCTTTCTCACAAATATTTTTTTACATTTTGACAGCAGAAATAATAGCTATTACAAAAGAGAACGCTCAGCTTTTCATACAAATCAGGACTACATATTTTAATGCTTTCAATAACTTACTCTTCCATTTTTTGGTTTGGTGGAAGGGGAACAGCCCAGTTATCTTTAGTTGTCTCATTATTACCATATCTATCATTGTCAGCCCTATTATCCCATCGACTGTTCACATCATAATTTTGTCCTGATTGATAATGCCTTGTCTGGTGGCGTTCTTCCATAAGGCCATCCCATCTTCCTCCTGCCATTGGTGGTGGAGGTTGATTAAAGTTTGGAGGAGGTTGATCAAATCTATAAACAAAAGTTGTACACTCATGAAACCACAAACATACATGTGTAATACAAAAATAGATTTCCATTTTGTATTGATTCATTGTTTGCTAATATCAAATGTGACCTGTATTTCACAGTTCCACCTGTGTATATGAAGTTATTTATATCCCATCAACTTTTTCAGGACCAGTGCTCTAATTATCTTTTAAAGGGATGTGGCTGGGACCCTCAGGTAAAAGAATTTTGCTTTGTAATGAAGAAAATCGAGAATTTTGTCTGTGACTTCTGTTTCGTTTTTCTTTTGTTTTTTTTTAAATACTATTAGGGGAAAAATATATATCAATTGGGAAGGGAATGGAGCCAAATTTTAGCTTCAAATATCATGAAATGAGGGCCCTAAGAACTCATCCCCATTCTTGGGAGAGGCGCAATTCCTCCATGACAATAGATTTTGGACATGGAGTCTAACGGTCATTTGTCTCTCACTGCCGATTCAGAAGTCATATGGGACTAGTACTCTGTTCAATGCAGAAAAATTGGTTACTACTGGTTAAGTTATTCAACTGGATAGACCTATGAGATATGTACTAAAGAAAAAAATGTTAATATCAGCATTAAAACAAGATTGCATTTGAGAAAAATGCTATGCCACCGCATTAATACAACACTAAAATTAATAGTAGTGTAGGAACAGATATTTTTTGTTTCTATACAATTGAAGATTGTCATAATGCATAGATCCCTGACCTATCTAATTCTTATCATCAGATTAGTGGTTGAATCTATTGTTAATCCAATAAAAGATCAGAGTAGGAATATATCAATGCACTTGAGTCTGGTGAATTTGGTGGTGAAGGTCATATTTTCACACAGCCTAAATTTCATGACTATATCAATGGACAACACAGTAAGACACTTTGTTAAAATCTAGGTCAGCTGATATCAAAGTTCACTTAACATCTTAATCTGTGCACATGGTTCAAATTTCATAGCCAAGAAAGTAGGTCACATCATCAAAATCTAGATCACCTGATATCAAAGTTCAATTTTACAACTTAAACTGTGCACATGGTCAAAATTTCATTGCTGTACATCAAAGGATAAGAAAGTAGGTCACTTTCCCCTTGGGCAAGGCAAAATTTTGACCCAAGGGTTTAATTCAAAACAATCTTGATACAGGTCCACCAAACAACATTTCAAGTCAAATATCTAAGTTGTAGCTTTCTCCCATTCAGAAAACATTTGTTTTATTTTCTGTTTTTACTATGTGTACATAATGACCCCAGGGCTATAATTTGAACAATCTGAGTAGAGGTCTACCAGACAATGCCTTATGCAAAATATCTAAGCTCTAGGCCTTTTGGGTCTTTACAAGAAGGTATTTTAAGTTTTTACTATATGTACATATAGTGAAAATCAATGACCCCCGGGGCGGGGCCGATTTTGACCCCAGGGCTATAATTTGAACAATCTTGGTAAGGGTCTACCAGACAATGCCTTATGCAAAATATCTAAGCTCTAGGCCTTTTGGGTCTTTACAAGAAGGTATTTTAAGTTTTTACTATATGTACATATAGTGAAAATCAATGACCCCCGGGGCGGGGCCGATTTTGACCCCAGGGCTATAATTTGAACAATCTTGGTAGAGGTCTACCAGACAATGCTTTATGCAAAATATCTAAGCTCTAGGCCTTTTGGGTCTTTTACAAGAAGATTTTTTTAATTTATTCTTATAATTCCTTTGGTTGCCATGGCAAACCAGATTTCTGCATGGAATGAAATTCTTTGAACAACTTTGGAAGCCCTTCACCCAAGGATCAATCCTGCCAAGTTTGGTTGAAATTGGACCAGTGGTTTTTCACAAGAAGATTTTTGAAGTTCACTATATAATCTATATAACACACACACACACAAACAAACAAACAAACACACACACACACGCACACACACACGGGTGAATCGCTATATGCCACCGCATCGCAGATGCTGCGGTGGCATAAAAATAAGGTAACAGACAGCAGCCTTTTTAATTAAGAAAGGGTTGTTTGGTCTTATTATTTTTTGTACCCTTTAATGGTTCTTAAACCACATTATGTGTAAAATTGTTGGTATCTGCAATTTTTCCTCCTTAATTGTCAATGGGTCTGGTACGGTGATAAATGGGGGGAAAAAAGACACCAAATTGTGAAATATTTCTTAACTAGAAATATGTCGTCACACCAAAATTTCAAATGTTTTGTAATATTTAGTTCCAAATTCGAACTTGACCTGCGCATTCCTTTGACATATCCTTATGTCAAATTTAAGTTGAATGTGCACAACTCTTGAGGAGATAATGAATGGAAATTGAAAAATTTCATCAAGGAGCATAACTCTGTCAAAAATCTTTGGACCATGACCCAATTCTAACTTGACCAGCATTTTCCTATGATATATACATACAATTAAACTTCGTTCACTTGAACTCCGATAACTCGAATACCTCCCTTCGCTCAAACTCCTTGTCCAGTCCCGGCAAAATTCCAATATAATATATATTGCTCTACCTCACTGATTGCTTGAACTCTTGAACCTGATCTCTTCACCAGAAATATAGTGAAAATCACACCTTTTCGGTGGAACACAAAAAAACAACAAAAGTTGCTGGTCGACAGCTGGTGACACATTTTTAACACCTTGTGAGCGTTGTAATGGCAATCAAGTTTAAATAATTCAAAACAAGAGGTGTTGTAACCGATTTGTTCATGATAATATTGTTCCGTCTTTAGTAACAATAAAAAATGTTTACCTGGTGAGCTTAAATTACAGCCTTGGTACATGTAACATGAATTATAACATTTTTATTTATTTATAGAATGATACTTGTGTGTTTGTTTTAAAACAGGACTACAAATAGATGCTGCTATTATTTTTTTATTATTATTTTACTAATTCATTGTTTAAAATAAAATTTATCCCATAATAAACATATTGATAAATTTTAACATTGTTCAACAAGTTTGGAAAATGATTGCTCTAGCAAACTCATCCTATTTCAATGTTATGAATATAGATTAACACAGTGTACCGTTAATACTCATTTGAAAACACTAGATTAAAAATTCTTAATATTAAAAAGAAATTACATATTCAAAGAACTGATGTACTAACAAACAATTATACTGAAGGATTTATCATTCGACCGATGTAAGCTGGAAAACTTTTATTTAGGTCTATGTCCTATGTGATTTTAAGTTCAACCTCGGTTGGCTTGAACTACTAATCTCTCGAACAAATTTGCACAGGCCCTCAGAGTTCGAGCGACTGAAGTTCAACTGTATGTCAAATTTGAGTTGAATGTGTGCAACCATTAACAAGATAATGAACAGAAACTGATGATGACAGAATGACAGAACATTGGAATATCGGAACAGGGTAAAACTATATGCCCCAGCCATTTAATTTGTATATACAGCTACTTTAATCATACCATACTAAGATTGATTCTTTTCTATTTTGTTTCTTTTCTTTTAAACATCAAAAACACTATTTTGGATTACCAAAATGTCTCACACATTTTTTGTATTTCACAAAGAATTTACCATTCTTTGAGCATATTTTTCTTTCTGTTTACAGTTACAACATTTCCGTATGTATACCTTTTAATTTCCCATGATTTGTTAGCAATGTACAACTTGATTGGATGGAATATGTTCTAGAAATCTGATCAGTTTGATTACAAATGTCCTTTGTTATTTGGTAACTGTATGACTGTCAGACACATTTTAATATATTCAGCTCCAAAAAATCTTTGTAACTATTTAAAAGATCCTGGTTTAGCACATAAATCTGCAATTCATGCATTAACTTGATTAAACTGTAATAAAAATATCTAAGAATCAAATTGGAAGCAATCTAACCTTCTGTTTGAATTTGGGCTTTAACATGACATTTAAATTTTAAATAATACAAGAAAATGGCAAACTGAGATTTTAATCACTGTTACAAGACAAAGACAAAATTGTGAACTTCATTGATGAAGTTTGTGATCATTATGAAGAATTGTGAACAGGTCCATCAAACCAATTCCGAAAATTGTCAATGACTGTTCATGGTTATAAATGGGTTATTTGTTTGGTACCACTTTCATAAATAAGGAAAAATTGCTGGGTGTATAACCATTTTTAAAATTTAAAATGATTAAAACAAGTATACTAATAAGCAAATACCTTGGAGGTCCCTGATTGTATCCACCCCTATTTCCAAAATTGTTGTATCCCCCTCGACCACCTCTGTCATAACCACCACGTCCTTGGAATCCCCCATCACGGTTCTGATATCCCCCATCACGGTTCTGGTAGCCATCACGAGACTGGTATCCACCATCACGATTTTGATAACCGCCATCATACCCGCCACTATTATAGCCTCCACGGTTATATCCCCCACGATTATATCCACCCCGATCATTGTATCCACTGCCACCTATTTCATTTATTTAAAATATTTTAAATAAAGATGACAATTTTTTTAAAGTTCACTTTTAGACCAAGTTTCAGTATAATGAGAGTCACTGCTGGGCGGGGGCAACACTCATCTTTAACTTTTTCTTAAAGCAAACAACTAAACCGTAAAAAAAATTTTATAAACAGAAAAAAATTGTTCCTTTTTTTTAATAGGTTGGTCTAGACACACTTGCTGTTTTGTCTGTAAATCATTACTATAAATAAATGACAAAGTTCGATCACAAGTGACGTTTTATCCATGTATGAATCAAATCTGTGCATAAATAACACTAGAAATGTGTCCATAGGACACGGATGCCCCCACACGACACTGTTCTGTCAATCTTATGACTCTAGGTCAAATATTTTTTGAAAACTAAAAATCTTTTACTAAGTAAAGGGCAAGAACTTTACAAATACTGAATAAATCCACAAGCAAACCCCAAGGTGCATAAGTACACAATGTCATGTTGACCAACATTCTTGTAAACTTTCAGGCCTACAAGTGAAATACTTTTTGAGCTATGCATGAACAAGTAATAACTCTAACAAAACTGAAAAAAAATCCACACGCAAAGTCCCAGGTGCATAGCTTCACAGTGATGTGAATCATTATTCCTGTAATTTAGTGATGTTGATCATTATTCCTGTAAAGTTGGTAAATTCTAACTCAAGCACTCAAGGAACAAATAACAACATAATGAAACTGTTTTTACTAAGTCAAGGGAAATAACTCTACAAATACTGGATAAATCCACAAGCGAAACCCCAGGTGCAAAACTAAATATGCTGAGCAACCTTCCCGTAAGGTTTAATGACTCTATGTCAAATCCTTTTTGAGTGACATGCAACACAAGTTGAAAATTGCAAAATTTTACTAAGTCAAGGGCAATAACTAAAAATACTAAAAATATCCAGACAAAAATACCCAGGTGCACAACTACACATGCTGATCAAAATTCCTGTAAAGTGTCATTACTCTAGGTCAAATACTTTTTGAGTTACGTTCGACACAAAAGAGAACGGATGACAGATGGAAGGACGGACAAGGGTAAATCTAAATGCCTGCCACTAAAGTGGGGGCACAAAAATTATGACAACTAACCAAAATCTAATAATTTGACCGGCTTGATGGTCAAGGTCATTTAAAGCACAAGGTCAGTTCAACCTGTTTGAAGCTCAATATGAATGAAAAGCATATATAATGTTCTAAACTAATATCATAGGCTCATATCTGTACCTGAAATTGTGCAAATGTCAAAAAGGTCCATATATGTGTCTTTTTATGTGCTGTGACCTGTTTTTTTGACCCCATATTCAATATGAGCTAGAAATTAACCAATCAACCTTTCTGACCAATTTCTAGGATATTTGGGCTAAAAATGTAACCTCAAGAGTGACAACAATATTTTTTCCGTAATTGGGCTGTGTGGCCTAGTTTTTGACTCTAGATGACCCATATTCAAACTTGAGCTAGAAAACATCTAAATAACCTTTCTGACCAATTTCCAGGATATTTGGACCAAAACAGTAGCATCTAGAGTGTTCACAAGGTTTTTTCCATATAGAGTGTTCACAAGGTTTTTTCCATATTTGGGCTGTGTGACCTATTTTTTTTTTACCTAGATGACCCATGTTTGAGCTCCTCTAAGCAATTCAGTTTTGTGTTATTCAACTTAATGGTTTTTAAACAGCATTTCTTACAATACATTATGATGTATATAGACTTGAAGTGAAATAAAATTATGCTGCAAGGGATACACCAGTATAATCTTAAAGTTAATCCAGAGATGATCACTGTGTCTATGTTTCATTTGAATGAAAGCTACATAGTTTATTACCTTGATTGAAATTATTATATCCACCTCTATATCCACCACCACCACCACCCTGGTTATATCCTCCTTGATAACCTCCATCTGAATAACACGAGTAATACCAGGATGAATATAATCTACTTGCTTTTATTTTCTAATTATTAGAAGAAAAATATTCACTGATGTCTTTTCAAAGGATATGTTATAACATGTTCATTTAGGGCCCTAATGTAAGCCCCATTGCTCTCTCCGATTAACTAGAGCTTTTACTCAAGGTAATTCATACCCCCACCTGCCACTTTTACTTTAAACAAGAGGGCCATGATGGCCCTAGATCGCTCCCCTGACCCATCAACCGCATCCAAGCAATGTCTTAGACAACATCCTGGCCAAGTTTGATGACAATTGAGTCAAAAATGTGACCTCTAGTGTGTTAAAAAGGTTTTCAATATTTGGGCAATGTGACCTAATTTTTGACCGGAGACAACCCATATTCAAACTTGACCTAGAAATCATCAAAACAACCTTCCTGACAAATTTCCAGGATATTTGGATCAAAACTGCAGCCACTAGTGTTAAAAAAAGATTTTTCTATTTTTAGCTTCTGTGACCTAGTTTTTGACCGGAGATGACCCATCTTCAAACTTGACCTAGAAATCATCAAAACAACCTTCCTGACAAATTTCCAGAATATTTGGATCAAAACTGCAGCCACTAGAGTGTTAACAAGCTTTTTCTATTTTTAGCTCCTGTGACCTAGTTTTTGACCCGAGATGACCTATCTTCATACTTGACATAGAAATCATCAAAACAACCCTCCTGACAAATTTCCAGAATATTTGGATCAAAACTGCAGCCACTAGAGTGTTAACAAGCTTTTTCTATTTTTAGCTCCTGTGACCTAGTTTTTGACAGAGATGATCCATCTTCGAAACTGACCTAGAAGTCATCAAAACAACCTTCCTGACAAATTTCCAGAATATTTGAATCAAACCTGCAGCCAGTAGAGTGTTAACAAGCTTTTTCTATTTTTAGCTCCTGTGACCTAGTTTTTGACAGAGATGATCCATCTTCGAAACTGACCTAGAAGTCATCAAAACAACCTTCCTGACAAATTTCCAGAATATTTGAATCAAACCTGCAGCCAGTAGAGTGTTAACAAGCTTTTTCTATTTTTAGCTCTTGTGACGACATTCTGACAAAGTTTGACAATGATCCAATCAAAACTGTGACTGATAGACTGTTAACAACCCAATTGTTGACGACGCATGACGACGGACGCCAGACATAGCCCCACCACTATACCTCACCTTGACTACTTGTGGTCAGGTGAGCTAAAAATAAATAATATGTCTAAAGCAAAATTTTAACTTGGTCTATATTTTATGTTGTGTAACAAATTTATTACATTTAATAACCTTGTTATAAGAGTATAATCATCTATCTGTTAACCATTAAAAAAATAATAAAATAAATGAAAACCATTTTTCAAGTCTGGAAATCATTTTTCTATTTTTAGTAACAGTGACCTTAACCCTGAACCTAGAGGTTCCAACAACAATCCTAAACTAGGTCTCTTCATAAGCTTCAAATATGCCAAGTTTTATCACAATATCTCATTCCTTAAGTTATTGTCTGGAAACCATTTTTATATTTTAAGTAATAGACCTTAACCATGAATCCAGGGGGTCCTAGTGCATCCCAGCATGGGTCTTCATATATGCTTGCTATATAGTTACCAAGTTTGATCATATATCTCATTCCCAACTCTAGTTATTGTCCGATAACCATTTATCTATTTTTAGTAACAGTAACCTAGGGATCCAAACACAATCTTAACCTGGGTCTTCGTGCAAGCTTGCTGTATAACAAGTTTGAATACAATATATCATTTCTTACAGTAGTTATTGGCCGTAAACCAGTTTTCTATTTTTAGTGACAGTGACCTTGAACGCAAGAGAAATCCCAAACTATTTTTTTCTTTTTTTATTAAGAGACCCAATAGGGTTTCTACAGAAGGCTGCTATTTACCAAGTACCAATAACTCATAACAAACTATAGTTATTATCTGGAAACCATGAAGTGGACTGACCAACAAGCTGACCATAACCTTCGTTTGTAGGGGTATAATTAATCAACATATTTTTTCCCTATTTCTAAAAAGAATAATTCCCTTCAAAAATACAAGAACATGACCTGCACATACCTTTGACATATCTGTGATTTTTTCCCACTTAATTGGGAAGAGGCCTTAGCCTCTTGATTTTGGGAAAAATTATCGCTAAAATTGCTCATTTGGGAAGTAAACTAGAAATGTGTCCATAGGACACGGGTGCCCCCACACGACACTGTTCCATCAATCTTATGACTCTAGGTCAAATATTTTTTGGACTTAATGTGCCACAAGTTGAAACTAAAAATCTTTTACTAAGTAAACGGCAAGAACTTTACACAAGCAATCGCAAACCCCAACGTGCATAAGTTCACATGCTGACCAACTTTCTTGTAAACTTTCAGGCCTACAAGTCAAATACTTTTTGAGCTATGCAGGAACAAGTTGAAAATTGCAAATTTATACTACTGTAAGTCAAGGGCAATAACTCTAACAAAACTGAAAAAAATCCACATGCATAGCTTCACAGTGATGTTGATCATTATTTTCCTGTAAAGTTGGTTGATTCTAACTCAAGCACACAAGGAACAAATAACAAAATAATGAAACTGTTTTTACTAAGTCAAGGGAATTAACTCTAAAAATACTAAATAAATCCACAAGCGAAACCCCAGGTGCACAACTATATATGCTGAGCAAATTTACCTTAAGATTTAATGACTATGTCAAATCCTTTTTGAGTTACATGCGACAAGAGTTTAAAATTGCAAAAATGTTCTAAGTCAAGGGCAATAACTCTAAGAATACTAAATAAATCCACACGAAAATACACAGGTGCACAACTACACATACTGATAAACATTCCTGTAAAGTTTCATGACTCTAGGTCAAATACTTTTTGAGTTACGTGCGACACAAGTTGAAAATTGCAAATTTTTACTAAGTCAAGGGCAATAACTCTAATAATACTGAATAAATTCCACACAAAAATACCCAGGTGCATAACTGCACATGCTGATCAACATTCCTGTTAAGTTTCATGACTCAAGGTCAAATACTGTTAAGTGCAACACAAAAGAGAATGGACAGACGGAAGGACAGACAAGGGTAAATCTAAATGTCCGCCATTAAAGTGGGGGCACAAAAAGCAGGTTTAAATTAAGATTTTTGGGAAAATTGCATGATTTTAAAGAAAATTTCAATTGGGAAGAGGCCTTTTATCGGAGTCTGGTAAATAAGCAGGAAAATCACTGTGTATCCATATGTCAAATTTGAGTTGAATGTGTGATATGGTTGGAGAGATAATGAACGGAAACTGAAATTTCATCAAGGGGCAAAACTCTGTCAAAAATCATCGGATCACAACCAAATTCGAACTTGACCTGTATTTTCTCATTATATATCCATATGTCAAATTTGAGTTGAATGTCTGCAACCGTTACTAAGATAATGAACGGAAGATGACGGAATTACAGAATGACGGAACAGGGTAACACTATATGCCCCAGCCTTTTCATGGTGGGGGCATAAAAAATATTAAATATATACAAAACATATGCAAGACCTTGACCTAGAACACAGTGACCCCAAACTCAACCCAAACCTAATGGTCCACCTGAGGTTTGTTCCTTCTAATTATAAAACATTGGTAAAAACAATAATAAACAAGAAATGTGTCGTCACGCCACAGATGCCCCCGCATGCAGCCAAAATTTCATGTTATAATATTCAATTCCAAATTTGTTTGCACAAATTATTTTTTTCATAATACCCCCAATGAAAAATAGAAGTGGGAACACTGATATGACATGTTATTAAAGAAATTTAAAGAACATGTATGTCTTACGAACACACCGATTTTTTACTATTTTCAAAAATTTGTTTTTGATTTTATTACCCTCAAGGAATCTCTTTTTTTATGCTTATTAAATATGTCAAATTTAATCAAGTAGAAGAGTTTTGATAAATTTTTTGCCAAACTAACCTCATCAAACAATATATTCTCAATAAGGGGTGACAATTATTGCAATATAGGAAACCAGAATTATACCTCTATTATCTCTTGACTGAAATTCCCTCCCCTGGGGTGGAGCACTATCTTGCATACCTTTATTTCTCATATGTGGGGGAACATAGCTACTTCCTTGTCCACCTGAAATAACATTAATATTACATTAATGCAAAATCTCTTTTGCAGTTGTAAATTGACTGGGATTTTCCAACAGTTTTGTGAATTAGGAAGGGACCTACATGAATATTTTAAGATATATTAAGCCTCTATTGTAAATGTGTCCGTAAGACACAGGTGCCCTCACACTCCATTGTCAGACTACTGACAAAAGAAATTCTACATGACTTCCCCTACCACTTAAGTTGCTGGGCATAAAAACTACATCCAATTTTTCAAATGTTAACATCTTGATTTTTTACAATATTAAGAGTTTCAAAACTTAATATTATATCCTAAAGTACGATAAAAAAAAATAACAAGCAAACTCCAGATGCACAACAACATATGCTAATAAACATTTCTGTAAAGTTTCATGACTATAAGTCAAATACTTTTGAATTCAGGGACTGCGTTCAGGGGTCAGGCGAAAACTTCCCCGTAAATATTTTCACTTCGCCCTATATGATCTGAAAATATTCTAGTCGCCCTAAAATCTCTATGAAATGTCTGACATGTATATTTCTCAACTCGATAATACTGCCTGGAGGCAGATTTAATTGCGTGATCTGACGTAATTAGCACATGCGCTGAAGCGTGGCCATAGCGACATTTGGAATTCACACTTGGAAATCCACATCACTAAAAATAGCGCATTGATTATACAGTAAATTAAAGCTGTGAAAGACCCGAATATGAATGCAGCAGATGATAAAAAGCTAGCTAATTGATAATTAAGTTACCTCAAACGTATATTTGTGTCTTATTTACAATATCCCCTGTACGTTTTGTTTGATTTACATTCTATTCTTAAATATTCCCTAAAGGTTCTGTTTGATTTACAATTTCCCCTACTGTATATGTCCTGTTTGATTTGCAATATCCCATATACGTCTTGTTTGATTTACAATTTCCCCTATATGTTTTGTTTGATTTACAATATCCCATCTCAATGTAAATTGATAGAATTTGGATAATTATTATGAATTAAAGAACTTTTCTTCTTAATTAATTGCATTTAAAAGTTAAGAGTCAGAAACTGTTAAACCTAAAAAAAAAAACAAGAGGGCCACGATGGCCCTGAGTCGCTCACCAGAAACAACTGTTTTTCAGTGTTATTTTTCAAAGAACTTGCTGAAAGACCAGTCCACCTCAACTTTTACTTGCCCTTCTAATTATTGAAATATTTTGCCCTAATATTTTGGAGGCTTTGTTAGAAATATCTATGTTGCAAGTGTGTTCCCATGAGACTATGTAGAATAAAATAATGCAGAATAAACAGGTCTAGGATTTCATGATATTTACGGACAGTCTGTAAATTTTTGGACGAGCCATAATTTTACAGATTTTTGTATCTGTAAATTTACAGACATTAAGTAAGAAAATAGAAGAAGCTGCATTAAAATTCAAAACCACAGGTTAAAATTAATAAGGTTACATACTATATGATTAAATGTAACAGTATGGTGAGATTCAAAACAATATGTTGACTTTCAATTTTCACTTTTATTAAATATTTCAAAATCATCATACAAAGATGAAACTCACCACATTACCTTTGTAAATATAAACATCAATAAAAAAACTAGAGTCAGTGTACCCGGTTCCGCACAGGACCCTGTCCCGCACACTTTCCCATTTTTCATTTTTTCTTGAAAATTCAAATGAATTTATTCAGTTTTCATTTGTGTTTCACTGAACTGGCATGTTTTCAACAGGATATGACATAATCTCGGAACTCTTAATCAAACAAATCATAACTTAATAGATGAAAAACTTTCAATTTAATTTTTTTGTCTTGCTTGCTACCTACCACATGTTGTAAAAAAGATATGTTTCCATTGCTGTTACGAAGTGGTTTCGCCTGTGTGCTACTCATCTTTGAAAATAAATGTTTGAGTAACTGTAGATTAAGAATGATGCATTAAAATTTATTAAAGTACCTGAAAATTTTTCAAAAAAAAATACCTTATCTGGACTAAAAGATATTAAATAATTTTATAAAACACTGTTTAAAAGATAGTAAAATAACCTTCAGTATAAAAATGGCCTGTGTGTGCGGAACCGGAGTTGCTATTGTATTAATTTGGCCCTTCCCTCGTTGCTTTAAAATCAAGTGCGCGCTAGAAGGTAAAATGACCTACTTAAGATAGAAACGATTTTTCATCAGTTTTTATGGGCCCAAAAGGATGTAATTTCAAAAATAATAATCAATTTATAAGAAGAATTTTTAACTATGATAATTTTCTTTTTTTCCTAAAAAAAGTGTACACAACCAGGTTTACACTGACTAGTCCAAGAACTGCGGATTTTAGTGTAAAAAAAAAACAGCAAATTTACATTGAATATAATTTGTAAAATTTATGGATTGAAAAATCTTTAAATTTCTAGACTATCCCTGGGAACTAAGATAATGTCCCCAGACTATATAAATTAACGGACAGTCCCATAAATTTGAAATACAGAACCTGATAAAATGACCACAAGCAGGGTTAATTTTTGAAGGAAATTTTTTTCTTTATATAACTTTTGTAAATGACTACAAAATGTTCACATGCAAAATCATTGTAAGGTGTCTTACAGTATGGGACAAAAAAAACTTTTTAATTTTGAGGGCAAAATATTTGCCCAATCGGAAAAATTTTACGTGGAGCTTTTGGTTAGCGTCTGTCAAACGTAACATACTAGTTCCGATTTTCCGGGTCAACTCCCGTAACAGTACCAAATACGGTTTACTAAAAAATCTAAAGTTGTGATCCCCGAGTGAATGAATTTTCTTTATTTTCAGTTAAGACAAAACTGTGAATCAATTTTAATAAACCAAAAATTTCCTTAGAAAAAATCGCTTCGGAGCATTATCATTTTGCTTGGATTTCTCAGTTGTTTCAGCATTCGCCGATTTATTTGGTTGGGAAACCTCATTTGGTATAGGCACAGAGTTGTTTACGGTAGATTCTTGCATAGCAGACTGGCGTTTCCGTGTGTTTTACCCATGCCGGAAATTTCATCTGGGCATGGGGGGTGCCAGATTTATGGTCGCGTGCGGACAATGGAACCTGCCTTAAAAATGACGGGTCAATTTTACCGTTATGAATGAAGTTGCAAATTTCTACGCGGTTGTAAGAAAAATAGTATAACGGCTTGTAATGATATAAAATTTCCGTTGAAAAAAAAAAGATAAAAAATTTGAAAATATAATGGAATATTGAGAATATGCAAAGAAAAAAATGGCCTGACATTGTTTGCGGTTCGGACGGAATATCCGTCCCCTCGGTAACCCCCCCCCAGGCGGCGGGTCCACCTCGTGACGGATAAATTCCCGGTCCGACCGCAACATTATGATCCAGATTATAATTATTTCTGTCGCCTTCCATCAACTTAAAACGATTGTCTTTACTGAAGAATGAAGTCAATCTTGGCTGCTTTTTTTCGAAAGCAAGACATTTGTGAAATTACCCGGATAATGACGTCACAATCTGAAGCGCCTAAAAGCGGCCTTTAACATGTAATAATCACTAAAGCGTCTTTAGAGAAATCAAGCCCCTCGTGTAGACTCAAAAAATGTGCGGATAAGCTTAATGAAATTCAATGCTATTTATAAGAACAAAATATATACTACGAGCGGCTTCGCAAAAAAATTATGCGTCACTGAAAAACACACGGCTATAATATTACCGCATCAAATGCAATAAAGTACTGTGTCAAAAACGCAGAAAACGCTCTCTAGAGAAAACACACTGCATGAAGTGATGTAATTAAGTGAATATGAAAATGAAACCAAATAAAGCTTGATACTTTAAGTTCTTAATATATCTTGTATAAGTTATTTCATAAAGAGGTCATGACCTTAAAATAATTTTTCATCAGAAAACAGCAGGTCATTCACATGTATGATAGAAATTCCAGCACGAGTTGTTTCCTTTTTCATTAAACTATAATGGAAGGAAATGTCATGGTCTGGGGTATCTTAACTTTAGCAGTCCCTAAAAGGGGGCCAATCAAATAAATATGAGCAAGTTTTATAAAAGATACTATAAGAAAGCTTATAACAAAGTTTTGCTGATCATCCAATCAAGTTCTGTAGAAAAAGCTGTCTAAAGATTTATATATCATTTTTTAGCTCCCTTAGACCCCTAAAGGGGGCCTATTCAAATTAATATGAGCAAATTTGATAAAAGACTTACCTAAGAATGCTACAGAACAAAGTTTGGTTGAGCATCCATCAATTTGGGTTCTGTAGAAGAAGATGTCTTAATGATTTTCTATTTTTAGGTCTAGAGACCCCTAAAAGGGGCCAATCAAATTAATATGAGCAAATTTGAAAAAAAGACTACCCAAGAATGCTACAGACAAAGTTTTGGTGATCATCCATTCAATTAGTTTCTCTAGATATAGATGTTTTAAAGTAATTTCTATTTTTAGCTTTAGCAAGCCCCTAAAAGGGGCCAATTCAAATTGATATGAGCAAACTTGATAAAAGACTAACCAAGAATGATATAGACAAAGTTTGGTGATCATCCATCCATTAGTTCTGTAGAAGAAGATTGTCTAAAGTATTTTTTTCTATTTTTAGCCCTAGAGACCCCTAAAAGGGACCAATCCAATTAATATGAGCAAACTTGATAAAAGACTACCCCAAGGGAATGCTACAGACAAAGTTTGGTGATCATCAATCAATTAGTTCTATAGAAGAAGAGTTTAAAGGTTTTCTATTTTTAAGCTCTTTTTGACCCCTTAAAGACCAATTGAAAAAGGGAAAGAGCAAAAAATTTAAGTGCGTGTCCCCAAAAGGGTGTAAAAGACCAAATTTGAAGTAAAATTTTCCACCGGTTTCAAAAGAAAAAGACCATTGTTGACGCCCTGAACCCACGGAACCCCCGGGGGATCCCCTTTATACCAAAGCTCACCCTGAGCCATTCGGCCTGGTGACTAAAAAAAGTTAATGTTATTTAAATCAAAAAGCTTTAAAAAAACTTTTTTGAGGGAACCCAGTACTTCAAATAAAATATCAAACAAAAAACACATTTGTTTTTTCCCGTGCCCCTTACATGTATTTTTAAAAAAAACAAGCCGAAAATTGCAAATCTTTACTAAGTTTTAAGGGGAAAAACTCTACAAATACCAAATAATCCACAAGGAAACCATGGAGTAACTATACATGCTTACTAACATTCCAGTATTATTTCATGATTCTAGATAAAAAACACAAGTTGAAAATTGCAAATTTATACAAAAGTCAAGGACAATAACTCTAACAAAACTGAATTAAACAACACACAATACCCCACGTGCATAGCTTTACATACTGATCAACATTCCTGTAAAGTTTGTTGATTCTAGCTCAAACACTTTTAGAGGTACACATACAGTGATTTTTTTTACTGTATTTTACAGCCGAATAAAGGCTGTTTCCCCTAGCCCAAAATAGGAATATTTTCCCCTAAAAATGCTACAATTTCCCCTAAAATGCCTCTTGCCCTTCCTGTGCAGAACCATGACTTAACAGCATCTGATTTATATCAGCTCGAAGACAGAAAGCTGTCCTTAAAGATAGCTACTGCTATGTACCATGCATGTCAAATTGAATTGAAAATGAAAATTTTATAGAATGTGTTGCAGACTCCCGAAATACGTCGGTCCGACGGACATGTCCGATAAATTTTGATCAGGTCCGACAATTTTTTATTCCGGATCGGTCCGACTGTCCGGCTTTTATCCAAGCCGCATGTATACAAAATGGCGTCGCTAAAGGTGCAAAACCTGGGAAAACCGAAAATCTACGTCAGAAGAGTGCGCAGAACAGCAATAAAAGGATGAAAAGAATAGACCCGAGACAAAATTTATTGAAAAATGGAAGCAGAATCATGAATCATTGGTGTATGACAGGGAGGAGATGAAAATGCGCTGTACGGATTGTGCCGATTTTTACGGCAAAAAAATAAAAAACAAAAAGTGTCTTAGAAATACAAACACAAGTTTTTCTTTGATTTTGATCAATTTTATTTGGTCCGACAGATTTTGTTTCGGTCCGACAGATTTTCGTGGTTTGTCAGACCGAATGTCTGACAGTTTTTTTCAACTTTCGGGAAGTCTGGTGTTGGTAAATTTCATTTTCAACTGTCGTAATTTGATTTCAGGTTTTCCCCCTTTTCTGATTTATCCCGCTATACTTTCCCCTTCAGAGAGCCACAGGTTGTTTTGAAAATTGGAGAAAAAAAAATCACTGACATAACGCATCATTTTTGAACAGTTTTTACTTAGTTTAGAGTAATAACTCTGACAAAACTGAATTAATCCACATGCAGAATTATTGCTAAACCCCACAACCACACATGCTGACGAACATTTCTGTAAAGTTTCATGACACAAGGTCAAATGCTTTTTGGGCTACGCGCAACCCAAGTTAAAATGCAAATTATCAAAGGTAAAACTGAATTATTCCACATGTAAAAACCCAGTTAAATAATCACACATGCTGATCATGTGACACAATTTGAAAGTGCATGCACTCAAGGACAGATTTACACTTATGTCTCGGATAAAGTTCAGAGTAAAACTGAACAAAGGGCAATAACTCAAAAATTAGGCAAGGCAGAGTTAAGGTTCTTGTGCACTGCACATCTACTCAATTACAAAGTTTCATGTTGATACCTCATGTTGTTTCAGAGTTATGTCCCAGACAAGAATAGTGGACAGACAGACATCCTGCCGAAATGGAATAAGGGGCTATTTCTTTTGTTATTTTCTATTGTTTAATAGAGGGCCAATGGCCCCTTACTCTATTATTACAGAATGAACTCTATTGATCTCTTTTGTTCTGTTTACATTTAGTTGGCCCCCTATCCCTATTCGGTAGTGCGGACAGACAGACTGACTGACAAAGTGGCAACTATATGCTCACCCTTTGGGGAGCATAAAAATACGAGTGTCGGCAAAAAAATACATTTTTTACTTTGGGAGTCAAGGTGTATGAGCCTCATAACGGGTTGGCAGTGTAGAATTACTGGAGTTATGTGTCATTTCATTGAAATTTCTTCCTGAAATATTGAAAAATGAAAATGAAAAAAAGGAAATAATTTTTGTTAGTATTTATCTTAAAATACATACCAAAGTCATTTCGACCTCCACGTCCGCCACCTCGTGGAGGACCACTATTGATGCCTAGACCAGCAAACTGTAATGAAGCAAATATTTTCAGTTTTAAATAGTTTTCAAAATTAAATAAGCATTCAAATTTCTAACATAATTCAAACTTATAATCATAATACCATTATAGTTTTTTCAGTTTGTCAACTCATCAAATTACATCAATGATGCTGCTCAATTCCAATGTCCGCCAAGCCAATAACAGTATTTTTTTTTACGATTATTGCTGCATGAAATTGAAAGAAAATATTATAAGCTTTTGAATAAAGCTTGAAAGGCAAGACAATAGACATTTTTTGAATTTTATATGATGCTATGCGTTTTTGAGCAATAACTATTAGACGTCAGGCTTGACCGACAAAAACTATAACAAGCCTGTAACGTCTAATATATTGGACTAGTGTTTAGCTATGAAAGATCGTCCAAGATGTTGACAAAAATTAAACTATACTGTGAAGGTACCAAAATCATTGAACAATTAATCTATCAACTTCACTTAATTACCGATATATATGTTTACATATGCCAGACTTTTGCTGAAATTTACCCTCTCATTTTGCTTGTATATAGTCTGTATGAAATTAAAGTTTAAATAGCAAAATCCATTGAATACATGTATAACAATATTTATGTTTACATTTTGATTGTGGTGAAAAAAGATAACTTCACTTGTTGATAATACAATTTTCTTTTTGTACACAAATTTTTTGACTGCTGACACTTATCAAATGACTCAAAATGCTATACCAATCAGGTTTTTTTCGGTCCAGTAAAATCATGTTTGGTCCAGTAAAAATTTTCAGTTTACAGGACCTACTGTCCAGTAAAACTCAGAAGTCTTTCGCACAGACTGTAGATACATAACCTTTTTCATGTTAACCTTCATTAATCTGATATTTTACGTTTTTCATTTTCCTTTGTCAATAAAACAGACTATTACCAATGCTATGTGCAGGTGCCAAAACATGATTATAAATAAACAATAATTTTTTTACAGAAACGCATTTATCAACATTTTTATTCACCAATAGGTGTATTCAGGGCTTTTTTTCACTGGTTGGGGAAGCAGCCCAGCACTTAATTTAGCGGGAAAATTACACAGTATATTTGCAAAAGGGGAAGAAAACTTTATGTAAATTCAATTTTTGGGCAATCCGGTCAACTCGTCCCCTGGTCAACTCGTCCTCTGGTCAACTCGTCACCGTTTTGGTCAACTCGTCCCCTATTTTTGGTCAACTCGTCCTCAAAGAGTCAACTCGTCCCTAATATGGTCAACTCGTCCCCTACTTTCGATCTATTCGTCACATTTATGTTGTAAATCAATGTCTTTAAATATTTCTTTTATGTAAAATTAATAATGCATTTGATTGATATCGAAATATTAATAAAATAACGTCTTTTTTACATTAAATTTTAATGATCTTTATCTAAGCGCACGTGCATAGCTTTGATGTCAAACTAACCAGGTAAGTTTGCAAACATTCAGTTAATGTTTAATTCATCGGAGTTTTAATGATAATTAAAACTAAAATTAGGTCCAACTCTTTGATTTTTACCGCCTCCCTTAATGGATTAAAGACTGACGACAGATTAAAAGAAATTAGAAGTGCTAAAAACTTTATGTCGGTGCGTATTGATCTCATTATAGAAGGACCGTGTCAATTTAACATTCGTGTTTCGTTTCTTTTTAAATGTCGAGCTGGGTTGTGAAGCTGACTATTAAGCACAACATCCAACTCGTCCTTCGTTTTGTCTCTGCTTGGAATGTCGACATGGGATGTGAAGCTGGCTACACATTCATCACAACATCAGCTCAATATTCGTTTTGCCTTTTCTTCAACATTTAAACGTGAAACAGTAAAATTTTGAATTTAGAAACATCCGCAGATGTGTTCATACGCGGTTATCATGGAACCTTCAATGTGACACTTCCGTGCCATTCCATGAAAAGCGGCGTATGGTCCCCAAGTAATAAAAAGCGTGTGCCCTAAACGAGAAAACAATGGGCAGAACTAAATAAAATGGAATATTGAAAGGGGATCAGAGGTTATGAAGCCTGCGTATCACAGATACTAACATATCCTAAGGGTGATTCAACATTATTCAAGTAGGAATATTGGAACCACCCTTATAGAAAATGCCGAAAAGTTGAAACTAAAAATACCACAAGCACAACAATTCCATATTGTTGGATTATAGACTGCATGTGAACGGTGTATGTATAATACAAGTCAATATATTGAATGTATAAATTACGAGTATATTTTATCATTGCATATGAAACATATTTTTATACATTAAATGTTATTGCTATTGATCGTCTTCGTGTTTTTTTTTCTGTATGTAATTTAATCAGAATTATGCATATATATACTTATTATTAAATAAAAAAACTCCAAATATTCGCATACAAAAAAGCGTCAAAATATGTCCAATTCAGTAATTCTATAATATATTATTTTAACAGTCTATAATAATTTATGAAATATATGAAAAACAAATATTAATAGAATATAGGGGACGAGTTGGGGCCGAGTTGACCAGGGGACGAGTTGTCCAAGGGACGAGTTGACCAAAAAGGTGACGAGTTGACCAGAGGACGAGTTGACCAGGGGACGAGTTGACTCTGAATCATTTTTGGCGTTTTAATTTAAAGAAAATTTCTTTGGCAGCCCTATACCGGCCCGTTACAGAAGGAAAAAAGGCCCTGGTATTATGTCCCAATTTGTGCATCATGCAATAATCTGGCGATATACTAGTCCTGATAAATAACAACACAGTAGATCCAGATGGCAAAATAGTTTGGTTTTACAGGGTCACGCCAAATTCGAACCGGCACCTTTAAAGCAACCGCCATCTTTTATCAGCTAAACCACGGAGGGTATGCATGACATGCGGTTTTTCTAATTTCCAGAATATACAACTTAAACCTATAAAAAAGGCAGCATACAGATATATGGCATTTCACATAGTACCTGCTGCTCTAGTCCCGGTCCATTTTGGCGTTGATCAATTGGCATATTATGGGTTAAATCAAATTTAATTGCTGACTGATTTTAGTCTGGTCGATTTCTCCAGTGACAAAGGACGTAGTACGCAAGCGCAACTCAGAAGTACGGGATTTATTCCGCACACCGGATTACCGGATATGTACCTGAAATATCTTATATTACCTATTATATTGTATATCTAGAACAAAAATACCAATAAACTTTTCATCAAAATAGATATTTGCAAATAAGAAAATATTGTCAATTTATGCTTCTAGTCCAACTAATTGTACTACGCGTTGAGATATTGTGTTATTTTGTGTATGGGCAAGCCAAGGTCTTTCAAAATAGAAATTAATTTTACAGAGAAAAAATGTTATTTGTAAAGATTTTAAAAATGTCGCCGTTTGTTGGCAACTATTCTGAACAAGCAATCTATGTTTTTCAACAGATCATGGCTTTAAAAAACATTTTTTATTTACAAGTTTAAAGATTTTAAAAGAACATCATGTTTTTAGAATTTTCATTTTTGCACTTGTATTGATTTTTTTCGCACTTTTCTTGAATACTTACATAATTTGCGTACAGCAAACTATATACAGAGTTATACCGAGAAATGTTTTTTTTGTAGTGAGAAGGGTTAACATAGCGGTCCTAACATAGCGCATTTCCAGACCATTCTATTTGAAAGACCCTGATCAAAGTAAGAATATCTCGGAATCTAGCTTTGGCACGTTGACTCAACATATTTTGAATAATTATATTAGGCTTCATATAATGAAGCACCAATGAACGTAAGATTGTCTATATATCTGTTTATACCATATCTTTAATTCATCAATGACTTCTTCACAATTTTGTTCTCTGGTAATGTCAAGCTGTACTTAAAGAACTATATATAATGACCATACATGGGGTGTTAGAACAGTGATAGATTTTTTAGCCTCTCAAACTTCTTAATCTACTCCGGAGAACATTGACAATACATGTATGTCATTAAACTTCTTAATCTAGAGTAGATTAAGAAGTTTGAGAGGCTAAAAAAACTTTTGACCAGCCCTACATGTGTTCTATTAATATTTATACCACTAGAAAATGTCATAAGCAAATAAAAAATAAAAATAAAAAAGAGAAAAAAAAAACATACAAATCATCCTCCATAAGTTGAAGCGTAAGACATACATGTGGGAAAATAACTCATATGGAGCTAAAAAGAGGAAATAGCCCAAAAACTATGTTAACAGACCGACCTTATCTTGCATGATTTCAGTAAAGCCTTTGACAATGTCAACCTTTACAAACTTTACGGACATTGCGCCTCTAAATAACCTATATCTGTGCCATAAATATTTACGATGAATTAATTCCCAATAGCGTTGATACATGAACGGGGTGTTAATTTCATAAAATTTTAACACAAAAATACCATAGAAAGCTTTGTGCTCGATAGGTACCGCACCTCCTTTATTGTTGAACTATCTACTTGAATTAGTCGAACGTCTTCTAAACAAGAGGGTCATGATGACCATATATGACTTACTTGATTACGACTTGATTAATATAGTTAACAGTAGCTCTACGCATTTTGGTTTTATTAGTGAAAAATGAAGTTGAATTTATTGCTAGCGTGCGGCCCAGACCAAATATGCCTATTTTGACCACAAATGGCCATAATTCTGCCATTCAAGCAGGTAGCAGGCTGTTTTAAGAAAGGAATCGTGGTCTACTGGTAATACAAGTTCTGTCACTCTGTACAACTTTTGGTAAAAAAATGAAGCAGCTATCGTGAGGACAAGCAAATCGAGGAAACGGACGGACGTCCATACAAGCTATAAAAGTGCAACACCTCGCATGTCCCTAGCGCCTGTCTAAGCGGTTATCAATCTTCAGCACTAACGTGCTGGAATCAACAGTCCCGAAGGCCAGAACATATAACAACACTGGAGGGAAGCACGGGACAATTTTTACACCTGTCACAAGACACTTGGCACCTACCGTTGTAAGGTATAAAAGTTTGTGTCTTATGAACGATAATGCATCCTTTTTCTCCCGTCGGTAAGTGCAGAAGATTTGAAGAACTTGGGACGGCGAAAAATAAAGACCGAAATTGTATCATGCGAACCAGCTACCGATAAGCTAAAGCTGAGGGGAGTAGCCCTACATAGTAGATATGGAGAGGAATGGTAATAGGGTGCGTGAGCCCCTAGCGATCCGTAGTGAGGGCTTGAAAGGCAGGTCCTTCGCTTAACTGGCACCAAAACCTTTTATCAGAGCAACAAACTTTAATATTATTTCTCAGGTTACTTTTCGTTTACGTGCTTATTGACCGCTGTACATTGTTCAAAATTCATTTCTTTGGCTTTTTCTCTTAAGAAAATGCATGTATAAGTGTAACTTTGTTTAATATTTGATCTTAATATTAAATGTGATCAGTCCGTAAGGCGAAGTTTAAGGTGTGATAGGTACTAAAGTATCACATTTTATAAAAACACGAAAGCATAAAAGTTATTGAGCTAGCAGTAATAGTTTGAGCCATATATTTATTCTCAATTTTACGCAATAAATGAGAACAAATGCCTCTTCCATGTGTTCTATTACTACTTTCTAATGAAACCAATAAATTCAGTTAAGTTTCCTCCTAACATAATCACAGAAACTTCTGTGTAGTAATGGAGTTGACGATTTAACCTTTTTTTTAAAAAAATATATAATCATATACTTTTAACGGCGATGAACGCTATGTCTACATTTCTTGTTTGATCATTTTCAATGAATACTCAGTAAATATACCTTTCACTTAGGTTTAAAAGCCTAAAAACATAACATTAGAATTTCTTACATAAATGAACTGGGCGCTTTAAACAGAAATATATGCAAAGATAGTTAAGAACTATACTTTTAAAATAAATTGAAAATCGTAGTTTTATGCTTTTCTTAGCCTAATTTGAGTGAAAAGCGTTTAAATGTTTTTCATGTTGGGTCATTTTTTTTACAATTTGAATAATTATTATGGAAAAACGAAGTGCGCGAATGATCTGAAAGTTTGCACAAAGATTCGTGGTCTACACCTGCATCAAATGATACATTTATCTGGAAAAAAATATTTTCAGTTCCATCATGTCAAAAAACCTCAGTGGAGTCCCTTTAATAAAAATTTACACAGAAAATTATAAGTATTGCCTTTCAAGAAAAGATTTTTTCACATCGATGTCAAAGTATGATAAAGCACTGGATAATATGTCCTCGCAATATGTCCGGGACTTACATTCCATATCTTATAATCAAAAGTATAATTGAAGATCAAAATCTCACAGAAATTTAGTTTTGTCTTACAAGCATGCACATACTAATTATTTTAAAGACACATTCCAGTTTAATGACATGGTTATTTGGAATTCCATACAACTGATTATTGTAAGGGAAAAAAATTAAATTGTCAATATTTAAAAATAGCTTTAAAATTAAGAAATATTTATTAAATCAACTTTAGTATGGTTTATGTGTATAATGTATATACAAAAAAAAGAAAAATAAGTGCCAGAAAAAAAGTTATATATAAATAAAACAAAAAGAGACAGTCCATGAGTTAACTTATTGCTTTTATCAAAGTGTGTAGCGACATTAGGTGAAACTAAGGGATCATATCAATTAACCTATGGCTATTCATGTGTCTCTTCGTTTGACCCAAGTCAGTATGATAGTTCTTACCAGGAATATTAGTACAATATATTATACTTTCAATGATAGAGCTGCAATGTGTTCATCTGTACTTCTATTACATCGTACGTATGGATGGAACATTTCGCATTTCTGTTATTTAAAGACCTAACATTAGAATTAACAAGAAAGTCTTTAAGAAGTTTAGGTCTATTAAATCAAGCCCGTCTTCACGATTTTGTGATTCGTGGTTCTAGGGGGTACAGGGGCATGCTTCCCCGTAATTTTTTCTTGTTATAATTCTTCAGTTGCATTTTTATGATAATTATTAATAAACAAGTACAAGAAATATTACATGTACATACAAGAATAGTAGTACCTATAATAATTTATTACATGTATAGCTGTTGAAATATGATTTTTTTTCAAATGGCTTATATATATGATCAGTACCAAAGGTCCTAGTCGCATTGATTTGTCCTAAAATATGTTTAATATTGTTATTCATGTAATATAATATCGATATAGAATCTATTAAAAAAAAAAAATAGAAAAAAAAAGATTTTTGTTATATTGTTATAGACATAACAAAAATCATGTTTTTGTATAAATTTCATTTTTTTTTAATATATTGATATCATATTATATGAATAATAAGATCAAACATATTTTAGGTCAAATCAATGCGAATCAACCGTGGGTGTCCGATGATGGAATTTGGAAACGTCAGGAAGTAGAGCGCGCGCTCGAAGTTACGCGGCAAGTCAGTCAGAATAAGATTTCTAAAAGTAATTTTTTTAGAAAAATTGTTTATTTGCACGTAAGGTCAAATTATATTTCACTCATTGGCTACGCCATTTGTGAAAATATTAATAAATCGGATATAGTTATTTCTATCTTCTACTTACAAAACAAGCAAATAATAATAATCATAATATTAACAATAATAAACACTTTATATCATGAAGGTAACATATTAAGAAATACATATCTTATTTACAAAATGGCCTTCAAAGAAAAACACAAATATGTACACACATATCAAAAACATAGACAACAACCATTCAAATCGACAGACACATGAATACATCAGATTCATTTAAAATTGTATATCGACAAGTAAATATTTTTTCATATTTCTTTTAAAAGCATATAGAGACGAAGACCCCTTAATATATAAATGTAAATTATTCCATACTTGCATTACATTATTTCTAAAAGTTCTTCATATTTTGTATTACATCTTAGATCTACATGCATTATGTTTCTATATAAATTAATTGTAGTTGATCTAAGTGTATAGGGGACACTAGGATTTCTGCTGAAATGTAGGAAAGAATATCCTTTATATCAAAATGTCTACGTGTTAATTGAAGTAACTAGTTCGAGGTCTCCTTTTTTACATTCACGTGCAAGTAAATAATAATAGGTCAGCTTCAATTTGTAGAACAGACTATAGTTACTCTCTAATTGGAGACAAATTTAGTTTAAGGGCGAGCCTCAAAATGGTGGATGGAAGTGAAATCACTTCCGGAGTATTGACACTTTCTTGTCTTTCCATCAAAAGAATGATATAAATGCTGAAAGAAAGGATTGATCGAAAACATTCATTTACTTTATTTTAGTTTAAAATAATATTGATTACTTGATTTTCTGTTTCATGATGAAATGACTAAATCATCGAATAAAATTGAAAAAATAACTCGTTCAGTCTTTGTCCACACTACTGTACAACGAGGGATTGTGACTTATCTTATTAATTAAATTGTTGACAATAAGGCATGAAATGGAAATTAATGTAAACCTGTAACTCATAACTAGCATTGCTTATTTTTGAAATTTTAAGTGTAAAAATGCGAGAATATAAAGTTGTGGTGTTGGGGAGTGGAGGTGTAGGGAAGTCTGCTTTGACTGTTAAATTTGTTTCCGGTACTTTCATGGAAAAATATGATCCAACAATAGAAGATTTTTACCGTAAGGAAATAGAGGTTGACAATGCACCCTCAGTGCTTGAAATTTTAGACACAGCAGGAACAGAACAGTTTGCTTCCATGCGAGACTTGTACATAAAAAATGGACAAGGTTTCCTGATAGTATATAGTATAACAAGTTTACAGACTTTCCAAGATATAAAAACAATGAAAGAACAGATAATAAGAGTGAAAGGAGTAGATAAAATTCCAATGATTCTTGTAGGAAATAAATGTGACTTAGAGCATCAACGTGAAGTTCCTATTCAAGAAGGTGCTACTCTTGCACAAACGTGGGGTTGTCCATTTATGGAAACCTCTGCTAAGAGTACAAACAACGTTAATGAAGTTTTTATAGAAATTGTACGTGAAATGAACACTAGTCCAGTGAAAGAAAAGAAAGGTTGTTGCACCTTATTATAACACTTCAGGATATTTAATGTCAACCAACATATAACATCTGTCAAGGTAAGAAAATTGTTGTTTTTGTTGTTTTTTTTCAGTTATCTTTATGTTTTGTCAAAGTTTAATTATATTAATAAAAGAGTTTTTTATGTTACTGGTCATTAGGGAGGGTACTTAGAAATAAATATGTACATTGCAGCTAAAGAGGTATAACATTCATCTGCTGATGATTTGAGCATCGAGCAACAAATTTTTGGGGTTTTGCCAATGCACGCACCTTACAATAGGTGCTCTGTACTTTTGTCCTTTATGAAATTGGAATTACTATAAAAAAATTTGAAGCATAAGATACTGTAAATCACGCTCAACATTCAAAATTTACTTGTATTTTGCATGAATGCTGAAACGTATAGGGTTATGATATAGCTACACTGCAATAAGTAGCAGTCCTACTAAATACTAGTAAGAGTACTAACAGACTAACTTGGAAATTTATTATTACATACGTCATTGTACAAAAGTGAAAGTTCTAGCTCAGATTTCATACATCATCTCATTCTGATTGCCTATAATGTTTGCTAACTAGTATTTAATACATACAGATGTTAAGTAAAAACAAATCTGACAAAATACATGTATATATCATGTATGTAAGTTAAATAGATTTACATGCAAAATTTCTTGCATAAATTTACGTTTACAAATAATAGACATTTGACAGAGATTTTTTTTTGGCTTATTTTATAGTCGATATTCGGTCATATTCCCAATTGAAAATAGTATATTATTTTCCCAATCCACAGGAAAAAATTCCCAATTGAAAGTTACAAAATAAAAATATTAAATAACAAAATCTAAAATCTTTGAAAATAAGGGCTTCTTCACTGTTATGGTGCTCAAATGTTTGAAGTTGCATTCATTTAATCAATACAAAATTTAGGCGTGCATTTTTGCCCAATTTCTAACAAATCATCGCTGAAATTCCCAATTTCATGGGTATGGGTCAGGTTCCAAAAATCCTGGAAAAAAAAACCCGTTTCAAACTATGTTATGTAGACAGTTGACTGCTAGTACAGTGGTAGTGGAGCAGTTCACTATGTCATTTCGTTGTTAACCTGAGTCCATGAAATTCTCACTTGCCATTCAGGTTAATGGTTATAACATCATTCATCTTGTTCTACAGTACAGCTCAAGCAATTTTTTCAAAGTCCGCCGATCCCTGCGATTTGTTTACGGGTGGACTGTCACTGCGATGTCCCTGTGATAGTTGTGACTTTCCGCTTGTCCACTCGATCGGGGGAAGTTTGCGCTGCGGGATATTGTCACCGTGGATCACTGTGAAATATTGCAGCGGTATTTCGCTCTCTCGGGTGACCATTAGTTTATTTATAATTCGAGGACATTTATTACTATTACTGTACGTCTGTAAAATATAATGAACTCAAACACATTTTTTATAGAAGAAAATCTTTATGTTATATATTTAAAAGAGGTAACACCTGTGGTGTGCAAATAATTACAGAATTTAATGATTTGCGTGTAAAATTAAAACCCTAATACATGTATGTAGTAACTTTTAACATAATTTAAGTTACAACTGCTTTAAGCCATTTTAACCTTCCTGATTTTACAGTGCTACAATCATGTAAGAATTTTTAATTATTTCTTTGATCCATTTAAACGATTTTTTTCTGTTAAATTTATGTGTGTTAATCACCTTCCCTCCAAATATTGACGAGAACTAAAGTTAAAGTGGGTCATAGCATAATAATAATACACAAATTTACTTATGAACTAAACATTTCTCTATTTTAAATATTTAATGTTGCATTTACGGTTATGATATGAAAAGAAAATGTAACAAATATGTTTATTAATTTTCATCATGATCACAGATCTAAATTTTTAAATAGCGCATAATGTGGACTACTGTAGTTGTATAATAAGTAATGAGATTGATTCTTATTTATTTCTACGACACTCACCTCACCATTATGGAGAATAAATCCTCGACTTGCATTTTCCCATCACAGTCCTATTTAACTACACAAAAAAAATTGTGGCTTTTGATTAGATTTCGAAATTACATCTTGCAAAGTTTACGTAGGTGTAAATTGCTTAATAAAGCGGTCTTGAGCAAAGAACAAATAAATTAGTTCCTTGATTGGATTTAACACCTTCTAAAGATTGGCCGGCTATTAAATGTACATGTATATTACATGTATATAATAAGTGGCGTTTATTGTTTCCAGTATGAATAGAATTTCTAAAAAAAAAAATTTTAAGTGTTCCAGCTATCCTTTCAACTTTTTACACAGACAACATCAAAGCATTAGCCGATCTAAATTGACATGCAAACAACATTGAATTAAGATAGAACTAGTCTTATTCACATTGTTAAAAAAATATTAAAAAGCTTCATTTAATTTTCTTGAAAGTGTTTACCGATTTCGTTAATATTTTGTTTTCTGTTTTCTTGAAACTTTTTTCATTGAACTATTTTGTGATGTCATTTTCCCTGGTAAATGTAAATTAATATTGCCGGGCTTATTAAATAATTTTATTGAATGATTAAATCATCAGTCACATTGTAAGTCTTTTTGATTTTTTAAAAGAAGACTACGTTGTACATTTATATGAACATTTACGTGTATATGCAAATTAATCACTGCAAATCTCTGTGATTTTCCACCGCGGATTGCAGGGTTTGTTTACTACCCGTCCGCGGTGATTTGTCGCCGTGGCATACTATAGTATGTCCCCCGCGATTTTCTGCTCGCCGTTAAAAGTGTCCGCGGTGACTGAGCGGAAAGAGGAAAAATTGCTTGAGCTGTACTGTAACTTCTAGATCAAAAGCTGGGGCACCTGACATACTAGATCCATAAGGATTCAAAGATTGTCAATATTTTGTATGTAGAAGTAAGAACTTTTACTGATCACTACTATACGTCTGATACATAACATACTTTCATACTGTGTGTATATTACAGTCTCTCTACTGAGGTCACAATTGACACTAAATATCAGCGTTGGTCCCGGTTCCCCCCTCAGATATCATCTGCAAAACTCCTTTTTCACTCTTGATAAACTCCTGTGACATTTGTAAACCTTACAAATACATTCACATCCTCCTTTTTTGTTGCAATTATTTTTATTTTGTCTCATTTGAATCGATGACAATTCATCTATAAATTGGATTTATTAAGTTGTTAGTGAACGTCATGAAATTATGTCTATTTTGTTTACTTTTCTTTGTAACTGGTTTAGTAGTAAATTATGGTACCAATCAACAATTTGCTGTGCTTCTAATTTATTGATTTTACGTAGAAAAAAAGCACATGAAGTAGACAAAAAATCTTGAAGTGTGGTGGTAGGCAACATTTTTAAATTT